ACCCTAACCCTAACCCTAACCCTAACCCTAACCCTAACCCTAACCCTAACCCTAACCCTAACCCTCTAACCCTAACCCTAACCCTAACCCTAACCCTAACCCTAACCCTAACCCTAACCCTAACCCTAACCCTAACCCTAACCCTAACGACGCTAGTTTGGTCCGAGTGGACAAAACCTCGGCCAGGGCGGACAACGCTTCGGCCTAACTAGAGGCATAACGGCACTAGTATGGCGTGGCGCGTGAGTGCCGGCGCCTGCCTAGGTGCGTAACGCGCCTAGTTTAGGTGGTCGGACAAGTGCGCTCCCGTACCTAGGTGCATAACGGCCCTAGTTCTGCAGGCTCCGGACCATGCTCTAACCAGACTAGGCGCATAACGGCCTCAGTTCTAGCCCTAATCCTAACCCTAATCAACAGATTCAATCTGATTCAAACCTCATTCTGTTGCAAAAACCAGGATCAGAGGGTTAGAAGACGCGCGACTGGTGCCTTGTCTATGATGGCGCTGACGCTGGCATGGACCTCGACTTCCATGGCTACACCGACGCTGACTGGGGCGGATGCAACGACACGTCCAAGTCTACCTCCGGCTTCGTGTTCATCTCAAGTCGGGGCGCCATTGGTTGGTCCAGCAAGCGGCAGTCCATGGTTTCTCTCTCTTCTACCGAGTCGGAGTACATTGGTCTAGCTAATGCTGGCCAGCATTTGGCGTGGCTCCGCTCATTCTTCGAGGAGTTGGGACGTCCGCAGGCCGGTGCCACCGAGCTTAGGTGCGACAACCGCGCGGCCATTATCCTCAGCCAGGATGCTCAGTTCCGGGCTCGGACCAAGCACATCCAGCGGAAGTACCACTACATCCGCGATGGGCTGGTTGCCACCGGCGAGTGCGTCGTCCTCTGGTACCCCACGGATGAGATGGTCGCGGACATCTTCACCAAGGCACTACCTCATGAGAAGCATCTCAAGTTCTGCCAAGGTATGGGTTTACGGCCAGACTCGAGTGGGAGTGTCAAAAGTAGGGTATAGAGGGGCGAGTCTGCCTCCTCCCATGGGTGGACGGTTTGCCTCGCGTCCACGCTTTTGGTCCGCCTTCCTATTCGGGAAGAACTTTCCCACGCCGCTCCGGGGGCGTCCGTATTTATCCTTACTGTACATCTCTTTTCCCTCAGTCGCTATTCCACTAGCAGGAAGACTGAGGGTATGTTATCTCACTTACTATACTCATACTATTTACTGACTGTACTTTAGTCTTGCGCGTCCTGCGCTTCTTTAGGTATGGATATCAGTCGCTATTCCACTAGCAGGAAGACTGAGGTCTTGCGCGTCCTGCGCTTCTTTAGCTCGTGAAATCGCCGGCTCAGCACGACTAGACTTCCCCTTACCTTTTTGTCTAATGCAGGTCACTAAACCAGCCAGTGTCCTCCACCCGTCTCCCGACATCGGTTTCACGATTTTTCATCGGTTTCACGATTTTTCATCGGTTTCGCCACTTTCGCGAAACCGATGTTCGCTTCACTCTTCAATCACTAAATTACTGACCAATTTAGTGATCTGCACAGCCACAGGGTTTGAAAACGACGTCGTTTTCAGGGATTATATATATAGACCTTTGTACTTCTCTCAGGCATCCCGGGAGAAATGACTGTCGAGGAGATCGTCGAGACCATCAAGTGGTTGCGCACGGACATGAACTACATGTACGGTGACCTCGACATCAAGGTATGTCAATAACTGTCATTCATCTTGGTCCTACTCATGCTATCGCAGGCGAGGAAGGTCAACCGCAACATGCCCTTCCAGTCCCCCTTCATCAAGCCAGTCATCGCGTCTGTCTGCTTCGGCCAGAGCAAGGCAAACCGCAACGCCACTCGTACCATGATCTCCCACCGCGAGATTTCTGTGACTATGTTTGCCCTTGTCGGAGCTGCGGTATGTCTTTGTTTGACCATACATCTCTCCATCATTGATGCTTTGTTCAGATTGAGAATGTTTTGAAGTCGTGGGGGAACGGTATCCCTAGTCCAGGCACGTTCACCGAGGAAGCCGGCCGCAAGAGGTTGGATCAAGGTCTTCGTATGATGCTTCGCCTGCTGACCGCTCTGCCAGCTATCTTCGCCACCGCTCGTCCTTCAACATGCTGCAGGCTAGTGCCCCGAGGTTCACGCGCAAGCTGCAGTATACGCTGCTTGTGACTATCCTGTACGCAAGCATGATTTACATATTGCTGCTTACTAATCTGTACTTCAGCCGCGACGCGGGCAAGAGCCACCTACTTGATGGGTATCTCACGCCCAGCCCAGGCCACCTGCAGGGTGTAGACTTCGAAGCCTTGGAGGCTTCTGTTGGGAGCGAGGAGGAGGACTTCGCGTAGTTGCTGTGTTATCTTTACCATATCTTGTGCTCGTCGCGAGCTTTTACTTCTCGCTAGCTTCGTCCCATTGTGTACTTTTATATACCGAATCTAGCCCTCGCCTACGTGCATCACTGTCTTACATGAGTGCCCTATACACGCCTCAGGAGAACGACAATGAGATATAGGACCTGTCGTGTCCTGAGGCTTTCGGAGGGAGCCTTAGGACATGAAGTCGAATAGGGGTGTACCTGAGTGCCCTCAACAACCTGGGCGCCCTCGATGCCCTCGTGCATCTCGGGGATGCCCGAGGGAGTCTTGAGACCCAGAGGCCGTTTTGGGATGCGGTGTGGCGGATTAGTCGACTGAACGCGTTAATTCGAGCAGGCATCCATCCGAATTAGCGCATCACATCCACTAATCCGAGTACCTGCGGTCAAGTCCCCCTAAGAGTGTTGACCAGGGCACGGATTAGCAGGTTTTGCGCCTTAATCCGAGGCCCAAAAAAAGTCGACCCCCTTGGAGTGGTAGGGACCTTGGAGTTACGGAACTACCCTTAGTTATGGGAATAAGAGGGATAGCCGCACAGAAATGTTACAGCGCCAACAACAGAATGCGTACGTGAAGTTCATGACGAGTTCTTGCCGAAATGCCGAAATGCCGGAATGCCAAGATCCTCGGCATTGACCAAACATTGCTCGGCATGCATCAAAAAACTTGAGGGACGCTTAGCAGAGCATCCACAAGCTTTCCCCCACGATATCTGACATGTCAATAGAGCTAGATGTTCCGGGCATGCTTGATTTTTCTGAGCTGATTCCATCGGGCCAAGCGTCACTGACAGCCTGTCGAAAAGAGGTTCGGTCCGACTCGACCGGTGTACAAACACAGTAATCCGAAAAGTGGTCGCGTTTCTGAAGCGTCGCAGCGCATAAAACGGTGGTTTATCCATTTCATTGCATTTCATTGCTAACCCACCAAAGTTGCCCAGCCGGCCTACAGCTCCGCGAGGCCACGAGCGGATTTCAAACATAGGCTGATGAGCTGATTCACGAGCCTAGTGTCGACATACATGACGAGGTAGGCACCTCGTGTGGTAGACCTACACGTAGCCGTATCTAGTAGTACCGAGAAAAGGAAAAAGAAGAAATAGTACAAGCGTACAAAGGAGCCTGAAGAGTGAGGGAAGAGTACCTGACTCTCACCTAGATCCCCACAGCCGACGCAGAGTCAACGACGTGCATAAGACATGCATAAAGAAGCTTTATGCACTGCCGGGCATTGTCGCGAGCACTGTGAGCATCCCTATTCTGCCAGACGTCTTAGGGGGTCAAGAGGCAGAGGGCTCGCCTTGAGGAGCGTGCCACTAGCGCCGATCACTTCGACGAAGGACTCGGTGGCATGGGCGAGGACGACCATCTCAACGACGAGGCAACCCGTCTTGGAGATTTCCTGCGCGCTATCACTGTGTGACCCCTGTACCTGCAAATACTAGATTCCTACAAGTCCCTTGAGCGGCGGGACCAGTCATGAGAGACGGTAGGACTCTGCCCGGGATGCTGGGACAACAGGCGGGGAGCGAGGACTGGGGGCGGAAAGGTAGGACAATCACCCTCCACGCAGGGACAACGCGCGGGACTCCGGGACTCTGAGCTAGGACGGTGGGATGCGCGCTGGGACTTGGAGAAACGTATGAAATATTATATTGGGTACAACATACACCAGAGATGCTCGCCGGGATTCCGGGATGCGCGCTGGGATAGTGGTACGCGGGCTGGGACTGGGGAGAGCGCTGCGGCAAGGCTGCGAGAGACGGCTGGGACTTGGAGCATTCCCTGTATCTTAGCTAAAACAACCGAGGCGGGATGTCCTAGCTAAGACACTGGTGAACCGTGTTGCACGGGTGACATTCGACAGATCGTCCGCGTGCTTCACGAAGGTGGGTTTTAGCTGAAAGAAGAAGATCGAGATGGGTTCAAGCAGGTCCATGAGCGCGAGCAGGATTGCGACCTTGACGTCCCCTGGCCGTATGCGTGTCAGTCGTGGTCAAAGCGAAGCGTACAGACACACACCTCTTCGCATGCATATCCTGAGAGGGCCGATCGAGGTGCCTCCTCATCGTGTACGCGAGCCAGAAGACGAGGCAGAAAAGCGACCAGAGGCCAGCGCGCTTCCAGCGGGAAGGCTGAGGCTGTACAGGGCGTACGCGCCGTTTTCGCCGAGAGTCATGCGTGACCTGCGCGTTATGTATAGGTACCTCGTCCAGCACCGCGCCATAGTCATCGGCGGGCGCGTCGTCCTCGACGACCTCGATGTGCGCCATGGCCGGGGAAGTGAAGAGCGGGATGTCGGCCCGGTGTCCGATGTGGCGGTCTCGCGTTTTTCACCTCAAGATCATCATCTCGACGCGTCTTCGTCCGCGATCGACGGGCGATACGACGAAGCATCACGCCGCCGACGACGACGAGCACTAAGCGCCCCTTTGCTCGCCTTCAGGCCATCGAACGAAAAGCGCGCAGGTCTCCCTCGCCCTCCGCCTCCGTTGCGGCTTGGCTAGCCCGTACCGACCCCGCACCGACCTCCCCGACCTCCCCCACCCCGATGGCCGACGACGGCTTTGGCTTTGGCAGCGCTGCTCCCATCGCTGACGATGACGAATCCTCTCCCTCGTCCCCAACCGCCCCGATCGACGTCCCGCCAGCCTCCCAAGCGCGCGCCGAGCTCCTGCATGCTCCCGTACCCAGACGCCGCGCTTTCCTAGCGCGTCTCACCCCCTCCGCCCTCGCCTACTACAACCTATCCGATGCGCTCACGCTCCTTGGCGTGCTCACACGCGTGCCCGAAGGAGAATCCGTGGGCCGCGCGCTCGTCGCCGCGGACGAAGCGCGAGCGGCAGAGGACCGCCTAGGCGTGCTCGAACATGCCGTCCATTGGCTCGCACACGAGGCAGGGAAAGCCAGCGCACCGGGAGATGCGCTCGTACTGCTCGGATGGGTGTGTACGCTGTGGGATCTGGCCCTAGCAAGAGGTGCGTGTGCGATACGTCTTTGTATTGCTCGATCACTGAAGTTTCCCTTCCTCATCATGTACAGGCACCACACCGACCTCCAGCCCCCTCCTCTCCGTGCACCTCACTACTGCCGCTGCCCTTCTCTCCACTGTGCTCGCCAGCGGCAAGCCGGGCGCTAAGCACGGTGCGATCACGCGAGTCAGGCGCGCGATGCGGAATGCGAAGGACGCCCTCCCTGACACGATCGATGCGCTGGTGTCCCTCGCAAGCGCGAAACCCTCGCTCGGCAAGAACGCTTCCGACCCCGCGACCCTCCTCCCCCTCCTCGGCGTTGCGGTTGGTGTCACCTTGAGACTCAAGCCCACTTCGGGAACCATCTCAGAAGCCCAGAAGACCGCGCTCACGACCCTATACACAACGCTCGTCCTCCTCTCGCGGACGCCTTTACCTCCCTACGTCCTCGACGCGTTTGACGACTGGGCTGCACACCTACTCGCTGATACCGACCTCGACAAGCTCGCGGACGCAGCAGACAAAGCACTCATGCGCGCACCAGAGGGGGCTACCGTAGGTGCGTGGATGAATCTCTGCTCGTTTTGTCGATGGTGTTGACTATTCCCTCCCACACAGCTCTCACCCGCTTGGTCAAGACGCACACGCATCCCGCGTCCATCCCGACGAACGACCCCGCGCCCTCCCGGCGTCAACTACCGCAAGCCTTCGTCAACAAGCTCCTGCCCGCGGTCGTGAACCTCGCGCGCGGCGTGGGTGCGTCGCATGCAGGGGATTTGATAGCTGCGCTTGTTGAAGGCAGTGCTTCGGAGGGTATGCGCATCTCTGTTTCCACGCTCGTGCACCTCCGCTTCCATGCTCGAGATCCGGCCAGTTTTATATCCCCAATGCTGACTGCTTAATAGGCTCTTCCAACGACACCGCCACGACCGCCCTCACGCAGCTGCTCGCGCTCCCGAAGGCGGGCAAGACGGCGGGCGCGGAGCACCGCGCGGCGCTGTATGCGATGGTGGGGAGGGTGGTGGGTGCGGGGGAGGGAAGTGAGGTGAGTGTCGGGCGGCCTTGCGTGCTGCGTCGAGCGAAGGGGGCCGGATGTGCAGGGAATGGTGGACATGTGATCGAACGATACGAAGAGGGAGGCGACTGTAGAAAGGCATCGCACGTCGCGGTATCGCTCACCTCCACCTCTTCCTTCGTCGTTGTGTAGATACTTCGCCTCTTCACTATTCCTTCTCCGAGTCGTGCACCCAGCTCTCCGCATTCGTCGCTTACTTGATTCGCACTACCACCGCTAACATCCTCCCCAGCCCGCCCTCCTCGCACTGCAAACCGGCCTCCCGCTCCTCGCGAAGGAGACGCACGATGCGCCACTCAACGCGCTCACGGCTGCCCTGCGAAGTGCGCTCACGGTAGTGCTACGAGGTATGTCCAGCATTCGTGTCTTCTTTTCTCACCCTCCTCGTCGTTTGCCTACATCTCTTCTTGTTCTCCTGCATCCTTGAGCTGACAAGCTGACACATCGTACTAGGCCCCGCGCCTCTCCCCAAGGACACTACGACGGCTCTCATTGCCCTTCTGGCGGACAAGAAGGAGACCATCCGACGCGCGGGTGTCGAGATTGCATGCGGAGCGGTGTGGGAAGCGGGCGAAAACAAGGTAAGCACCGGTGTCTTTGTCGTCTTCCCACTCAAAGGGTCGCCTCGAAGGCCCTACGATGTCGGATGTCTCATCGCGTACTCACGCTAGTCCCAGCCTTCCGCCACCCCCGCCCTCGCCGCGCTCCTCCCAACTCTCATCCCCGCCCTCCTCACGCTCCTCGCGGGCACGCATACGCCCGGAGAAGGGTGGCGCGCCGCAGCGGTGTTGCTGCGAGACGCGAAGGACGACAAGATACTGTCGGACCCCGCGCTAAGGGGCATGCTCGCGTCGACGTCGGCTTCCGCAACAACAGCTACCGCACCGCCGGCGAGCGGACGGTCGACGCCCGCTGCGGGCGGGAAGGCAGCCACGGGTGCAGCCAAGACGGGCGCGAAAGCTGGCGCGCCGTCGAAAACGAGCGCAGCGTCAAAAGGCGTAGGCGCGAAGGGCAAAGCGAGCCCAGCGCCCGCGGCAGCCGCAGGAAAGTTGACACCGGCGAAGAGCGCGCACCACGCGAGCTCGTTGGTCAACGAAAGAGTGTACGGGAAGGTTCTGCGAGAAGGTGAGTCTTTGACCTTGATCCTCACCATCTCCCGTTGCACGCAATTCTTCCTCGCCTCAAGGACGATCAATGCCGCCTTTCTTGACTTGCTGATTGACCGTCCTGCAGGCGCTCGGTCCGACCTCTCGTGGCTCGCCCGCGCCGGCGTCGCTGCGCTCGAGGCCTTCGCCGTCGAGGTATCATCGAAAGCGGACGTCAATCTCGCACCCCTCGGTACGATGCTCGCGCACCTGGCGACCCGGGCGGCGGATTATGGAGTGAGAGGGGAACTGAACGCGCTCGTGAGTGCAGCGGCCGGAAGGGTAGGCAAGGTGAGTGGCACGGCTACCCTCGTCGCATATCAGAGGGAGGCTTGAGGCGGTCCGCGCGAAGAAGCGGGTAAAGACGCGCGACAGGAGACATACATGAAGACTCCGCGGTTCGGAGATGGAGGACAGTACAGCTGACGTTGTGTCATCTCAGACGGTCAGCGCCGTTGTACGCGCAGGCGTGCTGGACCTCATCACCGAGGAAGAGGCGAAGGACAAGGAGAAGAGCGCCCCGGCAGCGAAAAAGACCGCAGAGGATGCCGAGGGAGCAAAGGCGGAGAAGCCTTTCCCGGTGGAGCGTTTGCGCGCGCTGGTCCTAGCGTCGGTGGCCTTTGGTGGTACGTGCTTCTGTCGTCTGCTTTCTCGATTGTGGACGAGCCATCCGCTGATACAATTTCTCAGACGCCGCTTCGCCGAAACTCAAGCATGAAGAGCTGTCTGCATGGATTGTCCCGGCGCACCACGAGCTCGTCTCTGGCCCAGCAGGCGGCAAGAACAAGACCTCGGCCTGGATTGGACTCTGTGGACGCGCGGGTGTGGACCCGAGGGAGGTCGTAGGTGCGTCCATCACGCCGTTTGGTGTGCCTCCTGCCGCGACCTATATGCCTTTTATCTACTCTTCTCGTCGATCGAGCTCCCGATCTAACTTTTTCGCAGACACCTCGCTTGACGCGCTGTTTACCTCCCTTCTCGAAGCCTCCACGACGTCGATCTCGACTGGACTACCCGCCGCTGCTGCACGCGCTGTCGCGACACTTGTCTTCGTCGCACCGGACACGGTGGTCCCGCGCGCGATTTCACAGGTCATCGTGGACTTGGATCCTGTACGTTCTCCTCATTAGGGCTCGTCACCTCGAGGAACTAACATTCTTCCAGTCAACGCTCGCAGCACTCACGAAGGACGATTTGGGAGCTTGGGCGACGCCTGCAGGGCAGTTGTACGCAGCGCCGAACTTCGAGGGCGATAAGTAAGCGAAGTTCGAATTGTGATCGGCAGTCTTTGAAAGACTCCCATCAGGCCGCAAGCAACCATCAAGGGGAAGGACGCCGAGCTCAGGAAATGGGAGGCCGAAGTTCGAAAGGAGCTCGGTAAGTAGCGCGCGCCAGTCTTTTCCATGGATGTACTAACGCAGATCGCAGGCAAAGGCGCCGCACCTACTCTCACGAAGGCACAGCAGGCGGCTGTACAAGCGCAGCTTGACCTTGAGGCGACCGCGCGAGCCAAGGTTGAGGGCGTCAAGGTCCAACTCGAGCGCGGCCTCGCGTGGGTGGAGGCTTGGGCGACGGTCGTGCGTAAACTAGTTTGGCCTGCTTTCGTTTACCTTGCTGACCCTCATGATGTGAACTAGGTATCCGCCGACGTCCCTGACGGAGACATCCGCGCGGCGTCGAAGGGTTACGTTAGTCGCGTCGCCCTTCTGCTGCTCAACGGCGTATTGAGTGGTCTGCGTACGGAAGAAGGCGTGCAGAGCACGGGAACGCGACTAGCTGGGAGCAAGGGAATCGAGGTTTACTTGGTAAGTATCGTGACCTTTCGTGCGATATGCCTTGCTCAACGTGTCGAAGCGCTTGTCCGAAGTGTGCTCCTCGCGTCTCGGGCCATTCGCGTCGACTGGCTTTGCTCGATGGGTCGGCGTTGCGACGCTTCGTGCATTCGATTGCGACGCGCTTCCGCGAGAACTTGCTGAAGAGCCCATTGGAGGTACGTAGCCATATCAGACAAAGAGACTGCACATTGACTTTAGCTGCAGCCCTCATCGCGCGGATGCTCTACCGACTGCGTTTCCTATCGGAGCAGGCGCCTCTTGATGCTGCGAGCTTCAGCTACGTCTTCCCGCTTATGCAGCGCGTCGTGGAGAGGGAGGCCATCACTGACGACGGCGGTCAGTATTAAGCGCAACGGAAGCACCACCGTGTACTCATTTTCCTTGTAGACGAGGCTGCCATTCGCGAGCAGTCCACTGAGCAGCTCACCCTCGCGTTGGATGCGTTGACGTTTCACGCTGCTTCCCTCTCCGATAGAGCATATCCACGCATTGGCGTCATATCGCTGCTCATCGAGATGGTCAGGAAGCAGTCGTCACTGAGAAGAGGCGCCGCGGAAACGCTGATAGCGGTAGGCGAGACGATCGCGGCTTCGGCGGAGGCCGAAGAGGAGTTGACGGGAATCGGTGCGCAAAATCGTAAGAGCCTTCGACTTACTCTAACACCGCCTTTCCAGAACCCTTCCCTCTCGCTTATGAGATCGCAACGCTGCTTTCAGGGACGCTCTCTGCGGAGGCGTATGCACGACAGGCATGTCTAAATGCTCTCGTTCCGTTCGATCTTACGGAGCTACGGGGCGGTACGGCACCGGAAGGCGGACTGGATGCCTCTGTCACTGGCGCGCAGTTTCCCGCGTCCTTTGAGGGTACCACAGCAACGCATGCGGGCGCAAATTCTCAAGTCATCGGTCAGTCGTTCCACCTAACTCGGACTATCTTCTAAAACGTCTCCGCAGCAAGTCCCTTCGACGCGTCGCTCGTCGGCGACAACTGGTCCCCTGCTCTCTGGCTCGCTTGCCATGACGTTGAGGACGAGAAGAACGTCGATCTTGCGAGAGGTATCTGGGAGGATAATGGGCTGGACGTGCCGGAATTGGGCGAAGCCTGGGTACGCGTCCACGTTGGATTCCTTGGCATGTACTACTCTTCGATTTGCTGTATAACATCCACTTACCATCCTCATATGCAGATTACACCGCTTCCTATGTGCGCAAGTCGGCCGCCGTCGCCTTGGCCGACGCTGTCTCCCTCAAGCCCGGTCCGACCAACACGAATGCGGTGGAAACGCTCGCTGTACTGAAGGAGTACTACCGCGAGAAAGCCCGCATTCTCGCTCCCGAGTTCGATCAATATGTGAGTGTATCGGCCTGCTTTCGAAAACGGAGCTCGTAGAATTGACGGTCGACAAGGGCATGGTCATTGCATCGTCGCTTGATCGAGCTGACCCGTGGCCTGCGCGCGAAGCTGTCGGACTTGCTTTTGCCCACCTTGCTCCTCACTTCCCGCTAGACGAAGTCGAACCGTTCTTCGGATTCCTTATCAGCGGCGCCGGACACGCAGGTACGGCTATGAATTACGATACGTCTTACGCATCACATTAACTATGCTCGCAGCCAAGGACGACAGGGAAGGCGACCCTCCTCTCGGAGATCGCGAGGCTGCCGTACGACGCGCCATGCTCGATGCAGGGGTGGCCGTCATCGATATACACGGCGGCGACGCGAAGATTCTCCCTCCCCTCATCGCAATGTTCGAGGCGCAGCTGGCCGCGGGTAGCGGTGGGACACCAGCGGGTTTGTCAATGCGGCTGTCCTCCTCCCAAAGTTCTGGCTGACAAGATTGTAGGCGATTATATTCAAGAATCTGTTGTTGTCCTATTCGGTCGCCTGGCGAGGCATCTGGACGCGTCTGATGCTCGCATCCCGACCGTGGTCGACAAACTTGTCGACGCGCTTTCAACGCCGGCGGAGCAAGTCCAAATCGCTGTCAGCGAATGTCTCGCGCCGCTGGTGGCTGGTATGGAGGAGTCAAAGGTGAGCGGACCCGGACGAGGTATCGCTGATATCTAACGTCGAGGTGTAGGTTACGTCTCTCATCGACCGCCTCTTCGACAATCTCTTCAATGCGCCCAAGTACGCCGTCCGCCGCGGTGCTGCGTATGGTCTTGCGGGAGCCGTGCGTGGCGCGGGGATCGGCGCGATGAAGAAGTATCAGATCATGGAGCGCATCAAGGCAGCGACGGAAGACAAGAAGCGCTACGAACCCCGGCAAGGCGCTATGTTTGCCACCGAGACCCTCGCCACCACGCTGGGTCGCCTCTTCGAGCCGTACATCACGCTCGTCCTCCCTCTTCTCCTGACTGAGTTCGGCGACGCCGTACCCGACGTACGCGAGGCTACCCAAGATGCGGCGAAGGTCATCATGTCGCGCTTGTCAGGGTATGGCGTCAAGCTCATCCTTCCCACGCTGCTCGAGGGCCTGGAGGAGAAGCAATGGCGCACGAAGAAGGGTAGTATCGAGCTCCTCGGTATGATGGCCTACTGCTCCCCTCGCCAGCTCAGTTTGAGCCTCCCTATCATCATCCCTCGTTTGACTGAGGTCTTGACGGACAGTCACGCCCAGGTGAGCTCGGTGGCAAACATGACCTGTGTTCTTCCGTCTAATCAACAATCGATCAGGTCCGTTCAGCTGCGAATAAGAGTCTCAAGATGTTCGGCGAGGTCATCAGCAACCCGGAGATTCAGAGCCTGGTTCCCGTCCTTCTGAAGGCGCTGGTTGATCCCGCCAAGACGCCCAACGCTCTCACAGGCCTGCTGAAGACTAGCTTCATGCATTACATCGATCACTCCTCGCTGGCCTTGGTGCGCACAACTCGATCATTCGGAAATGCATGCTGACATCCCGCTAGGTTATCCCCATCGTAGAGCGCGGCCTTAAAGAGCGCGGCGCGGAGACGAAGCGCAAAGCTGCTCAAATTGTCGGCAATCTTGCGTCGCTGACCGACACCAAAGACTTCGTACCGTACCTCAGCGCGCTCCTGCCCCTCGTCCACGTTGTACTTGCCGACCCAGTCCCCGAAGCTCGCGCGACTGCGGCAAAGGCCCTCGGTACACTCGTCGAACGACTTGGCGAATCCTACTTTCCAGACCTTGTCCCAGGCCTCCTCCGAACCCTCAAGACGGATACATCTGGCGTCGACCGTCAAGGTGCCGCGCAAGGTCTCTCTGAAGTTCTCTCCGGTCTCGGTATGGAGCGCATGGAAGGTCTACTACCCGATGTCATCGCGAACGCGCAGAGCCCGCGCGCGACCGTGCGCGAAGGCTTCATGTCGCTGCTCGTCTACCTCCCGGCCACCTTCGGCATGCGCTTCCAGCCTCATCTGCCCCGAATCATTGCTCCAATTCTCAGCGGCTTGGCGGATACGGAGGACTACGTTCGCGATGCTGCGATGCGCGCCGGTCGTATGGTAGTCACCAACTATGCGAACCGCGCGATAGACCTCTTGCTTCCGGAGCTCGAGCAGGGCATGTTCGATCCGGGCTGGCGTATTCGGGTATGGTCTCTCCCACGATCCAGGCGCATTTACTCATCTCTTGTCAGCAATCGTCTATCACTCTCGTCGGAGAACTACTGTTCAAGGTCTCCGGTATCTCAGGGAAGACGTCCGACTTTGACGAGGACGACACGGGCGAGGTGGAAGCCAATGTTGCCGAGTCCTCTCGTAAGGCGCTGGTCGAGGTACTTGGTCAAGAAAGGCGCGATCGCATCCTTTCCGCGCTGTACATCGTTCGGCAAGACAGCGTTCTCGTTGTCCGTACCTCGTCCATCCAGATCTGGAAGGCGCTCGTCCACAACACGCCAAGAACTGGTATGTCGTCTTGTCTTATGATCATGCAGGATTTTTATATGTCGCAGTTCGCGAGCTCCTGCCGGAGCTTGTCTCCCAACTCATCGTGCTCATCTCAAGCTCCGAATTCGATCAGCAGGACGTGAGTGCTCGGTAGCATAGTTGTCTTGCGCCTCTGACCCGCCATACCATAGGTTGCGAACCGTACCGTGGCCGAGACATGTCGGAAATTCGGCGAGCGATTCGTCGGCGAGATGTTGGCTATACTTCGCTCGAAGGTTCAGTCCACGGACGCGAGGACAAGGGAGGGCGTCAACTTGGTGCTCTGCGAGACGATGTGCGTGCTTTACTTGATATTATGTTCGCTGTCTCATCTTCTACAGGCTCAATTCCTCCGAGGCTCAACGCGAAGGCCACGAGGACGAGATCATCACGATGGTTCGCATGTCGCTCGTCGACGACGAGGCAAACGTACGGGCGGCAGCTGCCAAGGCGTTCGATGTTCTTCAAGAGCAAATGGGTGCGAAGGCGATCGACGAGACCATCCCGACGCTTCTCGAAGCGCTGCGTCAACCAGGGAAAGGTTCGGGCACCGCTCTGCAGGCGTTGCGAGAAGTCATGAATGTAAGTTGTCTGCATTGCTTGTTGCTTTAGTCGCATAACACAATACCAGGTCCGCGCCGCCACGGTCTTCCCCGTTCTCATCCCGACACTCACCGCCATACCGATGACGGTCTTCAATGCGCGCGCCCTCGCGGCTCTTGTCACGGTCGCTGGAAACGCTCTAAGCAAACGTCTGACCGTCATCATCCAAGCTCTTGTCCGCGTTCTTGAAGAGACACAAGACGACGAGCTGCGGGAAGCTGTCGACGAGGCATTGCGTGCACTTCTGTCGTCGATCAACGACCTGGAAGGCCTCAACACGGTCATGATGGTATTGCTGGACTGGTAAGTATACACCTTCTCAGTTCCATTCGCTTCTAACGGTACTGCAGGGCAAAAGCACCCGCACCGCGACGCCGAGTGAGCGGCTACGAATGCTTCGCGATGTTCTGCGACGTCTCCGAGCTCGATGCGTCCCTCTATCGAGTCGACTGGATACGGCAGCTGGTGTCCGGTTTGGAAGAACCTGACGTTCAGATCCACACCGCCGCTTGGAAGGCTCTCGACACCTTCGTCAAGTCTCTACCGAAGGACGAACTGGAGCCCTTGGTCGTTCCCCTTCGGCGAAGCATCGAGTCTACAGGTACCCCCGAACACCACGTCCCCGGCTTCAGCCTACCAAAGGGCGTTGCGCCCCTTGTCCCCATCATCATTGCAGGCCTCACTACCGGCAGCAACGAGCAGCGCGAAGCCGCCGCGTACGCCATCGGCGACCTCGTTGAGCGCACCGCCCCGGACGCCATCAAGCCTTTCGTCGTCCCCTTCACCGGGCCGCTCATTCGTGTCGCCACGCAAGCCACCGCATACCCGCCGGGTGTCAAGGTCGCGATCCTAACCGCACTCATGGTCATGCTTCAGCGCATCCCGGTCTTCGTGAAGCCGTTCTTCCCTCAGTTGCAGCGCACCTTCGTGAAGAGTGCGGGAGATCCGTCGAGTGTTGCTGTTCGTACACGTGCGGCAAAGGCGCTAGGTGCTCTCATGAAGCATCAGCCACGCGTGGACCCGGTCGTGACGGAGCTCATTGCGGGAGTCAAGGCCAGCGATGACCCTATCGGAGCGAGCCTAGTGCTCGCGCTGGCGGAGACGGTCAAGAGCGCCGGACCGAGCGTCGGTGACAAGATGCGCGAGGCCATTGTAGAGCTCGTTAGCGACGCGCTGCGTGATACGCATGACGGTGAGCTTCATGACTGCACGCGGCGCGAACGAAGGACTAACCATCTTTTCAGACCACTTCGCGCAAGCCATTGGTGCCGTGCTGCGCGCCGGATCCCTTCACTTCCCCGAAGCGTTCCGGGACGTCGTCGAGTGCGTCTCCCTCTGCCGGCCATCGTTGCTCTCATTGATCAACCTCTGCAGAACCTACCTCGTTTCCGACACCCCGCAGACGCTCATGTCGTCACATGTCATCTTGACAGTGGTCGAGGAGGACGAAGAAGACGAGTCGACGCACGGACAATTGAACCTCTTTCAAAAACTCGGTCTTCTGCTCGGCGTAGCGCAGAAGGCGATCGAAAGCGCAGGGAACGAACGGCCTGCCATTGCGCGGCCGGCAAGACTAGCGAGAGACATCATCAAGGAGATTGACGATGAGAGCTTATCAGGGTTGTTCTAGTGTAATGTATCATGTTTTGACTGCAAATGTATACTGCATCATCGCTCGGTATCCTCGAAAACGACGAGCACAGCGATACCTACGGGAGAGCGACTGCGATTTGCTCCTCCAAATATCTTGATATTTCAGGCGTAACAGCTATTAAAGGACGCCATATCGCACCTCCCTCGGCGACGACGAAGAGGCTATAGCATAGGCGAGTCAGCCCTTTTGTCTCTACCTCGGCGCAGGTAAGCTCTTCGCAACCGATGCAGTCGCGGTCCCAGACTGACGCCAATACAGGACCTACGCGCTAAAGCCATTTCGCTGGGAGGTAGTTTATTGAGCTCAATGTCGTCGTCAAACGCCGCGTCGCGCCGCCGAGAGGAGCGTCTCACGGAGCTGGGCTCGAAGGGTGCAAACCCACGTGTCACAGTGAGCTTGTCACTGTGACCGTCACATTGACAGCTTTCGACCGCCCTTCATCCACAGCGCTGAAGTTTTCCATCGGCAAGTCTATTCCCAGTTTACTTTCTCTCTGTCGAATCTGAATACACAGCGACAGCATCAATCTGGATGACGGACTCCGACAACGATCTACCGGCCTGTGGGGACGAGAACGCTTTCAACCAAAGACCTGCAGGCGCCGCATCCGACGTACACGCCCTGTCTGCCGCCCTCGCGCGCCTCCGCAATGTGATATTATCCACGCAGCCACCTCATCAGCTCCAAGTATCGATCAACCGCGTCTTGTGTATTCTACGCAAACAGCCATTTCGCATATTCGCCAGCACGCCACCTGGGGATATGCCACTTTCGGATTTCCTGGCATCACCTCAAGGCCGTGCCGTAAAATCTGCCATGCAGAGTATATCGACGATTCAACGCGTACAGTGCTTGAAGGAAGATCCTACCACAGCCGAGCGAGTCTCTGCTGTTTGGCCCGAGCTCCATGAGTGGCTCGACTGGCTCTCGCCGCTGTGCCCTGTAATGACCTACGACGATTCGCTATACGCTCGCGTTAAAGCGACAGACTTCGTACTCTCTACCATTCACGCCATCCTCTCTTTGCCTACCTCGCGCCTCCAGTGGGATATCTTTTTCAACCCCGCGAGAAGTTTACTCAGGCTCGCTCTCGATATCTATGTGCGCCTTGCGGATGTCTACGCCTTTGCGCTATTCATGACGCACCCCCACGCCGCCGGAACGTGTGCTGGACTCTTCCCCATTGTCCTCTCCCGCGCCACGGACGAGGGCCTCAAAGACGAGGTGGCCGCCGTCATACTCGCGGCGCTACACAATCGCCCGCGCCGTCTGTTCAAAATGGCGGGGCGCTACATCGAAGTGATCGATCCGCACACCCAATTCGCGTCACAGCAGTTGCAACTCCACCTGATGGGCGCACTGTGCCGTATGCCCGCGATGGAAGTGCATCGCTTTCCGCGTGTCGTCGTCACGAGTGTCGTCGGAATTGTTCGCGCGTTCGTCGGACGTCCCTCGCCCCAGTCGAGCTCAATAGCAGGCCCCTCTCCGGACGTGTTCCCGGTGCACGTCGCTTACGAGATTCTCGGCCTCTTCTGCAAGTACGACAAGCACGCGGCGATGATCGCCCTCGAAGAAGGTCTCGCGTCGCTGATGAATCAGGACCTTAAGCACACGCGGGAGAATGACATGGCGGTGCTCGTACAGTGCCTCGCCTGTACGCTCGTCTACCCCCGCGCCCTCGATCGCGTCAACGATCAGCTGCGTGGGTCTGGCGTCCCGCCAGACTCAGACTTGTACGCTCTTGCAAACTTTGCACAGCAGTACGACGACATTCGCGTCACGCTCGCTGCTCAGTGGGCGACTGCCGCGCGCTGCGCCGATGTGAAGGTGTGTTCTCGTCTCGGTCCTAAGTCTTGAGCCCGCTTGTCTGAATCCACCTGCAGTGCTCAAGTCCTTCCGATGCATCGCTTCACGCATGCCCTTGCGCCACCGCTCTCTACTGCTCCAAAGCGTGTCAGCGAAGTCACTGGAAGGCCGGGGGACATAGAAAATTATGCCCGCGCGCGCGCGAGCGCAGAGGTAAGCATTACACTACCTCCTCCTTTCATCCTTTTTGTTAACCCTACGCACACCCGCAGAGCCCCTATCCCCGCGCGGCCTGTACTTTCTAGGTCTTATCGTGCGAGACCATATCCTCGACGTACTGCCGAACATCCTGGCCCATATGAAGAACGAAAGCGCGAGCTCTGTGGCAATCGTTATGGACTTCGCGCACGCTACGCCTGAGTCCACCATGTATCGCGTCACTGAAGCTGCGGACAGTGACCCGCGCATCGAGGTATACACCGTTCATTTCTACTTCAGCAGGCAGACAATTATCTTCCGCCCTGCCGGCGCGCCGACCCCGCGCTTTCGACTGTTGACGGAGTTCTCGCTAGGTGAGCTCTACACTGCGATATGGATGCTCGTGTTAAGTACTCTCCAGACGAATGGCAGGTCGCTTCGTAATCCTGCTGCTTGTTACAATGGGCTTCCTCATGAAACACCCTGTATCAGAAGACATTCAATCTTATCTTGTCGAGCCTGCCTCTATCCGTTCGTCGCATGAGCAGAGGACACGACGAACCACAAGCGCCCGGAATGACCCAATTTGCCCAGGACAGTCTCTCGTCCTCGCGGTATGCGTGCGACTTATCGTTCCTCTGTACGCGCGACCATTTAGTCGACATTGTCATCCTGCATGGAATATCAGCGGCTCATCGAGAACGACGCTTGTCAAACACGACTTCAAACATGTACGCCAGCCCACGCACACTTAGATTATGGGCGCTTGTTTGCACTTGCTTTCTAGGTTCTATTCAATCAGATCAACATGCCGTAAACGCCTGTTCATTTCTCCCATCACGAGCTTCTTGGCTGAGGATGGACTGGGATCCGGCACCAGTCGTTCCTCCCCGTTTCCGAGCCGATAAGCCATCGGCTTACACGCCAGGCCTCGCACCAGCGCCCGGTGAGCTGTCTCCGGGACCCGAGGATCCTTCCCCTACGATGGAGACGCAGCAGAAGTACGTGTCACCTTCCCTCCTTGGTCATCTTCAGGTGCTCAGTCTCGCGCATCAAGCGAGCAATCCTCCCAGGTCAGCACCGACGGCGCGTCCGTAGTGGATGAGAACATGGATGTCCAATATACGGACGTATCGATGCACGCGTCCAGGTACTTGCGAGCGTAGACTCAATCTCATTCGTTCGACCTCTAACGTCGATCACCAGCGAGTCCTCAACACGCCACACGCACCACCAGACTTCTCCGTACCTCGAAAGCGAAAATGGGGCAGTAAAAAGCGAGGAAACTAACGATCCATACATTGTACGTCCTGCGTCCACCCGCGCGGGCGTCGTTGATGACAGACAGGAATCTACGCCTTTGAAGATGCGCGATCAGTCTTCTGCGACAATCAAGCGAGAGGCGACGCCCCGCGAATATGAGTATCACGATAGCGAGACAAACAGCTCGCGGCCTAAGAGGACCAGTTCTGGACAAACATCGCTACAGGGACTCGATATGCCTGCGCTGCTGGACGCAATTGCGGCGTTGACAGTCAACCTTCAGGCTTTTAACGAGCATCTCCGGCTGGTCCCTGATGTTATCGCTGAGTTTCGTCAGAGCAGTGCGATTATGGCTATGCTGACTGCTGAACTATCTAATGGTACAGCACGCAGCCCCGAGTTCTAGTAATGGAAAAGGAGTTGCATGAGTCACAGTCATTAGTGAAGCACCACTTACCTGCAAGGAGTCCATCAAGGCCACGCTCACGTCCGCACCATATACCGAGCGCGGCGCCATACGAGGTAATTCCGCCCTCCGAACTCACCCTTCCTCAACACCACCCGACGCATCTCCCCCTTGTCCTCCCCAACTCAGATCTCTTTTGCTTCTCATCCCACCGATTGAGAGGACGGATGTGGTGCGTGAGTGTCAGAGGGACGCGATCGCATCGCTAGGCGCGAAACCCATTTGCCCTCCCCTGTCATTGTCTCGTCCTTTCCCTCCCCATCCCCTATCTCTCCTCCCTTGCCTCCTCCCTCCTACCTTCCGTTGCGCGCTCCCTTCCCCTACCTCGCCCTATCCGCCTTTTTCAACCCTTTATCTCCTTCAGCTCCCACCTTCGATCCGAACGTGACCATAAGCGTGATCCCCGCTCCCTCCCTGACCGCTCTCCCCTCTTCGGATCCGCACTCCACCGCCTGTACATCCCACTTCCTGACGACCCTCCCCACATCCATTCCTCATCTGTTCTGTTTCTCCCCTTCCTCATCCGTCTCTCCCTCCCCTCCCAAGTCGAGAGGGTCACCGCTCCCTTTTTCCCCCCTCCCTTCCAGCGCTCGAGGAGCCACCGCTTCGAGAGGCCGGGTCGTCTCTCGTCCTCGCGCCTCTCCTCAAATCGAGAAGCCGTAGCGAGCGGACCCTCGCTCCTACCTCATCCCCGTCCCCGCGCCCTCGAGAGCTGAAGCCGTGAAACCGACCACCATGGAGAAGGCTAACAAGCGACAACCCTGACGAGCGTCGAGTGCTTCACCCTCCTCCTCCGTCCGCCTCGAGCGGTTGTACGGCGCCCCTCTCTTCCCTCCCGCCAACTCCCCCAACTCCCCTGAACCTCTTTCCTCCCCTTCTCCCTCCCTCCTCAGCTCATTCCTGTCTAGCCGCCTCAACTCTCGTCCCCGCTCCCTCTTCTCACCTCCTCGCCCTCCGAGTCAAAGGCGCAACAGCGCGACCTCCCTATCGATCGAAGACGAGCTATCCCCGCGACCAAAGCGGGGAGTAAACGCAACCCCTGCAAGGAGAATGGGGCGGATGAAAGAGGAGAGTCGCAGATGCTCCCTTGCTCCCCTCGATATCTCCGAGGAAACTCCCCGAACTGTCCAGAAAGCTCCTCGAACGCTCAAAGGAAGCTTCCCGAGCTCTCATAGGGAGCAGACCGACCTCACATGAGGACCGCTACAAGAAGAGCGGCCCTCTCGTGCCATACGCGCTCGCCTTATAAGCGCTCGCTTTCATACGCACTCACTTTCATACACGCTCGCTTTCATACACGCTCGCTTTCATACGCACTCGCTTTCGTACTCCGCTCGTATAGTATAGAGACTGCGCAGAAACGATCGCATCCACGAGTCGAAGGAACGTCCTCATCCAGAAGCCGTGGCGACCACCAGGAATCCACGAGTCGTAGCGACCACCAAGCGTCCAGAAGTCGTCGCTCCCACCAGTTGTCGGGACTGCAGACGCGCCTTCACCCAGTCGTCGCGAGTGGAGAACGATGGTCGCTAAGAATGGGGGAAGGTAAGGGTGACCGCCGAGTATGGGAGCAGGGTGGCCGCCGAGTAGGGAAAAATGGTGGCCGCGGAGGATGGGGGAAGGGTGGCCGCGGAGAATGGGGGAGTCAGCGTGGCCGATGTCAAAAGGTAGGTGAGGAAAGGTGCCGGAGAGGAAGGAGGGGCAGGGGAGGGAATAGAGAAGACGGGGAGGGAACAGGATGGAAAAGTGAGGGGAGAGGAGGGAAGCTCGGGGGAGTGAGATAGAGTAGGGATGGCGAGGATCGACTCCGTCGTAGAAAAATATCTAATTACACCTCCCTTCCTCGCCCTGCTCCCCTTGATCTCGTCATCCTCCCCTTAATATCCCTAATCCCCTGCCAACCATCTCGCACGACTCATCTGCTTCTCCCCCTCCTTTTCGACCCCTCTCCCCTCCTTCCCCCACTCCGTCTCAGCCCCACCCCACCTTCTCCCTCGTCCTCCGCCTCCTTCGTCTCTCCCATCCTCCCCCTCCTCCTTCTCGTATCTCGGAGCTCGAAATCACCCTCTCCCCTCCCCAAGCGATAAATCCCCCCCTCTCCCCCAGCGCCTTCCCCCTCCTCCTCCTTCTCATCCCTCGGGACTCGAGATCGCCCCCGATCCTCCAGAGTGTGGGAAGGGTCGCAGGTCCTTCCGTCTTTTCGAGCGCACCCAGCTCTACGCGTCCTCTAGAGCGCAGAGGGCAGCTCCTCTAATGCCATCTCCCGAGCGCGCCGAGGACGGTGACGACCATACTCCACGCATTCATTCGAGCGCGCCGAGGATCGAGGATCGCGGTGACGCACCGATGGTAGCAGGGGTGCGCGAAGAGAGCAGCGACCGTCGAGTGTCGTGAACGCGACTCGCGGGAGAGTAGGCGGGACCATCGAGTCGAAGGCGCACCCACGCCGAGAAAGGGCCAAGCGTCCACCGCGTCAAGGACAGGTCACGCGTCCACTTCGAGGGAAGGGCGGTCACGCGCTCACGTCGAGAAGGGGCGGTCGAGCACCCCGCTTCGAGGGCTGGGGCGCACGGTCGGCGAAGAATGGGAACAGAGCACCCTCCGCGGGCACGAGCAGCGGCGCGCCCTTCGAGAGTACAAGAAGCGGCGCTCCCTTCGAGAGTACGAGCAGCGGCGCACCCTGCGTGGGTACGAGCAGCGGTGCACCTTGCGTGGGTACGGAAAGCGGCGCACCCTCCTCGCGCGTCGTACAGTGACCCGCCTCCAAGAGTACGAGAAACGGCGCATCCTCCGAGAGTACACGAAACGACCCTCCCTCCTCTCGCACTGTACCGCGACCCGCCCTCCGCGGGTACGAGAAACAGCACACCCTCCGCGAGCACGAAAAGCGACCCTCCCTCCGAGGGCACGATAAGCGACCCTCCCACCGAGAGCACGAGCAGCGGCACGTCCTCGCGCGAGCAGCGGCGCGCCCTTGAGAGCACGAGCAGCGGCGCACCCTCCGAGAGTACGACAAGCGGCGCGCGCTCTGAGAGTACGGGAAGCAGCGGCGCACCCTCCGAGAATACGATAAGCGGCACGCCCTTCGAGGGCGCGAGAAGCGGCGCACCCTCCGCGAGCACGAGCGGCGGCACGCTTTCCGCGGGCACGAGAAGCGACTCCGCCCTTGGGAGTACGAGCAGCAGCGCACCCTTGAGAGTACACGAAGCGGCGCTCCCCAAGAGCGGTGGAGCGCCCGGGGTCGAGGGTGTACCCTACCTCCACAGTATGAGACGAGCGGCGTACCCCACCCATACAGTGGGGGATCGAGGGGCGTACCTCACCCATACAGTGGGGGATCGAGAGCGCACCCATGCCCCAAAGTATGGGTCGAGAGCGCACCCTACCTCCATAGAGGGGGTCACGGGGCGGGAGGAGGGAGCGAATGAGGGAGGCGGGGAGGTGGAGCAACTTGGGGAGATGGAGAAGTCGGGGAGGTGGAGCAACGTGGTTACATAGATGGTAGGAGAAGGCGGGTAGGAGGGCGGCGGGTAGTAGAGCAATGCAGGGAGGCGGCAAGTAAAGAAAAAGAAGGCGAGAGAGTAGAGCGAACGAAGGCGGGAGCCTGGGCGCGACCTCGCCTCGAGTCGAGAGTCGAAGATGCGGAGAGCGAGATACGAGGGTCGGAGTTGGGTGAGGAGAGTCGCAGTCGAAGGTGAGGAGGGCGGAAGTTGAATTTGTGTGAGGAGGATCGAAGGCGAAGGTGAGGAGAGTCGAAGTCAAGTGAGGTGAGCGAGCTTCAAGAGTCTCACGCGCTCCGCCCGCTCGAGGGGCCGTAGGGGCGACCGAGTCATAGGGGAGAGTAGCAAGCGAATGGGAAGGGAGAGGAGCAAACGATTAGGAGGGGAGAGAAGCAAGCGAATCGGGGGAGAGATAGGCAAAGAGACACAACCTGACTGCCTGCTAGCCCCCGCTTTCCCGGGGCGAGACGCGCGAGGAGGGCGCGGCGGCGGGGAGCGGGGGCATGACAGAGCTCCAGGAGTGGGGGCATGAAGGAGCTCGGCGCGCGCGCTTGTGAGGGTGGCGGGACGTCGCTCCGCGCGGTTGGTGAGGAGGGAGACGAGCCATCGGCATCAGAGAAGGGAGCAATGTTGCCAAAGCTAAACGCGTCGTCGGCCATCGGGGTGGGGGAGACAGGTGCGGTCGGTGCGGGGTCATTGCTGGCGAGCCAAGCGGCAACGGGGGCGGTGGGCGAGGGAGCCTGCGCGCTTTTCGGTCGAGGGCCTGCGTGCTCTTCGTCGTCGTCAGCATGGCGGAGTGCTCGTCCGGCCGTATCACAAGTCGATCGCGAACAAGTCGGCGACGCGACCACGCCACATCGGACCCCGGGCCGTCATCCCGCTCTTCCCTCCCCCCGCCATGGCGCACATCGAGGTCGTCGACGACGACATCGAAGCCGAAGACTACGGCGCGGTCCTCGACGAGGAGCCACCCCGCAACGAAGAGGCGCCGCCCCACAACTCACAACGCAGCCACTACTCTCGCCGTGCGCCCCCGCCCTCCCGCTGGAAGCGCGCCGGCCTCTGGTCCCTCTTCTGCCTCGTCTTCTGGCTCGCGTACACGATGCGGAAACACCTCGACCAGCCGCTCAACGCCGCGCACGCGAGGAGGTGCGTTGGTGTGTTCTACCTCTCGACCGCGGTCGCCGTGCTCTACTCCCCGTCGCTGTGCTCTACCCCCCAACCGCGGTCGCTGTGCTCTGCCCCCCAACCACGACTGACACGTATCCTCCTCATCGTAGCTCGTGCTTCCTCGTCGTCGTAGCTCGTGCTTCCTCCTCGTCGTAGCTCATGCTTCCTCCTCGTCGTCGTAGCTCATGCTTCCTCCTCGTCGTAACGCTTGCGCTGCTCGTGCTCCCTCCAGCCCACCATGCTCGTTTACGTCCAGCTCATGATGTACGATCTACGACCCGCACCATCCGACTATCAACTGCCCATCATGCTCGTTTGCTTTCAGTCCATCATGTACTAATTAGGACCCACCACACCCGACGCGCCGCGTACCACCGCGCACGTCAATTCCTCTATCCTGCGCGCACGTTAATTCTCATATACTACTCTCACGTCAATTCTCATTGCTTAGTTCTCCGATACACGCGCATGCATAGTTCTCCAACATACGCGCGCATCGTTCTTCAATACACGCGCATAGTTCTTCAATACACGCGCATAGTTCTTCAATACACGGGCATAGTTCTTCAATACACCGGCATAGTTCTCCGATATACGCGCATGGCTCCGCAATACTCGGGCATAGCTCTTCAATACACGCGCATAGTTCTTCAATACCCGGGCATATTTCTTCGATACTTGAGCGTGGTTCTCCGCAATACACGGGCATCTTATTCAACACACGCGCATATTTCTTCATTCGTGTGCATATTTCTCCATTTGTGTGCATCGTCCGCCCTTCCATGACCCTCACCCGCCCTTCCATGACCCTCACCCGCCCCTCCAAGTCCCTCACCCTCCCCTCCCTTCATCCCTCGTTCCCTCCCCCTCGTCCCCGTCACCTCCCTCGCCCGCCCCAGTACTCGTGCCTCACCCCCCCCCCCCCATTTCGCAGTCGCATAGGCGACATCCTCATCCCACTCGTCGGACCGACGACCTCTCACTCTCGCGTCCTCTTCCCACCTTCCTCCCCCCCAACCCGTCACTTCTCCCTTCTCCCTTGACACTCGTCTCCTCTCCCTTGACCCTCGCTACCTCCCACTCTCATCTCGCGACCTTCTCGTCTCCGCACCCGCTCGTAGCCGTTTCCACCCGTCACATTCCTCGCCCGTCTCCGCTCCCTACTCCCCCCACCCTCCCCGTACCCGCGCGCCCTTCAGTCGTCATCTTCGCTTCCTCGCGCACCCTCTGCCTCCCTCTCGCCCTCCGCCTCCCTCCCACACTCATCTCGCGACCTCCTCGTCTCCGCACCCGCTCGTAGCCGTTTCCACTCGTCACCTCCCTCGTCGTCTTCGCCACTCGCAGTCGTCTTCGCCCTCGCACTCTTTCGTCAATGTCATCTGCGCGCCCCTGCGCGCCCTCCTCCTCCCCCCTCCCTACTCTCTACCCTCCTCCCACTCTCCCTACTTTCCCCACTTCCCTCCTACTCGCACCCCCCAACCCTCGCCCTCGCACCCCTCCGCTTCCTCCCCCCTCGCGTCGTCTCCGCCACCTCCCACTCGCCCCACCTCCCTACTCTCCCCACCTCCCCTCCCTTCGCCCCACCTCCCTACCCGTCTCTATCCCACCTCTCCTTCACCCCTCCCCCTCGTCTCCGCGACCTCCCACTCTCCCCACCCCCTCGCCCCCCCTCCCTCCTTACCCTTCGCCTCGCCCGTCCTCGCCCGCCACCTCCCTCTTCTCTTCCCCACCATGACGCGCACCGAGTCGCGCGCCACGACTTGCGCCTCCCAGTCCCGCGCCACGACTTCCTCCTCCCAGTCGAGCGCCGCGACTTGCTCCTCTCAGTCGAGCGCCGCGCCCTCGCACCCCTTCCTCGCCCTCGCACCCCTTCCTCGCCCTCGCACCCCTTCCTCATCGTCGCACCCTCGCAGTCGCCGCCCGCCCCCTCTCGTCGCCTCCACGCGCACTCGTTGCCCCCGCTCCCTCCTCCCCTCGCACCCTCCGCCTCCGCACCCTCGCGCTCGCCTCCGCCCCACCCCCCTCGCGTCGTCCGCTCCACTCTCCCCACCCCCCTCCCTCCTCCCTCTCCGTCTCGCGACCTCCTCGTCTCCGCACCCGCTCGCAGCTGTTTCCACCCGTCACATCCCTCGCCCGTCTCCGCTCCCTACTCCCCCCACCGTCCCCGTACCCGCAGCACTCCCTACTCTCCCTCCTCCCCTGCCCACCCCCCTCCCTCTCGTCATCTCTGCGCTGCGCCCTCCCTACTGACATCTCCACTCCCAGCCTTCGCGGACGCTCCTCTCGCCCATTCTCCCCACCCTCCCTCTCGTTGTCGCCCTCGTCACATCGGCACCTCCCTCTACGTCCTCCTTCTCGCAGCGCGCCATTGGCTCCGCTGCTTCCCATTTGCAGTCGTACCCTCCCTCCATTTGCAGTCGTACCCTCCCTCCAATCGCAGTCGCACCGGCGCCCTCTTACTCGTCGTGCCCATCGCTCCTCCCCCTCGCCGGCTCAGCAACCTCCCCCGCACCCGCAGCACTCCCTACCCTCGTAGTCATCCCTACTCCCCCCACCCCTCGCGCGCCCCCCGCTCCCGTCACGCCCTCCGTGTACGCCTTCCCTCCCTTCCCCTCCCTTCCTACTCCCCACCCCCTTCCCGCCACCTCCACACCCTCCAACTCTCATCTCGCGACCTTCTCGTCCCCATCCTCCCTACTCTCCCCCTCACTCCCTCCCCTCCTCCCTCCCACTCATCTCGCACTCTCCCTACCCGCCACCTCCCTCTTCTCTTCCCCGCCATGACGCGCAGGGACATCCCTCCCAGCCTCGTCCACTCGTCGTCTCAGCGCCGCGCCCTCCCTACTCTCCCTACCCGTCACCTCCCCTCTCCGCGCCCTACCCTCCCCACCCTCGCACCCCTCCCTCTTCTCTTCCCCGCCTCGTCCAGCGCACCTGCAACTCCCTCCTCCCCACCATTCGCACCCTCGCTCTCGCCTCCGCACCCTCCCCCCTCGTCGGCGCAGACCACACACTAGTGGCCATCTACGGGCTCTCCGCTCCCCTCCCTCGCACCCTCCCCCTCCCTCGCAGTCGTCTTCGCCCGCCCACCCTACTCGTCTCAGCCCCCCACCCATCTCAGCCTAGCAAGACCTCGCACACTCGCCCCCAGAACGTCGCGGGAAGGAGCCGATTCTCACCTCCCTCGCAAGCGTAGCTGATACCAAAATGCAATCGTGAGGGCGAACAGAGTGGGAGGAAGGTGGGAAGAGGGGGAGGAGGGTGGAAGAGGGGGGTGAAAGGAGAAGGTGGAAGAGGGGGGTGGGAGGAGGAGGGAGAGGGGAGTGCCAGTGGGGCGGGGGTGACTCGAGGAGATCGCACGCAGAGGCAAGAATGGGTTTCCGGGCAGAGTCGAAGCGAGGTAAGAAGGGCCAGAGCGCGAGAGCGTGCATATGAGAGCGCGGGGTCGTGCATATGACAGCGCGAGAGCGTGCATATGAGAGCGCAGGAGCGTGCATATGACAGCGCAAGGTTGTGCATATGACAGCGCGAGAGCGTGCATATGAGAACAACACACGCGAGAGGGAGAGCACGGCGCGACGCTCTCCTTCTCTCTCATCGGCAGCTCCGCGAGCTGCCTTCGTCGGCAGCGTCCGCGAGCTGCCTTCGTCGGCAACTGTCCGCGAGCTGCCTTCGTCGGCAACTGTCCGCGAGCTGCCTTCGTCGGCAGCTGTCCGCGAGCTGCCCTCGTCGGCAGCCGTCCACAACCCTCCCCCCTCCCCACCTTCCCTCCTCCCCACCCTCCCCTCGCGTCGTCCGCTTCCCCACCCTCCCCCTACCCGCCACTCTTCCTACTCTCCCCCCATACTCCCTACTCTCCCCCCCATCCTCCCTACTCTCCCCCCCATCCTCCCCACCCCCCACCCCTCTTCCCCACCTCCCTACTCTCCCTCTCGCCCTCCGCCTCCCTCTCGCCCTCCCTCCGACCACCTTCCCTCCCTCGCCCGTTACCTCCCTCGCCCGCCCCCTCTCGTCGCCTCCACGCTGCGCCCTCCCTACTCCTGTCTCCACTCCCTAAGTAGCCGTCACCGCTTCCGCCCTCGTCGCAGACTCGCCCCCACAACATCGCAGCACAGCCTCCCCACCCCACCCCACCCACCCCACCCACCCTTCCCTCTTCTCTTCCCCACCATGACGCGCACCGAGTTCGAGCGACGCGACATCCTCCTCCCAGTCGAGCGCCGCGTCAGCGACCTCCCGCTCTCGCATCAGCGAAGACCTCCCACGAGTAGTCGCACCGAGAACCTCCCTTGTCTCTACTCTCTCCACTTCCCCACCATGACGCGACCACTCATCCCCGCGCCCTCCCTACTCTCCCCATCCTCCCCACTCGTTACCTCCCCACTCCCCTCTCGTCGCACCGGCGCCCTCTTACTCGTCGTGGCCATCGCTCCTCCCACTCTCATCTCGCGACCTTCTCGTCACCTCAGCGACCTCCCCCTCGCACCCGCCACCTCGCCTCAGTGCCCTCCCCCTCCCTTCTCTCACTTCTTGTCTCTACTTCCTCCCCACTCTCCCTCCCTCTCCCTCCCCCTCCCTCGCGTCGTCCGCTCCTCCCCCCCTCGCGTTGTCCGCCTCCCCCCCCCGCGTCGTCCGCCTCCCCCTTCTCTTCCCCCCCATCAGCACTCCTCCCAGTCGAGCGACGCGTCATCCTCCTCCCAGTCGAGCGTCGTGCCTCCTCCCTCGCCGTCTTCGCCACACGCACCCGCCTCCTCCTCTTCCCTCGCAACCATCAGCGCACCGAGTCGAGCGCCCCACCTTCTGCCAGTGCGCTCGAGGTCGCCGAGGCGCTCGGTACCACCGGGGCGGTAGAGAGGTGGGGAGCGACGACGAGGCGCTCGAGGTCACCTTCCGCCCTGCCATCTGCGCTCGAGAGGAGAGGTGGGGGGTGGGAGCGAGGACGGAGCGAAAGGGGGAGCGACAACGAGGCGAAGTGGGGAGGGAGGTGGGGAGGGACGATGAGGCGAGAGGGGGAGGGATGACGGAGCGAGAGGGGGAGGGACGACGGAGCGAGAGGCGAGAGGGGGGAGGGGCGATGAGGGGAGAGGGGGAGTAACGAGGCGAAAGGAGGGAGGGAGGCGAAAGGAGGGAGGGAGGCGAGAAGTGAAGGTGGGGCGAGATGTCGAGCAGGGGAGAAAAGGCGGGAAGTGCGGGAAGTGCGAGGTGGGGAGGTGGGAGAAGGGGAAGGGAAGGTGGGGAGGCCAGGCGACAGGACGGGGTCGACCTGACGAGCGAGATGCACTGGACGAGCGCGGTCGACCTGACGAGCGCGGCCGGCAGAGACGAAGGGACATCGTGCAGGCGAGAGCGTGCATACAAGAGCGCGAGATCCCAAGGCGAGAGCGGGAGATGCTGCAAGCAATCGCACGTCACGCGCTGGAGAGCACGACACGTGCTGGAGAGCACGTCACGCGCTGGAGAGCACGGTGCGCCTCGAAGAGCACGGCGGGCCTCGAAGAGCACGACACGCCCTGGAGAGTGAACTCAGAAGAACTATAGAGCGCGGCGCACAAAGACGGATGTGCGACAGCAAGGAGACGGACGGGGGATAGCAAGGAGACGGACGCGATAGCAAGGAGACGGACGGGCGATAAGCAGGAGACGGACGCGCGACAGCAAGGAGATGGACGGGATAGCACGGAGACGGACGCGCGATAAGCAGGAGAAGAGAGCACGACGGTGCGTTCTCTGGCGGGGTGTATGCACTCAGTCTGGATGAGATCGACGCGCTCGGTGTGGCGGGGTGTATGCACTCGGTGTGGATGAGGTCAATGGACTCTGCATGGAAGAGGTCGACGCACTCAGCATGGATGAGGCACTCGGTGTGGATGAGGTCAATGCACTCAGCACGGATGAGGTCGACGGACGCGCGTCTGCATTTCTGGGGTTCGCGGACCACCTCGTGTCCGAGCACAGCCTGCACTCGGGCTACAAGTTGCCAACGTCGGAGGCCGCAAGTCGACAACGTCAGAGGAGGACGCGCATCCGGACGTTCACCGTGACAGACCGTCTGAGGGAACCGTCACCGCACTCTGAGGGAGACGGATCGCACCGCACCTCGGGCCGACGAACCGCTTCGATCGAGTCGGACCGACCCTCCGCTTTGACCACGGCGGACCGACCCTCCGCTTCGACCAACCTCCGCTTCGCATGCTCGCTGGCTCTCGTGGCCGACCGTCCTAGCTGCCGCGCGGCCCGACCTCCCAAGCGCGACGCTCGCCATGCGCGCGGGCTGTCTCTTGCGATAGACGCTTCCTAACCCTCCTCCACTTGGTGCTCCCTTCCTCTGCCGTACGCGCATACTATCGTCCCTTGTATACGCAGCCCATCCTCTTCCATACACGCCTCCCATCCTCTTCCTTAGACACCCTATCCTCCTCCGTACACGCAATCCATCTTCTTCCATAGACACCCTATCCTCCTCCGTACACGCATCCCATCCTCTTTGGCACACGCAATCCATTCTCTTCCATAGACATTCCAATGATCCCATAGACCCGACTCTCCACAGACCGGACTCTCCACAGACCCGACCTACTCCTCTCCGTGCCTCTTCGCCCCGCTAGACGAGCACCATCATCCTTCGCACCCTCCCTCCCCCCCCACCAGTACTTCTCCCTCCCTTCCATCACCTCGTGCCCTAACTCACGCAAACGCGCGCCTTCACCCATCTCGTCGCGCTCCTTTACCCCTTACGCAAACACGCTCCTTTACCCCTCTCGTGACGCGTTCCCTTTCCTCCCTTTCCTCCCTTTCCTCCCTTCCCTCCCTTCCCTCCCTTCCCTCCCTTCCCTCCCTTCCCTCCCTTCCCTCCCTTCCCTCCCTTCCCTCCCTTCCCTCCCTTCCCTCCCTTCCCTCCCTTCACCCTCCTTCACCCCTCTCCCTCCCTCCCTTCCCTCTCGCCTTCGCCTCGCGGACCTCCTCCTCGCCACCCTTCCACCCACCCTCGATCACGACGCGCCCCGTCCACCCACCCCTCGTCCGCCCACCCATCGCCGAGAGGGCGGTCGCGCTGCATGCACGAGACGGACCTGGTCGCGCTGCATGCTAGCGCGACACGGACCTGGTCGCCCTGCCTGCTCGAGACGGACGGTCTCACTGCCCGCTCGACACGGAGGTCGTCTTGCCTGCGCGAGACGGCGGTCGCGCTGTACGCTCGACACGCTCCTCGTCTTGCCCGCTCGACACGGCGCTCGTCTTGCCCGCTCGCCCCGCTCCTCACCTTGCCTGCTCGCCCCGCTCCTCACCTTGCCTGCTCGACACGGCGGTCGCGCCGTACGCTCGACACGGCGGTCGCCCTGCAGCTCGCGAGGACGGTCGCGCTGCCTGCTATGCGCGACACGCTCATCGTCTTCCCCGCTCGAGAGGGCGGTCGCGCCGCACGCTCGACACGGCGGTCGCGCTGTAAGTTATGCTCGCCCCGCTCCTCACCTTGCCTGCTCGAGACTGACCTGGTCGCGCTGTATGCTCGACACGGAGGTCGCCCTGCACGCTCGACCCGCTCCTCGTCTTGCCTGCCCAAAACGCAGGTCGTCTTGCACGCTCGACACGGCGGTCGCGCTGCCCGCTCGACACGGAGGTCGTCTTGCCTGCTCGAGACGGACCTGGTCGCCCCGCCCGCTCGACACGGAGGTCGCCCTGCCTGCTCGACACGGTGGTCGCGCCGTACGCTCGACACGGCGGTCGCGCTGCCTGCTCGACACGGCGGTCGACTTGCCTGCTCGAGACGGCGGTGGCACTGCCCGCTCTCCCCGCTCCTCATCTTGCCCGCTCGAGACGGACGTCGCGCCGCACGCTCGACACGGCGGTCGCCCCACATGCGCTCGACACGGACCTGGTCGCGCCGTATGCGCGAGACGGCGGTCGCGCCGTACGCTCGACACGGACCTCGTCTTGCCTGCTCAACAGGTCGGTCGCGCCGTATGCTCGACACGGAGGTCGCCCTGCATATGCTCGACACGGACGTCGTCTTGCCCGCTCTGCTCGAGAGGCCGGTCGCGCCGTACGCTCGAGCCGGCTGTCGCCCTGCCCGCTCGAGACGGCGGTTGCGCTGTACGCTCGACACGGAGGTCGCGCTGTCGCTCCTTTGACTCGGAGTGTGTGGAGAAGAGAGGGGAGAGCAGAGTGATAACGAGGAGGGGGGAGGAGCGAAGGTGGGGAGGAGCGCTGGGGCGGAGATGAGGAGGGGGACGGGCGTGGTCGGGAGGAGGGGTGGGAGGGCGCGGAGAAGAGGGGGTGAGGGAGAGCAGAGAGGTTACGAGGAGAGGGGGGGAGGGGGGGGGGAGGGGGTGGACGGGGACGACGGGTAGGGAGCTCGCGCAGACGAGGGTAGGGAGCTCGCGCAGACGAGGGTAGGGAACTCGCGCAGACGACGAGTAGGGAGCATGCGCAGACGACGAGTAGGAAGGGGGAAGGGGCGGGGGCGAACGAGGGTGGGAGGAGACTGTCGCGTTGTGCTCTCCCTCGCGTGTTGTGCTCTCCCTCGCGCGTTGTACTTTCCCTCGCGTGCTGTGCCCTCCCTCGCGTGTGTCGCTCTCCCTCGCGTGTGTCGTTCTCATATTGACGACCCTCGCCTCTCATATGCCCGACCCCGCACTCCAGTATGCACGCTCTCCCGCTCTGACCTTCCTCACGTCGCTTCGACTCTGACCTTCCTCACGTCGCTTCGACTCTGGCCTTTCTCATGCCGCTTCGACTCTCATATGTACGACCTCCGCCGCTGATATGCACGCTCTCGCGCTCTTACGCGCGGTCTCACCCCCGCTCGTCCGGTCTCACCCCCGCTCGTCCGGTCGACCCCTCACTCGTCCAGTCGACCCCTCCCTCGTCAAGTCGCCCCCTACACTCCTTCAGTCGACCCCTGCACTCCTTCAGTCGACCCCTCACTCGTCAAGTCGCCCGCGCTCGTCCGGTCGCCTCTCACTCGTCAAGTTGCCCGCGCTCATTCAGTCAATTCCCGACTACGGAAGCCGCCTCCCCTTCCCCACCTGCCCACCCCACCTCCCTCTCCTTCTTTGACCCCAACCCTCTCATCCCCACCTCCCTCCCCACCACTATCCCTCTTTGACCTCCCTCTCATCCTCCTCCCCCCACTTCCCTCTCCCTCACGGTCACGCCGCACGCTCGACACGGCGGTGGCGCTGCAGCTCGACACGGACCTGGTCGCACCGTACGCTCGAAACGGCGGTCGCGCTGCCTGCTCGACACGGCGATCGCACTGCACGCTTGACACGGACCTGGTCGCACTGCACGCTCGACACGCTCCTCGTCTTGCCCGCTCGACACGGACGGTCACGCTGTATGCTCGACACGGCGGTCGCGCCGCATGCGCGAGAGGCCGGTCGCGCCGTACGCTCGACACGGCGGTCGTCTTGCCCGCTCGACACGGCGGTCGTTTTGCCCGCTCGCCCCGCTCCTCACCTTGCCTGCGCGACACGGACCTGGTCGCCCTGCCCGCTCGACACCGCGGTCGTCTTGCCCGCTCGACACGGCGGTCGTCTTGCCTGCTCGACACGGCGGTCGCGCCGTACGCTCGACACGGCGGTCGCGCCGTACGCTCGACACGGCGGTCGCGCTGTATGACAGCTCGAGAGGCCGGTCGCGCTGTATGCTCGACACGGCGGTCGCTCCGCATGCTATGCTCGACACGGCGGTCGCGCTGCCCGCTCGAGACGGCGGTCGCACTGCATGCTCGACACGGCGGTCGCGCTGCATGCTCGAGACGAAGGTCGCCCTGCCTGCTCGAGACGGACCTGGTCGCCCTGCCCGCTCGACACGGCGGTCGCGCTGCATGCTCGACACGGCGGTCGCGCCGTACGCTCGAGACGGCGGTCGTCTTGCCCGCTCGACACGGACCTGGTCGCACCGTACGCTCGACACGGCGGCAGGTCGCGCTGTATGATAGCGCGACACGGACCTGGTCGCACTGCCCGCTCGACAGCTGCATGATAGCGCGAGCCGGAGGTCGCGCTGTCCCTCCTTTGACTCAGAGTGTGTGGAGATGAGAAGAGGGGGGGGAGGGCGCGGAGCAGAGGGGGGGGGGGGAGGGAGGGGGGGATGAGCTGAGGAGGAGGGGGGGGAGCTCGCGCAGACGAGGGTAGGGAGCATGCGCAGACGAGGGTAGGGAACTCGCGGAGTCGACGAGTAGGAAGGGGGAAGGGGACGAGTAGGAAGGAGGGGGAAGGGGACGAGGGAGGGAGGAGACCGTCGCGTTGTGCCCTCCCCTTCGCGTGCTGTGCCCTCCCTCGCGCGTTGTGCCCTCTCTCGCGTGTGTCGTTCTCATATTGACGACCCCCGCCTCTCATATGCACGCTCTCGACTGGTCGCCGTTGCTCATCCAGTCCACCCCCGCTCATCCAGTCCACCCCGCTTGTCAAGTCGACTCCAGTTGCCCGCGCTCTTTCAGTCAATTCTCAGCTACGGAAGCCGCCTCCCCTTCCCCACCTGCCCACCCCACCTCCCTCTCCCTCTTTGACCTCCACGCCACCTCCATTCCCTTACTGCCCACTTCCCACCCCACCACTCTCCCTCTACCTCCCTCTTTCCTCCCCACCACTATCCCTTCACTCTCTACCTCCCCCCCACCTCCCCACCTGTGACTGCGAGCGGGAGGGCGCGTCTACTCGCTCCACTACCTCTCGTAGTCGTCTCCGCGCGGCGTCCCCACTCATCGTCCCCGCTTCCCCCATCGTCCCCGCTTCCCCCATCGCAGCGACGATCTCCCACTCGATCCTCCTCCTCGTTCGCCTCCGCGACCTACCTTCGTCATCAGTACGCCCACTCGACCTACCTTCGTCATCAGTACGCCCACTCGACCTACCTTCGTCATCAGTACGCCCACTCGACCTACCTTCGTCATCAGTACGCCCACTCGGCCGCCAGTCACTCCCTCCCACGAGCAGCCGCCCGTCTCCGCTCCTCTCGGCAGCGCGAGGTGGGGAGAGGAGGAGAGGGGTGGTGGGGCGAGGTGACGCGAGGGAGAGCAGCGACGACCGAGGGGGAGAAGGGGAGTATATTTAGGAGGTCCAGAAGTAGCGGAATACGATGAGTCTGAGCTCCGGAACATTGAGCGTCGAGCTTTGGGTTGTCGAGCACCGAGCTTTGGGTTGTCGAGCACCGAGCTTTGGCTTGTTGAGCACCGGACAGAGGAAATCTGAGTGATGGTTCTGAGCACGCCTCTTCCGAGAACCGAACTACCATCCGCACGGCGCAAACGCTACTCCCCGACGCGATTATGTGGCGTTCGCGTGGCGCAGCAACTTTGTTTTTTCTCGGTGGAGGCAGCAACATCTCCCGTGCTTGAATTCTGCTGATGCGGGGGTGGGTCGCTTGGAATGCTATCCAGTGAGCACGTACTATGCGGCCGAAGTACGGCATAGACTATGCCCTCCTTCGGCAGACTCGCAGCTACAGAATCCCCACGAAAGAGCCTCAATACGTATACAGAGCAACGTCGTTCATCTTTCTTCCCTTCTTGCCTCCGAAGTAGCAAGCGCTGCGACCATCGACCCGCGCCGCCTGCTGCGACCATCGACTCGCGCCGCCCGCTGAATGCGCATCATGATATCCGCAGCCCCATCATCAACCCAACGCCCTCAGTCCAGGTCGGTCCAATCGGTCGGCGGATCTGGAAAGCGTAGCTTCCGAGTTAAGCATGTTTCCCTCGAGGAGGCATGACGCGCACCGTAAAACGTCGCCGTGATTGGAAGGAATACGTCCTTCCGATAGCGCCAAGGAGCGCCTCTAGGTATCAGGCTCACGAAGCGGTCGTGCATGCCATCCGATTGTTCGTAAATCACCTGGGCGACGACAGAAGGGTACGGACAGAGGTCGGATGCGCATGAGGTGGTATACGCCACAATCTCGAAGTCCTTGGGGCGCATGGGGTTGCAGAATAAAGGAACGTCGACGGTGACCGATGTCGTATCGCCCGCGCCCAAGCGGGCTAGTCTTGTCATGATCCTTTGATAGTTAGCCTCGACGTACGCGCGCGCAATCACGACGAGGAAGTGGACGTCCTTCGCCCTCAAAATGTGTGAAGTGCTGTCTTTGGCCACCGTGAGCAGAGGTCGCAGCTGTGCTTTGAGGTACGTACTGCGCGAGCCCTCCAGATTGCGCTCGCAGTCAGAGCGGTGTAGTTCGCTCTTCCAGTGCGCCCGCTGGCATAGCTTTGAGCAGTAGAGGTTCTCGCCGCAAGGGCAAGAGCGCAGAGAGACGACATCGGTACTCACGCACTAGGTTCCAAGACGTTGAGCAACAACAAGAGACGAGCGTCGACCATTGCTGACCTTGGTGTTGCAGCACTTCGCGATGCTCGGCCATTCCTCCTCCGCATCAAGGAGCAGTTTGTAGCGGCTCTCAGCCGTCGTGCGGACTAGTTCTTCGTCCTCCCGCAGGGTGATGCCGAGCATGCGCGTCGCATACTTATCGTACGCATCGCGGAAGTCCACAACGGCTCGACGCGACCAGAGTGATCCGCGCATGAAAGTCATCAGCGCGCCGGTTATTCCGCCAGAGCACGTTTGATCGAGAGGCCGAGGAGGGGGCCCGGAGCAACAGTGTGTACAGAGAACGCGGATGCGGACGAGGAGATGGAATATCCCCTGTCTCATGGCGAGCATCATGGCATGGTCTGAGCGATAACACAGCACAAAAAGCATTCCAAGGACCAGGGCCCAGACGTCGTGATCCTCGGGCGCGACAGCGATTTGGTGGCCGAGTACCCTGACCGCGGTGGCGACGAACGAGCTCGGAACTGCTTGTGGACCCGCATCATAGTGATTGAGGATGGTGCCTATGAAGGTGGCTTGGTGCCCAAGCTCGGCGCCGCGGTGGGCGACATCGCCCGCCGACGATAGTGCGCGCAGGATGGCGGCGCAGGTGCGGAACACGCCCCTCGCGCTCCCACCCGAGACGCGTAGGATCTGCGGGACAATGACGTCCTCCGCGACCTGGCTGTCAAAGATGTCCCACAGGGCGCGGAAGACACGCGGGCACCACAGCGCCGCCTCGGGCTCCATCTTCTGGGACGAGACAAGCTCGGGCCAGTGTGCCCACAGCGCGACGAGGGTATTCAGGGCGCTGTTAGCGCCACTGAGGAAGTATGTTTGCGCTGCCTCTTTTGGTAGGGTCAGGACACTCTCGAAGACTCCGAGGAATGCAAGAACGCGATGTCTGGCATCCGCGCTGGGCAAAAGCAAGACGGCGCGAGGAACGTCATCAGCCGGGATAATGTAGTCGACCCAATGAAGGAGATGTGTCCAGACTGTATCGTCGAATGGCCACAGTTCATGGCTGAGCTTGTCAACCGTCGAGAAGCGGAGAAACTTGACCGCCATAAGCGCCATGAGAATCGCGCGCCCCGACGTACTCCTGCAGAAGAGCTCAGAAGGTAGCTCCGGCGGGGACGACAGGACGACATGGAGGGTCCGAGAGCGCAGAAGCCGCCTGACGGACTTGATGCGCGCAGAGTTTTGGGGAGTCGATCTTGAGAACTCGTCGAGAGTCTGTTGTTCGATGACAGAAAGGGCATCGTGAAGACTCTGTATGTCGTGCTGGGAGGATATCGAAAAGCCCGGGTGTGAGAAGTCTGATATTGTTGCCGACGGCGAAGGGATGATGAGGGCGAGCAACAGGGAATGGTCCGACACAGGTCGCGGCAGTCAAGCAACGCCAGAACCGGCTCGGAAGAAGCCACGATGATGACGTGTCATCGTGTCCAGCGGCGGCGTTTGAGGTGGGACCTTGGGATGAGGATTCAACTGGCAATACTTACAGCGGGGGATCTAGCTTGAGGTCTATTGCTTGCCTATAATATTTATCAGCCTCGCCAGACCACAACCAGTGAGCAGATTGCGTCGGTGACAAAGAACATACGGAATCGGAAGAATTCCAAGTTTGGGTTAAGGGCATGTGGCGTGAGAATCTCTTCTCTCGACTTGGCGTTTTGTGGCGCTAAGCGCTCAGACGTTCCTCGAACTTGCACATCGCCGCCTCTGCTTTCGACCGTTCATGGCTCTACTTCATTCACGATGCCCTCGCCAGCATTAACAATTTAGAATTATTGTCATGGTCTACTTGCTGAATTACACCGTCGTCAATCTATCAGACGAGCTCGCAGACCGTGAACGCGACGCGATTGTCGCTCCTCGACCTTGAATACTAGACTACCTCGCGCGGCATGGACAACCTGACGACCTTCAAGAACCCTTCTTACCTACGATATGATAGTGGAAGGGACCACTCAGGCCAACAGACCACCGTGGCAGACGCTCTATCGTCTCGCCAAGATCAACAGTGACAAGCCCGACTCGTCCTGCTTCATGCGTTTGGCATGTCCGAACCGGGGATGAGCTCACGTCGGATATGCGGGCTATCGAAGGACGTATACGCGTGCTCTCCAATCGCTGGGCGTAAGAGTCAGAGGTGCGCGATTAATCGTGTCGCGTCGGATACTTGCTGACAGCTTACCGTTAGATGTAGACTGGCGGTCGATATCCTCAAGGACCCGCATTCACGACGGGCCCTCTTCAGATTGCTTAGCGACACGGCTATCCAACGACTTTTACCCCTCCCCCTCTCGCCCGCGCCGTGTACGGCGGTTCGAGTGACGCGTGCCTCGCTTCGCTCCCTCGTATCCCCTCCTATGCGTGACCGACGGTCACTATCAACCTCATTCATGCTACCGGCGTCATCCTACTGCTCATTCCCATGATCAATATACACATTTGCGTTCATCTTCACGTTCATTCGCCAGTATTCTCTTTTGAACATCACCTGCGTTGTCCGACGCGGTACAGACGACCTCAAGTCTCAGGAACAGCCCGAAAATGAATGCGCTGGCCCTCCGCGTCTCGAATATTCACTTCATGAATGCGTACTTCCGGAGGCCTCTCAGCTGACCGCTCGCCGGCTTCTGCGTGATAGCTATCATAGTATCAAGTCCGCACCTTCACCGTCATATTCAGTGTCATTAACCGTCTTCGCCAGCGCAATCGCCCCGCAGGCGGAGGAGCTACAACCTGTATGGCATCCATCGCTCTGGATGGTGTCGACGTATGCGCACCAGGACTCCATCTCAGTAAGCAACACTTAGAAAGAAGCTACTTTGAAGTCCTCTGGCGTCGTTTGTAAGCCGAAGGTCGATCTCAGTAATCTTCGCAAGTATCGACCCCACGAAGCTTGGTAGACAAAATCACTCGGAAATGACGCGACAGTCTCTCATCTGGACCTGGAGGTTTGCGACGCCGAAGCGACCCTCGAGTTTGCTGTGCGTTGACCTGTGCGTCGTTCATCTTCAAAGCCATCTCATCGGTACGGCCGCCGTTCCTTCTCAAGTCTCCAGTCTCCTATCGCCTACAGCCTTCGCCCTCTTGTCTCCGGGAATCAGCCTTTGCCTGCACGAGCAAGTAAATTCGTCTCCACGAGTAGGTACCTTCGCTCACACGAGTAAGGACCCTCGCCTTCATGGGACGTCCCATGTCGGAGCCCCGGCCCGGGCCCCGGCGTGCGGCGACATATAACCCCGCGGCCCCGCCGCGGCGCCTTCTTCACTTCCCGCCATCGCTGTCGGTGTTCCCGTCATCGCTATTTGTGTTCCTGTGCATGATCGGGGGCTGGTGACTTGCTTTCTGCGTCGACGAGGACTGCTGCAACGTTGAAGAGAACCACTGCAGCGTAGAGGAAGACCACCACTTCGTCGAGCAAGCCCGCCACGATGGCGACGCCCGAAGTCCAGTGCTCGAAAGCCGTGCTAGCGGGGCCAATCCCGCCTACAAAGCCGGAGGAAGAAACAGCGTCGGTGCATGAGGGGGCTGGGGAGCGCGGGGACGATGACGACTATCCGGATGGGGGGCGGAAGGCGTGGCTGGTGGTGCTGGGGACGTTCATGTACGCGTGCGCGGTGATGTGAGTGGTATTCGAGAAAGTATCTAGCACTCAACTGACTCGCTGCAGGGGATGGGCCATGTCGTTTGGTAAGGAGAAGAGCACGCCCGATGAGACACATTAGCATTGACTATTCGCAGGCGTTTTCCAGGATTACTACCATCGGCACGTCTTCCCCGACGTCGATGTTAGTTTGCTGACCCTTGTCGGCGGCGCTTTGAACTTTGTGAGTTCTCGGCTGCTCAGCTCGACGCGCGCTTATCCTTTCTTTAGGCGCAAACATCGATGTCCTACCTATCGGGAGGTACTTTCCTTGTCCCGCGATGTCACACTCGTACTGATTACATCGTGAACAGGCCTGGGTGAACGATTGTACGTCGTCTTCGTTCCTCTCTCTCCGCCCACCTAACCCTCCCTCGTAGCGGCTACAAGGTCTGTGTGGGCCCCACGCGCCCCGAATACGCCTCGCTAATCATCTCCCACCAGCGCATGATCGGCATAAGCTCCATCCTGAGCTTCCTCTGCATGTTCGCGACCTCGTGGTGCACGAGCTTCGCCCTCGTCTTCCTCTTCCAGGGCTTCTTCCAGGGTATTGTCAACGGGCTGCAGCTGCCGCTCATCATGTCCCTCCCCTCGCAGTGGTTCCTCCGTCGCCGAGGGCTCGCCACCGGCCTCGCCGTCTCGGGCGCGGGGATCGGCGGCGCGGTCGTGAGCGTGGTGATGCGGAAGCTGTAAGTAGCGGACTTCAATAAAGGCTGTCGTCCATGGGAGCTTAAGCTTACGCGCACCACAGGCTGACCTCCGTGGGAAACCACCACGCCCTCCTCATCTACAGCTTCGTGAACGGGGTCACGTACCTCGTCGCCTGGCTCGTCATCGACGCGCGTCGGCCCGCTGCGAAGCGCCGCTGGCTGCCGCGGAAGATTAACGGGAGCTTCTATTGCATGACGTTCTCGATGTTCTTCTCGAATTGGGGGTATTTGGTGAGTTCTTTTTGCTTTCGGGAGCGGTTCGTGCTGTCGGGGGAGTTTTTGAGGCTCATACGTACCTGGCAGACGCCGTACTTCTTCATCACGACGTTCACGAAGGCGACGGTGCCCTCGTTGGATGAGAACTCGCTCCTGCCGGCCGTCCCGCTGATAGTCATGAGCGCCTGTATTGCGTATCTCTGCTGCTACGCACCTGTGATCTCTTCACTGACGCGCCGAGCAGATGGAATTGGCCGCGTACGTAGCCTCGCGCGCTCACCTTCCCTTCCCCTACCTGACCGGCGTCTATCTCCCAGATCGTCTCCGGCTTCGTCGCCGATGGCCTGGGGCCCATGAACAGCCTCTTCATGTCCTTCTTCCTCGGCGGCCTCTCCCAGATCCTCCTCTGGACATTTGCCAAGACGTACGCCGTCACCATCGCCTTCGCCGTCGTCTACGGCCTGCTCGGCGGCTGGTACGTGAGCCTCACGCCCGTCGTGTGCGCGCAGCTGTTCGGGATCGATGGCCTGGGGACGATCACGGGGTGGATGGTGCTGATGACCGCACCGGGTGAGTTGGCCTCGTCGATGAGCTGGTCTCGTCGACGTGTTGGTGATGCGGAAGGCTGACGGGGCTCGCGCGTTGCAGGCCAATTCGCCGGAGGCTCCGTTGGCGGGGCGATTCTCTCGGCCGCTGGGAACGACTGGCGCTCGCTATCGTTGTATGCGGGCGCGATGATGATCTTGGGCTCGCTGTTCGTGCTGTATGGTGAGTCTGGTCGTGCTTCGTCGACGGTGAGGATGCTGACTCGCTTCCTCAAGCACGCATCAAAATGGATAAGCGCTTGATCAGCGCGGTATAGAGGGCTTGATCAGCGCGGTATAGAGGGCTGTCGAGTGCAACGAGGATAGATAGTCTGTAGATCTAGAACGAAATATGTAGCACTATTACGAGAATTCTGAGAAGTTGGGTTAGCATACCGAGCTGCGGAAAGGTGGATACTTACCGTCGGGATCACCGTCCGAGGTCGCAATGCCTCATCTACAAATCAAGAGCGTCTCCCAAGGCGGCAGGCCACGAAGGGCAGGGAACAAAGCTCAAACCCGCGCGTCCCATGCATCGTAATCACGTAGTTGGTTCGAAATGCACGTCTCGCACAGATCGCCGTCCTCGCCATCGTCTCAGTCACCACCGTCCTCTCAATCAGCGGGCATCATCTCAACTCAGCTAGAACTCAGCCAGGAGATACACTTGAATATGCTTCTGCGCACCTGCGCGCACTTGCGACCCGTCGGCCAAGGTCGTCTGCTGGCCTGAATGGACCCTTCTACTGTTCAAACGTAGGTTAGAAGGGTTCTTGAAGACCGATACATTGTCTATGCCGCGCGTGGTTATCTTGCCGTCCAGCGCCAGTCGTGTCGAGTTCCCTGTCTGCGAGTTCCTCTTGCTGAAAGGTTTGACGGCGGCGTATTCGAGCATGTAGACCAAGTAGACCCCAACACCAATGCTCAGAGGTCACTGCTGGCGAATGCATTATGGGTATCCATTGTATCTAAGAACTAGAGCCATGAACGGTCGAAAGCAGAAGTGGTGATGTGCATTTTGCAACTGAAATCACAGCGCCACAAAATGCTATACCGAGAACACCACATTTCCCACGCCACATCATCTTGACCCCAGCGATCATCCGAATCGACATCGCGCAAGCTATTGCGCGCTCACAACGCCTCGCCGGAGAGCTATCCCGACTCCTGTCACCTACAACAAGTCAAAAGCCTGAACTCACCCTCGGCGTGTCATGTTATCCTGGGCAAACGATATCGTCACTCTCCGCTACGCCTTCGGGAGAGTTGAGCGAATCGACGCTGCGACTCACTCCCCGACTGAGAAGGAGGAGAACATGCAGCAGTACCTCAAAGTCATCAAACGAGTACTTAGAAAGCGCCCTCTGCACATCCTCCTTCGTGCACCTCACGACATACAACTCGAGACGAAGGCCTCGCCGTCAGCTTCGGCCTCGGCTAGCATAATCATCGAAGCGATCATCGTCCTCAAGTCCCTGCATAAGGTTGAAATAGATAGCCTTAGCTCCCTCTGGACATTCGACGACAGCGTATGGACACACGCTGTCCGCTGGATTCACTATCTCTTCCCTATCCGCGACTTCTCCGACTATCTTCCCTGGGCGGACTCGACATCGGAGTCCGCGACGCATGCAATCTTCGGCGTCCTCGATAGCATTACAAGGCTCCCCGAATTGACAGCGCTAGACGTGCTCACCGCTAACGACGGACACGTCCTCAACCTGCTCTTCGCGCTCTGGATCCGCTGGCCGAGTCGCTTTCCCAACAACTCCTGCACGCACATGAACTGCCATAACGCGTTCTACAGCGTCTGGCGGTGCTTTGCGCCTTTCCTCGACGAAGACGTGATCCTGGCGCCGATCCGGCGCATGACAGGCGCGCGACCGAAACGCCTATCTCGCCTCTGCGGCGCGCACCTGAACATGATCGCAGCAATGAGTGACACGGGTCGCGAGTTCATTCCAGAACAGCTCGAGCTCATGGCTGCGCTCACGCGCGGGGGGCGATCCGCGCTCTCCAGGTCGTTCATGGCAGCCCTCGTCAAGGCCCTCAACGCCAACGCTCCGCATTCTCATAACGCGTGGGGAACCTCCCTGCACGTCCTGCACCATCTCTGCTCCCGCTCGGACCATGATTTGCTCTCCGCGACGAAGCGTGGTCTCCTCCCGCTGCTCTTACACGCGCGGCGCGTTTGTGACGAATGCTCGAGGCGACGGCCCGATTCCTATGGTCATTGTCAGGATATTGACGTCACAGGCCTGCTATTGATGCTCATTGGCGATAGCCTGTCTGTCCGTCGGGCCGTGCAGGGCTTGCACGAAGCGCGGAGGCTATATGCTACGCGCATGCCGGACATGCCTCTACGCGAGGACGAACAAGCGCTCCTCACGTTATGCGAGCAGCGCTACTCTCTGCTCCAGCTCGCGGATCGGGAGTGGCCGCAGATCGCTGTCTGCAGCAACCCGGAGGTGCGTCCCGCGCTTGTTGTACTCGAAGGAATGACAACGCTGCCCAGTGCTCAACTGTCCGAGGAGCCCCTATGCGCTCTTGCCCTTGCGGAGAGGTCCTCTTCTGCTCGAAGCAGTGCCAGCGGACTCACTGGGACAACGGCGAGCACCGCGCTGCATGTGCCAGTAAACTCTTTCCCTCCGACGGTAGCCCATCGTATCTTCTCAACTACTATCTCCCATTCTAATCCCATGTTCCAGCGAGCACCACGACTCCCCTGCGTGCCAAGGACGCACACTACCTCGCTGTCATCGCGCGCGCCTACATCGAGGGGCACTACATGGACATCATCAAGCGGTTCGGCATCACCACCAATGCATACTACTATCTGCGCGTCGACATAAGCCTGCTCCGCATGCGCGAAAACCTCCTCAGCGTCTCCCCTGGACCTGACGCGCCGGCTGGCTCGGATCCTTGCCGGTCTCCGACGATGGCCGTGCATATACTGCACATGCGAGGGAACGTTATGGAAACTCGTGTAGCTTGGCTCACTCCGCGTACTGCGGCGCGGCGCGTTCCGAAGGAGGTCTTCCCGCGAGTTATGGATATATCCTATGGTGAGTCGGTCTATCCATCCCTTTGAAACTTATGTGATGTCGTATCTTTTAGATCCTCCTCCTGCGCTCTGCGGCTGAATTGTTGAGGTCTGCCTCGCACACTGTTTCAAGGCTGTTGTACCACTCGCGCGGGGCGAGGCGTTCGCTTATTGTCGCAATTTTCTCATCATCCTCTTTTCGCTGGTCTATACCAAATCTGCATCGAGCAGATCATTTCCCATTTACAAGCCTTCCGTCCTCGAGCTTTTCAAGCTCAGTTTGATACTCGCGCCCGCGCCACGCCCGCCACGTGCGTTGTTCGGCTTGACGATTCTTCTCAGCTCGCGCGCGTGGCGTAGGTCCCCCTCTACTCTTGCCCCCATCGTGATCTCTTGCACTGATCCCCAATGGCGACACTTTCTGGTGACATCCAGACGTACCTCCCTCTCTTTACATATCCACGACAAGAGGATATCGTCAGTCTATGCCAAGCCCTCGAAGTCATACAGAAACGCATCTGGGCAGACCCAGGAGTTACTAGAGACGATGAAATCCGCAATCTGAGGATCTCCGGCCAGCTTCTCAGCAGTCGCCCGCTACATATCCTCTACGAGCCTCCTCCGCCAGTTGCTTGCGAGGTCTTTGCGCCGTCACCCGAGGGCAGAACCATCATTACCGCCCTGTATACATTCAAGACCCTGCACTTCATCACAACCCGAAAGCACGGGGCTCTCTGGCCCTTCAACGACTCTATCTGGCCGACCGTTCTTCGCTGGATCGACTTCTTCCTCCCCACGTTCGACTCCCACGCGCCCGACGTCGTGCTGCAGATAGAGGATCGCGAAACCGCATCCCTCCTTGTCTCCGTCGTCTTAGGTATCCTCGGCTGCGTGTCTGGACTGCCGAAGTCCAAGGCGCGGGCACTCCTTCTCCAGGACGACGGCAGCCCGCTGCGCACGCTTGCCGCCCTCTGGGCGTACTGGCCCAAGTTCGTCGAACGCGTCGGCCTCGGCGCGTCGTATGTCGCCAAGTGCTCGTCCGTCTTCTCGATCATCTGGCACATCTTCGACCGCGACGTCGCCGAGGACGCCATCGGCGCCCAAGTTCTGCGCATGGCAGGTGGCAGCCCGAAGCAGGTCTTCCGCATCAGCGCCGCGCATATCCGCTTAACGTCCGCGATGCGCGCCGCCGGGAACATCGCGAATGACATGGGTCGACAGGTCGAGATCGTGACGCTTCTCATGCAGAAGTTCGAGCTAAGCGCACAGACGATCCCAGGGTCATTTGTCGCGACGGTGGCGGACGCTCTCAACACTCTCCTCATCTCGGAGCCAGATGCGCGCGACGTCTGGCACTTATATTTGATGCTTCTTTACGAACTGTGCCGTCGAACGGACCACGGTTCGAAGCTAGCACTCAAGCACGGCGTCTTCCCTATCCTCGTCCGTATCCGCCTGATTTGCTCCCATTGCTCTTCCGGCGCGCCACCCTATGGTACCGAGGCAGATTCGGTATACGGCACGACTGGAGCTATCCTACTGCTCATGGGCGACGTCCTCTACTTCCGACGTGCCGTCATAGGATTCAGCAAGTCCTGCGAGACTTTCAAGAGTCGCATGCCGCCTTTATCTCTCAGGGTAGATGAGAAGCGCTTCCTTGCCATCGCTAAGCGCCGCTTCGGTCTACTGGAGCGTGCTGTGAAGGAATGGCCTATTGTCGCCGTGTGCTGCAACCCTCAGGTGCGTCGCGCGCACCAGACTCGTGCGCTTTCCGCCTTACGCTCTTGCTCTGACAGTGCGCTACTGCGAAAGGGGCGCCCGTTCGATCGTGCCCGTGCGGCGACGTGCTTTACTGCTCGAAGAGTTGCCAGCGCGTACACTGGGATAGCGGGCTACACCGACAACAGTGCGAGAAGTACCTGATCCCTGCTCCCGGTACGCAAACATCGCTTCTCTGGCTTCACGTTCCTGACCAAAATCATATTCTACAGATGGTGGGCTCGGTACTATGCACGCGAAGGACGTTCACTTCCTAGTGATCATCGTGCGCGCCTATGTCGAGGAGAACTACGCCACGATCATAGCCGGCGTCTCGGGAAACCTGGCATCGTACGAGTATATCATGGTCACCCTGACCCTCTACAAAAATCGGGAAGAGTGCGCTGGTATAGAGGTAGGACCCGCTGGTCCGCCGGGCGATGCTTGCCGATACCCAAACATCATCGTGCAGGCGCAGTACTATCAGGGCGACGCCATACGCACGCGGACCGTTGCGCTGGTCCCTACGAGTGCTTTGGGGCGCTATAAGCGCTCAGACTTCAAGCAGCTCACGCACACGTTCTATGGTACGAGCGCGCAATCACTTCCTCAATGTCATCGCTCATCGATACCCTAGATCCACCGTCTGTTTGAAGTGGGATGTGATGCTCATCTCTAAGTAACCTGGCACAAGGGATAAACCTACGAAGCTTTGTGATGTACTCTGTGCTTCAAAACGGTGGTGAATGGATAGGTTCGCTTGCTCGCTGAGACGGGCACCGACGACAGAGCCTTTGGCGCCACATAACACGATGTTTAGAAAGGCACTTCTCACGCCACACGCCCTCGGCCCCTCTGCCGATTTTTCTGTTCTTTGTCACCAACGCTCTTTGCTCACCGTCTGTGTGCTTGCGTGGTTGCTGAACATCTCATAGTCGAGCCATTCAAATCTAGGCGACTATCCTACTACATATTCCATGGATCCACCTCAAACGCCGCCGACGGACATGATGACACGTCGATCATCGTGGCTTCTTCCGAGCCGGCTCTGGCCCAGCTTCACTCAAGCTTCACTGACGCGGCCGGAGTCAGACCATCTCTTGTTGCTCACCATCATCCTCGCTTCGCCGTTCGGCCTCGACCATGGCAACGATACCGGATTTCCCCCTTCTCCACTCTTCAGTATCCTTACAGCAAGAGAACGACATACAGACTCTTCACGATGCCCTGTCTGTCATAGAAGGCCAGACCGTCGACGAATTCGCAGAGCCGACCCCCGAGAACTCTTCACGTATCAAGACCGTCATGCGACTTCTAAAGTCGCAGACCCTCCACGTCGTGCTGATCTCTCCGCCCGACATTCCTTTCGAATATTACTGCAAGACGACATCTGGAGGTGCGGTCCTCATGGCGCTTATGGCAGTCAAGCTTCCTCGCCGGCGACAACGACGCGCTGCACACACTCGTCATTCTGTGGGTGCATTGGCCCGAAATCGTCTCGTCGCAGCAGATGGAGATCGGAGCGATGTTGTGGTGCCCTGGCATCTTCCGCGCGGTGTGGAGCATCTTCGACAACCAGGTCGCGGAGGACGTCATGGGCACGCAGGTCTTGCGCGCGTCAGGCGGAAGCGCGAAGGGCGTGTTCCGCACTTGCGCCGCGATGCTGCGCGCACTATCGTCGACGGGATCTATCGCCCGCGAGGGCAACGAGCTCGGCCAGCAAGCGACGTTCGTCTTGAGTCTGATCTGTCACTACAACTTCACCCCGCAGACGATTCCCAGTTCCTTCATCTCCTCTGCGACCACGATACTCTCCGACAGCCTTATTGCCGCGCCCGACAATCACGACGTCTGGTGCCTCCTCTTCCTGCTGCTGTTCCAAGTCTGCTCTCGCTCCGACCATGCGACGATGCTCGGCATCAAATACGGAATGTACCCCATCCTTATCCGCATACGCGAACTCTGCTCGCATTGCTCCTCTGGACCGCCTCCACCGCCCACCGACCAGGCGTATACGGGCGGTATGACCGGCACGCTGATGTCGTTCATCCGTGGCTCATTCTGGTCACGGCGAGCTGTTGCGGACTTTCGCGAGGCTAGCGACAAGTACGCGGCGCGCATGCCCGGCATCCCTTTACGAGAAGACGAGGAGCTGGTCCGCGCTACCGCCAGGGACCGCTATACCCTGCTCCTCCAGGCCGAGGAACAATGGCCGAGCATCGCGAAGTGCTGCAACTACAAGGTCAGTCAAGGTCACCGCTCGTCTTTGATGGGACTGAGTATCAAACAGCAGTGTCTCAGCTCCGAAGCCGCCTCTCTACGCGCTTGCCCGTGCGGCGAGAACCTCTATTGCTCGAAGGGATGCCAGCGCGCGCATTGGAAGAGTAAGGTGCACCGCTATGACTGCGAGAAACATTTCGAGGGCTTACGCGGTACGTCTCCCATCTTGCGGCTGACCACTCGCTTGACAACCGCTCCAGAAAGCACCGCGCGCGTCGTGAAGGCAAAGGACATCTATTTCCTGGTCGTAATCGCGCGCGCCTATGTCGAAGAAAACTATCGCCGGATCCTCGCCGGGTTGAACCGCAGCTGCTCAAGTCATATCTCATCCGTCTTCATCGACCTTCCCTTGTTCTGCGACCCCGTGAACCCTGAAGACTTCAAGGTCACCAGATATGAGAACTCGTGCCAACCCGACCTCTGCCCGTACCCCACCATCGTCGCCCAGGTTCTATACGAACAGACAGACGGCATGCACACGTGCATGGTGTGTCTCGTACCTAGAGGTGCTCCCTGGCGCTACTGGAACGATGAGTTCATGCCGATTACATACACTTTTTACGGTGAGCTCCAGATCGCCTCCTCGAGGTACGCATACTAACCTTCAAGCCACGCTATCCAGACCCGCCGGCCGACTGGACCGACCTCGACTGATGCTGTGGATCGAAAGGGTATCGGATGTTCGCATTCAGCCGGTGTAACTGGCGCGAGTCGATGGTCGCAGCGCTCGCTATGATCTTGAAGGAGGAAGGGAAGAGATACTGACATTGTTGCACTGTATGTCGAGTGTCCTTCGTGGGAATATTGTAGCTCCGAGTCTGACAGAGACTCTCTGGCATAGTACGTGCCCGCCGGATCGTACAGCAAAAAGACTCGCTATGGAGATTGGAAGTATTCACCGCGAGCGATGGCGATGCGCCACACCAACGCCACATAATCGTATCGGGGAGTTCGATTCTCGGAAGAGGCGTGTTCAGAACCATCATCCAGAGTTGCACTGTCCTCCGGTGCTCAACACCACAAAGCTCAATGCTCAACGTCCCGGAGCTCAGACTCTCCGTATTCCGCTACTTTTGGACGTCCGAATTGTACTCCCTGAGGCTAGTATGTAGGTCATGGTATCCGGAGGCAGATCAGGCGCTGTGGGAATCGATAGAGAGGCTCCCAACGGTCCTACGTTTTCTTCCGGAGGATGCGTGGGAGCAGGACTATGTGAGATATATGACTACTATGATCGATGGCGCTGACTCCATGCAGGATATCTCCACCTTTGGATCGGGGGACAAGTTGACGATCCACAAGTCCCCAACAACTTTGGTGAGCATGCGTTCTACATGCGCCGTGTGATACCGTCTCACTAAGAATACAGAGGATATTACGGCCGCTTACGACAGAAGACTGGCTCCCCGTTGTCGGTCGCGCTCGCTGCCTGAAGAATTTCCGACTGACACGTTTCTTGAATGAGTGCACGAACGAGACCCTCGAGGCTGTCATCGCGTGTCCTCCGCCACGCGTCCCTCTCTTCCCAGGCGCACGCACCGCGCAGCTCCATCGCCCATACCACGCCGGTCAAGAAACATTTGTCTACCACCGACTCCTCCCCATCCTCCTCCCCTCGCGCGGCATATCCAAGCTGAACTGCGCCGTCTACGAGAAAGATGTCCCTGACGCGCACGCCTTCCTCTCGCACTTCGCGTCCCTCGAATCCCTGGACATGGTCCTGTGCTCGGGCGAGTACGCGTACCGACACTCGCGTGTCATCAATACCTGGCCGTACTTCGTTTACGATCCCTCACACGACCCGGCCAAGCGCTACGATATCCGGTTCATCGCGGCACTCAGGATATGCCCCATTCTCCGCGAAATCCACATCAGCTTTGACCCGCGGATTACCGCGCACATTTTGGAGGCGCTCGCGCAGCTCCCCGCGCTCCAATCGCTGCGGCTGCACTTTGGAAACCACCCGAACCCGTCTGAGAGCGTAGAAAGTAGCCTTGACAGCCCGTCGTACTCGTTCCCGGCCTTCCCCGCGCTGCGCTCTCTTACCGTCGACGGGCTGCCTCCGACGGCCGTGGCACAGCTGCTGTCGACGAGCACGCCTACGCCGCTGCATGATGTCCGCATCGATTGTCCCTACGGGCATGGCTACCTGGATCCATCGCACATGACGAAGGCTCAGCTGACTGCCCTGATTGAGCTCGTAACCTCCCAGCTGGTCCCCTATAGCTCCCTGCGCACGCTACACATCGTCGGGCACGGGTATGAGAGGTACACCCTCACTCTGGAAGACCTTCTCCCGCTGTCTGGATTCCCAGAGTTGCGCGATCTCAGTATAGGCATCAACTCAACCAACTTCAGCCTGGAGGACAGGGATTGCGAGCGCATGGCGGGCTGGTGGCCGCATATCAAAACACTCCTGTTAGGTCCTGAAATCTGCGGTGCCGAAGAAGTGGAGAAGGTCTCTCTCCAGGCCCTTCTTCATATGGCAGCCCAATGCCCTGATCTGACTCACCTTCGGCTTCCTCTCGACGCCAACGTTGTGCCGGAGCTCGAGCCCGCGCCCGGTCCGTATCCTAAGCTCTTCATGCTCCATGGCGGCGACGCGCCGATTGACGACGCTGTGTGCGTCGGGGGATTCCTCAAGGCGACATTCCCGGCGCTGCGAGACCTGTGGTACGACGCTTTTCAGTACGACGAAGAAGCCGACAGGAGGGAGGCGGCGTGGGACGTCGTTTACGAGATGCTGACGGGGAAGAAGAGGGATTATGGGCCGGATTTCTCGCAAATATACGAGAAGAAGCTTGCCACTTCCACTGCTTCGAAGCAAGACGGGGATGCGCCGGAAAGGTGGTAGGGTAGTATGACTCTATTCAATTGCTGTACACTAAATACTCAGTTCACGTGTGCATGTTCCATTGCCTCCATGGCGCGGCGCCGTTGTACTTAACTTAGAAGTTCGACTTTCGGCCCGGCCGGCCGCGATTGCGGTCACGGGATCTGACGCGTCCATTGTCAATGTCATGGCGCCTATTGTTCTTGCCTCCCGCGTCCATGAGATCCTCTCCGACAGCCATTCAAGCTCCTCAATCAATTTCAGGAAATTGAGTAAGTTCAGCGAGATTTAGGCGTTCGTGAGGCCCATCAGAGTCCGGCACCAAGTTCATGTCGTCACAGCGCATACATGCACCTCGACTATTCACGGAAGCAGTTTGATGCGCGTGCAGCTCATACGCTCATCAAATGAATCTTGGCATCCATACCTGGGAATGGTAAGTGTCGATCCCTGCATATCTGTCTATTGACTCTCACATTTTCCCTCCATCTTCCCTGTCTCAGTACCATCGCTAGTCAGTCAGAAAATCGCACTCACCCTTGATTCTGTACACCTCCGCGATACTCTGATTAATATTCCTCACCTCCCTCGACAGCACAGACGCGATAGCTGAGTCCGACGCTGCACTCTGTGAATACTTGTAGTCCCTTTTTCCTGTGTTTAGCGACTCATCTTCGGGATCTAATTGGTATGACAGATCCATTTTGTGCGTCCGGACCCCGCTGACCATTTCCCCTTCGAATGAATGAAAAATATGCATATCCTCGGCTCCAGTGCAAATTTCTGGCCGCCTTAGACGCACCGGTACTGCCCGTAAGGACAACGTCACGTGATCAGACTCGTTTTATGGTCGCCTCGCGCTGACTCTCTTGTCCTTCCTTTCAGACTCGGAAACCTGAGGTGACTAGTCTCAGATCTCGCTCGTGCGTAACCATCCGAGGGTTGAGAGTCTCGGACGACAACGTTTGCTTCCGCGAACATCCGCTTCTCGATTTTGTCTCGGAGGTTGGCGCTCTCCCCCTACTTTGTTACTTCCATCTTCGATAACAACAGGCTTTCATTCTCATTCATATGGCAAGCCTCGTCGCCCGACAGACAATTCGCTTTTCATTGTTCAACCTGTGGGCGCCGGCGTGGCAAATTCGGCGCTCGGCCTCGTGGAATTTTGATGAATCCGAATTGAAATACGCTGCGGGGACAATGGACCGCACCGTGTTCTCCTCCTTCCCCCACCCGACGCCAGCCAGCCAGCCAGCCAGCCAGCTACCCCCTCCACTCCTTTGACCTTTCGCCATGGCCCTCGCCTTGCCCGGGCTCAAAATCCGCTTTGGCGCCGACGGCGACGAGCAAAAGTCCCGCGCCGACCTCGAAAAGGGAGGCGCTGCCCCGTCCTTCGTGGAGCACCATGTCGCGCGCACACGCCGCTTCGTCTCCCAGAACCTCGCCTACATCATCATCGTCTCCGCCGTCGTCGTCTTCGTGCGGATATACACCACGCGCACGCTCATCACGCTCTCGAATGTCCCCGAGGCCGCGATCGTCGAGGTCGACCCGCACCCCATCCCGCGCCTGATCGCGGAGGCGGAGGAGCGCTTCGCACGCAAGGTCGCGCGCCAGAGCAAGACGCTGCCCGACGCCGCGGCCGAGTACCGCCGCCGCTACGGGCGCAACCCGCCCAAGGGCTTCGACAAGTGGTGGGCGTTCGCGCAGGAGAACGAGTTCGTGATGGTGGACGAGTTCGACGGGCTGATCGACGACCTCGCGCCGTTTTGGGAGATTTCGGGCGAGGAGCTGTCGCGGCGGGCGCTGCAGGTGCGTGTCTGGTGCGAATCCCACGACCTCAACTAACCACTCCCAGGCCATCGAGCTCCCCTCCATCGACCTTGTGTCCATCCGCGACGGCAAGTGGGCCAACATCCGCAAGCAGGGCTTCGAGGACACCGAAGAAGGTGCTCGCGCCCACGGCTTCCGTGTCATGTTGGAGAAGTTCGCCCATGAGGTGCGTCGCCGGCTCAATCCCCCTCACGCAAGCTAACCTATTCCCCCAGCTGCCTGATCTCGTGTTTCCTATCAATGCAAAGGCGGAGGGGCGCATCATCATCCCCTGGGAGCATCGAGAGTACCCTAACATGACCACGTACGACTACTCAGGTGCGTATCCGATCATCGCTTCATTACATTCTCTAACGATAAGACAGCTGGCATCGAATCTGTTCTCGGAGGTCCCTTCATTCCGAGTTGGACAGGTGACGGCAGCGTCTGGAACTCCTGGCGGAGAACATGCAAACCAACAGACCCCGCACGTCAGATCTATTCCGGCACGCGCAACATATTCTCGCCACCCCCTGTCGATTATCTCAATACCTCCAAGTCTGCAAGCGAGCTCGGGCTGTCCTTTGAGAAGGAGACGCCTTCGAAGATCGACTACTGCCAGCAGCCGGAGGAGCACTACAATCAGGGTCACTTCTTCTCTGATTGGCGCGTCATCCCCATGCTCTACCCCATCTTCTCCCCCGCGAACACCCCCGGCTTCTACGACATCAAGATCCCCAGCCACTACTACTACGGCGGTACGCCCGAGTATACGTACGCGTGGGACCAAGCGCACCTCGAGCAGAAGCCCGTCGACGACATGGAGAAGCCGTGGGACGAGAAGAGCGACAAGGTGTTCTGGCGCGGCGCGACGACCGGCGGCGGTGGAAACCCCCCGGGCTTCTCCGCGCAGTATCAGCGCCACCGCTTCGTGCGAATGGCCTCCGATAGCTCAGACATGCCCAAGCCCGTCACGTTCGCGCACCCCGCCGACTCGGTGAACTACACGACGGTGCCCGTGCCCGTGAGCGCGCTCAACGAGGAGATCATGGACGTCGCGTTCACGAAGGCGACGAACCCCGCTGAGTACCCGGGCGGCCTCGAGGCCCTGCAGGCCGCGCACCGCTTCGCCGACCCTGTCCCATTGGGCGCGCATTGGTCGTACAAATACCTCGTCGACCTCGACGGCATGAGCTACTCGGGCCGCTTCATGGCGTTCCTCGCGAGCGACTCCGTGCCCGTGAAGGCGACGCTCTACCGCGAGTTCTTCTCGGACTGGATCGAGCCGTGGGTGCACTTCATCCCGATGTCGCTCAACTACTCCGAGATCTACAACATCCACTCGTACTTCTCGGGCGGGCCGAAGGTCGCGCTTGATCTTTTGGAAGCGTCCGAGGGCACCAACGCTACGGGTCCGAATGCGGATGACGCGGAGACTGCGCTGTCGGTGATGCAGGCGCGCGAGCGGCGACCAAGTGGCGACGAGCGGCTGCACAAGATCGCGCAGGAGGGCAAGAAGTGGAAGAACTCGATCGGCCGGAAGGTCGACATGGAGGGTAAGTCATCTTCTGTATCTGCTAAAGCATTGCGTTGACCTCCTCGCTTAGTATACGTCTACCGCCTCTGCCTGGAGTATGCTCGGCTATCCGCCAGCGACCGCAGCTCCATGGATTACCTTGACTGATATATCGAACTAGACTGGGGGCTGGCCCCGCGCTACTGATAGGTCGTGATGCTCCGGCTTCGGGTGCTTTGACTCGCTAGGCTTTCTAATCACCGCTTACCACTATGTGTGACCTCGCGTTTATGCGTCGAGCTCGAACACTTTATTGCTCTTACTTACCCCGTCATCATTTTGCTGGTAGCTTAGCGAGGCACGTATCCTAAAGGCGCTTGTAGACTAGTATTTATACATGGATCTATCCGACTAATGGCATCTCATACCTTCTACTGTTCCTCGTGTGAGACCGGGCCAGCGCGCAGGTATGTTTTCTTCTCAGTGAAGAGCTGGTGTTTCCAGATTGCTATTTTGCAAGTTGAACATGAACATCACGTGGATGCCGCGTGTACCTCAGCGGAGCTCGAAAATTGAACTTCAAGTTCAAATTGAGCCACTGTTCGTCAGTTCGTCCGCCATCGTCTGCCCAGGTGGAACCCTCTCTTGCTGGATGTAAGTTTACCCGCTGGCTCGATAGAAATGGTGCTGACTTGCCGAAGCATGGACTCGGATACGTCCCTCGTCGACTTGCCGTCCCCACTTGCCAAGCTGACGCACGTCCTCATGGACATGCGAGAGACATTGGACCGCGATAAGACAGCCAAGTCTCTCAACAAGAAGACGCATCCGCTGACGAAGAAAGCCCTCACCCTTCTTCGGACGAATCCGCTCAAACAACTCTTCGAACATCCGCCCTCGAACGAGCCGTACACCATTTTCCTGTTGAGAGAACGCGCTGGAGATGTTGTCTCAGCACTGTACCCGTTCGGCATTCTTGCTGAACTCGTCAACAGAGGCGTCTCCACTATCTGGGTACTGGGCGAGCCCGAGGTCGTTTGGGCGGGCGTCTTCCGCTGGGCTGAGTACCTGCTCATCGATGCAGTGGACTTGCCAGTCGAGTTAACGACCTTCGACATGCGCTACACCCTCAACAACGCCATAGATGCAGTGCACGCGGCGCTTGTTCAACTTCCGAGCTTACCGCTCGAGCAGGCGCGAGCTATTTTGCTGTCCAGCGAATACGACGCTGTCCGACTTATCGTGGTGATTTGGCTAGAATGGCCAAGGTTCCTCCCCAAAATCACAGTGAAGGACCACAAACCATCGATAATCCCATGCATCTCTCTTCTTCATGCCCTCTGGCCGGTCATAGGAAAGGACAACGACACGCGCTCGGTGCTCCTAGCGCAGCTGCTCGGCGCGCGCAGAGGCAGTTCACGACGTCTGTTTCGCACCATCGCGACACACCTAGAGGCGTTTGCGAACTGTGAAGAGTATCGCCTCCACCTCGAGTTCATCCCTTTCATTCGGCTTGCGTCTGAGCTGGCCAGGATCCCCGAACTGCGCCAAGAAGGCTTCCCCTCCAAACTGGTATCCGTCGCAGTATCTACTGTGATGTTCTCCCTTGACAAGTACCCGTCTGCGGCAACCACTGTTTGCTGGTTACTGTCCTGCCTATGTTACTGCGACGATCGCGCGATCGCCGTCGCGATCAAGCACGGCTCATTCCCCTTGCTCGTCCAGACCCGGAACCGATATCCACAGTTGGATTCCTCGAAGGACTATGCGCTCATGCGACATGCGCTAGCCCGTCCATCCGTGGTCAAGCATTTCCACGACAGTCTGGAGACCCTCGACGACGGCTTGCAGCTTAGTCTAGACGAGGAAAGGACCGTAAAGCTCGCTCGTCATCGGTACGAGCTTTGGGAGGAAGCTGAGGTCGAATGGGACGAAGACGCTGTCTGTGGAAATGACTCGGTAAGCGAGCTCGTACTTGTCGTCCACGATGACCCCTGATTTCAATCGCGACGCAGTGCGAGGCCGGCGAGGACGCACCTCTTCGCGCATGTGCGTGCGGAGAGGTCCTCTACTGCTCCGTCGCCTGTCAGAAAGCAAATTGGAAGCAAAGACATCACACTAGCTGCGCGTTCATCTCAAGGATCGGCGAGCCATTCGGTGAGTTCTAACATCCACATCTGCTTTAAATATCTCGCTGAAGCCGCCATGGCAAGTCTGCCCCCACGAGAGGTCCACTTTCTCGCCATCATCGGACGTGACTGGCTGGAGAATAACTACGCACGGCTCGCGCAGGAACACGGAGAATCCCTGGACTTGAAGCTGGACGTATCGGAGGGAGAGCTATGTCGGCTTGCCGAGCCTTTGTCGCCACAACCTGGGATGGGCATTCATCTCGTCATGATGGACGTTGCATACTTCAGGAGACGGGCCCTTATATATCGCTCGTTCATGTTCCTTCCGGCCCCTAGGCGGGAGTGCAGCCCGTTCAAAACCTTAACCCAGGTGGTCTTTAGCACGGACCCGGATGGGGAAGACGATGAAGACGAGGAGGGGGACGGCGAGGACGGTGACAACGACGCGAGCGACGAGGATGACGAGAACATTCCAAGGATGGGGACGACGAAGACGAAGCGAACGGTGTAGTTGAGCAATCCTGTAGGCAGTCCCCTGCAAGCGCCGAGATATACTATCCGCTTTGTCGTGTACGCGAGGGTTAACGTTCGGGCAGTCGACAGCACAGACCATCATACGATGTACCAGATCCCGAAGATGAGTCGCAGGACTCGGAGAAGGGGACTACAAGTAGTCACTGACCGCTACTTCCAGCTCCGCTGTCGCTTCTGAGTGGTCGAGGAGGTGAGGTGAGGTCCAGGGTTGATCATCCGCGGCATATTTCGCTCGTTTATGTTCCTCCCCGGTAATCAATAGCGTGGACCAAGATCGGGAGGACGACGAGGACACTGATAACGACACGATCGGCGAAGAAGGCCGTGAGGGCGGCAGGTAAGACGATGCGAGTAGGAGGTACCAACCGACGAATGCGAAGTCGAGTGAGCGGGTCGGCACTCAGGTATGTAGGCTAGCGAGCATATCAATATGAATGCAATGGCGACTGCGTACACATGTTACTGCCAAACTGCTAGCTGCCGCCTTCTTCCTGGGTTAACACGGCGGGAATACATCCGGTTCCCATAATATCGTCCGCGTCGGCGCTAATCTGTTCGGTACCTGCGGGTGTGATTCCGTGCACGCACGACCCTTTCTGGCCTCTCTTCCGATAGCAAGACTCAACTAGAAGCACAAATCCTCCTGGCTCCGGCAGATCGACCCATTGCAAGTCGATGCGTTCGACACCGAACGCAATGTCCAGGGTCAAAAGCGGTACTTGGCCCGTGCTCCTGGCGCCGACTTCCGCTTCGAGCCGCGTCCAGTTCTCCCGTAGGTAGTCCTTCACAACATGCGCCATGAAATGCGCGTCGCGGGCGCGTAGGGCACCTTTGGGATGTCAAAACCGGGGTCGCGATTTTTAGGGAACGCCGCGCACTGACCTATCTCTGGATCCGACCCTTCGTTGAGCAGACGACAACTCTGCTTATGCACCTCCCGGTCGGCGCGTTGGCAGGTAGACGAGCAATAGACCGCCTTCCCACAAGGACAGCCGCGCAGCCGGGCATCTGGTGCACACGAGCACTAAATGTATATTAGGGCAGGCCTGGATAGCAAAGCGGTAGAGGGCCTACGTTCGGATTGCAGCACCTAACATTGGCCTCCCAATCTTGGGAAGCGACTTTTAACAAGGCTTGCCGTCTCTCAGCGAGTTCGCGGAGCTCCTTCTCCTCCGGAAGGACCCAGGACTGCCGAACCAGGTCGGACATGGCAACATGCGCAGAGAAGAGCTCGACAGACTTAGGAAAGGACAGTGCGCCGCTGATGAGCTCGCGAAGCTTCGTAAGACTGTCCTCATGGCACAAACGTGCGGCATGGAGCTGAGCCAGTAAAGAGAAAATGCCGCAATTGAGGGCCGTCGAGAGGGCGCGAGAGTCATTAGAGCAGAGGATGTTGAGCAGCCTGAGGCAGATTTCGGAGAGGTGAGGGCGCTTGGCGGCCGCAAGCCGCGTGAAGATGGTCATAGAGAGGACCATGCCGCCAGGGACCAGACGCATACTCAGGTCGCGATACAGCAGCAGGAGTGTGGATATGATGACGAAGGACGTGGCATCGGCCCAAGCGGTGTCATCGTCGCGTGCCAGTCGCAAGTTGGCATCGTGCAGTTGGCGCGCGATGAAGTTGAAGAGTCTCGTTGGCTTGTGGGAGACAGCGCGGAGAAAGAACGTGGCGATCAGCGCGTTGTCGTCATCAGTCTGGCCAAGAGCCTTCCATAGCGACTGTGGCAGCTGTATGCAGCGGGATCTGCGCTCCTCGTCCTTCTTCGACTTCGTTTCTGCGAGGAGCTCGGGCCAGTGCAGCCAAATAGTCACTATGTCGCTTATGGCGTCATGACCTTCGGAGAGCAAGACGGATCGCGCGCGGTCCGGCGGCAGGGAGAGGACGTGCTGGAAGATGCCGATGCTGCCGTCAAGCAATTCGAGCATGATGTCGTGCTTGGAGGAGCGGTGTTCCATTGAGAAACCTCTTTTGAGCGGCAGAAGATACGCAATCCATCGGAAGACGCGCGGGTACAGGTCCGTCGGGTCAGGTAGCACCCACAGGGCTGGATGACCGCGTCCAACGATATCGGCGAGCATAGCAAGGGTGTAGAGTTGGGTACAGACTTCATTGCAGCCCAATGTTCCCAGAAATTCAGCGAGAGGCTTGTTTGGAGGAGCGTCGAGCAGCCTCTGAAGGCCGCCGGCCTTGATCAGGCGTATAGCCTCCTTGATGGAGGCTCGAAACTCCTTCGAGGCTCTTTTTGCGCCTGGAGTTCCCATAAGATCTGCAATCACCAATGCGAGCGCGATTGAGGGCGAGTTTCGCGTTAGGCGAGGGTTTGTTCGATGCTGTAAAGGCGATTTAGCACGCACGCGAGGAAGCATCTGCAAAATAGACTCGCCATCATGGGAAGTGGCGAGACAATACAGCAGTCAAGCGTATGAGGTGTATCTTTTCTGTATCGTAGAGGGATATATGGCGCTGGACAATGTGACTCTCGGCCAGGGCTGAGCGTTGCGGAAGAGATGCGACCGTGAGAATATTTCGAATCTTTGTCCCTGTTTGCGCAGACGCCCCTTTCCTAAAGGAGAGACCAACCTCCATCGCTCCGGTTCGGAACGCAATAGATGCATTGAGTAGAATATGCTCATTGCATTGCTCTTCGCATATAGTCCGTCAAGGCACGACGATACACGTGTATGTAAGCGAAGGGCGATCACAAGTGCAGCCTTCACGCGGTGGAACCAAGTGAATATCCTTTCGCCTAAGCTCGCAATCAGATGACAGATCCCCAACTCTAGGGATGGTGAAGAGGCGACGTAGCCACCACACACATAGACGAGGCTAAATGTTCTTCTGGCAGCATCCTCATCCGCGCTTACAGCCTGGTCGCGTGCGATATCTGACTACGCGACAAAAGCCAGGGAGACTCGCCGAAGGGGGCCCCGAAGGCTCAAATAGAGTGGTGCGATCTCGATGCTTGAGTGGTGCAGCCGCGGGCGGACGAGGCGAGGGTTAATAGACCAGGCAGCTGGAGGGAAAACACGACAGCATAGTAGGTAAACACGTCATGAGGTACGAAGAGATGGAAGCGCGCCAACGTCGACCGCATGCGCCTTCGACAGCTCGACCCGCAAGGAACGCGGAGAACAAATCCCGAGGCCGCTCATGAAGGCGACTTCGCGCGCGCGCTCGGGGAAATGGCCTGGGCGTCGCCGGAGCCAGTGTTGATGCTAGGGCGCGCTTCGTAATGAGGTCCGCATGCTGGCTGATGCAGAGATTACGGCGATGGAGGCGGGTGGTGGACGCGCGTCGAGGGTTGAGGCTCAACGCTCGGGGGATACGGTGTTCGCCACCCGCTAAGCCGGAGATGTATGAGCCACCACACGTTCGAGAAAGAATGGAAAGCGCACCGCCCTCTGACCCGTCCTTTTCCTGCAAGATCAAGCGCATAACTCTGGGGCTTGAGCGCGACATTTGGGACTTCCGAGACATCTTCCCTGTGAACGTCTGCAATGCGCGCCAGCCGACGCAGGACCAGCTCAGGCGCACGTCGTCCCGCAGGTCACCATGGTGGGCGCGACAGCCCTCATCGCAAAGCGACCGCAATGAGGGACGGACATCGTCTTGGGTTTTCCCCTCAGCGCGCTGCGAGATTGAACGCCACGAGGTGCTCGTCGCGAACGTGGTCGGGTTACGATGCATGTCTTGAGCGGGTCAGCAGAGAGGTCGCGAGGATGACCTTAGTATGTACCAGCCAGATCTCGCACTCGCAGGTCGCCCCTGCCCTCTAGTCCACGGATCGCACCTCAGCGCACGCGGGAGAGCACGAAGCGGCTATTGCTAAGCTTCGGTCGCGGTCAGTACGGTATTCGGCAGTATGAGAGGAGTACGCACCTGGTACTCATCCGAGTGATACACGTCCCTAAGCTCACTCCCCGTCGCGAGAGCCGGGAGAGTCGACTATGTGCGGAAACTTCTGACAACTCCTGAATTAGTGTTGACGCCGTTGAAGAGTCGGGGGCTTGTTCATTAGCCAGGTTGGAGCATTTCGAGCTACTACCGGGGATTGCAGAGGAGGGGGTTTTAGGATGGACGACCAGAGAGACGAGACCATGACGGTCGAGATCAAGAACGGTGATCTGCGCAGCCCTTTTCGGGAAGCTTGAACGCCTGCTCCTTGTCCTCGACCATCATCACCATGGCCAAACCTGCTGGCTGCCATGCTTCCTGGCAACAATGTGCGCTCAATATCCCTGCGGGACCGTCCTCTCATGCTTGTGAGAGTCCTGTACCGCCGTTGTTACGTCTGAGAGTAATAGTATCAGTACTTCCCCTTCTTCGTGCGACTAACATGCTGTCTCCGCCCATAAAGGGAAGGACGAACATAAATCGCCGGTGAGAAGCAGCTCTTCCTTCACCTGATCTTCTCTGCTCTGCGTGGTTTCTCAAGCATGTCAACCTCTCTTCATCCGGCCCTCGACGACAGCGCCTCGAACGCCACAAGCATCCGAAGCGATGGATCGGCTGCTCCGCTGCTGGGAAGCAACGCACCTAAGGCGTCAGGTTTGTCTGGCGAGGTCGAGAATCAAGCTCCATCACCTCCATCTTTACCATCCCCAGCGGCCTCTTCACCTCCGGCTCTACCACCTTCAAGTTCGACGTCCTCTAGTACACCTGTGAACCCCTCCAACCCGCCCAGTCCCCCCAGCACTCCGGCCACAATGGAAGACGACGGGATATACTACGACTATCAATCCCGATGGCCGCCTAGCACCCTCCTCCGCATCACCAGCCTTCCCCCGCACAGCATGAACCACCCGTCCTTCCTCGAGTCCATGCCCCCGCCCCCTCAGCCACCCTTTGCTAGCCCTATCCCACCATTCGTGAGGTCCCCAGGCCCCGTCATCGCCGGCCACATCTGGCCCATCAACTTCCCCGACGCCAATCTCGTGCTCACGGTCGACCGCCGCCGCTTCGCCGTGCACCGCAGCGTGCTCGAGATCCAGTCCCCCGAGTTCCTTCGCGGGGCGTACCGCGGACCCGACGGGCGCGAACATGTCAATTTGCGGCACGTATCTAGCAGGAGCGTGCGAAACTTTCTCATGGCGGTATACTACCCTAAGTGAGCTGCACCTCTTCTCAGCGCGTCTCCTTCAACTGAGCTGACCGCGCCACCAGCTTCTTCCCCGCTCCCTTCGCGGACGTCCCGCTCGTCACGATTGGTGACGTCCTTCTCGTCGCCACTCGATACCGCGTTTATGCTCTGCGCGCACGCGCCCTTGCGCACCTCCAGGCTCTCACTTTACATTGCATCGTCCCGCCGTCATCCACCCTCGCCCGCGCAGGCATCAGCGGCAACACCGCGCTCGTGAAGGCCCTCGTCGAGCTCGCCGAGCAGGCAAACGCTCTCTGGCTCCTACCGCTACTCCTCTACTACCTATCGTGTATCCCCCTCAAGCGCCTGGCCGCACCGGAGACTTACGAGGGCGTGCTGTACGAGCTTTCCTCCGAAACACGCCTCCGGATCGCAGAAGGCTTTCGCCGCTCGCGAGATCCCGATTATACATCCCTTACCGCACTCAAGAGCATGAGATGCTGGCGCCCGTGGTGCCGCCGTGCGCGGAAAACATTCCTTCAAGCTAAGGTGACTTCTCATTTCTACTTGGACCCACTCCGGCACGCAATGGTATGGGGCGCAATGATCAACGTCGGGGAGGCCCCAGTGAAGGGGATGTGCTCCCAATGCTGCGCGATTCTGCAGAAGAACTTGTCCGACTTTGAGCTCTCGTTCATTCGCTCGATTCCGGGTAATTTTGGGCTTCCGACTTTGGAGGACTTGGAGGAATGGAGAAAGGCTGATCTGGGCGTACATTACTCTGCGGGTGAAGGTTTACGTGTATAGATGTAATATTATTTCGTTCACGACCTTTAAGGGAGCAACTGCCAACAACGGACGAGCACCCGGTTGTGGGTCCAACAGTGGGTGCCCTCGGCATTCGCCGGGATAATGTGGCGTCGGAAAACATGACCAATCTGGGACGTGTGCAAGTTCTCTCCAACGATCAGGAGGGATACAACAAAGCCTCCGGAGGCAGTAGTACCCTGCACCGCAAATATCTTTCACTCTGAGTCTGCTGCTATATCAGCATGTCTCTGCCAACCCGACATCGGGATCTGTGGTTCGAGGATGGGAATGTCGTGGTGAAGGCTGACGCATCGCTCTTCCGCGTGCATCGAGGTATTCTGTCAATGCACTGCGAACACTTTCGTAGCGTTCTCTCAGAGAACTCGCCTCTCAAGTTAGAGCAGTACTAAGGCCTGCCGCTGGTTGTTTTACAAGAGGCTCAAGCAATGGACGCGGTTCACTTCCTCAAGGCCATGTATATACCCAAGTGCGTATCTCGTTGCTTATTCTCGTTCAATCTGACCGACAGGAACAGCTACTTTATGCCACCTCCCGCGCAGACGAGATTCAATGTTCTAGAAGGCATCCTCCGCTTGGCGCACAAATACGACGCGCCCGCCATGCGCTGTCGCGCCCTACGCCATCTAGAGTCAGCCTTCGTGACCAACCTGGCTGAAATGGATTACCCGCCAAATCGTACCTATCCTCTCGTACCGAATGACGGCCCACAGGAGATCAAGGCCGTCATACGCCTCGTACGCGATGTCCAAGCGACTTGGCTTCTTCCAACCGCTTTTTATACCGCTCTTCAGTACCCCGCGTCGTCTCTGCTCAGCAAGGAAGTCTGGCTCGGACTGGAGCGCTCGTTATCACACGAAGACATCGCTGCATGCTTCGCCGGCTGCGAAGCCCTGCGCAAGGAGTTCCCTCACGTCGCCTTCTTCTCCCCGAACCTGGGCTGCGCTTCAGAAGGATGCATCAAGGCGCGACTGGCATCCTGTTCCGCGGAAGACCGCGTTCGCTTCGTGCAGCACCCTCTCACGTACTTCACGCAGTGGGTGGACTCGGACGACGGTCTGGAGGAGATGTGCTGGAAGTGTATGGACTCAATGCGTGCTAATTACCACGTTTGGCTGCGTGACGTCTGGCGGCGTTTGCCATCGTTTTTCAACTTACCGGACTGGTCGGCTCTTGCAAGAGTGAGGAAGTTGGATCTGACGGTGAGTGGCTACATGAGTGTCTGGCGCTTCAGACTCAAGTTTCCGATAGGAAGCTACCAGCCGGAAGAGGCAGGATCTCGAAGCCGGTGCAAACGAGATAGCTATGGCACACTGACTCTCTCAGTGAGTCGCATTCCTTTCACGCAGAGGGTACAAAGCTAATGAACTCGTCCCTTCGGGCTTTGTTTCGCTCTCAGATCTTCGTCGCCGTGATACATGCGTAGATCTCGTTCCCGATAGCTTGTCGCTGCGATCTGCTTCCCGCGAGCGTTGATACGATACGGCTTTTTTGGAAAAACTTCGCGTAACGAACCTCGTCGGCCTGCCGCAAGAGAGCCGAGCGGCTTCCAGGTACGCATACCACCCGCAAGTCAGCGTGCGCTAGGTCCTCTGTTCCGCTCTTTTCCCTCTTCGAAACTGTCTGCTGCCGTTGACCGCTGACTACTTACATGACTTACGGTTACCAACGACGTACGCCTTTGCTTTACTCATAATGTACCTCGCACCTCGCTAATTATCTCTTGCTCTAACAGTATTGAATGTGTTGACTGCACAGACTGCGACGAGAGCGCGCTTGCTTAGCAAAGCGAGGTACGTTCGTGATGCAAACGCTCCCTCTTCGTTTGGAAGGCTGACCTAGACTGATTAGCTGACTCATCTTCGACGCTGCGCGACGCTGGTTTCGAGAAGCCTGTGCTCGAAACTGATATCTTCGAGCGCAAGTCGACTGGTCTTCGTCGCGTTCCACAAGCTGAGACTCGGCGGATCTACAGACTGCAGCCCCGAGCACGATTGCACCGATGCAAGTGCTCATCTGCGCATTTTAGGAGCTTCGGACATGCCCCCACTCTTGTGAAAAGCACGCGAGGGTGTCATGGTAGTACGGTTCAGGTAAGGCCGCGAAGACGATTGGAAGACGGCATTCCAGTGGGACCGGAGGCTAGTTACGCTCGCGAGATAGACCCACTGGCGATCCGTGCGAGCCCGTTTGTTGATGACGCTTCGGACCATGCAGCAATCATGACATCGGGTGAGTGAACTTGTTCCTCAAACGTTTAAAGGTTCTCACGAGTTCCCTCTGCCCGAGATCCCGGAGGAACATGCCTACATCTCTTCCCGCACGCCTGCCGCTTGGGACGATACTTCTCGGAGCCGACGTGAAGGCCAGTGAACACCGGATCGTGTGACGCCGACGCAAGACGATCCTACGCAACATCACAAGCACGGAGGGCTGTGCAAGGACTGCTTCTTACCGGTAGTGGAATTAATTGAGAACGCGGAGAAGAAGCATCGGGAACGGTGTAAGGCCTGAAACTGCCAGAGTCGACCATGCATGACGCTCATTCCGATCAGGGTGGCGGTGAGCCTAGGTGCGGGGCTAACAATGGGACACCTAGATTAGGGTAAGCGGTCTCTATGCCCTCAGCTGCGCATCGGGGGACGCGATCGGCTCAAAGCTAGTCATCATTAAATCGCTCGCTAATGTGACTTTCAGTAGACGAAGTGCCAGCTTTCCAGCCGGGCCTATTCTCACTTACATTCTGGTATGCATGACTAAAGCGCTATCCAGGCTTCAAACGGTGAAGAGCACAGCAATTCTCCTTCGTCGCAAGCTCTGTTTGTTGGCTCGGACTTCGGTACCCGTACCCTCCTCGCGCTTCCTCTGATTGCTAGCACGCGGCGCGCTCTGCCGACGCGGCGCGGGAAGTCCGCCACCTCCTGCTGTTCCCATCAATCGTCGGGGCGCGCATGTTGCGGTACCCGCCTCTTGATGCCCCCTATTCTATCCGTTCTCCACTGCAGGGGATGCAACATGGACTGCGTGTCTCGAGCTCGTTCCCGATGCTCGTCAGTGCAGTGCCCTGGTATGCTTCAGTGATCGTCGGGGTCGACGACCTCTGACACCGACGCTCACACGGGCTCGCGGGTTCAGGGCCTCATAATGTGGGGAAATATAAGATGAGGTGAGCATGGCTGGACTTATTCTCTTCACGTCGTCTTCGTCATGACCTCCTCACCTCCTCCGAAAGAGACTTCGGGTGCATCTGGGACCTCGGGTCTCCGCCGAGGAGAGGCATGCACGAACTGCAGGTACGTCTCGTTCCCTCAGCTCACTCATGAGCGCGCTAATTGTCTTTCAGACATAGGAAAATAGTGCGCCAGTCAGCTCCCACTGTGGCGTATTGACTGACCATCTGATCAGCGCTGCGACGGCGTGAAGCCAATCTGTGGTCCTTGCTCCCAGTCGACTACTGGACGCTGGCAGGAGTGCGACTTCGTCCCCTACAGCCGAACTGCCACCAGAGTCTTGAAGGAGCAGATTCAGTCCCTGGAGGCGCATATCGAGGAGTTACAGGCCGCCAAGTCCTCGGCGGATGCATCAGGTAAGCCTTCGCCAACGCGTCGCTTCAGTACGTCGACTGACGGGCTTTCAGCACGCAGTCAACAATCGTCTTCGCAGGGGATCTCACTCGTCCCCGTCGGAGCCAAGGATTCCCCTCAGCCGTCTCAGCGCGTGTGGTGCGTCGCCTACGCTTCGTCGTTTGACTGGCGCTTGCTCACTCCTGTCTCAGGCTTACTGCGTTCTTTGAGCGCGCCCACGACTTACATTTCTTCCTCGATATTCCTCGCTTCCGGCAGTCCTTCCAAACCCGCTCACCGGCTCCCCTTCCCGCCCTACTCGATGTGATTTACCTCTGGGGCGCACGGCTCTCATCCGATGCGGCCGCGAACGCATACGAGTCATCCCTCCTCGCGCGCTCCCGACAGAGCATCGCCACCGCGTCTACGGCGCCAGACACGCTATTGCAGACCATGCAAGCACGTCTGCTCTACGGCCAGTACTGCTATGCCATCGACAAGAACATCGAGGGCTGCTATCACATCACAGGGGCCTGGTCGCTGGCGCTTGGGACCGGCTTGCACCGTATAACGCAGGTGAACCCTACCCGCAGCGAAGACCGCGAGCGCGTGAACGCGTTCTGGCATACGGCTGTTCTCGCATGCCTTTGGTCCTGCACCGACGGCGCTCCTATGCCCGTCTCGTGTACCAGAGATATGGCCGTCATGACGCCTTGGCCCGGGGCCCCGCCAGCGCCGGTGAGTCTTAGTGGATGACAGTCCGGCTAGCGCTGACCCTGGTCTTCCACAGAGCATCGAAGGTAGAGGGACAATAGGCGACTTCTTCGCCGGTCACGAAGATGCAGGCGTCGGATCTCTCGCCCTCCTGTCGAAGGCCGCGGTAATCCTCCACCGATGCACCTCCTTCCGCGTGGATACTACGGGAGACGGTACGTCTGATACATTCCAGTTTTACGCATCGCTCAAGCATTGTAGCTTTAGCCAACGAAGGCATCGACATGCAAGTTCAGACCCTCGACGAAGTGATCACAGCACTAGGGCAGCGACTTCCACCTCTCCCTGAAGATGTGGGACCACTCCGCGCGGCGCTGTTGACGCACACAACCCTCCGCGTCGCCGTTATTCAGCTCCACACGCCCCTGTCGGACATGAACCCGTCGTCACGCAGGCAACGTGCTGTAGCTGCTCGGGCCATCGCGCGCATGGCGAGCGAGGCCAATATTGCTAGGTTGGGGTACCTTAATCCCCTCATGGCGGTGCGCATTCACGCACGATCATCAAGGTGTCTGATACGGTAGCTGAGTCCGCTTCAGGCATTCTGGTCGGCAGCGTGTCATGCATTGATCGACGAGCTTGTGCTGCTGCGAGGAACGAACCCCGCCGAGGACGTGCGAGAGTGGCTAGGAGCGTTGGGCGCGCTGGAAGAAGCGATGAAGATCTTCGCCCCTAGATGCCCGATATTCGGTGAGGATTCATTCCCGTCGCTTCTTGTCGACGAACTAACGCCATTCGGACAGAGTCAAAGTTGGCGATAGTTAGGCAGGTTCGCGTAGCGGTGGGCATATGATGCGCGACTGTAGACAAGGACTCCTCTCAGCGGGAAGCTTGGTGGACTTTCATCTCGGACACATTCGTTCTGCTGGACTTTGACGTGCGTCGCGGATACTCTGGACTTACATATACCCGGCTTCTACTGAACTCATCCTCCACTTCATGGACATCTTACTGGACTCGGACCTCGTATATACCATTACGGACGCTCGGACGCTTTGATTCCCAAGACCGACTTTCATTTCGTGTCTATACTTCCCGTCTTTCCCTCAGTATGATATCGACACCCTTCTCCTCTCCAAGAACACCGCGTGCAATGGAACACGCACTTCAAGAAGCCCCTGCAGGGATCGTCAGTCCACGCAGGTCCAATCCGTCGGCGGGTCTGAGCAGAACGATGAGCACAACGCTGTCAGGAGCGGGAAGTCAAGTACTCACCATATAAGGTGCACGTGAGCGTCGCGAACTCGTCCTTGCCGTATCGCCACGCAGCACTTCTGGGAACGAGGTTCACTAGACGGGCGCGTACGCCATTCGTCTGCTGATACGACACCTGTACGGAGATAGAAGGATACGGACAAATATCCGGCCTAAACGAGTTTTCACAAGCCGTCGCCGTGAACAACTCGGTCACCGTTGGGTCGTGCAATAAGGGCAGATTGACGAGGATAAGATCGTTTCCGCTGGGCTGGCGGTTCAGCCGGGCGAGGATTTGCTGATAGTTGCTTTCAACGAAGGCGCGTGCGATTACGACCAGGAAGTAGACGTCCTTCGACTTCACAGTGGGGCATGTACTCCCTGTCGATCGTCAGATACGAAATCGAATCGAGCTCATGAGAAGCACATACCAGCTCGGCTTGCGAAGTGTACATCGCAGAGGTAGCGATGCTCCCCGGTGCTCCAATGCGCTCGCTGACAATCTGTGGAGCAATAAAGGGCTTCTCCGCAGGGGCAGGAACGCAGCGCAGCAGATTCAGAACTAGCGCACTGGAGGTAAAGTTAGCCAAGTTGCCTTTGAGAATTCTACGCATGCATCGCTTACCATGTAGTTGCAGCACTTGGCCACGCTCGACCACTGTTCCTCAGCCTCTATGAGCAGAGCGTAATGGCGATCGGCAACGTCCAGAACCGCTCGCTCATCCTCTCGCAGCGGGACGATAGGCATGCGAGCCGCGTAGTTCTCATAAGCCGTATGGAAATTCGCGACAGCTCGACGGGACCAGAAGGTATTGCGAATGTAAGTCATCAGTATGCCCGTGGCTCCGCCAGAGGAGACCTGCTTGGAGCCGTAGGGAACGACTCCGGTCGAGCAATGCGAGCAGATGCTCCGTATGCGGACGAGAAGAGGGAACAGTCCATGCTTGATGCAGAGCATTGTCGCGTGGTCCGAGTGACCACACAATGTACACAGAAGCATGAAGATCTGCACCCAGAGGTTGTGCGAATCGGGAGCGGCGGTAAGGTTGTCGTCGAGTATCGTGACCAGAGTCGCGATGAACGAGCTGGGCAGCGTCTCCGGACCAACATCGTACGGGCGAATGATAGCGGCTACGAAGGTCGTTTGCTCCCCAATCTCGTCCCGCTCTCGTGCGACAGCGCCCGCGGCCGATAAAGCGCACAGATACGCAGCGCCGGCGCGAAACACGTCCCTCGCGCTGCCGCCGGCGACACGCATAATCTGCGTACGAAGGACGTCCTCCGCGGGCTGGCCCTCGAAAGAATCCCATACGGAGCCAAGGAGGCACGCAGACCACATAACCTCGCGGGGACCCATGTCGAGGGCCGGCACAAGGTCAGTCCAGCGCACCCACAGTGTAACGAGGGTGTGCAAGACATCGTTACTGCCGCCGAGTAGGCACGACCGCACCTGCTCCTTGGGGAGCGATGTGAGGCACTCGGTGATCCCGATCACAGTGGAAATGCGGAACAGTACATGCTGCCTGGCTTCTTTGCATAGGTGGATATCGGAGATGTAGCCAGAGGGAAGAAGATAGTCCGCCCAGCGAAGTAGATGTGGCCATATGGAATCGTCGAATGGCCACAGCTGACGGTCCAGCTTCGCAGGAATCGAGAAGTGAAGGAACTTTAGCGCGATGAACGCCACGCATATCGCTTTTCCAGCGGTCGTGTGCACATAAAGCTCGAAGGGGATACCAGGTGGCGCAGCCAAGACGATGTCAAGGGGACGTGCGCGTAGGGCTCGCTTCGCAGCCTTGACGTGCAAAGCCTCCTCCGACGCGAACATCGTCGGACCTTCATCCTGGGAGCGCGCCAAGGCAGAGACGGCTCCAAAGAGAGTCTGGAGGTCTCCCGGCTGATGCAAAGGATTTGAGAGGTCGGGCAGAGCAAAATCGGGTGCAGTGGCCATAGAGCAACGACGAAGGATCAGCGTGTCGGTGATGGCAAGAGGAAAGATCGTTGGCGAGCAGAAAGGCGTCGACTGGGCGGCGAAAGAATTCCCGGCGACGATCTTCGACGTGTCATCCTGTCAGTCCGCGGCTTTTGAGCTGCATTCGGAGCTTGCCGTTCAAAGCCAAGATCTGCGTCGAGTAGACACAGAAGCTCTCAAGCGCAATCCAGGGTACATTGTGACGCCAGTATGATGTTCACGGTCGAAGTGCAAGATGAAGGACAGAACGAGCAGAAGGCGAAGTCACGGTGGGACTCGAACCGAATATGTGGCGTCGATGTGGCGCACCGGACGAGGGCCGAAGCAGGGTCCACCAGAATCGAGTCGCGGCAGGGAAAGCGTGGCACGCGCTTGGTATACGTGCTCAACGGCCGAAACAAGAATAAGCAAATTAGTAGGGAATCGACCTGAAACGGCGATTAAGTAGATTCATAAGAAATACACATCGAGCTCCGCAAGCAGGAAGAAATGGAACCGATGAGAGCCATACAGCATGTTGTTGGACGACCAAGAAGACGATATCACTCGTTCAGCAGGCGAGTATTATAGCGACAGCAGATCTAGGCCTCGCTCAAGTCGTAGGAGGATCTGCGAGACGTCAGCTCGAGGTATACATCGTGGACATTGCGCACGAGCAGCGTGCTCACCATAAAACAGGTCCAACACCCGCCGCCGCCCCTCCCGCGCAAGGCGCCACGACGCCGTCCGCGGAGTAAGCCGGACCACCCGAGTCCGCGGCGTGTCGCCCTGCATATGCTCGACATGAACGCAGAACGTCGGATATGGACAGGGATCCAGGTGGATCTCCGAGTCCAACTTCGCGCCGGTGGAAATGTCGGACAAGGTCTCGCGCAGATTGGTGAGGCTGAGGTCGACGCGGACGCACTCGTAGGCGCCCGGTGGGCCACGGACGCGCACAAGAATGGTAGCATAATTCTTCTCGACGTAAGAGCGTGCAATGACAGCTAAGAAGTGCGCGTCCTTGGCGCGCATGGGGATGACGGTGTAGACTATCATGGAAATCAGACGACGAGAGGGTCAAAGAGAGAAGTACGGTATCTCACAGTCGGGGCGAAGGCGACGCGGTGATCACCGATGCTCCAGTGTTCCCTCTGACACATCGTCGAGCTATGCTGTTAATTCTGTCAAAAAATGAAATCGACCCGGAACTACCTGAAGAAGCAAGCATTCTACTTCAATCGTAGTATACTCCCATAGTGCGCGCTATGATAGCTCATCAAGTGTCACCGACGGCGCCCTCTTTCGCCCCGAGAACTTATGGAGTGTCGCCCGAGCAGTCGAAAGTCGTCCCGAGTTCTTCGAATTGCCGTCCGGGCTCCCCTTTTGACCCGAGAACTTGCAGCGGCACTGTCCGAGCTATACATTTTGGTCGAGATAGTATACGCAGGAGAGATACTCGGGCGATGGTCGAAGCAAGCAGGTTCGACTGCCCGCTTGCCTTATTTAGGTTGAGGGGGGTCGTGGCGGCCACGTGAGCCACGCGGTTCGAGCGCTTACGCTGGATTCGACGGAAGGGAGCTTGGCAGTAGCGTTGGCAGCCTCTTCAGCCATATCTGAGGCATAGGATCGAGATATGTATCCCATATATAGACGATCTGCTAAACTATGACTTCAACCATCCTCACAGGCTGATCTCGAGGTGCACGTCGATGCCTGGCCCAGTAATTGACGTGCTGGTGGTCAGTCCAGCCACTTTAGCGCTCTAATTAGCATACATATATAGCCAATAGGCCTTCTCAAACCCTACGACATACAATTTGGTTAAGATATAGACTACGAACACACGACGAAGGGCTTGCAGGCGCTCAGTGCACGTGCCAAGGTTGGTGCACGTGCCGGGGCGAGACCCCCAGTCCAAATCAGGAAGGCAGGCAGTTGAACCTGCTTGCTTCGACCATCGCCCGAGTATCTCTCCTGCGTATACTATCTCGACCAAAATGTATAGCTCGGACCGTGCCGCTACAAGTTTTCGGGTAAAAATGGGAGCCCGGACGGCAATTCGAAGAACTCGGGACGACTTTCGACTGCTCGGGCGACACTCCATAAGTTCTCGGGGCGAAAGAGGGCGCCGTCGGTGACACTTGATGAGCTATCATAGCGCGCACTATGGGAGTATACTACGATTGAAGTAGAATGCTTGCTTCCTCAGGTAGTTCCGGGTCGATTTCATTTTATTGACAGAATTAACAGCATAGTCGAGCAGTATAGGAATTCTCCGCAAGGGCAGGACCGTACGGGCGTTCCCCGTGCGTTGGAACACTGAAGAAAGACAGACGCTTCGGAACGTTTTGCGCAATGATGCGTACCTTTGAATTACTGCAGATAGCTATCGCGCGCCATTCCTGATCTGCGCGTAGAAGTAGAGCGTACCGCCGCTCTCCAAGGGTCACGACAGCTTGCTCGTCGACCCGTAGCGGCCCGTCGGGCATGCGGGTGGCATAGCGACTCTGTGCTTCACGGAAGCCCTTCACAGCGCGTCGATGAAAGAGGCCGTCGCCAAGGAGCGTCAACACCATGCATGTGATACTGACCTCTGGGTTCGATTGACTGGGGTTCGCCAGAAGCGGGTGGCAGAGGCGCCGCACGCGGACTAGAAGCGCGAAGAGGCCATATTTTGAGGCAAAGGCGACGGCATAGTCGGACCGGAAACACATCTCGGTAAGTGTTTGGAGAACGCACGTCCAGAGCTCGTGTGTGTCCGGGGAGATGCTGAGATCGTCGTCCAAGGAGTTGATGAGCGCCGCGATATAGGATCCGGAGAGCCCATGCGCGCCCGAGTCGCAAAGCAGCGTCATGCTCTTCATCAGATTCACCTGGTTCACCAGGCCGGCGCGGCCAATACTTCCGGCCGAAGTGCGTATGTTGAGATGAGTGGCGCAGAGGCGGGAGAGTCGCTTCGGTCGATCGCCCAGCATGTGCAGAATTGGTCTGACGAATATCTCCTCGGTGACTTCCATGGGAAAACACGTCCATGCATCATACATGACATCCTGGCAGGAAATGGAGCCGTATACGTTCATGCCCAAGCTCTGTATGCGTATCGGCCAGCGGACCCACAGCGCGAAGAGAAGATGCAGGGCATGGCGATCGTCGTTCAGAAGCGCCTCCCGTGCTTCTGAAGGCGATAGACGTGTCACGCTGTCGAGGACGCCGATGAACGTCTCGACCGCGGACTTCTCCATCGCATCGAAGACGTCAAGAGCGTTGGACAGGCTATAGATGGGGTAGAGAGACAGGAACCAGCGGAGCGAACGCGCCCACATGCTGTCGTCGAACGTCCAGAGTGAGCTGAGGCCATCGTCCGCTACATTTTGCAGGGATTTGAGCGCGGTGAGTGCGTCGATGATGCCTTGGCGTGAGTCCACAGAGGCGGGGAGGAAGATATGGATATCATACGGCTCCTCTAGCAGGAAGTGCAGCGGACGGGAGGCGAGAAGTTTATTCGCGGTCTTGACGTGGTGCTGCTTGTTGCCCTTGAGCGCACCAGGAAGACGGCTTCGCTGTATGCTGTCGAGGGCGTGGTTCAGTTGAGCGATGTCAGCTGCCCAGGACGGCATTCCGCGCAAGGTAAAGCTCAACGTGGGCTTGTCGGACGGCACAGAAGATGTCGAGGAGCTCGAAAGGGCGATGAGAGTTCTTGACAAGTGCGGCTATACGAAAGAGGAGGAATGTGGCGTGGGAACTATTTCCAAAAAGGTGACATTTTGTGGCGCCGGGTGTCACCCTCACAGGCTCGCTCCCATCGCGTTACCGCCATAACGATCCCACTCGCCATGCTGTAGCTACAGCATATCATATGCGAGATGCTGCTCGAGGAGAGGGACCGTTCTCGACACCGAGCGCGTGGCCGACTTCCTGCGCGTTCTGTTTCCGGGCGCCGTTCGAGCTCTATTACTCCGCCCACCACAATTTAGGCGCACGAACATTGCAGACGCACTGCGGGATGGAATAGGGTCCGCGAGCTGGTGATAGAACATCCACGGCCGGACTACATCGATTGCATCTATGAGGAGCTCTGTAGTATTGGCGAGATCGTGTGGACTTTGGATTTCAATCGCAGGACTAGGTCTCTAGGATACTGCGTCCCAGACAAGACCATCAATGACATCCAGTCCACTCGGTGCAGTGTGGAATACCGGGAAAGGGTCGAGGCTTATGCGAATAATCGATATGCAGTAGTTTGGATTCACGAAGGAGCAGCATCACCATCCGACAAAGCCGCCGACAAGTCTTCGAGGAAAAATACATGTGCGCGACTCCGCCTCCTTTCTCCTTCCCGATAAAACCCATTGACATAAAGCGCAAGGCCCGGTAGAGCGCACACATCATGGACCTGCAAGTCCAGCCGCTTCGTCTCAAACGCGTGGTCCACCGTCATGATCGGCGTCTTCGTCAGACCCTCGGGGCCTATTTCTGCGGAGATGTCCTCCCAATGTCGCCTGACGTAGTCGAAGGCGATCACTCTCATGAAGTATGCGTCGCGCGGCCGTAGGGGCGCTTTGAGCGGTCAGAGAGGGTTCCTGTGCTCGCCATTGCGTCCGCTCACCTAGTTCGGGGTGTCTATTTCCTCGTAGATCACAGCGAAGCTTGTGCGCTTCCCAGTGTGCGCGCTGGCATGTCGAGGAGCAATACTGCACATTCCCGCACGGGCAAGCACGCAAACGGACATCTGAAGGGCTCGTGCACTGTTGAATGGAGTCGATTCACCCGACGTGGACGAGATAAAGGAGAGTACCTCCAAGTTATAGCATCGCAGTGAGTTTGGCCAGGAATCGTCCACCGCCTTGAGTATGCTATACCTGTTGGCAGCGAGTTCGAGCAGCGTTTGCTCTTCGGGGAGGTACCCTTGCCACCACGCCGCTTCGGGAAGCCCATCGTGAAAGCGTCTCACGGCTTCGGGATAGGATAGCGAATAGCTGATGAGATCACGTAGCTTGCGAAGGCTATCCTCCACCCCGGCGTCCACGGCATCCATCTCGGCGATGGTTGTGAAAATGCCAGTGTCGAGAGAAAGCAGAAGTGCACGACCCCTTAGAGCCCAGAGGCGATGGATCAACTCAGCTGTGATGAGGCGAAGCTTGGTATGCGCACGAACTGCCATCCGGAGGATATGGGTGGCAGACCGGATGATTCCGCGAGGGAATTTGCGTAGTTGCAGGTCAGGGTACATCAGAAAAAGGCATGATACCACCATGATGGATGCCGCATCATCGCAGGCTTGAACATCATTGGCGTCGGCTAGTCGAGCAGTAATGTCACGAAGACGAGCGTCTATAACGCGGAAAAGCTTCCGCGGCTTGCCGTGGACGGCGCGCAGCATATACGTGCAAAATAGCGTCAGAGTCTCGTCGTCTGGACCGACGCGGAGGGCGAGCCAAAGCGCTTGCATCGAGTCGATGCAGCGGGATCTGAGCGCCGCCGCTTCCTCGTCCTTGACCTCGCCAATCACCTCAGGCCAGCGCAGCCAGACGGTCATGATATCCGAGATCACGTCGTGCCCGCCTGACAGCAGGATAGGACGCGCGCGCTCGGGCGGCATTTCGAGCACCCTCCGAATGGTCTTGAGCATGCACTCCATGGCCTTCGGCCAGTACGCATGATACCGCAGAGAGGGCACGGAGGTGAACGACAGACCATGATTGAGCGGGAGGAGGTACGCGAACCATCGGAAGACCCTCGGCCACACGTCGAGCGGTTCTATGGCATCCCATACCGCAGAGCAGCCGAGGTCGATGAGATGCGCGCCGTAGCTTATGGACGTGAAGCTGGTCACGATATCGATGGCGTCCGGGGTCATCACGAAGTCCGGGAGAGGCATATCAGGCGGGTCGCTGAGGATGAGTTGCAAGCTGCCTGTGTCGATCAAGCGTATGGCGTCTCTGACGAGACCTCGAGCCTTCCCATTGAGTAGTCGTTTGCGAGATTGCGAAGTTTGTACACCTATGAGGCCTTCGAGAGTGAAACACAACCTGGCGGAGGGCGAGCCCGACATCGGGTCGCGATCGGCTCGGATAGGCTTCGATACGGTGGTTTATGAGCTGGCAATCGTGTAATCTGTGACAGGTACTCACTAGTGCCACGAGAGTATACGCTGCTTGAAGCGAAGTCCTTGCAGGTACGAGGTCAAGCGTCAAGGAGAACCGTGGATCCGACCCACAAGTCGTAATGCCAACGAGGGTAGAGAGCAAGTTCGAGCGTGGGAAAATAAGGCAGCCTCGCCACAGCTAGTCGGACGTTCTCATGCGCCGAACAGTACTTGCTGTTGCGATATGATGAGAGACGCGGACGTTCGAGTCCGATGGTGCTTAAGTCGGCTCTTGAGCTTCCGAAATCCTGCCAAGCTGTATTTTTTGTTCACTGAGCCGTTCAAATTATTGATCTGAAGGCCCTGACGTGACAAGTGAGGCGTGTGCTGTAGAGAAACATTAAGTACTAGCTTCAGACATTGCGCGCGCGACCTTTCGACGAACCCAGGAGGCGTCTCGACCATAGCAGACACAGCGGAATATCTGACCTTCATCGGGTTGCAGGAACTTCAAAACACGATATCTTCCTAATCCGACCTGCCTCAGATTCTTAATCCCGTACGAAGAGAGGCGCAGGAGGCCCCTACGCAAGACAAGGTGTTTGAGCTAGACAGTCTGCACTGTGCGAGATCAGTCGAGCTCAAGAACGATAAGCGACTCACATACTTAGCTTACAACGAGACCATCGTCCGCGCTGCAACCGAATTCCTGCAAAATCAGCTAGCATGAGCGGCCTAGAGCTATGGGAGATTTCATGAGACACCAGCAGTAGAAGCAAGAGCTCAACTTAAACGGATATCGTGAGCCTCGCGTGTGAGCTCGACTAGGTTCCCGCCCCTCTGGGCCCTCAAGCTTGAAGATCGCGTGGAACTCGGCGCAGACTTTAGAGTCAGAGCGCGTATCGCGCACTCCAGGCGTACAGAGTTACATAGGACGATCATTGAGTCAGAATCACAGAGTGAAAGCGTACCTTTCGAGGATGGACTCAAGCGCACAGCGCTCAACTGCCGGACGTCGGCGTGAAGACGAGCACGCTGCTAAACATGCGGAGGCTTTTCGATCGCCTCGCAGATCAGATTCCCCGGAGGTATGGACAAGCAGAAAGAACTACAACGCATTCTCGACCTCTAAACCCGCTTTTGGGAGCAGGATGCTGGCGGTATGTGCTGCATTCCAGCCTACGTGGGAGACTAAGGTGATGGTTGCGGTCAAGTGCTTCCGTCGGCTGATCCGGCCGGAAACGTGGGAACAGACACGTCGGGCAGACCAGATTTTTTCTGCTGAAAAAAGCGAAGAAAAAAGAGGGGAAAAAAGAGGGGAAAAAAGTGAAGAAAAACAGGCTTTTTGTGCGAGGAAAAAGCACGGATTTTAGGACAGAAAAAAGAGATCAAAATGGAAGTATTTTTGTGCACAAACAAAACACCTTTTCAAGCAGAAAAAAGCAGCGAAAAAGATGTGCTTTTTGCGCTGCTTTCTGCACAGAAAAAGAACTGTTTTTTATGCAGAGAAAAGTAAGTAAAAACAGTTCCTTTTTACGCGCCTTTTACGACGGAAAAAAACTTCTTTTTTGAGCGAAATAAAACGGGATTTTTCCGTTCCTTTTCACGTGGAAAAGCACGTTCTTTTCACGTGCAAAAAAGCACGTGAAGATACTCTTTTTTTCCGCGCAAAAAGAGCACGTTTTCCCTGCGAAAAAAGTGCTCTTTTTCGTCATAAGAAAAAGACGAAAAAAGCGGGTTTTTTCTGAAGCAGAAAGCGCCCTTTTTACGCACATAAAGATTCCCTTTTCACGCCAAGAAAAACAGCTTTTTTCCACAGAAGAAAGCACTCTTTTTACAGACAGAAAAGTGGTCTTTTTGCAGAGAAAAAAGTGCCTCAATCGGGCGAATATTCGAGCGATGAACCCGGACTTTCGGGAGATCACTCAGACATGCGATGCAACTCCCGAGCATACGAAGAAGATGCACTGACCTCAAACAATCTCTACGTGCCACAGTTGAGATGCAACTCACGGAGACGCATCGCCCGAGCCCGACCCACCCTCAGACAATCGGGGTGCAGCGACGACGAAGTTCGGACGATGGCTCGGCAATACCTTGTTTTCGGGCGAACTGAGGAGCTTCATCGTCGCTAGCATGTCACACTGTGTGCGACCTATGTGCGAACTGTGTGCGAACTGTGTGCGAACTGTGTGCGACCCGTGTGCGCACTGTGTGCGACCCGTGTGCGACCCATGTGCGACCCGTGTGCGACCCCTGGTTGCGACCCATGAGTACCCCGCCCCGTCGTGCTCGCGGTAGATGATATAGCCCTTTGTTGCAAATGAGACCTGCGCTTCCGCGTCGTATGCATGCTCACCAAAAGATACCTTCGCGCTCCTGATCAGAGGCGCCGCCTCGCACTTCATGCCACGCGGATCATGATCGTCTCAGTACCTCCTTCCACCAGGCCGAGTTGACGGACTACGAGGCCGGGCTCACCGTCGTCGGCAGCTTCGCGACCGTCGAGGAGTTCTGCCGCTACTTCAACTGGCTCAAGCCGCCCTCGCACCTCGAGCGCAACTCGAACTACCACCTCTTCAAGTCCTGCATTAAGCCGATGTGGGAGGACCCCGCGATCGCGAACGGCGGCAAGTGGGTGCTCACAATGAAGAACAACCCGCAGCTGCTCGACCGCTGCTGGAACTGGCTCGTCATGGCGCTCGTCGGCGAGGAGCTCGAGGAGGGGCACGACGAGATCTGCGGCGCGGTTCTCAGTCTGCGAACGTGGACCGCATCCAGGTGTGGACGCGTGGGAAGGACGATGTGCAGCGCCTGAACGGCATCGGAAAGAAGCTCGTCAAGCTGCTCGACATCTCCGAGGCGGACGGCCTCGGGCTGCAGTTCCAGTTCAGCACGGAGGCTAGGCCACAGCCAAACAAGTTCCTGTCGATCCAGGCGATGCCGCAGTCTGGCTTCCGCAACTCGTTCCATGGGCCTCTGGACAGCGGTGCGCCCTTCCACCACCCTCCGCGGCAGGACACAGCTTTGCCAGTCGGTGGGCCGCAGTCCGCTGTTTCGGACCCCAATGTGAGCGTGTTCGGTGGGTTCGGCGTGGGCATAGGCGGGCCCGGCTGACGCGTACCCAAGCGCGGATAGGTTGTGGCCGCTGCGCGAGGATGGCTGGGCGTAGGTTGGCATATTGAGGAAGCGGGCTGCATGCTCTGCACGCTATGTTTGCCGTGGATTACCTCGTACTCGTTGCCAAAGAAGTCGACCGGCGGAGTGTTGAGAGGCTTCCACGTCCCTCCGTCGTTGTGCGCTATCCGCGACTGCAGCGCTTTGCGACCTGTCCAAATCGCCTCGTCAGCGTTGCCGACGATGTTGATGAGCGCAATGACATCCAGGCCAATCATCTACGAGTAACATGTCAGCCTGAGTATAGCTTATAATCCAACGATAATCCAACGATAATTACCTTCTCGAAGTCAACGGATCCCCTCTTATCACGGTTGACGTGCTCGGCGCTGACACCGGAGTACATCCCGGTCGAGTTACTCTTCAGGACGATGTCCCAGTTCAGGCTGGATGGCTCCGACACTGTCATGTGAAGGAACACCAAGTTGTCCGAGGATTCAAAAGACAGTGTAGGCCTGTACGCATTCAGCATCGTAAACGTCCCTGTCACGAACGACTACTTACAAGCATCTCGGAGTGCAGGCTGGGCGGAAAGCGACCCTTGGCGAAGTTTGCGCCGGCAAGCGAGACTTGCAACTGCAGCGAGCGCGACTTGGGACCCATGGCAGCAACGACAAGGTATTCGCTGAACTTGACAAAGCTGGCGACATGCTCAAACATGCGGCACATCTGGGCGAGCACAAACGTCAGCATGACCTGCGCATTGAATGTCCTTTGGAGCCCACCTTCATGTAGTAGTTGCTGCCAACAACCAGCTCAAGCGGGTTCTCCCCACCGAACATCCGTTGGCTACCCTTCTTGTCTCGGAAGCTCTCGCACCAGATCTTGTTGGGATCCGCAGCAAGGCGCGCATCTCGGGCCCATGCACAGTGCTGCACGCACTCGTCGATCGTCGTCCATCTACGGCCGTTGTCTCGAGAATACGCTACATTCGCAGTTCGTTAGTCTCGAGCTGTTGTATCCCACTCATACGCAACTGCCATGCACTTCCCGCCATGACCCTCGCAGTCCTTGTTGCTCACCCAGATCAAGTAGTCCGACGTCGGATTGAAGCGCAGAACCGGCGTGCGGAACGTGTTCGGCGGGTTGGATGCCTCCTGCGGGTACCAGTTCCGTCCGGCGTCCGTGGTGTAGTAGAAGCGTGTGCTCAGTTGACGAGGTACGCGCGGTCGCCGGGGTACTTGTGATGGTAAAAGCCGAGAAACCTGGCGACGCAAGGCAAATGAGCGACCTGCCATATGACAGTGGCGTGGAGTGCTAGCTCACCGCTCCTCAGGAAAACGCTGAGTCCAGTATACCCCTCGTTTGCGCTTTGCCAGATCGTACGGGCCGCTACGCGTACAAGGATGGTCTATTATAGTGCAACCGTGAGCATTCGGTCCCAAGTCAGACGATCCAGGCAGCTTACTGGTGAATCCTTAAAGTCTGCATGCTGCGCCACCACTGCCGGAAACTCGAAGGTCTGATGTACCACATCGCCTTCCGCCGGCTCCGCCTAACTGCACTGTTTCTCTACTGGTGCGTCCTTCGCTATTCCACCCTCGCAGATGTCGCCAGGGATCTTGCAATATCCGCTCGAGCCTCGGTATGTCTCGTCTGGTTGCCCTGTTGTGCAAGTTCTACTAAAGAGCATCAGACGGGCGACAAGGGGTGCATATAAGACCGTAAGCTCACCCTGCTGGTACGGGCTCTGGTACTACAGGTACGCAACTGGCGCCTTGGCAAATGAAGTTGAAGTCACTAAAGGAACTGTAAGCCTCACGAAACTCACCATTCTTAGTCGCTTTCACCGCGCTCGCAGGGCTCGTCATGCTCTACAGGCTCGCTGAACTTCTTGCCGACGTAGCGATCGGCATTGGGCTTTCTGCGACGGTACCATTGCTGTGATGAGCGATGTGTGAGTTTACGCTGTGAATGTAGACGGTCCAAACGGGCAGGACTGATAGACAAGCACCTTGTGTCATAGCAGGCACTCAGCCTATCCGGAGCGCGCATGCCACTTCTCAAAGTCGTTATCGCCGCACTTGCGATTGCGCGTGTCTGAAGTAAAGTGTCAAATAAAACATAGATGGGCGAATCAGTCCCGCATACCCGCGAAGTCGAGCCATTGTACCACGTAGGTCCGACTTCTTGTCGCTCTGATCCCTGCGCGCGACCTGGCCCATTGACAGCGTTAGCTAACTGGCTTGTACACATTTCTTGCCATGGGCAGTTGCTGAAGAATGCGCTCACCCAACACCAAAAACTTCCGACTCGTACTATCCAACACCGTCACCAGCGCTCGCGAGTCGCGCCCTCAACCGCTGCCCGAAATCGCACATCTCCTACGTCCGCCCCCCATCCCCCGACCACTTCACCTCGCCCGTCGCCTCCTCGTTGTCGATCAGCACCTGCAGCGACCCCGCGTCCTCAAACTCGTACTTGTGCGCGCCCTCGTCCGATGCGGGTCTAGGTGAGGCCAGTGTCAGAGGAGAGGTGGGTGTCGGAGTCCTCGTAGGGGGCGAGGGCCGGGCCTACGGAGCCGACGGCCGTAACGTAGCCGGGGGCGGGACTGGAGACGACGCGTCCGAGTTGTGAACGGTGGTGACTGAGTGAATATACAGTGGGCAGCTGGGAAGGAGAAGTCAGCTTGAATGAAAGAAGAGGCATGGATAGATATGCAGAGGTAGAAAGTGCGCGTGAAGGGAATGAGTCTGCTTACTTCTCGATGTCCCTCGTATCGCAGTTGCTTCCCTGGAGTGCGCAGATAGGGGACCTCCATCTGCCGTTGTCGAAGGTGATCATAGCGCGCAAGCACTTGGTGACGCCTGAGTTCCAGCTTGATCTGCGTTCGCAGCAACATTGGCGAAGCCAACACCGTATACGCCGTAGATATGCTCATGATCGACATAGCTGCGCGCCGCGTCAGTAAGGATTAAACATAGGGCAAATGCCACGGACCCCATTGAGTTCCTGTTTGTGTCCGCGAGGCTCTCCACGAAGTACGTCTCTGTCCAAGTTGCTCACAAAGAGCGTACCGGCCACGCCGTCGGTGTCACCGCGGACTACGTTGACTGCCAGAGAATGGGGGGTGCTTTCGACGATGGTATACGCGTTCTTCTTGAGGAGCGTGGATGAGGATTGGGGGAGCTCTGCATGAGCCCAGTTCTGCACATCGGTTGAGACGTAGAGGCGCGTGTCGGCATGGGTGATGTCGCGAAGTGCGACCACAGCGAACTTGAACACGATAGCGAGCGCAAAGACGTCTTTGGCGGCCTTTCCAATCCCATGATCTCGAATCCAGACGTCGTTCTGCGCAGCACGTCAGCACCAAAGTATTGTGCAGGCCCAGGCACGCACCTCGAAGAAATCTGTGCTCGCAAACAATCTGCTGCTGGGGTGCTCGACGGGGCGTTGGACAGTCTCCTGCGGCTCAAGCTTGACCTTGTCGGGACCACCAAGGCTGTCCCAGGTGACGGTCGGGCCCTCAACAACGGTCTTGCAGGGCACGGATGGGTTGGAGGTACCGAGGGTGAAGCGAAAGCTGTCCATGGTGATACTGAGCAAGTCGATCACCTCAGCGTTGATGGTGTCCTCGTCGAGGTCTGTCGACCGCGCATCACCACTCACCGCCTCCTTCTCTCCCCTTCGCAGCATTCTCCACCGTTGGCTCGGGGAAAGGCTTCTCCAGCACGCCTGGGAAGCGCCGCACAACCAAGTTGACTCCGCCCTCGACCTGCTCGCCCATCCCCTCGTCAGACACAGATGCGGCCCACGCGATGTACTTTGTGCTCACTCGCTCAGAAGTCGACCTTCATGTGCTCCTCGAAGACCAACATCTGCACCTCTTCAAAGATCTGGCGCTGTGAGAGCGCGCGCGCGCGAGCGGGCTTTGAGGGCTTGCGGCCGAGCTCCATCTTCTTCGCAAGCGTCGTCTGCTCGTCATTGTGCTTCAGGTTCCCACGCACTTCTTGTACATGTTGCGCTCCCACTCCTTCACGCCACTGGCGACAACTGGAAGCAGCGCCGCGACCGTTGTCCTGCCCTGGCTAGTGTAGTATCACGCCCCAGAAAGGACCTCTTGTACACGCTGAAAAAGCGCTTGAAGCCTTACTTGTAGACGTGGAGGTCAGGGAGATTCGGGAGGAGATCACCGATGGCCAGCGAGGAGGACGATGATGCCAATAATGCGCTCGAGGTTTTCTCAGAAGGGGCTAGTGGGTGTATATTGCGGTGGCTCGCGTTGCTTGTGATTCCTTGTCGCAAGCCAGGTGTCTGACAGCGTCGATCTGGTCGGAGCGACACGCAATGAGAGTGGTGATTTATATGCAGGATATTCTTGTCTATGCGGTAGCAAAGGATCCGTATCGCCAGGTGCAGCACGAGGCATCCGGCCGAGACGCTCATATATGATCATCCGCTGGATTCTGCTTCTTGCCGAGGATGCCAGGCTTGTCGTGCCTGGCAAAGGATCTCAGCTTGCGAGCGGAGAGAATATGGGGTAACGCACCTGGATTCCTGAATGTCCATCCCACCCACGACATGATCGCCGACTCCTTCGCACGTATAGCTCACGCCTCCTCTCGTATCCTTCTTGTGACCGTTGTAAGCAGCTGCGTCAGTTGACAGATATTGGGGTAGGTAGGTCGGAGACATACGACAGCGCATCCCCTCACGTCAACCGATCAGCACCTATGTGGTGTCGTTAGCATGGCGGATCGAAAAGCCGCGCATTTTCGGGACACACCATGCCAGAAGAGCTTGAGAGCCCCCCTACTCTCATACTGCCTGCAAGATGATGGAGACTCTCAGAGGCAAAGCCGCGGGGCCTCGAGCGCTGAGATCGGAGACGCAGACGATCACAGCAGGAAGCAAGAGGTGTGACCTGCGTTATGTGTGACGTTCGGTCACGGGAACCAAACGCGCACAAGCAGTGTGCGCCCACAACCTGGTTTTGACCTGGTTTCAATGATCCCCGAGCCGGTGATCAACAAAAAGGTATGTATACGATCTGTTTGCTTTCATATATCTCTTGAGTTGACGCTGGTGGCTGTAGGATGGGTGATCGAACAAAAAGTGCTGAAAAGTGCCGGGCTCGACGTGCACGTCTTCTAGCAGAGGATCCAGATGAATATCACGCGCAAAATCGTCTGCGGGCTGAAAGACAGAGATTGTAAGGATCATGGTATCATGGGTGTCTAGAGTTCTGACAATACGTCGTAGAAAGCGTCAGCAGGACGCTGAGGCCAGAGGATTAACCTATAAGCCCCGCACATCTGGCTACACACCTCGGAGTAAGGCCGCGATTCCTCTTAGCGTTTCCCCGAACCGCTCTACGTCGCCTACGCCAACTTCTCCCGTTTCCTCTACCCAGCTTGCATCTGTGGCCACTCAAAGTGCGCGCATCGAGCAGTGGCAGTCAGACTTTCTGCCAGGACTTGATCACGGACCCGACCTCGATCTACCCTCGTCCTACGTTCAATCCCTCAGGGTGGTGGGCACTGCGATCAAAATTTGGGAGATATCGTACCCATCGATTTCGGGGCTCTTTTGCAACGCCGACTGGGACAGCAAAGCCTACGCAGAGGCCTGCTTGATCAAGGAACATCTGCAGCTGTCTGTCGGCCTCTTCATCGAATATGAAGCGGTGCGAACTCACGAACGCACTGTAAAATCTTCCGCAGAAGCTGCTGGTCCTATCTTGTCCTCACTGGAGAACGCGTGGGCGCTATGTCCCATACAGCACCTGCAACCGCTTCTCATGTATACAGCTCGCTGTAGAGAGCGCGTCGCATGTCTTCACATGCTTGCCAGCAATCTGGATCTAACGCGCCGCCTCTTCTTGGGAACCGGGAGGCCAGAGCATATCAAGTCATGGCTGTGCGGTGTATGTCTCTCAGATCTAATGGCTTCGTCATACTGAACTCTCTGCTAGGCGGTCGAGTCAGTACTTCGCCAAGGATATAAACTCCAGTCTCCACCACCCATGTCATTCCTTCTGGATAGCGAACAACTCGCACGCCTAGCCCCTCGGAAATGGATTAGCGATGAAATCATCAACTTCATGGGCTCCATCTGGAATGAAGAGCACGACACCAACGACACACTCATCCTTCCTACCACATTCGCGTCTCTTCACCTGGACATCGGCAAGACGTACACATTGCGCGATCCGGCGAAAGCAATCCGACACGGCCGACTCAAGGTCCGAGATAATCCTTCCTCTGCAGATTGGCGCTAAGGCCTCCCTATTCAGGATGCTTCGGAGACGCGCGACCACCTATGGTTACGAATGCTCATTCCATTCGGATTAAAGCAGCACTTTATGATCCTTCTCATATCCACTGCAGAGTGCTCAATCGTCCTATACGATAGCCTCACCGACCATAACGCCCTTCGCAAAGGAGACCTAGCGAAGCTTAAACAGGTATGTATCAAAATATTCTATATCCTGATTACATTTCTCATGGACAAACAGCCTATCATAGACTTTGTCACCCATCTATGTGTATCGAAGAAGTGGAAGGTTCCTGACGAGGAGTGGGATATAAGATACGGCACAGACGTGAGCCTGGTCTCTCTTTCTCATTTGAACAGCCTGAGATCGACCAACCTCAGGTGCCGCAGCAGCCTAATGCTTTTGATTGTGGAGTTTTTACCCTCCTTTTCATGCGACATTTGACGCTGTCAAGTAACCTCAATTCGGAGACGGTGCCGTTGCAACTCCATTTTCCTCGTGCTGAGCTTCAGGGCGACGCTAACGGGCCGCGTCTGGCCATTTTGGAGGAAATATTGGAAAAAAGTAGCCATGTGAAAGTAACATGATCCAACTGTACTTATTCAGTTGCTTTGGACGAGCAGAGAGAAGAGAGACAGGGAAGCCCCCGGGGACGTTGCCAAGCTTGCGCCAGTTCATCGAAGGTCTGCCTGCAGAAGACTGCATGGTCGCGTCACACGCGCACCCTTGAATGCGTCAAGGACGCGTGCAGCAGCAGCAGCTGCCGCCACCACGCCGCGGAGCAAGCGTCGAAAGCCGTATATTATAGTTATAGACTGTACGTGAAGGGGGGGCTGAAGTCAACATCGAGGTGCAAAAAGGCGCGAGCGAAAATGTTCGCTCGTGCTTGTAACGCTCCCACCTCCTGCGCGCTGCGCAGGAGGACAGAACAACGGTGTGGAAAAGGAATGTAAGAACCCCTCAAGCTCCGTGCACCCGTTTGCGTCTAGGGAGACGAGTCCATGGTAGTCACATAGCAAGGTGAGGGGAAGGAAGGCGTCTGGATCGGAGCCGGGGCGTTGCTAGACGCTTCCGAGCCCTCAAAACACGCGTAGGGAGGAGAGGGCGAGGGCATCATGCAAAGGTAAAAGGTTGCTACAGGCCCGTGCGGAACAAGAACTCGGCCGCGACCTGCACTGGTGCACCCCCTGAGCCCTCAGCTGTTCTGCGAGTTGTTCAGGCGAGGACACGGTGGGGGAGGGTGGATGCACCGCTAGCTGGCACTAGCTAAGGCCAGGCTACGTGCACAGTGATTACGCTGTCCACCTGGTCCCACAACGCACATCTCGCGCGATGCAGGAGATAGCCGAGAAAGCTATTCTCTACAAGCGTGCGGAAGGGGAGGGGTGAGCACCGGGCTGGAAGCAATCAGCGAGCGCGGGAGTTCAGGCACATCAGCCCTAGAGCTAGCAAGAACTCACTGAAGTTGCGCGAAGCGCGTTAGGCGAGACCGTTGCGCGCTCAGAAGACAGATGTAGGATAGCAGCGGGGCGACAGTTGCCGCGCATTTCGCAGCTGGCACTGCTCCGTACGTTCCCCATCGTGTTCTATAGTAATAGTGGTTAGTTAAGAAGGAGATCCATGTGATGCGTAACTACGCACCCGCTGCCCAGCTCCTCGTCCGGCTCGATATCCATTGTGATCGCATTTTGTTCGTTGGTTTGTGTGACGCCATCACGGGCGAGCGCAAGCGGCGGCTTTCCAGGCGTCGAGAAGGAGCGGAAGTGTGAGAGGGGCTCCTGAAATGGAGGGGGTCAAAGGAGGCGGACGACGAAGTGGTGGTTGAGGACGAAGAACGTGCGCGTCCGGGACCGGCTTTCCGGCCCGCCTTTCCCGCTGTGGCGTTCTCTTCGACGTCGTGTCCCGCCAAGAATTCATGAAGGGCGCGCCCTCAGCAATGTAGATCAATACTAGATTTACTGTGCCAAAAGTCTCAAGGAGGTCGGACGGAAAGGAGAAGCACGCTTGGTGTCCCATATAGGTGCCCACCCCGGCAGTTATGTCACCGACTTTTGCAGTGCACTCCCCCTTCTTGATGCGGGAGCATCCTTATTGATACAAGAACACTTCTTCATGGGCCAGGATCGAGGTAACGAGCCAAGAAGAGTAAACTGTGCTTAACAACATACTTCCCATTTGCTTGCGCGCGGCCGCGTATCCCTTTCGCGTACCTTTTCTTGCCCTTTCCCAGTGTTTACCATCCTTTATCCACCCTCCGACTCATCCTCCCTCCCCGTCTCCGTCCAGCACCCCTCCCTGCTCAAACCCCCTGTCATGATGCCACCGCCCGCACCGCCTCGAGCTAAGAGCGTCGGGGGTCGTGGTGGCTACCGGTGAGCGCGCAATTGACCTCGTCGCCGTTAGTAGTGATGATGGTGGTGACGCGCGAATTGACGTACGCGGTGGCCTCTTCGAGCGTGTGGCAGGCACAGGTTTTGCCGAAGACTTGTTGAAAAATTTGACGAGCGTCTTGTCCAATTCGAGCGGGACAGCGTCAAGGGTGTTGGGGCAATGGCGGGACGGCGGGTGAAGGTGTTTGAGGGGCATGAAGGGTAACACAGCCAATCCTGTCGCGAATCATGATGAGGGCTCTGGAGGCGTCTTGTCAGCATCCTGAGTCGAAATTAACGTACGTACACGGCACAAGACAATGTGAATCGACATACCTTGCCCCTCATGTCGGCAGGGGTGCGCTCCGCCTTCTCAGTTCCTCGCTTGCAGGGGTCAGATTGGTGTTGAGCTTGCCATCGTCTCTCCCGTACTCTTTCCACTTATCGCTGAGGTCGTTCAGCTCTGATTGAGCTGCGCCGTGTGCTGCTCTGCCTCCTTCCAGGTGATCTCGCTCTTGAGATGGGGCGCTTGATCTCGGTGCGCGTGTCAATAGAGTCGGGCTGACTTCGGCCTGGACATCGTCTTGTTCGGCGGTGAGAGCTTCGAGGGTGTGGTCTTCGATAGGCTTGTATTCTATAACTGGTTCAGAGTGCAGACGTACTACGCAGTTTGAACCACGGACCTGGATCTTTCTGTCGCGTCGACTTCTGGAGCGTTCACATCGCTCGTTCGCAGTGTGAAGTTCATCTCTGCGCGCTGCCTCAACTTCCTCAAGCGCTGCGATGACATCTTGTGACGCACATTTGACCAGCGCTTCCTCGCGCAGGCAGTCAACCCAGCGTATAGTCGCGATCATGTACTGAGTCATGTTGTGAGGCGAGAGCAGGGGGATGGGAGGATATGAGAGGAGTTCGAGTGTGGGAAACGGCAGGAAGTGGTGGTTGGAGGAAGACCTGATCAAGCGCAGGGAGATCGGCGGACCCTCATCTGATTCCCGAAGGGGTACTAAACTCTATCCGAGACCTGGTAAAACGGCGACATAGGATTTCTGAAAGCTGGGGAGAACACTGGAACACTATATGGCTGCAAATTGTTTGGCGGATGATTTACAAAGATTTTGAAGGGGCAAAGTCAACTGACCGAGATCGCAACTTCAGGCGTCCTGTCACGGTGTGACTGTTGTCACAGGCGTCCGGTGCCGCAGGGAACGATTGATCGACTACCTGTGCTTTGTTGCATCGCTAACCATGTAATACACCATTGGCAGACCCTCGTCATTGTAGGCTTGATTAAAAAGCAGCCATGAAGCTAGCCTCTCTTATCGTCAGGTGTGCCGATATCAGTCGCATGACGGTCGCGAGGAGCCCTTTGTGCGGGGGAACAAAGGATGGCTGCAGACTGCCTCGCATCTTTGACAACCTGTGTTCTGACCACCAATCGCTCCCTGCCCGATTGACCACCGCTGAAGAATGGGCAAGTACCAGGCCCAAATTCGCGCCACGTTGAGGGTGCGCAACGCAAGCAGTTCAATTGATCATTAAATTCTTACATTGCACCAGAAACGCACGAAGAGCATACGTGGTGTTCTGTATCCCTACGATGAACAGACCGCTAGGGCGATCAGCGTCAATTATCAGGAAGACCCTAGGCATCCGGAAGACGGCCGATACATCTCTGCAGAACCTGAGCTGCGCCAGGCAACCGCTCAGTCATATGTTCACGACATCATTGTCGACGTGAAATATGCTCATCGTCCCTACACCTTTCACATTTTCTTCAAGCGCCATGTGACCCTTGGAGACAATCAGGCCATACTGGCGCTGCGAGGAGCAACGGAGACCTTCGACGGCGACGTTCTGGTTGCAGTGATCGGACGGAACGGCTGCGTGAACCTGACAACTGCACTCCAGAGGCGCGCTGCCAACCGTGCTGTGAAAGAGTATGTGACCCAGCGTTGGACTTGACCCATGTACTCACCTATCCTCTTAGATTGGCGAAGGAACTAGCACCTATGCGACGCAGGAGGATGTTCCCGGCGAGAATATCTCTTTGACCCTACCACCCCGCACACAATTCACTATAACCTGTAACGCCAGTCTGCAAAAGTGATGGTCTAATAAGCACAGTTAGCGGTTAATGAGACACATACTTGACTGTATCGGCAGGTGATGGGCGCCTAGAAGAAAAGGTGTGTACAACGTCCGAGTTCCCTGAGGAGTGGAGGGACGTGGCCTACGGAAACGTGGGTACCACTAACGCTTGCCAAGGAGTTGGACGAAGGCCTGTCGAAAGATGAGCTAGTTGAGAGAGGCGCATAGACCAACAAGACTCACGGGAACAAAATCAAGTGTCGCTCGAGGCGGACCTTGGCATCTCCAAGATACAACGCTACCAGAGGTCATACGTCAGCGGGCCTTGAGATACGCCAGGAGGTCTGACCATGTGGTGCGGTGTTGGTGGCAGCAACAGAGGAACTTTGCCACGCGCCATTGTCCTTGCAGCCGACATGAATGCGCGGCGCTAGTGACCTTGGCTTTTGCGGCGCTTTCGTAGTCCGTGCTGTCGCATACGATCAGCGTTGAGGGAGCGGGAAATATTGTGGGTGAGGGGAGGGGATGGACATGGGAGCCGTGCGCGGTAGGGCCGGTACATCGGTATGTCATCCGCGCTGCTCGTCTGCCTCCTATTCGTTCTCCTTATTCCCCTTCCCCTTCTGACACATGCTCCCGTTATCCTTCACCCCCTCCCAGACGAGGAGTTCAGCGAGACGGACGTACCGCAGAGGTTTCATCTCCGGGGCCACTGCGCCTCAACGATCAGAAGGTGGTGCGGTTCTGGTCCTTGTTCAACCAGGAGCGTCCGTTGAGGGGCATGCACATAGGTTCGGGTGGGGGTTGACTAGCAAGAAGTGAGGGGTACTAGAGTGCTGAGACGAACCATTGGCGTACCTTTTCGTGGACTGCTGCGCCTCTTGTTTGCGGTAGCCTCCGCGTTCCCGTAATGCATGTCGAGCCCCTGAGCATTGGTGAGCTACCGTGTATACGCATTGGATGGACGCTGAACCTGCGTAGTGTGTCAAGCCACCTTGATGCATGCTTTGAACGCCGTCAGCTCCCTGATGTGTGGATTTGTAGCGCATGGCACGCACTTGAGGGGATCAGCTCTTTCCATGGGGCAGGCGGCTCGCCCAATCGAAGCCGGTCCCCAGGATAGGCGGGCTTCTCACAGACTGTTCATCGGGCATTCTCCCTCTTGACCTCCCGAATACTGCGAGCCGCGTCCGGATGAGTCCTCCGATGGTCTAGTAGGTGCGCCGATGGTTCTGCATACTATGGTGGACCCATCAGCTGGTAGAACGACTCTATGCAGGATCACGTTTGAGAAATCAGAGGAAGAGTGTGAGAAATTCGAGGAAGAGATCGAGCAGCGCAGACTTTGCGATCGTTTTTGTCAAGCGCGCAACACGAGGCGAGGCGTGTGATGTAGTGATGTCGGCCCTCGGGCCGGATGTATGGATCCTCGGGCCGGTTGTGCGTGTGGCTTGCGTCGCAGGCATGGGTGTTTCCTCAATTTCCATACACAATCAGCAACAACACAGCTGATGGCCATTTATCTCTAATGTACATGTCAAACTCATATTGTGTACGGATTTATCTATCAAAGAACTTCGTCCACGGCATCCAGGTTGTACAGCTCGAACGCCCTGTCGCTAATATCCAGCAAGTACTCACCCGGAGCCCCAAGAGAGTCGAGGTACTCAGGGTTGTAAAGAGACCTAGGTATGTTTTTTGGTGGGTCTCGAACGCTCTCCTTGTCAACCCGCACCCTCCTGAGCCGGTTAGAGGGCGACGACGCGGAAGTGTGGAAGAACGCCTTGGCCAACTTTGGCGTCTCGTCCACCTTCGCGAAGAGCGCTTCGATCGACGGGTGTCGCCACCTGAGCTTCAGCACCTTCCTGTACCGAACATTCACCTTGAAGTTGTTTGGACGGGTCATCTCCTCTGTGTCGCTCTCCTCGTCAGACATGCCGTCGTAGCCGAGCTCCTTGATGACCTCGATAACGTAGGACCAGAACTGCTCGCCCGGTTTATACTGAACTTGTTGAGAGGACAGGCGCATGATCGTTGCGTATCGAATGCGCAAATCGAGTTTCTAGGATAGGTCAGCTCCGCCGACAACTCGTAGAGCTTCACCCACCGTATGCCGCATCATGAGATGCCGGGAGCGTTCATTATAGTCATGGTGCGCCTTTGCAAAGCCTTCCACAAACTCTTCCCATGTCTGCCCGTCCAGGACGACTGTGCGTGCAATAGCCCTGAACATACGACTGAACCGTTCGTGCACGCCTTTCTTGACTTTAGCCTTGGTGACCGCCCCATACTTCCCGGTGCGCAACTTCGGTTTGACCTTCCGCCAGATGACCTTCCGCACGAGTTTCTCTAGCGTCTAAAAATGCGCACATCTAGCATGTTTCTGCAGCCAGAAAGCAGAAGGCACTCACCGCGTTCCAGGCCAGACGCAATAGCTCCTTTGCTGTCTCCCCGCGTGTATCGAGCTTGAAGGAGGTGACCTTTGGCTTTGATTCGCCCGCCTCAAACTTTCGGAGGTCCTCCTCGCTGACAGGCTCCACGGACACGACCTGGTACAGGAGCTGGACGCCAAGACCCTTCTTGATGGTGTTCAAGACAAGGCGCTGCCAAGGAAGATTTAACATGACTTCTCGACCAAAACAGTAATTTACTATACATTGAAGTTGGACTTCATCTGTTGTGGCGAATACTTGCTGCCAGGCAAGCGCTTCTGCGCCATATACTTTTGGGCGATCTTCGACGGCCTCTCGTCAGATTCATCGTCCGTTTCTGCGAGATCCTCCTCCTCTCGCTTGACTCTCTTCGGCGGCGAGCCTTCCTCGCTGTCGCTGTCGCTGTCACTGTCGCTGTCACTGTCGCTGTCACTGTCGCTCTCGTCCCCGCCGGCATCCCGCCTGCTCTCGCCCCTGATTCCGTTGTCCTCTAGGTCACCATCCTCGTCTCCGCTCTCGGAGCTGCCATCGCTATCATCGGCGTCATACTTGGTCGGGCGCTGTAGATGAGATCAGCCGCTGTTGGACATCCAGCAAAGACGTACATACAGATGCGCGGGAGTACGGGCTGGCGCGTGGAGTCGTTGACGAGCGAACCTTCCCTGTCGACCTCGAATGCTTGCTTGAGGGTTCCGAGGTGCCGCCTCGTGAAGAAGATCCCTTCAGAGCGGTTACCATCGCCATTTTGTGCGAGCAAAGGTAAGATTGCAACTCACGATAGGAGTACCGAGTCTGAATGATGCTAGCTGAGCCAGCTGGTCTCCAACCTTCGCCCCTCGTATTGACTGGGGGCTTGTCAAAGAGATGGGCCGGCGCTCCTCTGACCTCCTGCTCGCTGAGGTCAGAGAGAGACCAGCACGACTGTCGTTACCGCGAGATTGAACGGTAGGTCGACTTGACGCGGCTCCCTCGCGGCTCCGAGACCCGGACGTGCGTGTTGGAGGCGTCGGTAAGGGAACCTGCTTCTTCGTCAGTACCATCTCGACATGCCGAACGGTATGCTTACCTCATCGATGAGCATGTCTTCATCCGAGTTGTATGAGGAACTCATCCCCCGACGTGCGGAGGACGTAGCAGGCGGCCCTGCATTCTACGCGGACTCAAATTAGATTGCTTGCCTTCAAAGGAAAGAAGACGCTTACCGGCTCGAAGCCTCCCTTCGGAGAGTGACCGTGCGCAAGCTCCTTTCCCTTAGAGCGGTGTCGCTCTGGCGGCGACGGCGTGCCGGTGACGCTGCGGGCAAAGGTTTGCTAATGAATGTTTGTTAGTGATGCTATACCTCGGCGATACCACCGATCCAGAGTAATACGCACACTTCGCCCTCCGCCCGTATCCCCCCTTTTGGCTTTACTAGTGCCCACCTCCCCATTCCCCCCTTGGCGCTGTGGCTGTTGTACCTGGCGATATGCTGTATCTGCCTGCTTGAGGCGCACAAGTTCCATCTGTTCAAGCGTCAGCCTCACTACTTCGCTAGGCGACAAGCCACGGATCCACCTCGGCATTCGTCTCCTGCTCACGCAGTGCGTCTATCTTCAGGCGCAGCGACGCTAATCGCTCTTCTTGGTTTCTCTCGAGCTCACGATGATGGGATGTCTCCAAATGTAGCTGTTCTCTCGCGCTTTCAACCTCGTTCTAGGGAAGCGATGGTGTTAGTGGCATCCGACAGCGCAGGATCGGGTGCTGGCTGACCTTCAGCCTTTCAATGGATGAGGGCGCTGCTTCCTCCATGCCCTTTCGTTCTTGACGAAGCGAAGTACAGGCCTCGTTCAATACCCTCAGAGCACTCTCCTTCCTGGCATTCACATTATTGTAGTCCTGTAGCGGATGCATGCGTCAGCGTCTGTGCGTGAGTATGTCGCTAACCACGCACCTGTAGCATGTCCTGATGTCGTGACACGGCGGCCTCCAATGACTCGATGGTGAGACGTAGAAATGTGTTTGTCCTAGTTGCGGCTTCCACCTGAGAATGAAGGCTGGCCAATGCGGCCTGCGTTAAGCATATCAGCCAAGTGCCTTCGCACGGCAGCCGCTCCTTCCTTCACTTACAGGGCCAGCCTCAGGCGTCAGCGAAGGTGATGCAGCCAACTCAGCATCGCGACGAAGTTTATTCAGACTTTCCCCAAGGGCCCGACGCTGATCGAGCCACGCGTCAGCGTTGGCTTTCTCATTGCTGACTCGGTCATTAAGTAGTATCTGGAACCGTGCATAAGTAAGAGTCAGTCGCAACCGTACAACATACCTCAAGCGCATTCAACTCGACCTAGTAAGTTGATTTAAGACCGCGGCCATGTACCAGATGATACGACGTACCTCCAGCTGCGCCTTCCGTTCGGCATGCGCCTGCTTACTTGCTTTTTTCAACGCCGAGTGCATCTCATCCATGAGACGCAGCCGTTCTGTGAGAAGCTGGTTGGGACAGCTTGTGAGCACCACCCCAGCTTTGACGAAAGTGGAGGTTCTGTACCGCATTGAGATCGGCCAAGGCTAGGGTCTCCATATGCGACAGGCTGGCGTCTCCATGCTCGGACAAGCGCTTCACGAGATGCTATCGGCAAGGTACGTAGCCACTCAGAGCAGTGCTAGCATGAGCTTACCGTCAAACGCGACCTGATATCCTCCCTAACCTCTCTCAAAGCTGTCAATGAAGGATTCTGATAGCGTATTTTGGTCAGCCTTCATGATAGCCTGCAGCGTAGATCACACACGTCAAGAGGCAGCTTAGAAAGCAGCTCGTGTAGCGTGTCTTCCTGTTCATGAACGACTGCTTGTGCTTGAGAAAGCTGGTGTTCAAGGTTGCTGTTGCATCGTGACGCGCTACGCTTTGTGTCACCAGTGAGCAGAACCATATTCTGCCACTGCTCGTTGATCAGTGTATCGTTCCCAGCACGGCCGAAGGAAGCGTCTGGATCCTAGCCACAACCGGCGTGAGATGTGTAGTAGGGCAGGCGATTCGCGGCTCACCGTTGAACTGCCATCCTTTGCATCGGGAAACATGCCTGGCATCGGCATGGCGCTCATTGTATACTTGGGGTTGTCGAGAACTTCCAATGGAGTGAATGGTTCAAGCAATAAGAGAGAAGGCTATCGGTTGGTGGCCTTGGGCTGAACAAAGGGTGGCTGAAAGAAGGACACTGCCTGACCCCGTGATACTCGTATGACCGCGTAACAAAATCAAATTATGGCCGAGACTATGACGCTCAGAGGCCATGAGGTATATGAAGAAGGTATATTGAGGGCGTGTCAACGGATCAGAGCGACCGAAGATGTGTGTGGACTACAGTCCAACAACGGGCCTACATATCAGCTCGCTCTGTGCAATGTGCTGCATACAGCCAACGTGCCGAGGTTCCGTTATTGTGATTCTGTTGCGGGAATAGCTGCGAGCCGAATATCTCTTACCGCCGTGTCAGTCATGCGGCGATGACCACATTTTAAGTCCCAGAAAACACTAATGCGTACCTGCTCAAACTAGCCGCACCTTTCTACCTCAGCGCATGCTCATCTCCGAACCACTTCGGCTCGTCCACACCTGAGGACTTTGGTTCGCCTTCTTATCCTCGAACAACGCCGCCGCCGACGTCCGCATCGGCATCCGGCCCACGCCAAATCCTCATCTCGCGGATGCGCTGTAGGCGCTCTGCCGCCTGCGCGCAGGCAGCCGCCGTATGCGCGCCCCATAGCCTCGCAAACCAGCGGAGCATGGCCGCCATCGGGAAGATGCGAAGGAGAACGAGCGTCCCGGTGGACCCGCTCAACGCAGTGCTCTCCCTGGCGGCAAGCTCGGTCTCTTCGGGCGTCCGATCGTGCTCCTTGCTGCCTTCCTCGCGTCGAGGGTGCTGCGCGGGCCCGAACACGCCAGACACGCTGCGCCACATCGTCCTGGCCCGAGCTTTGTAATCTTCCCGCCGGACGCGCGCTTCCTGGCGCCTTCATTCGAGTCGCGCTTTCCCCGCTTGCGCTCTTGGCGGACCATGTCTTTTTCTTCATCTTCCACCTCGTAGACCCGATCCACTTCCCGCCGACCCACCACCACCAGCCGAGGAGAGATCACCAGAGGATGACGGCCCAGATGAGGCCCGGGAGCCAGACGTACTCCTCTTCTCGATGGACGTAGAGGGTGTTCAAGCCGGTCTGTACGACAGCGAGCGTGAGGGCGGCCGCGTCAAAGGCTGCGGTACCGCCTTCCGAGCGCTAAGCTTGTCTGCGGTTGACAGGAAAGCCCCAGATGAAAAGGGATGCGGTGAAGAGGAGGAGAGGGTGGTGTTGCAGGCATTACGTATTGCAGAAGCAGTATCGATGGCCTTCGTGTTCTGACTGATGGGGATGAGCTGCATGACGGAGGCAACGATGGCCATAGGAACTGTAAGTCAATGAGTATGATGAGCACCATGATGGCGGTCGCACTCACCAGGAAGAAAGAGCATCAGGCGCGCTTCAAGGCGGGAAGGAAGGAGTAAGGTCAAGAACTGAATGTGCGTGTGTGATCTGCAGACAGATGAGTACGAGTTTGTGGAAGGGAGTACGGGGACGTACCTGGATCAGCGCCGAAGTGAAGGCATTCATGACGAGCCACATTCATGACGAGCCAGGTTGCGCGCTCAGGGAGGGTCCACCCGGTGTCCTCCGCCGCGTCGTTCCCTATTGACAGATTTAGTGGGGGTACGTTGACCGCGATGTAGCTGAGCACTCTCGTCTATCGTAGCTTGCAGGAGCGTCGCGATGAGGGATATGAGCAGCGTCGTCACGCCTGAGACTTGCAAGACGGAGTCGACGGGTGCGAGGGACCAGCGGTTAGGAAGCGGTGGAGGACAGCCACGAGGGTAAATACGACTCCAGTGACGAGGATGTGTACGAGGAGGGAGCAGGAGTGGTGGGAAGGGCCATCTCGGCGATAGCCGAGGCCGCCACGTGTCTCACGGGTTCGGGTCCTGGTGTTCGCAGATTGGCCCACTCCTCAACCCAAACCAGTCTTCGAAGCTCTACTATCCAGATACCGATATCCTATCCGTTGTATGCTGCTTCAGGAATGACACGGCAAGCCCCACCTCTCAGAACAGGCAGAATAACGTCTGTGCGAGTCAGCCATACGGTTGTACCATGCTGCTGCCTTTTAAAAAAGCCGTTATGAATTAAAAGGTAGGGGGTATCTACGTTAAGACCCAATCAGAATTTGAGGTGAGCCACATTCGAGAGAGCATGAATTCTATTCACCATCGCGGTCTATGGACAACATGGCGCTGCGTACACTCCACCACGGACTCTCTAAATCTATGAAGCCAGCCCGATCGAATGCATTATCTCCATAGAATCCGACCATAGGCAGTTTGGGGAAGAGCTGCTTGAGATACCTAGCTATATCAATGGCATTCACGTGCATTGGGGAGCTTCCAAGATAGAGATTCCGCAGAGGGTGGCAGCCGCTCGCGTTCACGAGGCCTTTGTCTTCTGCTGGAATTTCGTCGATGGAGAGCGCGAGTGACAAGCTTTGCAGATGCGGGCAAGAGCGGGCGAATACGTGGAGCGTAGCGAGTGTGGCGGGCATCCCCAATGCTTCGTCATCGGTGCTGTGTACAAACAGCGCGTTCAAGTCCAAGACCACAAGGTTGGGCCACCATGATGACAGTGTTGCGTAGTCTGCATCACTCATCAAAGGGCCGTATGCTACACCAATGGTAAGGTGTGTAAGGCGTGCAAAGCAGGCGAGGGGGAGTAAGTCCTCATAGATCAAAGCGAACTCCGAAAGCTCAGGTCTTTGGTCTAGGGCGAGAACCCTGAGCGTATTGTGGCCGCAACAATTGCAGACGTACTCGACGAGGATTTTTACCTCCTCTAGCGTGGGGGTACAGGGCAGATTCCCGACGGTGAGCTCCTGCAGTCGCGGCATGTCCCAGCTGCGGATCAGCGCTATGGACTCGTCCACATGAAGACCGCCTAGCGTAAGCTTTTCGAGGTGGGGGAGGGACGCCATGGGGCAAGCCAGGACCGCATCCCCGCCAAGGAGACGCCGGAAATGGTTGAACTCGAGAGTCAAGCTGCTCAGCGACTCCTTCTGCGATATCTGCAGTAGTATCGCAGGGTCGTAGTAGATATCCAGGGTAATCTTGTTCAGACGCGTCAACTTGGCGATTAACTCTCGTAGTAATACTTGCTGCGAGAGAGAAGGCGGCTGCGCCATTGACAGAGAGAGGTCATTGACGTTGGGCGACTGGCCTGCAAGACCGATCATCCCCTCGGTAGAGCGCGTAAGGCAAGCGGGGATATGAAGCACTTCAACGGCGGGTGAAAGCAGCACAAGGAGAGGAGAGAAGTCGCAATGCCGCGTGCCATGGCCGCGAAGACTTAAAAAGCGTAGGTGAGGGAAGACGTCGTAGGGCGGCGGATATTGTATGAGGAAGCGGCAAAGGTGGATAGTTCCAGCACTGCTGTTGTGGCTGAGTTCGTGATTGAACCGCTTGATCATGCTGGAGTGGGTGTAGACTGTGGACCAGCTCCCTTTGTTTGTCGCAATACGCTCAGAGTTCTTGAGTAGCCGCGTGAGCGCAGGGTATGGGGTGGGATAGAAATTACTCACTAGTTCGTGAGGCCTTATATTATCTAGTGAGCCATCTTGGTCGAGAAATTGGATCAGAGGGTCGAGGTTCTGCAGCGATTCCCAGATGATCGGGGTGGCCACCTCATGCCATGACTTGGAAGCGCGGGCAATACTGCAGAGGTCCTTCTTGCTAAGGCTGCCTCCCCTGCATATTCCCCACTGTACGTCGAACGGTAGCAAGCTGCCCATTAACGCAGCGACGATGGTCGAATCGCGGCAGATGGCAAGTTTAGTCAAGTGGGACGCGGGCCGGCTCCCGAATCTGACTGTGGGCCAAGTCCGAGCTTGATAGCGGGAACCAAGTATGTGAACAGCTAGGATAGTCTATACACTGAAGCGTGGAATTCTCTTGGCCAGAACGATGGTAGGAACATAGAGGGCATTCACATTTGTCGAAAGGACGAGCTACGGCATGGGCCGACAGAGGGTGTGCGTCCTTGTGGCGGATGATGTTGCCACGGAGAGCGACATCGAGAGGAAGCTCAACAAGTGTGGTTGTCATCGAGCAAAGCAGTTCATGGGCTTATGTGTCGCTGTAAAGCGGACAAGAGCGCGGGCAATTGTATCAGCAGATTACAAACCATTGCCCAGGTTCACGCCAAGAACGCAGTAAAGATAGGACTAGACTCGGAAAGAGCATGCATTCCATACATGGTTGCGCGTTGTACTGCTAGCAATCCCTATTTCATGGTGAAAAACATACAAAACCAGGAGGGTAGGCCTTCCTTGTTGAGGTTGAGACTGAACATCTCCTGCTTGCGTCCGGTTCGGTGTCGCTAAGCCGTTGCTTGTTCTCCCGGATCCGCATCCGTACACCGTCGGATAGCCTGTGGACTAGCGCACAGATGTACACCGGCAGCACGGTCAGAGGCGTAGAATTGTTGCGTCGGTCAGTGCGTCGCAGACAGGCTTCTTGTACGATGGAAGTTCAACCCCACTCACCATCCTTCTGCGGCATCCCAATAATCTCCTTCCCTTGCGCTCGTACTTCGCCACAGCATCTTGGTTGCCCAATAGGCTGCGGTCTTCGGCCGCATATAGCTTGCTGACGATTCTCACGGGTGGGGTGACGGCCTGGAAGGAGGGTGAGCGAGTGTGGCACAGGATGAAAGATGATGAGATGCGTGAAGTTAGGGTGTCCTCAAGCATCCATCTGCACGGTGCGAGGCGAATTTTTATGAGCCGGGTCAGACAGACCCTCTCGCCGTGAAGGACGTTGTGCTCACCAATCCCATCAATGCGCTCACCGGCCGTGACGGCAGACCCCTAGCTCGCTCGCGGCGCGGGACCCTCCGTGTATGCATGGTCGCGTGGCGTGGGCATGTGTCATGGCAAAATCAGGGTTTGTCGAGGCACAAGGCGCGGTGAAAACATGTCAAGGTCGTTGTCATGCGCAGCGATATGTCCGGCGGTTGTCGTGAGATGTAGGGATAAACAGGCTATGGGGGATGGTTGACGTGGAGGTAGAAAGTAAGAACGTCGTTGGTAATCACCTTGGGCACCAGGACGGCCAGGACCAATTAGGATGTCAGTGGGGGGTTGCGGCACAAAGCCGTTGGAATTGAAGGACTGAAGAAATAGGTTAGCCTCATAGATGGACGTGCACTTCAATGTTTACCTGGGTTAGCAGGTCAGATAGCCGTGGTGGAGAAGGCAGGGGATCGAGCGTTGGTGAATCTGAAAATTCGTGACATGGAGAGACCGAAATCAAGCCCTGCGGATCTAACTGCCAGTGAATGAAGCAAGTACGAGAGTATTGGATGCCGATCAGTAGAGCGGTCGAAGAGCCCGAGCGCGCGGTAATGAAGCTGCGAAACAACGAGGGCACGGTTGAAGAAGATGGATTGTTTAGCGTCCGATAGGAAAGGTCGAGTCGCAGCTTGACGTCGACGAGCGGAACAGTAGTTGGGACAGACCGATACAGCGAGAGTCTGTCCAATGAGGTCAGTAAGGATGGACGGCCCTTAGGGAGGTACCAAAGGTGCTGGGGAGCGAGGCCAGCCCCTCATCCATCTGCACCCGATTCGACCCCTCGCTCCCCCAATGCACCACCTTCACCGACTCGTGCGTGTGACGGAGCCCCTCGTCCCGCTCGGCCAACCACCCGCCCGCCTCGCCCAGCAGACGCATCCACCGCGACCACGCGTGCCACTCGTACGCCTTCTTCTGCCCCATGTCCGCTACCGCACGCACCTTGCCCGGCTCCCATGAGCGCGACCGCGACCTTGTCCTTCCGCGCATCCGCCCATGCAGCGCGCTCGCCATCGTCGGCGTCCGCGCGTCGTCCACGTCGCGCTCCTTCGGTATTCGGCTCTTCCCGCTCATCGTCCGCCGCACGTGGATGTTGTCCCAGATACCCTCCCGCTCCGCCGCGCGGCCCTCGGGGTGGTGGTGGTGCGCGTCGAGGTGGTGTGCGTGGTGGGGGTGGTGCGAATGGTGGTTGAGGTCGCCATAGTCCCGAGGGGGCAGAGGCGTCGGGTGGGGCGGGGACCCTGTTGCGAACCGCGAGGGCGTCGACACGCCCGAGAAGTGCGCGGCCGAGTTGAGGCTCGTGCAGTTAGAGCAATTGGGCGTACCGCAGTGGGCCTGCTGTTGCCGCTGCGCGGTGTCATCGAGGTTCTCCTTCGTCTTCTGCTGCCCGAGGTTGATGTGCTCGCTCGACATCGCGTTCGTCAGCGAAATCATCATCGGGGGTTGCTTCGCCGCCTGCGCCTCCGGCGAAGAATCGTCGATGTCGAAGGTGTCTTCCTCCTCGTCCGACTCATCGTCGCCCTTGACCGTCGACCGTGTGATGCGTGCTAGGCTCTTCTTCCACGACCACGAAGGACTTCTGCCGCTCGCGCTCGTTCCACTTCAGCGTGCGCGAGATGGCTTGGAACCAGTCGGTGAACTGCTTGTCGGCGCAAACAGTCGGGAAGGGGTATTTCGACGCAGTGACCTTGATGTGATCGCCCTCTATCCAGTCGTCAGTCTTGTAGTTCTAGTCCGAAGTGCAAAGACTCACGCTTCAATTCGATGCGCCCTCGGCCATTGAACGAGGCCCAAGCCGTGCTACGAGAGTTGAAGGGTACGCAGATGCGTAGTTCCATGCTGTCAGGAAGGAGCATGGGGCGGAAGGAGAGGGTGTGAGGGCAGATAGGGGTAAGGAGAAGGCAGGAATCTCCGGGTAAACGAGGGAGCCGCCAGCGGAGAGGGAGTAGGCAGTAGAGCCTGTCGGGGTCACACAAGCCATCGGCTTGGACCGTTGTCATATGGTGTTCGTCGCCTATATGAATGTTAGTTGCGCTCAGTGTGGCTACTAGATCACGTACCGAGCAGTTCCAGCTGGCTGACATACGGGCTGGGACCACGGTCGACGACAAGATCGTTGAGGATTTCGAAGGTCTCCACAGGTCGAGTCGTGAAGCACTTGATCTCCTTGTTCTTGCTGTGTTTTTTCTCCACAGGCGTCGCTTGCCAGCCTCCTTCTACCGCCTCCCACCCTCCCTTCTCCACCCTCATCATGATCTCGCCCGTCGACGCCTTCTTGATCGCCTTCTTGTTCGTATCCGTCGCGCAGCTCTGCGCGCGGTAGACCGTGCAAGTGAAGCGCATGCGGAGGTTGACGCGGATGCCATTCTCAATGGCGTTGTCCATGGTCTGCTGGTGCTCCGAGAAGTCAAAGTTGGTGAGGAAGCCGAGCGAGCCCAACGCGAAGGAGAGCACGGGCGGCACGATGCGTTGGAACAGCCAGGAGGTGAAGAGGACCGTGCCATCGCCGCCGAGCTACGGCTACGGTTTGTCAGCGGGGGAAGGGAGTGATCGTGGGCGGACGACGCACAGTGACGACAAAGTCAAACAGGCGTGGGCTGTTGCTGCACATGTCGCTCGTCCAGTAGCGCAGCTGACCCTCCTCGGACGACGTCTGGTCCGAGCCAAGAGAGGTGAGCGACGTCATCGATGAACGCGCCGACGAGAGCGAGCTGCTGCTCGACGCCCGCCGCTTGGGGTACAGGGCGAAGAGCTCGGGGTGGTCGCGCTGGATGCCCGTGGCATCGAAGCGGCGAGATGTGCGTAGCTGACTGTCAACGTAGCTGGGGGACGCAGGTCAGCAGGCGGCGGTAAACAAGATCGGGGGAATGACTTGCACTACGAGGCCGCGCGGGGAGCCCGCCCGCGGCTTGAGCATAAGGTAGAGCGCGAGGTCTCGCGTGGGCTTGATGAGCCGATTGTCGCGCGCCTTGGTAATAATGAGGACATTCTGTATATTGGAGTAGATGCGCGCGCGCCCTGCGGGGTGGGGAACTTGCTCAGTCAGCTTCATCGGCTGCGTGCCGCACGCACAACGACGCACCAAGCTGCTTGCTCATCTCCCGCACACCGACGGCGGTCTCCGTGAGCTGCTTCGTGAGGCTGCTCGAGTACTCCCCGTCGCTGTCCGAGTTCGAGTCGAGCGAGTCGGGCAAGAGGCGCGGCGCGGCGCCGTTGCCGCGATCGATGAGGCTCTTCGCGACGCCCACGTTCGCGTTGTCCCCGAAGGGCCGGCTGTGCTTGCGGAGCGCTTCCGCCAGGGTGTTGCCCATGTCGAGGTGCGAGCGCACGAAGCAGGGCGAGTTGAGCGGGGGCCGCCCGCGGAGAGCCTGGCGCGGCTGGCCGGGACGACGGTCTGATCTCTCTGCTGCATCGACTGGGCCTGGGCCGGCGAGGTGTTTCTCGTGGTTTGCGGAGGGTCTGGGAGGTTTCTGTCCAGGACGATGTCGGACTTGAACCCGTTCGCCGAGTATGCGAGGTTCAGTGACGACGGGCGGCTGCTCCGGCGCGAGATCGACGGGCGCAAATCGTGGTCCATGTCGAATGGCGTCGTCGGCGGCGTCGAGAACGTCTCGTTCTCCGGGGACACGAGCGACTCTGCCCTCGCGGCTAGTGTGTGTGCGGACGTCGTGAGGGTTTCTCGAGAGGCGCGATGGCTAGGCACGGTACACGCCGAGCTTCAAACTCGAGGCCGTGGCGAGTGTGGCGGTCGCTGGTGAGTGTGGCGAACGCAGACGCGGAGGTCAGTGCGTCAGGCGGCGGATCAGGTGCCCTATCCGTCGGCTCGCCCCCCTCCCCTTCTCCACCACCTCGCCCAGCTTCTCTATCGAGCGCATCAGGCCTTGCTCGTCTCCGCGAGTAGCATGAGCTCGCGGGTCACCATCGCTCGTGTCTCCGCTCCTGTTTCCGTTCCCCGGCACGAGCATCTTCTCCGCGGGCCAGAGGACGCCCTCCTTGACCCGCGTTACCAGGATCGTGTCGCCCATGTTTGAGATGAGGACGGCCATGTTGGGCACGGCGACGAGCGTCCAGAACACGAAGAATGGCTTCCCGGAGCTGGGCTGCGGGTAGAAGTCGCCGTAGCCGACGGCGATGAGGGTGGCGTAAGCAAAGTAGAGCGGGTGAAGTGCATCAACTGCGGGCGCTGCTGTGAGAAGGAGGTGATTAGCTCTTCCGGTGACCAAGCGCTAATGGCAGCACCGCACGCACCCCTGAGTACCAGAAGGCCAACGCGCCAATGAGCCAGAGAGGCGCAAATATGAACGTGGATGTTGCGAGCGCCATATATCGCTTCATTCAGCATGCGCGCTGCTGTATCCTCCGCATCTCCTCAAGCTCACGCTTCTCCCAAGCACGCACACCACCACCGTTGCACCGCATTCGAGCACCAGCACGCGCACGCTCCCGATCACCAGTCCAACCGCCGTGATGCGATGACCGCATACAGGGTGAGCAGGGCGCGCGAAAGGGCCCTGTCGAGCGGGAAGTCCGTGCCGAGGCCTCAGGTGAGGGGCGTGTAGTTTGCCCAGTAGAGCCCTTCGACGAACGACCAGCCCTCGAAGGTGAGGAGGACGCCCGCACCCAGCGCGAGGTAGGAGACGTAAGCAGCAGGATGAGCGTGCACTGGGGCACGGTGAGGGAGGCGAAGGGGGGGTGGGTAGGCTTCGAAGACGAGCGCGCCGAGGCGGTTGGTGAGGAGGACGGTGGTTATGATGCAGCAGACGCCGGCAGGGATGATGGCGTATTCGTAGGATTAGAAGGAGGCGTGGGTGTCCTGGGGTAGGGCAGCGTGTGCCTTCAAGGGGGAGGAGGAGGAGGAGAATGAGGGATGAAGGATGAAGGATGAAGGAGAGGTACCTGAACGGGTATTAGGATAGTTCAAAACGGAGAGTATGGGTGGCACACACCAGATTGCAGCTGTAAGGGGCTGCGCGATCACACAGCGCATCCTGTGACCAAAGCTCATGCGAAGGAACCCGTTCGCGCGTACGCCAAACGCAATGGAGACGATGTTCGGCGCAAGTACCCTGTCGATCTGCCTCTCAGTCGACTGCTGCTTAAATGCATAGGATCAGCGCACCAGTGAGGATCGGGTACACACCCTCCGTCCCTCTTGTTCCCGTCAGGGAATATCTGCAACCGCCAGGTCGGCACCAGAGCGCACGCTGAGAACAAGTTCGACAGTGGTCCAAATGTAGCTACAATGGGAGGGAGCCCGGTCGACATCATCCGCCAACGCCTGGCGAACCCCGTCAGCTCGACGATGTTTCGGAGAAGCAGCTTCGAAGACCTCCTTGGCTCGCGAGTTCGCGGGGGACATCAAGTCGAGGAAGCCTGCGGCTTCGTTCCCCAAGCCTGGTCTCAAGGCGGCGACCCTTGGGCGAGCGCCTCGCACTTTGTGGCTCTTCATGCCCGTTAATGGTTTGATCATGACCTTCCTAACTCGTTCAACAGCCCGTGGTCGTCCCTTTGTGCACGGCACCCCCTAGGCCACGCCAATGCGTTTGGAAGCTCGGACAGTTGGTTGGCATAATGTCCTGTGGACATAGATATTTTATACATTTCACCAGACAGTAATTTCGTTCTACAGTGATCTTCAAGCAATGGTTCAGGACTTTGCATGCTAGGACCTATACAAACTCAATGGATATGCTTATCTAAACTACGAGTCACGAGCTATACACGCATGGTACGCTAAGCCTTTGGGAACATCTCATACCCAAACTTCTTTCGAGTCGACTTGTCCAGGTTGTAGGCCAACCAATCACGCTCATCGAACCCTGCGTGAGCCTCCTTGTCCGTGCGATCACCGTTGTACGCCCAGCGAAATAAGTGGCCCGAGAAGAACTGGGTGAAGGAGCGGCGGGTCTCACCCTCCTGGATGGGCGTATTCGAGTGCTTGATAAGGGCAGAGGGGAAGATGATGGTGGAGCCGGGAGGGAAGCGAATCACATAGCCAAGGTCCCACAGGACCAAGTGGCCGCCCTTGTCCGGGTTATAGTCGCCCTGGGAATGTACGATGCAGAGGCCGAAGGCGAGGTTCTGCGTGTCGCGGTGGGGTAGGGAGACACAGCTGGGGCCAAGATTGAACGTTGCGCAAGCCATGCAGGACCCGGGGAAGTTTCGGACGAGCGTGCTATCGGCTTCGAGCAGCCCCTCCAGCGTCTCATGGTACAGCGCCCAATGCTCATAAAACGTGCCTCTCATGACAGCTAAGATTGTGTCAATAGGCAGCAAACATTACGATGCGCTGAGGACATACAGTCAATATGACCAGTCAGCCGCTTGAAGCAGGGTTGACTCGTAGCCTCTTGGATGGCCAGCCGGTTGTGGTGCGAGAGAGCAAGGTTGCCGGGACGCTAGGCTGGTGTTAGGGCAGGCATAGACCAACAACGACAAAGAATTCCCTCACCTGCTGCCCCCCACCGAACGATATGCCAAAGTTGATCGCACCTAAGTTCCCACGACGATTCTGCCAGCTGCTGGCAGGTATAGCAACCGTGCGGGAGAGGGTCTCCATCCAATCGCCGCATCCTGCGATGACGGATGGCCAGGTCGGGTCGCCCGGCCAGCAGATGCCCTTGACGAGCAGGAGCTTGTCGGTGTCGGTGATACCAAAATCGGACCTGTGACACGCCATAAGCAGGGGTCCCCTAAAGCAAAGCAGCATCGCTTACCTCCCGCTCCAATCCACCATGATGAGGCGCTGCCCGGCTGCACCCAGCTCCTTCACATTAACCCGAGTCGTCCAGCCCGTCGAGGTGACCACATGAAGGGGTAGTGCATGAACGGCGTGCAAAACGTCCCTCTCCTTCGCCTTCTCCGCTCTTTTCCTCGCGTGCGCCTTCATCCCCCCATTCTGCACATAGGCAGCATAGCGGATGGCATGCTTGTGAGACTTTACAGCCTGGGGTGGGAGGATGGGGCGGGGGCAGAGATGCGCTGGCTTGATGGGCACGAGCGTCTGGCGAGCGACGTAGTTGCCACCGAACCAAGAAGGTAGGGCGGCCTGCAAACGAGAGCGGGTGAAAGCCTTGCGGATGGCACGGGCTTCCGACTTCCATGTAGGCTGGTCCTCGATCTCGTGGACTGAGACGACATCTGGCTCGACGGGTGCTGCCCCGTTGAAGACATCGTTGAGGGTGAAGGCCTCGAAGGGTGGAATCTCCCCAGGTGCCGACCCGCTCAGGCGCACGGTATCTGCATGAGCATTAGCAAAGCGTTGGGAAGAAGAGGGAGATGTGGCTGCAGCTGAGGGTATGGGTACGCGAAGGGGTGTCACGGAGTCGCGACGGAGGCTGGGGTGTAGGTACGCGGAGGGGTGTCACAGAGTCGCGACGGAGACTGGGGCGTAGGTACGCGGAGGGGTGTCACAGAGTCGCGACGGAGGCTGGGGTGTAGGTACGCGGAGGGGTGTCACAGAGTCGCGACGGAGGCTGGGGTGTAGGTACGCGGAGGGGTGTCACAGAGTCGCGACGGAGGCTGGGATGTAGGTACGCGAAGGGGTGTCACAGAGTCGCGACGGAGGCTGGGGTGAAGGCACAGCGGCAACAGGTACGACGCTGAAAGGAGGAAGGGGAGGGGGTGGGCTCACCTTCATTGCCAGGGACGTCAAGAACCGCCTTGGGTTTAGCAACGGTTTTGGCAGCCTTCTTCCCTTTGGCAGCAGCTAAAAGGTTGTCGATCAGAAAGGGATTGGAAGGGACCGTGATAGCTGCGCACCTCGAATGCCGGCGGTGACCGTGCCCAGCACACGACGTACACGACCCCCCACGCGCTTCTTGCGCTTGCCGAGAGATGTGAAGCCCGACGCCTCGTCCTCCTCCTCGCCCTCAGCGGACGTAGGTTGATACTCCGACTCAGAGGGCGGCCCGCGCCCCAGCGACCGCATGGAGCCAGCGTCAGATGGAATATTGGTGTTCGCAGGCCGACCTGATCGGAGGAGAATGGGTCAGCTACGAAGACGTGTAGGGAGGGAGAGTCACGTACCCCTCAGACCGCGCACGATGCGCGCAGCCCCGCGAATCAAGGGACTCGAATGCGATCTGGCAACACTACTGCCGTCGGACACGTTCGACGAAGGCGCGACGGACGGCGCCGTGGGCGAATGCGAGCGCACTCCAGCGGGATTGGGTACCGCAGCAGATGGACCAGGGGAACGCGCTGAGCGCGACGGCCCCGCGCCCGGGGCGATCATCCACCGACCCAGGAATACGACCTCGGAATCGGTGTCGCTAGGCAGCGATTGAGAACGGGCTCGCGCGGGCGCCCGGTGATTCTGCGCAGCGTCCAAGGAGGGGCGGGAGCTTCGTCGCGACGGCGAGATGGAGGACGCGGAAACAGTAGCGCGGTATTGCCGCGGGAGCTTGTCGAAGTAGCCGGCTGGAGGGATGCCCGCCGGACGCGTACGGCGAACGGGGCTTGGACTGGACGTCATAGCTTCCTCCTCCCTAGCACAAGAGCTCCGCATCGACGTCGTTGATGACCTTGTGGGGCGGGTCGAGGCCGATGACGAGCGCGAGCGCGCGTTCGCCTCCGGTGCGCGACGACCCCGGGCATGGGAGAGGGCGAGGGAGGGAGCGTTGACGTTGGCGTTGATCGTACGGCCGCGTTGGGGTGGATTGGAGGAAAGCGAGCGTGAGCGGGGCCGGTTTGCCTGCGACGGTCGCGGCGCGCGTTGAATGATGATGACGCCGCCGTCGTCGTCGCTACACGGCGATCGTGCACGAGCGCGGCGTGGGCGCGGTGCCGCAGCTGCCAGGGTGCTTCTCGCCGTCGCTTGGCGCGTCGAAAGGCGTGTGCGCATGATAAGGCCGCAAAACGGGAGAGGAAGGGAAAGGAAGGGGCTGCAAAAACAATGGGTTAAGAAGAAAACGACGGGCGCGGCATGACGCACTATGTGGGAAGAACAATGCCGCGTACCGCGCGCCTCGGCCGAGGGCGGTCAGCATGCTGGGTGTCGCCGACCCATCGATCGTTGCCCAGCGCGGAATGCACGCGAAATCCCGCTGCGCGGCTGATATCTGAACGCCCCGGCGGGGGTCGGCATTGAAATTGCGAGCGATTGCGAGATTGTGTCAGGAGTCAGGACGCGAGAGGAGAGGGGAGGATGGACGATTGAGGGGCGAGCGAGTGGGGGCGTGCAAGGAAAGCCAGCCGTGAGCCCGCGACGTTGCGGCGCATTGATGGCACTCACGTGGCTCGATCATAACAGGAACGCGCCAGAACGAAGCGCGCCCTCCTGCGGCAGCGCCATCTTGCGTTGTAAGCTGCCAGATAGCTGCGCTCTTTTCGCTGTCCCGCGGCAATAATTGCGTTATCAGCCGCCCAATGGCTGCGCTCTTTTGGCCGGCGCGCGGAAATCACAGCGGCATCTTGGCGCGCGGAAATGCTGGCTGCGCACCAGCCCTCCGCGATCTCTACTCAGCCATGGACGATCCTCGTGCCTCTTCCCCGACCTCCCCGATGGCATTCGTCTCTCTCGCGCAATCGCGAAACCTTCGTCTTTCGGCCGAGCTTTGTGTCCTCGTTTTCCCCCAACCACGCGTATTCCTCCTCCCTCGTCTCAGTCGGCCCCTCATCGCACGTCCCCACCATGTCTCTCGGTGCGTCGCTATGCATGCATCCTGATGCATCCCCATTCAATTCTTTACAGGAATCACCACGCAACAGCGATCTGGCACCGTGGCGCGTCCCCTTCCTCACCGTGATCCTGCGTGGCCGTCAACGACGGCGTACTGCCTGATCGACCCTAACGACATTTCGTTGTGCGTCGCCTGCCTAACCTTAGCCAGAGATGCTCACACTGTGCAGAAGCTACGACTTCTCCGCATTCCCTCCGGGGCATATTTGGGTTTGCATCCCGTACTCCGTCCTCGTCCCACGTCCGTTACGCCCAGGCTTGGATGTTGGACGCACCGACGCTGTCATAGAGGATGTAGATTAGCCAGGTTCTTGAACTCACTTCAATGTCATACAACAAGAAGCACGCCTATAGTCCCCACGCACCGCCTGCGCCTTACCCTTTTCGCACCTCAACTACAACCACCCTGCGCGCGCCTCCCCCTCCCCTTCGTGCCCCGCCAGCAATCTATGCGATACCCCGTCCCTCATCTTCGGATCCTTCTGGTTTTTTGTTCTCCTCAGCCCCTCTTCCGTTGCGTGCCACGTCCTTTCGCGAACGAGAAAGGGCTCAGCGTGACGCGCGCGCCCGCGGCGAGTGCGGTGCAGGTGGGGGATGGTGGGGACGAGCCGCCGGCGCTGGGAATCAAAGAGGATCGCGAGGGGGAGGGGAGGAGGGGGCGAGGGAGGGCGATGTCGGCATCCGAGTACCACTGTAATTACTCAGCTATCATCGTGTACGTCCCTGTAGTAGGTAGAAAAGGCAATGGAATGCTATTTTGCGCTACAGATATGCTGCCCAAGTTGTGGAGAGGCAAGGTATGAGGAGGGGAGGGGAGACACGGCACGATTTGAGCAACACGAGGAAATAAACTTGCAGCTTGATTTCTCAGCTTACGACGACGCAGGTAGATACTACACACATCCGTTTCGCTTTCAAGGTGTTTGGGGGAGAGGGGGGACTTACCGCAATGAGCAGAATGAGCTAGCGCTCACCAGCTCATAGCGCGCTTTTGACCGGGCTTTGTGCCTTCCCGCCTTGCTCACGCATTCATACCGTTGGGGGAACATAGTATATTGCAGATTCTACCTACTACAGCTACTTCAGCCCTGTCTACGGAGGAAACCCCGTTTGAACTCATCTTGCCGCTCATTCAGCTCATGCCGAGCTTGAAGGTGAAGAACCTGGAACCCAGAGATGTAAATATGGGGTATGCCTGGCATTCAGATTGCGGCGCGTACCTCAACTTTCAAGCTTCCTGCGAAGAGAACTTGAGGCGAGAGCGCCGATTCTCATCAAACTCAGCTCCAGGCGAGCTAAGCTTGAAGCGCCCATCGCAGGGCGCGAATTCTCGCCACGGCAGTACTGTCTGGACATAGGTACACAGTAGTTTGCGGAAGAGTGCCAATACTCACATTGTTGTCGTCGGAATCCGCCCAAGAGAGCAAAAAGGTGCGCTCATGAGCAAACCAAGTCCGAGGGCGCTACTGAAAGAAGCCCTCGCATCGAAGAAAATCTCACCTTTGTTGGCGTCCCCGAAGTCGCAAGGACGCGTACCAGCGGCATCTCATCGCTCGAGAACTTTGGGAGGAGGCGATGAGCAATCCCACAACCCTGCTCAGATCTGGTGCACTCACCTTGTAAGAACGCAGATGCGCTTTTCAGCACGTAGCACGATGGTCGCGCAGTGCCCTACACACGGGCTATGAGCTTGTATCGCCCACAAGCACGAGATTAACGTCGATATTAGGGGGGCATGAGTAAACTCGCCTTGAGCGCGATGAGTTGCCTCTCAAAGCGCGCACTAAACACCCCACCTCGCATCATTGCGGCCTAATCGACACTCTGACGGTGTGAGGCATGCCATGGGACAACACTGCGTCGTGGGAAAAGCTATAAACGAAGGTGGGTGATGCATTACAACGCATCCCAAGCGTGTAACTCACGTAGACATCGAGTTCCACCAACCAGGTGGAATTTCGTGCTTCCCCCGCACTGAGGGAGCGGGGGAAGCGCATAATTGAGCCTTTGCAACCACGGGAGGCGCAGAGATACGCTAGAATTCCCTATAGGCCAGTCAATGAAGTTTGAGAAGAAAGAAGAAACCTCGACGCTCACTGAAGTCGAATTGCTTATTTCGCGCTACCATTTTCGCGCTACCAGTGCGTGGATAGCTAGATAGGTGGTAAGCTCAAGGTAAGCTAATGGCCGGGGTTGACGCGCGACAGGGAAGCCTGGAGGTCGCTTGGCAACAGGTTCAAGTCGTTCGATGCAGCTGAAGCGAGCAGGCTGATCGTCTGCGCATCCGTGAGCGGCGTTCCCGTGGTCTTGCTCAGGTGCGCTGCCGAGCTCGACACGCCGAGCGGCGTAGTCGGCACCGAGCACATCGTGCCGCCAAGGCCCTCGAGTCTGCCGAGGCCGTCCAGGAGGCTCAGGGGCGAGGCGCGGCGCGAGCTGAGGCTGACGGCGGCGGACGGCTGGTGCTGCGCGAGGAGCGGCGTGTTCGTGGCGGACACGAAACCGGCGAGCTTGCTTATCGCGGCAAGGTCGCTCGGGGACGAGGAGAGGTTCAGGTTGGCAGACGCGCGGTGGTCGGGGCGCGAGGGGCTGTTACACCTGGGGAAAGACGGCCATTCGGACGGCTTGTCACGGGCGGAGAGGGATTCGCCGCGGTGGACCAGGTCGAGGGCTGCAGAGGCCTGTTGCTGTGAAATGAGCAAGGGAAGGGAGGAGGGTAAGGGATAACGCACCTTGTTGTACGCATTATACTTGTCGTCATCCGACGTGGGCAAGTGCCGCATCGCGTCTGCGTAGTATGTAAGTAGGATGTACTTCCACGATGGCAGGCTACGCACTGTGAATCTCCTGATCCAGCTGCTCGTCGAGTATCATCCCCGCATTGTACGTGCTCGCGTAGCGGTCGCCTTGATCCTCGAAGCGGTTGCCCCTGAAGAGAATCGACGCCGGATCGGGCGGAGGAATGGGGACCCCTTATTGGAAAGCTCGCCAGCCAGAGCCAAGTTCTGGAGGTGGCCCGCAAGCCCCTCGTCCTGGCTGCTCGCCGGGGTGCGGCGGCTCGCAGGCATGCTCTTCGCGCCGACCGCGCTGCCGTAGCCGTTGCCATTCGCGCCCCCCGAGGCCGGGGGAGAGTTTGACCGTGCTGATTGCGTACGTGACGGACTTGCGCTTGTCCGCGGCGGAGCCGACGGCCTTGGGGAGCGACTCGGCGTCGATGGAGAGGCGGCCGGGGTCGCGGGCGTCACCGTTCAGCTGCGCGTTGACACGCGGCGAGGTCGTGGGCGCGGAGACGGCAACGGGCTGGGCGCCGCCGCCGCTGCCGTCGAAGGGGATCTTGAGCAGCTCATGCGCCTGCTGCTGCTCGAGGGCGCGCATCCGGTCCACGAAGATCTTGCGCTGCGTGAGCCGCTGCCGCTCGTGCACCTGGCGCTTAATCTTAACGCGCTGCGAGGAGGAGTCAGAGGGCGCTGGGGTACGAGGGCGCGCGGCACGTACAAGAGAGGTCGGACATATCAGTCCCCAGTTGCGCCGCCTGCCCCGGATGAGCGTTAGAGGTCTGATGAATGGAAGAAGTACGTACAGAGTCGGCCCAGTCGAGGAAGACGGGAGGGCTCTGCTTGCGGCGTCGACCGGGGAGTGCTCAGCAGTATGGGTAGTAGGGTTCTCCTGAGAAATATTCATGGAGTTTGTGTTGTGTATGTATAGACGCCGAGAGATGCAGAAGTACCTGGGCGGTGAACGACAGAGGCGAAAGCGAAGGCGGAGACAAAAGGGGAACAGAGCATATTGGAGGGATCGTGCTTGGGTTCCAGGCACCGGGGAGGTGTCTCAGCGGGGTGGATGCGCTAGCTAGGTCACAGTGAGTACGAATAGGGACTGTCACAGTAGGGGTTTGGTGCGAGTTTGGTGAGGGTTTGGTGAAGAGTTTGGTAAAGTTCGGTTGCGCGATCTGGGCCGGCCTGGACCTCGAGCTCAGCGTCTTCGTCCATGGAAGTTGAACTGCTCGAGGTTTGGTGGGAGCGGAGTTCGAACTCAGTGTTTGCTCTTGTGGGTGGCAACCACTCACCGGCGACATAGTGTCTCACACCCGACTTCAAGAGCGTTCAAACTTCATGTGAGAGTTGCACGACTGTATTGCTCCTCCATGCCCAAATACCAAGGCAGAAGGGCCTTTCGAAGACGATGAAATGCGAGATTCGACGGCGCGGAAAAAGCCGAATGCCGTGCTCGGCCGAGCGCATTTTGTGGCGAGTTCGGTTTCGGTGCGGTTTCGCGACCCCTCGTGGCGTGTAGTCAAACACAATTGGGCTCAAACGTTAGGTATTAGTTGGGGAAGGTAGCTAGTAGTCGATAGAGTCATCGTCGTAGAAGGACTCAATATAAATCCGGATGTCAACCCAGTCGGCTAGCACGCTCATGGGCACAGTTGCGAAGGGCTGGAATCCCACGTGCGTCACAGCGCCCAAGCGAGGGAAAAGCGAATGTAAGAAACGTCCGACCTCCTGAGCGCTGAGAAGGACACCATCTCCAACATCCAGCACTTCGAGGGGATATCCGAGAGACAAGGGAGAGCGCGAGAGTGCCTCCGCAGTCTGATGAAGAGAGGGGATGGTCCGGCAATCCACCGCTGGAAGTCTGAGGGTTGTTATGCGTGGGCAGTGTGTGACGATGTAGAGCAGAGCGTCGAGCGTGCATGGGACCTGCACGCCCAGCTGCCCCCAAGTATCGACGACCGCCAGTTGATCCATATGCGGCCATGCCCAGGCAGCTGCTTCCCAGTCCGCGTCACTCAGGCGAGCGGACAGCGGGGCGTGGAGCGCAAGGCAGGTCATGTGTCCCAGACAGAAAAGCGTGCGGAGAGTTGGAGGCATCAGAGACCACGCCATGCCATTGTCAAACACTTCTACCATGATGTGAAGATGTTGAACCATAGGGCAGCGTTGGCCAATGATGACGAGGAGCTGGTCCATGACTGTACCAGATGACGCTAGCGGCGCATCGATGCATAGGGCATCGATACACCAAGAGGGTCGCAGAGATAGGAGCGAGCAGACTGCTTCAAGTCTAAGGCCATCCACATGAATGACGCTCATGTGGGTCCAACAGACGATCCTCGGTCTCACGACGATGAGCCAGCCAACCTTGATGTTCGCGACGTGGCGGAAGGCCAAGACCATGACAGCAAGACCAGGGCAGTCGGTGAAGGCAGCTCCAATTTCGTGAGACGGGGCATAGATTGAGACCTCTCTGAGGGCAGGGAAGAGGGATGCTGAGCGATGGGGCATGGCAGCGAGACCTGCACAGAAACGGATGTCGAAGCTGGAGCCAACGGTTGCCATCGCGCTGAAGTCGATGACTTGCACGAAGCGCAGTAGGCGAATGGGTCCGCGAGCATGAGGATCATCAGGATCAAGAAGTAGGGCCTGGAATGACCTGTCAGCGAGTCATGCTGCGTGGATGCTGCTCGTAGCTCACAGGGTATAGCACTCCTTCTACATCAGCCGTGCACTCAACGAGCGCATTACGGGTCAGAAGACGACAGACTGGCCAAAAACTTCGCAGCGTCCTCCATATGGCAGGGGTTGCGACGGCATCCCATGAGCGCGATACACGAGCAACGACGCAAAGTTGGCCACGGGCCAAGGATTGGCAAACCTGGGCTTGAATCTCGGGCACCTGTAGGGCGGTGATGGCAGACATTGATGGTACGGAGGTGGAAGAATGAGGGAGAAGACAGGAAGTGGAAGGGAGCGTATTTTCTCTTGATGTAGGGTGCTTCCTTTGTTCTCTGCGTTCTTTGAGCAAGTATGTGGCGTCAAAGAAGCGATCACTCCCAACCAGGATTCGAACCAGTATCCCGGGTATTGCCGGAACATTGCTGTACTTGCTGCGATAGCGGTGTGCACAAACTTTGTGGCTGGTGGAGATCGCTTTGAGGTGAGGGCAGAGTACGTGGTACGCCTCTCAATATCCCGGGAGGCGGATGAATACCTAGATTGCTCCTTCCAAGCATCGTCTGTACATGAACGAGAAGTACCACTACGTCATGATCGACGCACGTGGCCTGGATCATTGCGCGTTTCCACGTTGACACTGCCCCGCTTGTCCGTCCTTGTCCTTCCTCTTCATCCTCCGAACATTCCTGCCATGCCGGTATCAACTGCCCAGTGCCATGGATCAGGCGTGCAGCTGGATCGCACGCGCATTCCACGCTGGGTATGGACCGGGTCAACGATCTTGCCCGCCCTCGGCCAACCTGGGCGGGAGGCGGAATTGCTCACCCTACTAACGTATGTCATGTTGCGCCGACGTCCTTGCTAGCTACTCAACACTAATCCTCGCGCACAGCTTCCCCTATCTCCCCTCCTCTCGGTAACGCCATGCGTACACACCCGACACCGCCATTATCAATCTAAACTTCGATCGTAGCAGGCAGATCGGCCTCGTCCCTCTCTCGCCACTGCGCCTCCCTTCCTCCCTCAATCCCCACCATCGCTACATGCGGCTGTACCCGTCATTGGGTACGACTTGCGCACTTCACGCGCATCGTTGGTCAATGGTGGACACCATGCCTTCATGCGAACCTGCTCGTAGTCGCTGCCAAGGTGAATTCCAACATTGTATTTTTGGGTTAGCGGAGGCCCATCCCCAATGCAGAGCCATCGCGTCAGGCCGCGTCTCCCAGTCCATTCTCTGCCAACTCTGACGGAGCGCACCTGCGATCACCCCCGCCCTCCACCGTGTCTGTCGTGCATTCGTCAAACGAGTTGATCAGTTCGTGTGGGGTTGCGTGCATTGTGTGCAGTGCCTGGGGTAGGTGGTCCTGCTTCCGTATGCCTCTCTCACTGACCGCTCTTGCCCAGATAGACCCGGCAGCCCAGGGACATTGCCCAACGATAGCTTCGTGCAGTCGCGGGGGGCGCCACGTGTCCTTTTCAGCCCGAGCACCGGCCTACGTCTGCGGAGGAGGATGGTGGATACCTCGCTCTGCAAACGCAAGAGGCAGCGTATGGGTGGCCGCATACGGCGTGAACACGATGCGGTTTCTGCCGGACTGATGTGCGTGGCTATCATAGTCGTCAGCGATCTCGTCCTGACTGACCGCCTCTCAGCTGTTTCGAGACGAATATTGTGTGCTCCACCGGTGGGCTCCTGTTCTGTCTCGCCAGGGATTGATGTCCTAGGCGCTCGAGGGCTGCTTCTTACATAACGTTGTCCAGCTTCCATCGCATTATAATATCACGACGGCATGAGCCTATCATGACCGGAATATGTGGACTTGCAACTCCTTCCGGCCGGGAAAGCTATCCCCGACCTCCTGCATCTCAAAGCCCAGTTGGCCACACCGTCGTGCTTGCAAACCTCAAGAACACGAACTTTCGGGCCCTTAGATGAGTATGGTGCTTGCTGCGTCTCGTGTCCCACTGCTTCAGTATCCCTCGCACAGTTGACAACGATGCTCTAGCGCAGTCAGTCAATATTGATGCGCGTCCTCTTGACGACCACCAGATCTCTTCACAGAGTTGGATCGCATTGCCTTGTCAGGATCCCCGCCATTGCTTTATAGCTTCCCGCTATCGGCCATATTGAACCGGGGTTGCGAGCACACGAGACGGGATTCGCATGTTGCAAATGTGCACTTTATGGGGTGTACACGCCTTAACCGTTTAATCTACATATAATTCGTGCTGTAGTCGACCCTTGAGATCGAGCCTTGAGCTTGTTACAACCTATCAATCATGCCTACGTCGCTCTTAGCCAAGGTAGGAGCTTCTTCCAGAGCAGTCGTCTCATCGGCCTCTGAAACAAAACACAACGCAGCCCCAAGCCGGGGAGCTCCCAACGCTCTGACGCAGAGGAGGTGGGTTTCATCTACCATCCTGGACATCTGATCACCGCTAATCTACGCCTGCTCATGGATGGCTCTATCGGGCAATGCCGTTGCCACGTTGTTCTTTGTCTTTCATCAACAACCTCCACCCAGTCCGGCCTTCAGTTCGCGGCAGCTGTTCAATTACCCCCCGGGAATGTCTCAAGCCAATGGTCCAGCGGTTAGTGCAGGAGTGCTTTCACAGATATATGGCCTTTGATCCAAACTGGCTTTCCAGATCATCATCCAGACGCATGCCGACCTCCAGCGACATATACAATGGCGACAAAAGGCTCAAGAATTAGATAGACTTCGCAGCCAGGCCCTAGAGAAGAACAATGACCTGGCTATCAAGCTCTTGAATATACAGGCGGAAATCGCAGCCAACGCTACGCTTATTACGGGTCTGCAGCAGGCTATGTCTTCCGAGGTTTGTCGTCTTCACTTTATGTATCTCGTACTGATGGAAGAACCAAGCAGAGAACACGGTCCGAGGCTGGACTTGGAGATGTTGCAGCTAACGTGGCTTCGCTCCTCACGGTAAGCGCCTGGCCAATTATATGCCGCAGCATTTTTCATCGCCCTCGCAGAAATTTGACAAACAGCTGTCCCGCATCAAGGAGCAGGATCCAACAGAGTTGACGCTCGGCCGTCTACAAAGCAACAACAAGGTCAACTTCGCATCTCGAAAGCCAATTCCCAACGCATCGCTGACGCCCTTTTCGCTGAACTAGATGCTTCAAGGTCAACTCAAGCTGATTGAGGACTGGTGGGTCCTTCAGATTGAGAATTGGCGCTATGAGGAGGTCAGAAGTTTCATTCCTTGTACGGTATTGAAAACTGAACCGCGCAGGGCGAAGGAACATCGGTATAGGGTCACCGCCGTCATCAGGCTCACGGACTAATCATTGTTGCCTAGGTCGAGGAGGAAGAGGAGTTGGAAAACATCAAGGTAACGTATTTGCGTAAAGTGTGAGTCGCAACTCATGCTTCTGAACTAGGAGTCCATCAACGTCGCTCGGGTACGTGCTTGTCGGGTTGAACCCCCGTCTGTAGCTGACTAAGCGTCAGTCGCGCCTGGAGGCCCAAAAACAGTCAGAGCTTCACAGCGCAGATGAAAGACAGCGGGAGCGACATTCTCTCCTTGCTCTAATACGTGACCTATCCATGAGGCGCGATGAACGGCAGCGTGCTGTCCGGGAAAACCAGGTGGGTGCGCTGCAACTTCTAAGCTAGACCTGACGAACATGCGACATGTACGTAGGACGCCGTAGCCAACGCAGAAGCGCGCTTGAAGACCGAGACCCAACAACAGATGGGGCTTCAGACATCGATCACAGATTTGACCCGTGAACTGAGCGTCCTGGGCCACGCGTCCCAGGTACGTGCAAAGTTAGAAGGGGGTGGGCTCGCTTCTTATGTGTCCCGTCAGGATGCCAAGGACCAAACCATGAATCTCAATCGCCGGCTTACGGAGGGGACGGATTTGCGTCAGGCCCTTCAGGCGGACAATGACCGGAAACACAGAGAGATAGACAGCGCTGTACGGAGCCTTCAGGTAAGCTCTCTCCTCAGTGTTGCTACCACCACCTGACATAGCTTACCCTCCGCAGGCAGACCTCAACAGAATAGCTAACGAGCGGCGCAACACGTTGGAGCCACTCATGCAGCGGAATGAGGCGTTGAGGAACGAAGTGGACGCCGTACAGCAAGAGGTGGACACCATGATCTCCAGAATCGTGGAACGACGGGTAACGGTATATGTCATGAACACCTACGGCTGGCTAAGCCTACAACGGCAGACCTCAATCGCAGACTTGGAGCGCATACAATTGCAAGATCGTCAATACGAGCAACGGCCGCAGGCTCAGGATGATGATGACGGATGGGAGGAGGACTTGTACCTGGGTGACGATGATGAGCAGGTCAACGTAGGGACGGGCGGTGGGTGGAATGGGAAAGGGAGTGTCCGGAATGAAGTGCGTATTACTCTGGATCGGTGGTATCGCCGAGGTATAGCATCACTAACAAACATTCATTAGCAAACCTTTGCCCGCAGCGTCACCGGCACGCCGTCGCCGCCAGAGCGACACCGCTCTAAGGGAAAGGAGCTTGCGCACGGTCACTCTCCGAAGGGAGGCTTCGAGCCGGTAAGCGTCTTCTTTCCTTTGAAGGCAAGCAATCTAATTTGAGTCCGCGTAGAATGCAGGGCCGCCTGCTACGTCCTCCGCACGTCGGGGGATGAGTTCCTCATACAACTCGGATGAAGACATGCTCATCGATGAGGTAAGCATACCGTTCGGCATGTCGAGATGGTACTGACGAAGAAGCAGGTTCCCTTACCGACGCCTCCAACACGCACGTCCGGGTCTCGGAGCCGCGAGGGAGCCGCGTCAAGTCGACCTACCGTTCAATCTCGCGGTAACGACAGTCGTGCTGGTCTCTCTCTGACCTCAGCGAGCAGGAGGTCAGAGGAGCGCCGGCCCATCTCTTTGACAAGCCCCCAGTCAATACGAGGGGCGAAGGTTGGAGACCAGCTGGCTCAGCTAGCATCATTCAGACTCGGTACTCCTATCGTGAGTTGCAATCTTACCTTTGCTCGCACAAAATGGCGATGGTAACCGCTCTGAAGGGATCTTCTTCACGAGGCGGCACCTCGGAACCCTCAAGCAAGCATTCGAGGTCGACAGGGAAGGTTCGCTCGTCAACGACTCCACGCGCCAGCCCGTACTCCCGCGCATCTGTATGTACGTCTTTGCTGGATGTCCAACAGCGGCTGATCTCATCTACAGCGCCCGACCAAGTATGACGCCGATGATAGCGATGGCAGCTCCGAGAGCGGAGACGAGGATGGTGACCTAGAGGACAACGGAATCAGGGGCGAGAGCAGGCGGGATGCCGGCGGGGACGAGAGCGACAGTGACAGCGACAGTGACAGCGACAGTGACAGCGACAGCGACAGCGAGGAAGGCTCGCCGCCGAAGAGAGTCAAGCGAGAGGAGGAGGATCTCGCAGAAACGGACGATGAATCTGACGAGAGGCCGTCGAAGATCGCCCAAAAGTATATGGCGCAGAAGCGCTTGCCTGGCAGCAAGTATTCGCCACAACAGATGAAGTCCAACTTCAATGTATAGTAAATTACTGTTTTGGTCGAGAAGTCATGTTAAATCTTCCTTGGCAGCGCCTTGTCTTGAACACCATCAAGAAGGGTCTTGGCGTCCAGCTCCTGTACCAGGTCGTGTCCGTGGAGCCTGTCAGCGAGGAGGACCTCCGAAAGTTTGAGGCGGGCGAATCAAAGCCAAAGGTCACCTCCTTCAAGCTCGATACACGCGGGGAGACAGCAAAGGAGCTATTGCGTCTGGCCTGGAACGCGGTGAGTGCCTTCTGCTTTCTGGCTGCAGAAACATGCTAGATGTGCGCATTTTTAGACGCTAGAGAAACTCGTGCGGAAGGTCATCTGGCGGAAGGTCAAACCGAAGTTGCGCACCGGGAAGTATGGGGCGGTCACCAAGGCTAAAGTCAAGAAAGGCGTGCACGAACGGTTCAGTCGTATGTTCAGGGCTATTGCACGCACAGTCGTCCTGGACGGGCAGACATGGGAAGAGTTTGTGGAAGGCTTTGCAAAGGCGCACCATGACTATAATGAACGCTCCCGGCATCTCATGATGCGGCATACGGTGGGTGAAGCTCTACGAGTTGTCGGCGGAGCTGACCTATCCTAGAAACTCGATTTGCGCATTCGATACGCAACGATCATGCGCCTGTCCTCTCAACAAGTTCAGTATAAACCGGGCGAGCAGTTCTGGTCCTACGTTATCGAGGTCATCAAGGAGCTCGGCTACGACGGCATGTCTGACGAGGAGAGCGACACAGAGGAGATGACCCGTCCAAACAACTTCAAGGTGAATGTTCGGTACAGGAAGGTGCTGAAGCTCAGGTGGCGACACCCGTCGATCGAAGCGCTCTTCGCGAAGGTGGACGAGACGCCAAAGTTGGCCAAGGCGTTCTTCCACACTTCCGCGTCGTCGCCCTCTAACCGGCTCAGGAGGGTGCGGGTTGACAAGGAGAGCGTTCGAGACCCACCAAAAAACATACCTAGGTCTCTTTACAACCCTGAGTACCTCGACTCTCTTGGGGCTCCGGGTGAGTACTTGCTGGATATTAGCGACAGGGCGTTCGAGCTGTACAACCTGGATGCCGTGGACGAAGTTCTTTGATAGATAAATCCGTACACAATATGAGTTTGACATGTACATTAGAGATAAATGGCCATCAGCTGTGTTGTTGCTGATTGTGTATGGAAATTGAGGAAACACCCATGCCTGCGACGCAAGCCACACGCACAACCGGCCCGAGGATCCATACATCCGGCCCGAGGGCCGACATCACTACATCACACGCCTCGCCTCGTGTTGCGCGCTTGACAAAAACGATCGCAAAGTCTGCGCTGCTCGATCTCTTCCTCGAATTTCTCACACTCTTCCTCTGATTTCTCAAACGTGATCCTGCATAGAGTCGTTCTACCAGCTGATGGGTCCACCATAGTATGCAGAACCATCGGCGCACCTACTAGACCATCGGAGGACTCATCCGGACGCGGCTCGCAGTATTCGGGAGGTCAAGAGGGAGAATGCCCGATGAACAGTCTGTGAGAAGCCCGCCTATCCTGGGGACCGGCTTCGATTGGGCGAGCCGCCTGCCCCATGGAAAGAGCTGATCCCCTCAAGTGCGTGCCATGCGCTACAAATCCACACATCAGGGAGCTGACGGCGTTCAAAGCATGCATCAAGGTGGCTTGACACACTACGCAGGTTCAGCGTCCATCCAATGCGTATACACGGTAGCTCACCAATGCTCAGGGGCTCGACATGCATTACGGGAACGCGGAGGCTACCGCAAACAAGAGGCGCAGCAGTCCACGAAAAGGTACGCCAATGGTTCGTCTCAGCACTCTAGTACCCCTCACTTCTTGCTAGTCAACCCCCACCCGAACCTATGTGCATGCCCCTCAACGGACGCTCCTGGTTGAACAAGGACCAGAACCGCACCACCTTCTGATCGTTGAGGCGCAGTGGCCCCGGAGATGAAACCTCTGCGGTACGTCCGTCTCGCTGAACTCCTCGTCTGGGAGGGGGTGAAGGATAACGGGAGCATGTGTCAGAAGGGGAAGGGGAATAAGGAGAACGAATAGGAGGCAGACGAGCAGCGCGGATGACATACCGATGTACCGGCCCTACCGCGCACGGCTCCCATGTCCATCCCCTCCCCTCACCCACAATATTTCCCGCTCCCTCAACGCTGATCGTATGCGACAGCACGGACTACGAAAGCGCCGCAAAAGCCAAGGTCACTAGCGCCGCGCATTCATGTCGGCTGCAAGGACAATGGCGCGTGGCAAAGTTCCTCTGTTGCTGCCACCAACACCGCACCACATGGTCAGACCTCCTGGCGTATCTCAAGGCCCGCTGACGTATGACCTCTGGTAGCGTTGTATCTTGGAGATGCCAAGGTCCGCCTCGAGCGACACTTGATTTTGTTCCCGTGAGTCTTGTTGGTCTATGCGCCTCTCTCAACTAGCTCATCTTTCGACAGGCCTTCGTCCAACTCCTTGGCAAGCGTTAGTGGTACCCACGTTTCCGTAGGCCACGTCCCTCCACTCTTACTCCTCAGGGAACTGAAATCTTACGGAGCTGCGGCTTTAAGGAGACCCCTTGTATATTCTCTGTATGTATCCTGAGTTACTACATTGAAAGCGGCCTCCTTCGTATACCCTCAGGATGCTCAGCCCCTGGCAGCGACGCAAGTCCTTGCCTATCCGCTGGCTCGCTATGTGTAACAGAAGAGCGCAAATCCTCTGCCGTCTGCATGCTTGATCTGGCAATCAGTATTTTGTGAGGTCGAGCCACAACGTCGACCGCCATAGTCTTGGAACAGTCGTCGGTCCTCGTTGTTGAGGGCAGCCCGTGCTGCACGCCACGAGGCCGAGCGGAACAAGCGCAGGTAAGTGGGACCACATGCTCCGCTCTTTCATGCTAACGCCAGCTTGTAGCAACATTGGCGCTGGTGGCTCGCACGCTCATGGTAGAACATGTGTAATCATGTAATAATACGATGATACATGCTCAAGTATGGAGAGACCCGCTGAATGACAGACCCGCTACCAAGGAGACGACACCAATCGCTATCCCGACGCAGACCAAGGCCTTTGAGGTCGTCAGACATGCCGCGGAAGAAGCAATAGATCGCTCACCATGCCCTTCCAGTGCGGTGAGACCGCTTCACAGCTAACATATATCTCCCTCACCTCCGTCACAAGCTCATCCCACGAGTCGAGGTCTAACACAACAAAGTCGTCCATGCCTCGAAGAAGGACCCTAACGCGCGACTCCCAGAATCCATATCGCAGCATGAAAGGGAGTGGGTGCGTGCACTCGACGCCGCTCAGACTGGCAAGAAGAGCGATGTGCTCCTGGGTTGTATCTTAGAAGGGCTTCGTATCTTCGGGCAGGCCACACTCACCTCGAGGGAGTAGCTCATCAGTTGGTCCCGGTCCGTCTCCATCCTCGTGTTTCCAACCTGAATGAACACGACGCTGTCGCTTGTGTGTTTGTGCAGCGTATGGGGGGCCAAGATCGTGAGGGCACGTTCCATGACTGACAGAGCGCTTGTGGTTGTGGGTGCGGAAGGTGTGTTTCCTGGGGCAGATGGGAGCGTCGACGGCCTTTTAAAGGCCGGCCCTTTGTGCTCCTCCCCACAAAGCAAGCAAGCCATGCGCCGGAGTGCGCGCTGTGGATTCATCTAATCCAATCCGGACTCTTATTTCTGTCCGCACGACTAATCTGCTGCGGATTTAGAGATGCGGCTTGGCTGCCTGGACATCCCTTTTGACGAACCAAAAGGCAGAAGATTGGTTCAGGGTCAATGGGTATGGTGCTCGGCGCATATAGACTTCAACAAACACCATGACTGTCAGGAAAGCGAGTCAGCACGTCAGCAAGATTTCTCGCAGGCGCTAAAGGCGTGAGGCGTTCCTTACGACAACGTGCCGGCGCGTTACATGTGACCGTGTCGCTCGGTCTTTTCCGAGCAGTAGGATAAGCGCTCACACCTTGATGCTTGCGCCTTGCTTGGTGATCGACAGGTGCGCTGTGGTCGCTTCGCCAACAGACCTTTCTCTCCGGATCAGAGGGCGCTTTCTAAAGGTGTGTCTTCAAACTTTCCCAGCCTTTACAGCCGCTCATCGTCGACCCGCATGTGATCCAGGGTCAATCTCCCTGCCATAGGTGGCTCTATCCATTCACATGGAACCTTTGGCCCATGGTACTCGACGGGCTGCAGTCCCTGTGAACCCTGAAATATATGACACTGCCGATCGCCGTCCCATCCCTGTAAGCCTCACTTATTCCTCTCCGCCCAGCTGTCCCATTCGAGCCATTGCAGGTTCAGGATAGCACTTCTTCGTCCTATAAATCGGGACCACTGCATCGTGCCCATCGGTATTCGAGCACTCCACCGCAATCTGAGGACGGCGACAGCGCAGGGACTGATATTCACTCCGATACAGAATCTGGCGAGCAGGGAGCGGGGTCATGTTCCTCGCCCATGGACGATTCTGCTTCCGAGGATGGCAGCTCTGACGGATGGTCAAGCCCAGCGGATGATCGCCTTGTCGGCAGGATAGGGGAGGGGGCGGATGGCATGGATCACGTCCGTCGCGGACGCCGCTCTGAACGTGATGATCCCCGCCGGTCCCTGTCGTTACGCAGCGCCAGTCCAAAGATACCCAAGCCACCTGGAGAGCCTGGACGTCCTTCTAGCGGTGGATACAGCCTCGAAGAAGTTCTGCAGTGGGGTCCTCAGCGATATCGCGAAGTTCGGGTAAGTCATTGACTCTTCTTGTCGTAGCCCAGTACCCATTGTCAATAGAAAGTGATGTACGCCCTTGTGGATGGTCATCTGGACCATCGGTGCTCACTGACCAAGCAGAGTGAGGCTCGTGTGGCAGTCTATGAGGAGGAGGTGCGTTGTGTTGCTCGCATCTAGTATGAGACTGATGATTTATGTTAGGCATTTAGGCTCTTCCCAATCATGGAGGATTATGAGGACCGCTGGCCCATTCGTGCGTTTGCGACACAGCGTCTCCACTACCTACAGAATAACGCAAGGCGCATCGAACGCAACCGACAACTGGACGCCCTACAGAGCCCACGGGGTCGCACCGTCAACCGCTGAATGTTTACACGGATCTTTTTGTACTGTATCATCCTATTGAAACCATACCACTTGCCCAATCGCTGCAGGAACTGCTGTCAGAGATTTCTTGACCTGAACAATGGTGCCCTGGGCGCCCAAGCATATCGCCGTAGGTCTAAGACATTTTCCGAAGAATGAGAGTAGCCGACAGAAATACTACAAAGTACGGCAGTAGATGGGTGAGGTTAGCGGCGAAGTACCCACTGAAGACGGGGGATGAGGCTCGGATAAAGCAGCGTGCGGGTGCCAGACGATCGGTCCGAAGCCAGCCGCAACGAGATCTTGACTCTGGCCACGATGCATCTACCCAGCGCCTGTTGCCTTCATCGCTCCCCCAACTATCCCCACGCTATCCTTGGACAACAACGACCGCTGCATAACGTGCTGCAGCTCAGCGTGACCGCAACAATGACGGATCGACCGTACCATGACGGGGCGTAGGCATTGACGAGGGCTAGCCGGTGTGTGTGCGCATCGTGCGTTCTTGAGTCTTCCTAACTAATCGGTGACAGCTCGAGCAGCGTGGTGAGGAAGTTCTCAAGAGGCCCGTCTGCAGACTTCCTGTTCAACACCCTCACAATGGATCTGCATGCTCCGGCGTTCTCAGCGTCGCTTTCTGGTACGCTCTCGCTGGCTGCGCGCACATGTTTGTCTGACATCTCTTTCTTCTTTCTCTCTTCTCCCTCAGAATAGTGACACGAGCACAGAAGGGGGGCGTTTGCAGATCATATGCGCGCTTCCCAGAACTGGCTATGCAGGGTCGTGCGCCCAGCTGCAACGCTGGCCCTGCCCGCCACTCATGCCCACCTCATTGGCGCCCTTCGCCTCCTCACCACTGCACACAAGCAGCCTTTCTGGGAGCCGCTTCTCCCGCCAACCGTGATCGCCCTACACACGCATTCCCGCAAGTCAAGGTCAGAGACAAGGGTATGTCGCGCGACATTGCTGACACCCTTCCCCCAGGTCGCTCTTCATTTACAACGACAATGCGTCCCTTTACCCGATACACTAGGTTGAGGAACCACAGCTGAGCTCGCTGGCGCTCATGATGAACGTCTTCTGGAGGTGCGTGATTGATATCAAATGCACCCACCATCGCGACTGACGCTCTCCCTCTCAATAGGTTAGCACGACTTCCATTGGGCAGGGTCATCTTCGAAGGTCACTCTGCCTCCCGTTGCTTTGGTAGATAGGTTGTGGAGCGCGCCTTTTGGTCTCTACCGTCCTCTCGCCGACGGACTCCATCGATGGCCCGCTAATATTTGCTGGCGGCGTGGTTCTGTTTCGCTTTTTTCAAAGTACGTCCCGCTATCCAGTTGCCGCGCATTGCCCTGTCGAACAACTATTAGAGAGTGCTGCGGGCGTTGTTGAGGGCTTGGCTAACTGCATTCGACTCTGCCTCAGCAAGAGGATCCTTAGCAAGGGCGAACCTTGCAGTCGACAATGGCCACTGAGTGAGTGACTTTCCTCTCAGACTGAAGGCTTCCTCTGATTGGCACTTACACTGCAGGCACTGCGCTCACAGGCGTCCTTGGTGGCTCCGTTCAGGTGTTCTTTGCGTATACGCACCTGCTTTCTCACGTAGACGACTCCGCGTAACTGCGTCTTCACCTCCAAGGTGGCGCATGCAGCTCAGCTCGTACGTACGAGTTTCCCACAGAGCTTGACATACCAATGACGCGTTCGTCTCAGCTCACCGGGAACATCATCTTTGCCTTGATCATCGCCGTCTCGTCTGCCGCGACAATCTGTACGTCGCAAGCTCTGTAACCCCGTATACCCACCACTCACAACTTGACAGTCTGTGGTATCGCCCCGTCTGTTGGATGCTGGATCGTCATGTACTTCGTTGAGTTCCAGAAGTTCTCCATTGTGGTCGTCATCTGTGCGTCTACCATGAAACGCGCCTCTATCTCAACAACTCACGAGTGTACAGGGCTTGTGGGCTCGTCCATGTCGGATATCCTCGTACGTTCTTGCGTGCTCTCTGATTCACGGGTATCGTGTACCGCAGCACAACGTGTACCTGCTGGACCCCGTATCTTGGTAAGCCTCCCCCTACTGCGCTTCAGCACACGCAATTTATGTCCTCATGCACAGCCATCTTCTTCTCAACTTGCCACTCTCTAAGCCGGAGGAACGTTAGACGGCACATTTCTCGGTCGAAGTAGGAGGAAGGGTATGGTAGCCGCACACGCGTTGGGGCAAAGTGATCTGACGATGGCTGGGCGAAAGGCGTATGAGGTGTGTTTGTTATTTTTGGCTATCGCCTTCCTTCCCTTCTTTCCTTACAGTCCTTGTACGTGGCGACACGGCCAGTGCTTAGTACCGGAACGCAATAGAACCACGTTGTACACTTTATCTTGAAGGGCATGGGTGGTGCATGCTGGCTTCGCTCCTACGGCTGCTGTCCTCCCTCTGAAGTCGGGCGCATGGTATGGCTGACAGCCGTTCGCACGCAGATGTTGTCGCGGTACAATCAGATGCGGACCTCCTTGAACCTGCACCAGCGCATAGGCATTGATGACTCTGGCGTTGTCGAGATGGGTGATCTTCACTTGTGGTGGCTGACGATAGGCGCACATGTAGTCTGGTGGTGATGACCCGTGCCAAATGCCTAAGGTGTGCCGCCTTCTGAGTTACCAGCAATCTGCTCAAGATCTAGGCCATTCGTTTCCAGCCCAGATCATCTTGAGAGCCGAGCACTGCATCGCTGCGAGCGCGCAGTCGCTGTACTGTTCGCCCCTGCTGCCATGGTTCTACGTTCTAACCTCTCAGCGCAGCGCCAAGGAGGTGCATCTCCCACTTGTATGGCTCCGAATTGATCTATATGTCTGGTTGGGCTGTGGAGGACCTACGCCTACTTGAGAAAAGCGCTATGCACGTTGATTACGCTGTTATGTAATCAAACACGTGAGAGTGGCGGTTGGCAAGCCCTTTGTCTTCGCTTGTACATGTTTCCGTACCCTCTCTGTGGGTGGGTTCTGCATCATGCCTTCAACGCCCTCTCATCCCTCTGGGAAGCGAAATGCTCCATCAGTGGGTCCTCATTCCCGCCGCCTTCGAAGCTCTGATCGTATGCACAGGATTGGGACGCACCCCCTTGTAAAAGGACAGCGAACTCGCCAACTCGCATTGGAGGAACGGCGGGGGGAGACGACAATATGAACAATGCGTCCTCAGGTCCAAGTCCACAAGTTCAAGATCAGGACAGCGTGTTGCTGCATGAACTCGCTTCTTTGAGGCAGGAACTTGCAGATGCACAGGTAAAGGTTGCATCCATGTCGTATACGACGCTCTTACATTTCATATAGGTTCAGCACCAGCGTGTCCAGGAATCCCTCATCCATGCAAATAATCGCCTGTCTAACGATCGCAGACGACTCATTGTGGAAAACGAAGATCTGAAGGTGAGTTAGCTGTGGATTCAGGTACGATTTTTATTACAGATGCTAATCGTATAAGGCTGCAGCAGCCTCTGCTACAGAGGAGAGAGACCTACCAACAGGCAATCATCCCTATCTTGAAGACGAGTGGTCGAAGGAGATCACATCTCTCCGTGGTGAGCTTGCAAAATTGCAGGTTGGTCGAGCCCTGTCTCTTTGTCACCATTCTCCATACAAAATTCAATAGGTAGAGAACAGTCGCTCTCAGGCGAGCCTTGTCGATGCGAACACCCGCCTTTCCGATGAGCGCCGGCGGCTAGTCAGGGAAAATGACATCCTTAAGGCGAGTATTGCCATACTTCAACCGTCTGATCGGACGCTCATCAATTGCTCAGCAAGATTTAGCATCCTCCCGTCAGCGGCAAGACAATGGGTCCAAGAACACTTCGCCAACGAAACCTCCGGTCCGTCTATTTTCCTCCCCCATGGCCCAAGCTCATCTCACTCCAGGGGCCTTGTACCATGCCTACACCTGGCGAGATCCATTGGCAGCGCCGCTCGGCATCGCTAGCGAAAGATCTCGAGCAAGTCAAGGATGCAAGGGATAAATTTTCCCAGCAATTAGAAGCAAAGAAAGGCGAGCTGATGGTAGGTTGCCCCCGAATCTTTGGTGTGCCGTTCTTTAATCGTAGTCCTCAGCAATTGAGGCTGAATACCCAGCTGGAGAGCGCGAGCCGTGGAAAAAACCAGTACAATTTTCTTGTAGGAGGCGTTTGTAACTTGCTCACACGAATAACCTTCCTGACGGCAATGATTCAGATCGGTATACGAAGGAAGATTATGGCATTATTGCGCCTCCTGCGGGTTCGTGTCCCACAGCTGAGCTCCGTAAGTGGTTCCATGCAGCCCCGTAAAGCAGCTACTGATGTGTTGCAACCCATAAGCCTGGAACTGTTGCGAAAGCGCAGGTATGGCTGTGACCTTGCTTCAAGTTGTGTTCTCGCTGATTTATTGTATAGGAACATATTCAAATCTTGATGGCGGTGCTTTGGAACCTGTTCAGCGAACACGATGCACAAAACACGATAAAGTATGAGGCGCAGGTACGTCCACTTCCCAGAAACATCGCTCAATCTCACTGAGGCGCGAATCTAGTTATCGAACCGCTTCCACCTGTTACAAGTTCAAGACCGCACACCGTCGTCACCAACTTCACCAGTGCGTCATGCGTGATCAAGTCTCAACAATGTACTGATTTGTCAGAGTTACAACGACGATATGCAGGTCAGTGAGGGCGAAGGCAGCACGGCGCACTCAGATGTCTTCCCGCAGGCGAGTGTTCCTTGTCAATCAACTCTAGCAATCCCGGAAACTGATATGCTGTGTCAGAAGGAGGGCATCGACAGCTACGAGAGCAACAACAAGCGTGCGGATGATGTACGTCTCGATTATTTCCCTTTGATGGTATAGGTACGGTTGTTTATCGTGAACTTGCGACGATTCAGGCAACCGACAAGGCCGTGGCTATGGGCGAGCTCGACCTCGGGCAGGGTGTGCAGGAGAGCCAGGTACAGACGGAGGCTGAAGCCCAGGCAACATCTCTTTTGCGGATGTTGGAGGACGAAACGGGTCAGAAAGCTGCTATCGAACAAGTGGCTGCTTTGCTTCGTGCTGAGGTCATGGTCTGTCGCACCGCACTTGTCGCATAGCTTGATGCTGACGTAGCTACAGGCTAAGAACGACGAGGTTACAAGAGCGGGGAACCGTGAACGCGCCCTGTTGCTCGCAATCCAAGACCTCGAGCAGGGTGCGAGGGGGTACGAGGCTCGTTGGACAGAGGCTAAAGCTCAAGCAATGTCTCTGTTGCGGACGCTGGAGGACGAGATGGCTCAGAAGGCCGCCATCGAACAGGCGGCTTTCTCGCTTCAAGCTGACGTTCTGGTTTGTTGTACCACATCTATTGCATATCCTGACACTCACATTGCTTCAGGCGAAGAGCGACGAGATCTCCGGGGGAAGAGAACGCGAACGCGACCTGTTGGCCACCATTCGAGGTTTAGAGCAAAGCGTCAATGAGAGCGAGGTTCGCTTCACGAGAGCGGAAGCTCAGGCGTCATCTCTGTCGTCGCAGCTCGAGGATGAGATGCGCCGGAAGGCTGCGATCGAGCAGGAGGCAGCGTCGCTCCGCATGCAAATCGAGGTTCGTTGTGTGTTGTGTATCCCATAACCTGACGCTGACGCGGCTTTAGTCGAAGAGCGACGAGATTGCACGGGCTGAGGAACGCGAGCGCGACCTGAAGCGAGAAGTGCAGCTCAAGAGCGAGGAGATCTCCGGGGCAAGAGAACACGAACGCAACCTTTCGGCCACTATCCGAGGTCTGGAGCAGAGCGTCAACGAGAGCGAGGTTCGCTTCACGAGAGCGGAAGCTCAAGCGTCATCTCTGTCGTCGCAGCTCGAGGATGAGATGCGCCGGAAGGCTGCGATCGAACAGGAGGCAGCGTCGCTCGGCATGCAAATCGAGGTTCGTTGTGTTTTGTATTCAGTAGCTTGGCGCTGACGCGGCTTTAGTCGAAGAGCAACGAGATCGCACGGGCAGAGGAACGCGAGCGCGACCTGAAGCGAGAACTACAGCTCAAGAGCGAGGAGATCTCTGGGGCAAGAGAACACGAGCGCGACCTGTCGGCCACCATTCGAGGTCTAGAGCATAGCGTCAATGAGAGCGAGGCTCGCTCCACGAGAGCGGAAGCTCAAGCGTCATCTCTGTCGTCGCAGCTCGAGGATGAGATGCAACGGAAGGCTGCAATCGAGCAGGAGGCAGCGTCGCTCCGCATGCAAATCGAGGTTCGTCGTGTGTTGTGTATCCCATAACCTGACGCTGATGCGGCTTCAGTCGAAGAGCGACAAGATCGCACGGGCGGAGGAACGCGAGCGCGACCTGAAGCGAGAAGTGCAGCTCAAGAGCGAGGAGATCTCCGGGGCAAGAGAACACGAACGCAACCTTTTGGCCACTATCCGAGGTCTGGAGCAGAGCGTCAACGAGAGCGAGGTTCGCTTCACGAGAGCGGAAGCTCAAGCGTCATCTCTGTCTCAGCAGCTCGCGGATGAGATCCACCGGAAGGCTACGATCGAGCAGGAGGCAGCGTCACTCCGCCTGCAAATCGAGGTTCGTCGTGTTTTGTGTATCCCATAGCCTGACGCTGACGCAGCTTCAGTCGAAGAGCGACGAGATCGCACGGGCGGAGGAACGCGAGCGCGAGCTGGAGCGGGAACTGCGTGTCAAGAGCGAGATGATTGCAAGGGCAGAGGAACACGCACGCGACCTGTTAGTCACCAAACAAGGCTTCGATCAGGCCGCGAGCAAGAACGGGGCTTGCTCAATGGGAGCGGAAGCCCAAGCGTCATCCCTGTCGTCGCAGCTCGAGGATGAGATGTGCCGGAAGGCTGCGATCGAACAGGAGGCAGCGTCGCTCGGCATGCAAATCGAGGTTCGTTGTGGTTTGTATTCAGTAGCTTGGCGCTGATGCGGCTTTAGTCGAAGAGCGACGAGATCGCACGGGCAGAGGAACGCGAGCGCGACCTGAAGCGAGAAGTGCAGCTCAAGAGCGAGGAGATCTCCGGGGGTAGAGAACGTGAACGCGACCTGTCGGCCACCATTCGAGGTCTAGAGCAAAGCATCAACGAGAGCGAGGCTCGCGCCACAAGAGCGGAAGCTCAAGCGTCATCTCTGTCGTCGCAGCTCGAGGATGAGATGCGCCGGAAGGCTGCGATCGAACAGGAGGCAGCGTCGCTCCGCATGCAAATCGAGGTTCGTCGTGTGTTGTGTATCCCATAACCTGACGCTGACGCGGCTTTAGTCGAAGAGCGACGAGATCGCACGGGCGGAGGAACGCGAGCGCGACCTGAAGCGAGAACTACAGCTCAAGAGCGAGGAGATCTCCGGGGGAAGAGAACGTGAACGCGACCTGTCGGCCACCATTCGAGGTCTAGAGCAAAGCGTCAATGAGAGCGAGGCTCGCTCCACGAGAGCGGAAGCTCAAGCGTCATCTCTGTCGTTGCAGCTCGAGGATGAGATGCGCCGGAAGGCTGCGATCGAACAGGAGGCAGCGTCGCTCGGCATGCAAATCGAGGTTCGTTGTGGTTTGTATTCAGTAGCTTGGCGCTGATGCGGCTTTAGTCGAAGAGCGACGAGATCGCACGGGCAGAGGAACGCGAGCGCGACCTGAAGCGAGAAGTGCAGCTCAAGAGCGAGGAGATCTCCGGGGGTAGAGAACGTGAACGCGACCTGTCGGCCACCATTCGAGGTCTAGAGCAAAGCATCAACGAGAGCGAGGCTCGCGCCACGAGAGCGGAAGCTCAAGCGTCATCTCTGTCGTCGCAGCTCGAGGATGAGATGCGCCGGAAGGCTGTGATCGAACAGGAGGCAGTGTCGCTCCGCATGCAAATCGAGGTTCGTCGTGTGTTGTGTATCCCATAACCTGACGCTGACGCGGCTTTAGTCGAAGAGCGACGAGATCGCACGGGCGGAGGAACGCGAGCGCGACCTGAAGCGGGAGCTGCGCGTCAAGAGCGAGATGATTGCAAGGGCAGAGGAACACGCACGCGACCTAGAGCAGGAGCTGCAAGCAAAGAGAGACGAGCTATCGAAGGCTGGGAGGCGCAGAGGCAATGATCTTAGGATGGTTGTGCGTGAGCCTTGGTCGTAGTATTTTGTCAAATGGCCATGGATGCAGCCACAGGGACAGTTTCATTTGCCCTTGATGCAGCCATGGATGGCTGCTACCATGCAGAATTGAAAGAGGTCAATGGGAAAATAATTGTAATAAATGACAAAAGTGTCCATAGCTGGATTTGAACCAGTGACCTCTTCATTCTCTGCTGATGATCTAACCAACTGAGCCATTAGAGCTTGCAGTTTTTATCAACAGCCAGTTATAAACCATACTATCCTCTCCCACCTTTTCTGACCTTCTAACCCTCCCTCACCTCACCTACCTTCTCAGTTCATCTCCAATGCTTCTGATAACAAACCCTAACCTCTAACCAATGAGACAACGAGGCAGGTATACCGTCCCTGGCCCTAACCTGAACCTAACCCCTAACCCTAACAAAAACCCTAACCTCCCTAACCCTTCCTAACCTAACCTCCCTAACCTCTAACCCTTCTAACCCTAACCAACCAAACTTTCTAACCCTCCTAACCTTGAAAACCTAACCTCTAACCAGCCCTAACAGGCCTAACCAATTGTTGAGCATGTTTTAGGTTGGCAGAGGATACTATGATAAAGTGTGATCAACACTTCAGAAACTTAAGCCCTAATAGCCTAGTCGGTTAGATTATCACCAGAGAATGAAGAGGTCACTGGTTCAAACCCAGTGAAGTTACTTTTGCTATTTATTACAATTGTGACTTTATTTGCCCTTTTCAACCTGGCATGGTAGCAGCCATGGATGGCTGCATCAAGGGCAAATGAAACTGACCCTGTGGCTGCATCCATGCCTGGTTACATCTGGCTCCAACCACAGGTGGGTGCGTGATTCGACGGTCACGGAACCTTGTCCAAGAGCTGTGGAAAAGCAAGCAGGGTCTGCGACCCAACCATCAGCTGTCCCAATGAGTAGAATTGCTGCGACCAACCGCTCGGACACTGCACTGCAAACCCAAGTTGAGGTAGTCTCACTCTTCTTTTACGACGTCTTGGACGCTGATGTCGTCGCAGATCAGGGATGAACAGGTTGCATTCCTGGAGGAGCGTTCTCGTGACCTGACGCTTAGGAGCTCGAGACATGGGAACGGCCCGATAGGTGCTACAGAGGAATTGCATCCAGAGAACGCTAAGGCTAATGCGACAACAGCAGAAACGAAGATGACATTCCCACCTCAGTACTACGACGACAGGGGCGAGGAGGTCCAGCACGGCGAGCTTGACCTCGATCAACTGGCAACTTTGCTAGAGGATGAGATCAGAGTGAGTGCAAGGCATTGGCTGCGCTCTCCTCGTACTAACTCTCTTTCAGAAGGAGGGAAAGCATATATCAGCATTGGAGGAGCAACTTACAGAGAAGGTACGCACAAGATACCGAGACGATGTTCGGTTTCAGTATTGGGCGGTTCAATTTGAAAGCCGCTGAGCTAACTGCTGATCAGGTGGTCAGAACGACCGTGGGGTCTTCATCCCTGGGCGCTACGCAGCCTATTGACTCTCGATTGGCGCCCACGATGGCAGACAAAGTTAAAGAGCAATCAACTCTCGCAAAGGCTCGCTCTTAGCCTGTCGCTTCTGCGCTCCCTCTCTGATACACGCTCAGGTCAAAGCAATGGGAGCCGATAACGATGACGGTTGGATGGCCGTGATGCCGCTGCGCCCAGTGTCAACCAAGGTCCTCAACCATCTAACTGTTGTCGCTGCATGAGCTGACTGCTCGCAGGCACCCAGTATGCGAAGCGGTGAAGACGGCAACCTCTCGAAGGCTACGCCGCCTCTCAAGGTTTAAGCCATGCTATAGCTGACTTGATTACTTGATTGACCCACCTCTTACGCAGGTAGAGCAACTCGACCCAATTTCAGACTCGTCTGCTCTTCAGCCCAGCCATAACGTCGAGGACCTGAGGAATGCACTGGAGGTGGGATTAATTTTCCCTGCACGCTCATACTCTGCTCTTACCTCGCAACCCCACGTGTAGGCAATGCAAGTATCAAGCGCGTCCGGTACACTCAAAGCAGCTGCGCCAAACACTGATCCAGCAACGGGTAGCGACATTATGCGGCAACTGTCCAAGCCTGGTGTCAATACCGTCAAGACGGACCCAGAGGACGACCTTGCAACGCTCTATGGCACTTCTACCATGGCAGCTCCCCCCGCTGGCTCTAGGGGAGCGCCTTCGGTGGGACACCGCCCCGTTGCAAACCCACTACCTCATCGTGTCCTGCCTCCGCCCATGTTTTCATTGCGTAAAGCAGATGTCTACGGGCAGTTACAAGAGTCTAGGCATTCCTTGGTACGTCATAGCAAGACACATTGGGCGTACTTCATTCTGAACTTTGGAACAGGCACGGAGGCCCTCAACGCAAGACAGTGCTCGTTGATGTTGAGTCCCAGGCCAAAGTGGCCAGCATCGGCAAAGGCTGACGGATCCGCTTCCAAGCAGGAGTAGTACATTCGTTCTATATATGCTAGCTATGTCTTGCCTTACACCTTCCCGTCAGGGTATTTCCTGACAACCTGGAGCACGTCGGCAAGAACGGTAGGCTTATTCGGTGCTGTGGCTGTATCGTAGATCGGAAGATTGGGCGCTTGCGTCTCCTTGCGCCACATGTCGAGCTGTTCGATAAGCTCGCCTTTGCGCATCTTGCGAATACGAGAGGGCTCCAGGACCAACTTCGGCCTTGCCGTTGCCAGCGTGGCGGTTTGCTCAGTTGCGTCAGTCTGGACCTCACGATGCGCTTGGGTGATTTGCTGCATAGCTTTGCCGCCTGAGCTTCCCAAGGCCGCTCTCTGAGGATACATTGATCAGTCAGCCACCGCAGAATCTTTTGTGAATGCACATACCTTCAGTACGGTGTTGTCGGCAACCAGCTGCATGATACGCTCTTGGCGCTGGAACAAATCCCCTTCCATTCTTTTTATTTTCTGGGCAGAGATTCAGTTCAAAAGACGGGCTCTCGAGAAAAAGGAAGCGTACCAATGTCATCTCCTCCTCCTTTTTCTGATAGGTTTTCTCCAAGACCGCGTATTTCTCCAGAAGCTAGACCGGGGTTAGGCAAGATGGGCATGTAACACATTGGACGCCTACATTGTGCTCGCTAGCATGCTCGCGGGAGCTGCTGTCTGACGCCCCGGCTCCTTCTATGCTCATAGGAATGAGCTTTGCGGCAGACATCTTGCATCATTGATTGTTCCAGCGAGATCAGGGAGGACGTACGTGAAATGATCCTGAAGTCGATTGAATCTTGGAAAGTGACCGTCGCATATCGGAGATTGCAGCGTCTTTAGCCAACGATTGTCTATACTCGCGTGAGTACTCGTCTTGTGCGTGCACAAGATGCTCATTTTCTTCATTCTGGTGGCAGATCAGCGACTCATCGAGGTCTGCTAGGGTTTGGATGTACCATGAGAGCATCGAGCTCCTGCTCTTGCGAGCTAACCTTCTCGGTGAGTGAAGCTACTTGCTGGCGTAGTACCTGAATCTCTTGGACGAGCACATCATAGGATGGCGTGTGCGTTCCTGAGTTAGACGAGTCCACAATCCGTACCTTCTGTCAAGCCATTGAGCAGAGGCACAGCAAAAAAATGAAGATGAGTTCTCACAGCGGATGGCTCGTGAGCGGGATGTTGACTGGACCTTTTGCGCATAGCTGAGAAGCTGGTGGCGGAGGCGACTCAGAGCGACCTTTATATACAGTTCCCATGGATGCCACTCATATACAAGAGGACCAGCGTCCAGGCCAGTGCGAGAAAGGAGATGCGCAGACCAAGAATGGTTGGTGGCATGATCAAGGGCTTGAAGGGAACGAGCACAAACGTATGGTCGTAGCTGAACAGTACCCGAATGCGGCGTCTAACAGTGTGCCCAGGGGTCAAGGAAGATGGCATAAAGGTCCATGCGGTTTGAAGACATCGTTCAGAAAGAGCAAGCGCTGGGCAAGCCCAAGGTGAGGTTCAGAAGCATGTCGCGCGCAAAAGAGTGAGTCCCTATTTATCTGTATTTGGTCACCATCACATCACATCATTGATCGCGCTCACGTCCCAGCTCTTGACTGCCACTGGGCATTAGACACACCAATGGGACACTGAGGCAAGGTCATCGTCACCGACGCGCAAATCAGCATCTTCGTAAGCGCCGTGGTTAAGCTAGGCTCGACAATGGTACGTTGCGCGCACGAAATGCATACGCAGGAGATCTGACTTTTCCTTAAGCTCTCCCTCTCCGTCTCGACAACAAGGATGTCTGGATTGCCACCGAGGTCCTGCGGGACGACTACACCCATTTTCAATCCGAGGAGGATGCGATAGAGTCCGAAATCGGGCAGGATAATCCACACAAGGCAGTTACAGAGCTTGCTACTAAGTCTCTCGCCTACATAATCGCAAACCTGGACGTGGACCAAGAACTGCCTTCACCCCTCCCCCTGCCCCTAGTGGCTCTTCCATATCTCCAAGCGCCTTACCCATTGTGTACTCCCTCGCCGCCTCGCTCCATACCAATGTCCGCAACATAGCCTTCAAAGCGTATCTTGACACCGGCCGACCCGATGTACGAGGAATATATGTGGATGCCAGGGGCAGCAAGAAGAAGGGAAGGGTGCGTCTATACATTGATCTCGCATATCGCCGGCAGCTGAGCTCTTGGCACCTCACAGCGGGCGATACCCCCCGACCTGTCCAAGCGCAATGCGAAAATCCTCAAGTCGGTGCAGCGCCGGGCGCACCACCTCGACAAGGGCCCCTCGATATGCGGCCTGCGCTTCGGCTGTACGTTCATCATTGGGATTATCCCAATGGCCGGCGACATCACGAACGCGGCGCTCAACTACACGCTCGGCCTGCGCAAGGCGAAGCAGGGGGAGCTCCCCAGCTGGCTCATGCAGCGCATGCTCGTGAACAACGCAATCAGCACGCCGTTCATGGTCTCCCACATCCCGAAGCAGCCGCAGTTCGTCCTCCTGACTGCCACCGTCTGCGCGATTCCATGAGGTCTACTTCAACAAGCCCTAAGCGCTCTACGACATTTGCACCCTTCGTCGCGGCGGTCCGTTCCCATCGCAGGAAAGGAGCGCCCCCAAAGCCGCTACGCTTACGACCTGAATACGATGACTGACAAGGAAGCGCGGATTGCCGCTGAGGTCTTGCGGGACGAGTTTACTCACGATCAGGCCGCGGAGGACGCGGTAGAGATCGCCATAGGGCTCGAGAACCCACGCAAGGCAGCCGTCGAGCCTGCCACCATGTTTCTCACATCCATCACCGCGAATATAGGCGCGGACTAGGGGTCGCCCCCACTCACACCTCCCTGCTCCTTCATGTCTTCAAGTTCTTCACCTCTGCGTACCCCACCTCCGAGGACCACTCCCTCGCCGCTTCGTTCGACACCGATGCCCACAAGACGGTTTTCATGGCGTATTTTGGCGCGTACGCTGCGCTTGAGGCACGCGTAGTCCCTGTTAACCCGACGCGGCCACAGTCCGTGCTCCTGACTGCCGCCGCCGAGGGTAGCGTGTCCGTCTACGTGATCTTCGGCGGCCAGGGCACCAGCAAGGTCTACTTCACCAAGGCTCTACGACATCTACACCCCCTTCGTCGCGACCCTCATCCGCACGATCACCAAGCAGGTCCTCGTCCCCCTCGTGGACAAGGAGACCGCCGCAAGCTTTTACGCGTAACTGCCTGAATGTTATTTATTGGCTTCTCAATCTCTCCGCCTCCCCGGCGCGCCGTGCTTCACCTTGATCTCCCTCTCCCTCCCGCTCATCGGCTGGTGCAGTCCCCGGTGGTGTGCCGCATCGCCGGGCTCACGCCGCGCAAGCTGCGCGCGCGCAGCCGATCACTCGCAGAGCACCGTCTCGGCAGTCGTCATCGCTGCCTCGGACAGCTTCTAGTCGCACACGGAGAATGCACAGAAGACCGTGCGCTGGCTCTTCTACTCGGGCCTCTACGCGCAGCAGGCGTTCTCCCGTCGTCGCCGTCGAGCCGTTGATCATCGCGGACTCGGTCGAGGGCGGCGAGGGCGTGCCGAGCACCATGTTGCTCGTGGCTGGCCTCTTGCTCAAGGTTGTTGAGACGCACCTCTCGAAGGCGAACAGGCATCTCCCCTTCAGCTTCAAGCTGAACATCTCCCTCTACTGCAGTCCCAAGCCATTCATCATCACTGGCCCTGCGCGCGCGCTCTACAGCCTCGTGCACAACCTGCGCAAGGTGAAGGCGCCGTCCAGCCTCGACCGGAGCAAGGTTATCTTTCATCAGCGCAAGCCCGTCTTTTACGTCCGCTTCCTCATCGTCGACGCTCCCTACCACTCCGAGTACCTCACCAGCGTCACCGACAAGGTCGCGGGCGAGGACCTGGCTGGCGAGAAGATTTGGCAGGCCGCCGATCTTATGGTGCCAGTCTATCAGACTGAGAATGGTGGGTCTCTTACTCATTCAATGTGATAACGTCCTACCCATTGTTCCCGTGTTGGACGTTTCCTTTCGTGCTTGTTTCGGCAACTCATAACCTTGTTTCAGGTTCGGGTCTGCGGGAGTCGAGGTTCAGCATCAGGCAAAAACTCTGCGGCCAGATCTTTACGCACGCGCTGCGCTGGGATCGTGCGACCAACTTCCCCATAGGCTGTGGACGGGTGGCCGCGCCGGTGGTCACCACTCTTACTAGGACTTCCACGCGCCCATCCTGGCGACCTACCGTTCCATCCGCGCCCACGACAACCTTTTCCTTGTTGGCGGCTCTGGCTTCGGCAGCGGCGAGGACGTCTGGCCCTACCTCACTGGTGATGGGTCCAAGGAGATGTTTGGCCTTCAGCCGGTGCCCTTCGACGCTTTCCTGTTTGGCTCTCACGTCATGGTCGCCAAAGAGGCGCACACCTCTTCCAGCGTCAAGGACCTCATCGTTGCTGCATTCGGCGTCGACGACAAGGACACCTACGCCAAGCCCGCCGGCTGAGAATCCTTACTGTGCGCTCCGAGCTCGGCGAGCCCATCTACAAGGCCGCCACTCGCACCGTCAAGTTGTGGAACTTCAAGCTGCCACGCAAGAAGCGCAAGGAGGAAATCATTGGCAAGCACAATCGCGACTTCAACAAGCCCTAGTTCCGTGGGAGAAGGACGACAGCACCGCCGCTGACCTGTCCGGACCTACGAGGAGGTCGTTCTCCGCATGCAGCTTCTCATTTACGTGACAAACCAGTCGCGCTGGGTCGACATCTCCCTGCGCAACCTCACGGGTGATTGGATCCGTCGTGTCGAGGAGCGTTTTGCGGGCATCAAGGGGACGGGCGACATTCCGTTGTTGCTTCAGTCCTACACCCTGTCGGACGACACGATGCCTTTTGTCAAGAGGTTCTTCACCGCGTACCCGCTGGCGAAGGAGAAGCTCCTCGCTACCGACGACACGGCATACTTCCTCGTCATCTGCTGCCGCCCGACTGAGAAGCCGGTGCCGCTCATCTCTGTTCTTGACAACCAGTTTGAGTTCTGGCTCCAGAAGGTGCGTTGGCTGCAGTACATTGTTTACTTAGTTGCTTATGCATTTGCAGGGCTTCCTCTGGGCTGCACAGGACGTCGACGCTGTTTTCGACCAGGACCCGCAGCGCGTCTGCATTCTCCAGTTCCCGCTCGCTGTCAAGTCTCGAAGGTCAAGGACGAGCTGATCGAGGAGCTCTTGAGGGGCATCAACTCACCCCTTGTTACTTGCCTCCTCGAGCGCAGCTACGACAACGATGAGAGCAAGGCCCCCGTCGTTGACTACCTCGCCGCTCGCCCGAAGTATGTTCCCTCTCTTCACTCCGCCAAGGCCGACGGCAAGGTCGTCTTCCAGACCGGCGCCACGGTGCCTTCGACGGCCAGCTGGCTCGAGTCCCTCGCCGGCCGCGAGTTGTCGTGGCTCCGCGCCCTCATCACCTCGAAGACCATCGTTCAAGGCGGCTCCTACATCGACAACCCCCTCCGCCGCATTCTCATTCCCCGTCCGCATCAGAAGGTCGTCGTCGACTATTCCGGCGACGTCCCCTCGCACCTCTCCGCGTTCGGCGCCATGCGCTCGCACGGTGCCCACGATCCCGACTTCAAGGCGGTCGACATCGCGTACGACGCCGCGTCGAAGAAGATCAGCCTGATCCTGTTCGAGGAGCGCCGTGGCGTTTCGGTCCCGCTCAACCTCGAATTCGTCTACAAGCCCGAGCAGGGCTTCGCGCCGATCCACGAGGTCGCGGAAGGCCGCAACGACCGCATCAAGACCTTCTACTGGAAGTTGTGGTACGGCGACGACGAGGCGCTGCCCGACATCGACGTGCGCGACGTCCTGAAGGGCGCCGAGGTCACCATCAGGGCCGAGGACGTGGAGCAGTTCTGCGCTGTCGTCGGGAACCAGGGAGAGGCCTTCAAGAGCGCGCGTGAGGAGACGCCCATGGCACCCATGGACTTCGCCATTGTCACTGGTTGGCAGGTAAGCACCACCCACAAACTATCGCTAGCATTGCCTAACAACTGTACCAGGCCATCATCAAGTCGATCTTCCCCTCGACTATCGATGGAGACCTCCTGAAGCTGGTCCATCTCTCCAACGGCTTCCGTATGGTTGAGGGCGCGTCGCCTCTCCGCGTTGGTGACGTCTGCACCGCAGAGGCTCGTATTCTCTCTGTCGTCAACTCCGACGCCGGCAAGGTCGTCAAGGTCAAGGGCCACGTTCTTCGCGCTGGCAAGCCCATCATCGAGGTCGTCTCGGCATTCCCCTACCGCGGCAAGTTCACCGACTTCGGCAACACCTTCGAGACCACGGAGGAGCCCGACTACGAGGTTGCTTTGGAGAACGACGCTCAGGTCGGTGTCCTGCAGTCGAAGGAGTGGTTTGAGTGGGATGATGACACGCACCCGTTGCTCGCCGGCACGAACCTTATCTTCCGCGTCCGCACCCAGGTGTCCTACAAGGACAAGAACTCCTTCAGCGACATGGAGGTCTCCGGCGAGATCTTCGTCCGCAACCAGCTGAAGGCGCTCGTCAAGATCGGCACCGTGTCATTCGAGTCGGACGAGTGCAAGGGCAACCCCGTCGTCGCCTACCTTCAGCGCCACGGCAAGGTACTCAACGCTCAGACCCCTCTCGCGACCGAGTACACCATGTCGAAGGAGGTCACTCCGTTCTCTGCGCCCCTCACGAACGAGCCGTATTCCAAGATCTCCGGTGATTTCAACCCCATCCACATCAACCCGTACTTCGCCTGCTTCGCTTCCCTTCCTGGCACAATCACGCACGGTCTTTGGTCGAGCGCGGCGACGCGTCGCTATGTCGAGAACGTTGTTGCTCAGGGTCATACGAAGCGTGTCCTTGCGTGAGTATAGCTTGCTTTCTATTGTCTCCCGTGCTGAAGGCTTGGCTGCAGATACGACGTCTCCTTCGTCGGCATGGTCCTGCCCGGTGACTCGCTCAAGGTCAACATCCGCCACGTCGCGATGCGGGACGGCAACCTTGTCGTCAAGATTGTGACTACCAACGACCGCGACGAGAAGGTCCTCGAGGGCTCCGCCGAGGTCGCCCAGCCGCCCACCGCCTACGTCTTCACCGGTCAGGGTTCGCAAGAGCCGGGCATGGGCATGGACCTGTACAACAGCTCTCCGGCCGCCCGCGCCGTCTGGGAGGGCGCTGACGCCCACTTGCTTGCCGTTTATGGTTTCTTCATTGTCGACATCGTCGAGAACAACCCGAAGGAGAAGACCATTCACTTCGGTGGCATCAAGGGGCAAGCGATCCGCCAGCGCTACATGGACATGACCTACGACACGACCGACAAGGACGGACACGTCAAGACACTCCCCCTCTTCGCCGACATCGACATCCGCACCGCCAAGTACACCTTCAGCCACCCCAACGGCCTCCTATTCGCCACACAGTTCGCGCAGATCGCCCTCGTCGTCACCGAGAAGGCTGTCTTCGAGGACATGCGCGTTAAGGGCTTCGTGCAGAGGGACTGTCCCTTCGCCGGCCACTCGCTCGGTGAATACTCTGCGATGGCTTCCATCGCCGACGTTCTGCACATCTCCGCCCTCGTCGACGTCGTCTTCTACCGCGGCATAACCATGCAGCGCGCAGTCGAGCGCGACGAGCATAACCGTTCGAACTACGCCATGTGTGCCGTCAACCCTTCGCGCATATCCAAGACCTTCACGGACGCAGCACTTCACGAGGTCGTCGACGGCATCGCCTCGTCGACCAACCGACTCCTCGACATCGTCAACTTCAATGTCGAGGTGCGCTCATCTTCCACTCGTCCTCGACATCGTACTGACATGTTTTAGGGTCAACAATACGTCTGCGCCGGAGAGCTGGTCGCTCTGCAGACTTTGACCATCGTCTCGAACTACCTCAAGGTCAAGAAGGTGGACATCGTGCAGGTATGCAAAACACCTATCATGCTGTGTATCAAGCTCACGATCTGTTATAGTTGACGCAGCAATTCAGCGTCGAGAAGGTCAAGGAGATGCTGTGCGAGATCATCAAGTCCTCGCATGACTCTGCCGTCGAGAAGCAGAAGAGCGATGGGTACATCATCCTTGAGCGCGGCTTTGCGACAATCCCTCTTCCCGGCATCGACGTGCCCTTCCATTCTCGCTACCTCTGGGCCGGTGTCATGCCTTTCCGCACCTGTATGTGTTTGCTTTGGAAACCATCCTGCATGTATACTGATCGCTCTGTAGACTTGTCGAAGAAGATCAACCCTGCTCATTTGAACCCTGACACCCTCATCGGCAAGTACATCCCGGACTTGTCGCTCAGACCTTCGCCATCTCGCGCGAGTACGCCCAGATCATCTACGATCGCACGTCGTCGCCTCGTCTCGACAAGGTTCTGAAGAACTGGGAGGAGGAGAAATGGGGCAGCACCGAGAATCGCCAGAAGCTGGCGTACGTCATCCTCGTCGAGCTGCTCGCCTACCAGTTCGCATCACCTGTTCGTTGGATCGAAACCCAGGACCTTCTCTTCACCGACTTCGCCTTCGAGCGCCTTGTCGAGCTTGGGCCTGGCCCGACGCTCATCGGCATGGCAACTCGTACCCTCAAGGCGAAGTACGAGGCGTCCGACGACTCGGTGGGCCGGAAGCGCGCCATCCTCTGCCATGCCAAGCACCCGAAGGAGATCTACTGCCAGTTCGAGGAAGAGCCCGAGGATGCACCCGCCGAGGAGCCGGCATCCGCCGACGCACCCGCTGCGCCCTCTGCAGTGCCCGCCGCTGCTGCCGCGCCAGCACCTGTTGTCGCTCCCTCTGGTCCTGTCGCGAACGTGGAGGACGTGCCCATCAAACCCGTCGACGTTCTTGCCGTCATTGTCGCGCAGAAGCTGAAGAAGACCGTGAACGAGATCCCGCTCTCCAAGTCTATCAAGGACCTCGTGGGGGGCAAGTCCACCCTTCAGAACGAGATTCTCAGTGATCTGCAGCTCGAGTTCACGTCCGCTCCAGAGAAGGGCGAGGAGCTGCCTCTCGAGGAACTTGGATCGTCCCTGCAGTCCAACAGCGGCCTTGGCAAGCACACGTCCGGCCTCGTTTCCCGTCTCATCGGCGGCAAGATGCCTGGAGGCTTCAACGCATCTGCCATCAAGTCGTACCTCTCGAAGCCCTGGGGCCTCGGACCTCTTCGCGCAGACGCTGTCCTTCTCTTGGGCACGACGATGGAGCCGCCCAAGCGTTTGGCCTCGAAGGCCGAGGGCCGCGCATGGGTCGACAGCGTCGTCTCTGCGCTCAGCGTGCCGGCATCTCTCTCGCCACTCCTGGCGCAGCATCTGGCGGCGGTGATGGTGGCGCTGGTCCAACCATCAACAGCGAGGAGTTCCTCAAGTTCCAGGCCGACCAGCAGAAGTTTGCAGCCCAGCACATCGAGTTGTACATGCGCTATCTCGGCCGCGACTCTCGCGCTAGCGAGCTCGCGTTTGACCAGAAGGCAAACTCACTGGCTCTCCAGGCCAAGCTAGACAGCATCCTCCGCGAGCACGGCGACACGTACATCGACGGCATCCAGCCGGCGTTCGACCCCCTCAAGGCGCGCCACTTCAACTCGTCGTGGAACTGGGCTCGTCAAGATGCCCTCCTCATGTTCTACGACATCATCTTCGGCCGCTTGACCACCGTCAACCGCGAGATTACCGCACGCTACATCCGCTTGCTTAACTGTGCCGACCCCGAGCTCATCGCTCTCATGCAGCACTGCCTTGACAAGTGCGATCGGAGAAAGGGGATACCTTCAAGTTGGCCAAGCATTTCAACCAGCAGCCCATCGACAACACTCGCAAAGTCGTCGGTAAAGGGCCTTTATACAGGAATGGTAAGCTCGGTTTGCTTTTCATGCGAAATCCCTGCTCACGACTTTGCCAGTCATGTTGTCCACCGCGCCGCATACCAGAGTCACCGTGAAGGGCGATATCGTCTACACCGAAGCCGTGCGCAAGGGGGTCCGCAAGGTCGAGGCCTACGTCGAGGAGATGGCCAGCACCGCCCCCATTTCTGGCTCTGTCAACATTGAGAAGGTGCAGGAAGACGTCGCGAAGCTCTGGACTTCGATGAAGTCGCAACCTAGCATCACCAAGTAATAGAGAAATCACATCAAGGCCTTGTACGAAAATGTCATGCGCTCGGTCTGTGAAGGAATGGAGTCTCCGCGCCCTTGTGTCACGCCTCGCCCGCGACGCTTGTTGTCGCAGTGACTGTGCCCTCGGGTCTCGACGGCGAACGTGTCTGCGAATCACGTTCAAGTTCCCCTCTTAGCACTGCAAGCACAAGGCCGGCTCGATGCGGGAGTACAGCAGCAACGTCAGGCGTTGCTGTTCCCATCTTCAAGGACAAGGACGCCCTCTTCACCACCGTCTCTTATATATGCCGGAAGGGTCAGACGCTTGTATTGTACCACTAAGCGCGCCTGCCGCTTAGGACCTAATCATGTAGCTCCTCAGGACACATGTTTCCGTAGCGGTTGTACACATGGATAATGCTGCTTATCGACTGTTGTAGCATTGGCCCTTCAGAATTTGCGTGAATAAATGAACCAACGGCACGGCCACGTGGTGCGAGGGCGTCTAAATACGGCACGTGGCTTTCCCCCACGTTTTGCACGCGCCGCGCTTGTCTCAAGCATTCGCAACGTTCCCTTACGCCTTTCCCAGATCGCGAGCATTCGTTGAGCAACGTCAGATTCTCTGCTCCCAACCATTGTCATTGGCGCCATAAAGCTGCTCGATCCGTCCCATGCATATCTCGTTCGTCTCCTTCCTTTGTTCAAGATCGGATAGGTCGCCTTTATGCCTGCTTGCTTCCTACCACCACATCGTCCTTGAGCACAAACGTCGACGCCCAAATGCAAAACGACTATACAAAAGCTGCGATACTGTCTGGCCAGCGGGATGGTATCCTCTCCCTCAGCTTTTCAGCGCGCGCGAAGTTCATAGCTGCAACTGGTGTGTTCCCTACCAAATCCATGCGATGCCTCTTTGACCGTTTGCCCAGGCTACGCCGGTGTCAGCATCTGGGACGTCGCTAAGCGGCAGTCTATTCCTACCCCTCCCCTACCATCACTCCTATCCAACAAGCATGTGTACACCCGTTCGCAGTGGCTATACTTCGAGCAATCCAATCTGCACGTTCTCGTCCTTGGATCCAAGCGTGGGGATGTCACCCTCTGGCGCTGGTGCCCGGATGAAGCAGTACGTTGGCCCATGGATCCTTGCATATCATTTTTACCTGATGTCCTTGACTAGGCGTTCCTGTTCTACATGTCCGATCGGCACTCGCCCCATTCCGCCGAGGTACTTTCAATCGATATCCTTCGGCGCAGCGTCCCTTGCGAGGAGCGTGGCCGTGTCGCAGTATCCACGGGCGACAACCACGTCACAGTCTGGATGGTAGACGACGTTGCCCACAAGATGCGTCAGAGATTCAGCATCGAGGTCGGGACACCTGGATTCTGCCCAAAGACCGTGAAGTTCCAAGCAGTGTCTCGTACGCTCATTGCTTTTTCGGAGAGAGGCGGGCTCATGTAAGCCTCGTCAGCGACTTTGTATGTGCGTTGTCTGATGCATACTTCCAGGGCGCGCTTCGACTATGACACGGGAAAAATTACTGGACGCAGGCGAGATGGTCCCAGTGTAATGTACGTAGATGCAGAAAACACTGTCTTTCCTGCTAAGACGTCTACTTGTAGGGCTTCTATCGCCACCGACCCCGTTCAGTCCGTTTTCGCTGCGTACACGGGTACCACCTTCGAGATCATGTCTCTCAACAAGAAAGAGCGCATCAACAGTTTCCAGAGCGAGGTGCCAGACGTCCGTCTGCCGATGGCCATCGCGTTTGGCGAGGGCGGTACCGTGCTGTTAGCGGGAACAGACAAAGGCCGCGCCATGCTGTACAACGTCACCGACGGCACCATTCTGAGAAACTTCAAGTATCCGAAGGGTGGGCTTGTCCAGCAAGTTGTGGTGGGTGCTGCGTCGACTGCGGTAGCGCTGTATGCTGAATCCACCTAGACATGCACCACCAAGGATCGCTATTACGTTGCGTATGCTGGATCGAGCATCCACCAGAGCGCGGATGTGGTCTTGTATACGAAGGCCCGCTCGGAGCTGAACCAGAAGCCGCAACAGAATCTTGGTCAGCGTAGGCTGGGCAAAACGCCCTATTGGCGTCGGCTCGTGTCGTCGGTCTGGCGCGTAATCTACTGGGCAGGTGTTCTACTCCTCTTGCTTTCGGCGTATGAAGTGGTGAAGGTACGTTTACGCCAAGCAATTGACTCCTACCCTAATACTGACCGCCGTACAGGACGTGGCGAGGATCGTGACTTGAACTGCCGATAACCGAGACCGCTGTTGCAACAGTATGATGTGTACGTAGATTGTGTTCGTATATAAATGCTGTACCGTATGCTTCTGTCATGTGTTATACTCTCAACATCATCTATAGTGCATTTTTGCCCCATCAGTGGCCATTGAACCGAATGAACACGTATATTTCACTGTCTGCTTTCGCATGTTTGATGCCCTGGATGATAGCAAGGAAGCACGTGCCACGTGTAGACGGCAAGTTCCAATTGTTGCTGGTTGGTCAACACACCGATCACCATGAGCCGTACCAGTTACCAGGACTTCTTCGAGAGACTGAGGCTTGCCGGTCCTTCATCTCAGGCCCCCACGTCTCCGTCCCAGACCCCAGCATCGACATCGTCGACAAATCCCCCCTACCGTATGCCACCGGGGTTCAAGCTGCCCATCGAGCGACGGTTCAAGGCAAAACCTTCCGGTGATCCGCCTGAAGTCCCATCTCGAACAAGCGCACGGCATGCTGGTTCTCGATCCCCTTCCTCACGTCAGCGTGATCGCGGTCAGGGTAACGAAGTTGAAAACGGTCTCGCGGACTGCCAGGCAGATACTGAAAGCGTTCAAGCCGCGGGCATCGATCTACTAGCAACGACTGCATTCAACCTTGACATGGACGACCTTGATCCGCAGCGCGAGTCCTTAGCTCCATCGGATACTAATATGGTACGCAATTATGTTGCCTTATTTCTCGAAGTCTCAGAAATACATTCCCAATGAAGGCACCGGAGACAGATGTCGCGGCGCAGCGCCAGGAGCAGCGAGACCTCTCTTTGCTTGCTTCGTTTGTCAACAACCCACGCGAACATGGCAAGGCCGCTCGTGAAGCCGAAGCCGCAGCAAGGAACGTATTGCAGGCTTTAGAGCAGTGCGAACACCTTCTCGGTAGCCTCCAGCTTACGCAGGACGAAGAATCAATCTCAAATACATTGTGTGTAGTGGAGACGGTGGTCGCTCGGGAGAGGGAGAATATGCTTCGCATCAAGCACAGTATGGCTCACGACTCAGTCCAACGCGCAAGCGCTACACTGGATCGAGTGCAAATGCGCCTGGAGGCGTACCGTCTAATCTACCCGGACAAAAGTCCGCTTGACTTCAACAACGGTACGTTCCATTCGACCAGATCTGCACCGTGCGCTGACCGTAGCACTAGAGCACCTTCAGATGGACGCTTTCCCCTCTGAACATGCGGCTCCTTCTGTGGCCTACTGCTTAGCCCTTACTTCGCGGATCTTCCACGGCACGAGTCGGCAGGGAGCAGGTCTGGTTCTCAAGATGACCAAGCTGTATGGCTACTCCTTGACGCTTCTCGCTGGCGGGCCAAATATCCTGCAGCAGCAAGCCTTACGACAAACTCCGGAAGATGTGCGCACTATCGAGAAACGCATCAACCTAGGCATTCGAACCGTTCCTTACGCAGTTTGTCCATCATGCCACTGCACGTACAAGCCGACTTACGCGCCCACCTCCTCTGCGCCGTTGTATCCAAAGCACTGTCGCGAGGACCTCAACGACGGCTCTGAAAGGCTCTGTGGCAGCGCCTTGGTCGTTGATGGATCACCGATCAAAGTCTTTGAATATCATCCTTTCTTCGAGTGGTTCGGTAGATTCATTGCCCTCCCTGGGATTCAGGACCACGGCGACCAGTTCTGCGCAAGCATCGATGAGCACGCTCTGGCGCCCTCTACAAAATGTGGTGTTGCTGACGGCACGCTGGTGCGCACCTTGCCAGCTCCTGGTGGCGGCGGCGATCGCTTCTTCATCGCCGACCGTGGCGATGAGAAACGATGGGTCTTCGCTTTGCATGTCGATTTCTTCAACGTCGAAGGCAATCGACAGCGTGGTCGCACAGCATCTACCGGCCATATCGTGATGGTCTGCCTCAATCTTCCACTGGACGTGCGCAATGACGATGCCTACAAATACCTCGTTGCCATCATCCAGGGCCCAGAGGAACCCAGCGCCAAGGAGGGTCAGCATCGCCACTATTTGCGGCCACTCATCGACGACTTCAAAGTTGCCTTCGAAAGAGGTGTTCGCTTCAGCTGCAGCGGGGGCTCGGGACCGCACAAGGCATCATCAGCACTGTCTGATCGACATGTACACCGTATGGTGCTGGCCGTGCTTATCGCAGACTTCAAGGCGTCCCGGCCATGCGCTGGCCTCCTGGACGTCACTTCGCATAGCTTCTGCTCCTTCTGCAAATGCTGGATCCAGGCCTGGCTCGGACGACTCGATCACAGGTCCTGGCAAGCGGTTGATGACAATGTGACCAGGGTGGGAGCTCATACCTGGAAACACGCGTCACGGAAGGAGCGAAAGGCCGTCGAGGAGAAGTACGCTGCTCGCGACTCAGCCTTCTGGGACCTGGGGTACTGGAGGCCGTCGATACAGGTCGCGGTAGACCCCATGCACACATGGTTTCTTGGCATTCTGCAGCGCTTCTTTCGCGAGGCTCTACGACTCGATAGCAGCCACGCCAAAGACGGAGACCCCCCTGACTCCCCTGCCTACTACTACGACTTCACACCACCCCCCTCACTGGACTCCTTGAACCATACCAGCAACGCTGTCCATGGCCTATCGTACAGAGACGCGACTCATATGGGTCTCATACACAAGCGACTCACGGCGGTGATGGAGGACACAGAAGCGGATAGGAATCATCTTCGTAAGAAGTTGACGGAGCTGTCCAAACCTGCGTTACTCCAGGTCTGTCGGGACCTGAACGGAGAAATCGGTGTATCTCGCCATCGGCTGGAGCAAATAGACAGGAAGGACCTTGCCGACCTCCTGGTGACCTGGGTCAGTGATCGTCAGCGTATCTATAGATGGTTCTTCTCGCTAATCCCCGTCCAGCGGATGTCTAAACCGTTGCCCGCGCTGCCGTGGACAAAAGTCGACTACGAGGCTACGATGCCTACCCTCCAACGCGCGATCAGGGAGATAACGACACCTTCGTGGATCGGCAAAGATAAACCTCCAGTCGACATCGGGCAGGCGAAAGCTGGCACGCTCAAGGCAAGTCAGTGGCGGTGGCTTTACAGAATCTATGCGCCTCTCGCCTTTCTTGTCATGTGGCACCCAGGCTCTCCGTACGCTCTGCCGCAGGAGACCTCCATGAAGCCTATCCTGGACCTAACCATGAATCTGACGAGCGGAACCATCGCCTTGCTTAGGCCGACAGTGACCGACGAAGGACGCACTATGTTCCTGGAGCAGCTGGAGGCTCATGTTTCTGGCCTACGCCGACACTTCCCTGGCTTCATGTTCCCAGTGTACCATATGGCGTTCCATCTTCCAGCGTTCATGACGTTACTCGGCCCAGCTCGAAATTGGTGGTGCTTTCCTTTCGAGCGCTTGGCCGGAAAATTGCAGCGGATACCTAAAAGTCATAGGGCGGGTACGTTCTCCTCAAGCATATGTACTGTGCTACATCAATGACTAATTGTAACAACGTAGGAGACTCTGAGCATACGATGCTTCACTCGTTTGCCAAAGGCTCTATATTTCGGCAGTGGTTGCTACGCCCAGATTGTCCACCCCTCTTGCAATACTGTCGGTCTCTTGTCGACAAAGCCTACGAATTTGCTGGTTTCGAAACCCCCTCCGAGGCGTACGACGACGACATCGATGGGGTGGATATATATCTGAACCGGCTCGGAGTTCAGAACTCGACTCCCGACTACATGAAAATCAAGTCCGACGTCAGGAACTATACAACCGAGATCGACGAGGAGTTATCTGAACTTATCGGGACTGATGATGTTGTTTGCTATAGTCGCCTTCCCGCTTCCAATGGATTCTACAGCACCAAAGAGGGAAACAGTCACATCTGTGCCCTTCCTTCCGATGGTTCTGCTGGGCGCTGGACTGCCGCGCGCATCCGCCACATCTTCGAGAAACAGGGAGTCATCCAGTTTGCGATTCAACGTGCTCGACCTCGCCCGGGATCGCATCCGGACCCCTTTCTTGATTACTGGCAGAAGGGCTTCGAAGCGCAACACGTCTCAAGCAAGTTCAGGCGAGATGTCGAGATCATTGACGCCAGCAGGGTTATAGCTCATGTGGCGAGGTGGGCTTTCGATGACGGGACTGCTCTCGTCCTTAACTTGAGCGATGTAAGCGCCCAGTCTTACTATGGATCCACTGGACTAACATGATCACAGGCGTAGCGTCGAACACTTGCCTTGACAGACTTCCGCTACATGCCCAGCCCCACGAGCGCCGAAACTCTGCGTTTACAACCACCCTTACATCAATCGCCTCCCCGCAAATCAACAGCCGCGTTTTACCAGAGTAGTCTACATGGGCGCGTTCACGCAATGATCCAATTAACATTGCTCGGTGCGTTCTTCTTTCTGAGCACGGTTAAGAGCTGACGTGCGAACAGATCATTATACTCTACATCCTTCGCAACGCGGTCAGGACCTCAACAGAGCCTCGGCCAATATTACACTGTGAGGATTCGTTGTCCCTTAGGATCCCAAATGTAGCTCAGGCTCCCAGTCGCTCAAGGTTCAGACGCACCTCTCCTGCCAGGATTCATCTCAGACGGGTATACAGTTGACTCCTCATGCCCTGCCGAAGGTCGGTGCGGTGGCTCGCAAGAAGGGCAGTACAGGTGGCACGGACTGGGGTTTTGTGAGCGTGGCGCAGTCCAAATTGGATCCAAAAGTACGCCGCAAAAGAGCTGCGGGCTGGCATCAACGCTCGAAGTCGGGCAAATTTTCAAAACCTTGGTGCGTGGTGAGCTAAATGTGATGTTGACAATAGCGAAGCTGACGTGCCAGCAGGGCCACTTGCCGCATTCACTGCGCTCAGCGGCAAGCAATCGGTTGTCGGGAATCAGCAAGAGCAGTAATAATACGTGTGGGTTTTTCTCTAACTGGCTTCTTGTCAAATGCTACATCATAAGTTCCATCGTCTAAGCTCTGCACTACAGTACCCAGTTCGTCGGCCCAACAGCCGGGTCAAGGACGTCGAGCAAACCCAGCTTCGGGAAGTCTTGGGTAGTACGCCTGTGGATGGCCATCAAGGAGACCTACGAGAGTTTGGCCGCCTCTGTGAGCCCTGGGCTGTTCCGCGTGTATGGCGTTCCTCAGCGTACTCGACTCAATCGACTGAGATGATTGAATTTCCAGCCAGGATGTACATATACTGCGGCGGAAATTCGACGCTAGTGCAGAAAAGGACGAACGGAGGCGCGAACGGGTGGTCTTGCTCTATTGGTACCCAAAGGTATAGTTTTTCTGCTCCTCTTACCAACTGCTGTCTCACAGTTAACAGGATGGCTCGGTAGTGCTGCAGAGAGTACGGGATATATAGCAACGCTCGGCCTTCACAATTCAAAATCGTGCTGTCACCTAAGCTATACGATTTCTCGTTCCATTTGGAGTCTCAGATTGATTATAGGACCCTATTTGACTCATGAATGTTCAGCAGACATTGCCGAGTCTTTCTCTGTCGGACTAGAGGGATGAACCTACGTTGAATCGGCATTTGCCGCAGATCATGACTGCCATCAACAAGGACCTAACAAGGACCTACAAAGTCACACGTACTGACCGCCGTCATCACCCGTGTTGCCAGCCCAACTTTGATCCTCCTCTCATTACGCTTTTGTCAAGGCTGCAGATGATATCGTTGCATGTCATGTCCTTCATTCTGCAGCTTGCATCATAGATGGAAGCGTGAACGCCACAAATCCTCGAGTTGCCAGATGATCTTGCTTTGTGCGTAGGGACAAAGGGGCACCATATAAAGAGTGCGGCTCTGCGTCTCCAACTCTTCCACCTTCACTTCCACCCCAACGCTCGACCAGCATCTTGGGAGAGTCGCACCATGAATGCCAACGGAGCCCTCTATCCTCAATTTCCCATCCGCCGCAACCCTCCTCCTCATCAATCCGGTCCTATCGTTATAGTCCAGGTTGGCAAGACTCGGATGGCCTTTGGTAGGCAGTACTTGGAGTCACACTCGCTGGAGGTACGTCACCCCTACACCGCTCGTTCAATTATTTGCTTATCAAGAATTTCAGGACCTCATCGCCCTCTTCGCTAGTCTGAGTGTTGGCGTGCCCCCCACTCGTCCTCTCAGACTACGTGACCGATATCTATTCCTTCAGACGCGTGTTCGCGTTCTCCTGCCCGAAGACAACGAGCCCCTTCCTGTCCATGCGGACTCCTGGATCGCCCTCATGCCTCAGATGCGCGAAATCCATATTGTCGACGCAGAGGGTGCCACCATCCGTGCCTTCATGAGCTCGGCTTTGGTACGCATCACTTCTCTTGTATAGGACCCTCCAGGGCTGAACACAGTGCAGGTCCACGTTGTTTGTATCGGACTCACGATCGGCATCAGCTACGCCCTGGCATGCCAGCTATTCCGTTCGAGTGCTTGCGTTAAGCCTTTTTGAGAGAATAGTGTGTATAATCCAATATTTACGCTCAATGTATAAGACTGCCCCTCGCCTCAATGGTGAAGTGAGATTTGCTTGTGCGCGTTTGGTTCCCGTGACTGAACGTCACACATGACGCAGGTCACACCTCTTGCTTCCTGCTGTGATCATCTGCGTCTCTGATCTCAGCGCTCGAGGCCCCGCGGCTTTGCCTCTGAGAGTCTCCATCATCTTGCAGGCAGTATGAGAGTAGGGGGGCTCTCAAGCTCTTCTGGCATGGTGTGTCCCGAAAATGCGCGGCTTTTCGATCCGCCATGCTAACGACACCACGTAGGTGCTGATCGGTTGACGTGAGGGGATGCGCTGTCGTATGTCTCCGACCTACCTACCCCAATATCTGTCAACTGACGCAGCTGCTTACAACGGTCACAAGAAGGATACGAGAGGAGGCGTGAGCTATACGTGCGAAGGAGTCGGCGATCATGTCGTGGGTGGGATGGACATTCAGGAATCCAGGTGCGTTACCCCATATTCTCTCCGCTCGCAAGCTGAGATCCTTTGCCAGGCACGACAAGCCTGGCATCCTCGGCAAGAAGCAGAATCCAGCGGATGATCATATATGAGCGTCTCGGCCGGATGCCTCGTGCTGCACCTGGCGATACGGATCCTTTGCTACCGCATAGACAAGAATATCCTGCATATAAATCACCACTCTCATTGCGTGTCGCTCCGACCAGATCGACGCTGTCAGACACCTGGCTTGCGACAAGGAATCACAAGCAACGCGAGCCACCGCAATATACACCCACTAGCCCCTTCTGAGAAAACCTCGAGCGCATTATTGGCATCATCGTCCTCCTCGCTGGCCATCGGTGATCTCCTCCCGAATCTCCCTGACCTCCACGTCTACAAGTAAGGCTTCAAGCGCTTTTTCAGCGTGTACAAGAGGTCCTTTCTGGGGCGTGATACTACACTAGCCAGGGCAGGACAACGGTCGCGGCGCTGCTTCCAGTTGTCGCCAGTGGCGTGAAGGAGTGGGAGCGCAACATGTACAAGAAGTGCGTGGGAACCTGAAGCACAATGACGAGCAGACGACGCTTGCGAAGAAGATGGAGCTCGGCCGCAAGCCCTCAAAGCCCGCTCGCGCGCGCGCGCTCTCACAGCGCCAGATCTTTGAAGAGGTGCAGATGTTGGTCTTCGAGGAGCACATGAAGGTCGACTTCTGAGCGAGTGAGCACAAAGTACATCGCGTGGGCCGCATCTGTGTCTGACGAGGGGATGGGCGAGCAGGTCGAGGGCGGAGTCAACTTGGTTGTGCGGCGCTTCCCAGGCGTGCTGGAGAAGCCTTTCCCCGAGCCAACGGTGGAGAATGCTGCGAAGGGGAGAGAAGGAGGCGGTGAGTGGTGATGCGCGGTCGACAGACCTCGACGAGGACACCATCAACGCTGAGGTGATCGACTTGCTCAGTATCACCATGGACAGCTTTCGCTTCACCCTCGGTACCTCCAACCCATCCGTGCCCTGCAAGACCGTTGTTGAGGGCCCGACCGTCACCTGGGACAGCCTTGGTGGTCCCGACAAGGTCAAGCTTGAGCCGCAGGAGACTGTCCAACGCCCCGTCGAGCACCCCAGCAGCAGATTGTTTGCGAGCACAGATTTCTTCGAGGTGCGTGCCTGGGCCTGCACAATACTTTGGTGCTGACGTGCTGCGCAGAACGACGTCTGGATTCGAGATCATGGGATTGGAAAGGCCGCCAAAGACGTCTTTGCGCTCGCTATCGTGTTCAAGTTCACTGTGGTCGCACTTCGCGACATCACCCATGCCGACACGCGCCTCTACGTCTCAACCGATGTGCAGAACTGGGCTCATGCAGAGCTCCCCCAATCCTCATCCACGCTCCTCAAGAAGAACGCGTATACCATCGTCGAAAGCACCCCCCATTCTCTGGCAGTCAACGTAGTCCGCGGTGACACCGACGGCGTGGCCGGTACGCTCTTTGTGAGCAACTTGGACAGAGACGTACTTCGTGGAGAGCCTCGCGGACACAAACAGGAACTCAATGGGGTCCGTGGCATTTGCCCTATGTTTAATCCTTACTGACGCGGCGCGCAGCTATGTCGATCATGAGCATATCTACGGCGTATACGGTGTTGGCTTCGCCAATGTTGCTGCGAACGCAGATCAAGCTGGAACTCAGGCGTCACCAAGTGCTTGCGCGCTATGATCACCTTCGACAACGGCAGATGGAGGTCCCCTATCTGCGCACTCCAGGGAAGCAACTGCGATACGAGGGACATCGAGAAGTAAGCAGACTCATTCCCTTCACGCGCACTTTCTACCTCTGCATATCTATCCATGCCTCTTCTTTCATTCAAGCTGACTTCTCCTTCCCAGCTGCCCACTGTATATTCACTCAGTCACCACCGTTCACAACTCGGACGCGTCGTCTCCAGTCCCGCCCCCGGCTACGTTACGGCCGTCGGCTCCGTAGGCCCGGCCCTCGCCCCCTACGAGGACTCCGACACCCACCTCTCCTCTGACACTGGCCTCACCTAGACCCGCATCGGACGAGGGCGCGCACAAGTACGAGTTTGAGGACGCGGGGTCGCTGCAGGTGCTGATCGACAACGAGGAGGCGACGGGCGAGGTGAAGTGGTCGGGGGATGGGGGGCGGACGTAGGAGATGTGCGATTTCGGGCAGCGGTTGAGGGCGCGACTCGCGAGCGCTGGTGACGGTGTTGGATAGTACGAGTCGGAAGTTTTTGGTGTTGGGTGAGCGCATTCTTCAGCAACTGCCCATGGCAAGAAATGTGTACAAGCCAGTTAGCTAACGCTGTCAATGGGCCAGGTCGCGCGCAGGGATCAGAGCGACAAGAAGTCGGACCTACGTGGTACAATGGCTCGACTTCGCGGGTATGCGGGACTGATTCGCCCATCTATGTTTTATTTGACACTTTACTTCAGACACGCGCAATCGCAAGTGCGGCGATAACGACTTTGAGAAGTGGCATGCGCGCTCCGGATAGGCTGAGTGCCTGCTATGACACAAGGTGCTTGTCTATCAGTCCTGCCCGTTTGGACCGTCTACATTCACAGCGTAAACTCACACATCGCTCATCACAGCAATGGTACCGTCGCAGAAAGCCCAATGCCGATCGCTACGTCGGCAAGAAGTTCAGCGAGCCTGTAGAGCATGACGAGCCCTGCGAGCGCGGTGAAAGCGACTAAGAATGGTGAGTTTCGTGAGGCTTACAGTTCCTTTAGTGACTTCAACTTCATTTGCCAAGGCGCCAGTTGCGTACCTGTAGTACCAGAGCCCGTACCAGCAGGGTGAGCTTACGGTCTTATATGCACCCCTTGTCGCCCGTCTGATGCTCTTTAGTAGAACTTGCACAACAGGGCAACCAGACGAGACATACCGAGGCTCGAGCGGATATTGCAAGATCCCTGGCGACATCTGCGAGGGTGGAATAGCGAAGGACGCACCAGTAGAGAAACAGTGCAGTTAGGCGGAGCCGGCGGAAGGCGATGTGGTACATCAGACCTTCGAGTTTCCGGCAGTGGTGGCGCAGCATGCAGACTTTAAGGATTCACCAGTAAGCTGCCTGGATCGTCTGACTTGGGACCGAATGCTCACGGTTGCACTATAATAGACCATCCTTGTACGCGTAGCGGCCCGTACGATCTGGCAAAGCGCAAACGAGGGGTATACTGGACTCAGCGTTTTCCTGAGGAGCGGTGAGCTAGCACTCCACGCCACTGTCATATGGCAGGTCGCTCATTTGCCTTGCGTCGCCAGGTTTCTCGGCTTTTACCATCACAAGTACCCCGGCGACCGCGCGTACCTCGTCAACTGAGCACACGCTTCTACTACACCACGGACGCCGGACGGAACTGGTACCCGCAGGAGGCATCCAACCCGCCGAACACGTTCCGCACGCCGGTTCTGCGCTTCAATCCGACGTCGGACTACTTGATCTGGGTGAGCAACAAGGACTGCGAGGGTCATGGCGGGAAGTGCATGGCAGTTGCGTATGAGTGGGATACAACAGCTCGAGACTAACGAACTGCGAATGTAGCGTATTCTCGAGACAACGGCCGTAGATGGACGACGATCGACGAGTGCGTGCAGCACTGTGCATGGGCCCGAGATGCGCGCCTTGCTGCGGATCCCAACAAGATCTGGTGCGAGAGCTTCCGAGACAAGAAGGGTAGCCAACGGATGTTCGGTGGGGAGAACCCGCTTGAGCTGGTTGTTGGCAGCAACTACTACATGAAGGTGGGCTCCAAAGGACATTCAATGCGCAGGTCATGCTGACGTTTGTGCTCGCCCAGATGTGCCGCATGTTTGAGCATGTCGCCAGCTTTGTCAAGTTCAGCGAATACCTTGTCGTTGCTGCCATGGGTCCCAAGTCGCGCTCGCTGCAGTTGCAAGTCTCGCTTGCCGGCGCAAACTTCGCCAAGGGTCGCTTTCCGCCCAGCCTGCACTCCGAGATGCTTGTAAGTAGTCGTTCGTGACAGGGACGTTTACGATGCTGAATGCGTACAGGCCTACACTGTCTTTTGAATCCTCGGACAACTTGGTGTTCCTTCACATGACAGTGTCGGAGCCATCCAGCCTGAACTGGGACATCGTCCTGAAGAGTAACTCGACCGGGATGTACTCCGGTGTCAGCGCCGAGCACGTCAACCGTGATAAGAGGGGATCCGTTGACTTCGAGAAGGTAATTATCGTTGGATTATCGTTGGATTATAAGCTATACTCAGGCTGACATGTTACTCGTAGATGATTGGCCTGGATGTCATTGCGCTCATCAACATCGTCGGCAACGCTGACGAGGCGATTTGGACAGGTCGCAAAGCGCTGCAGTCGCGGATAGCGCACAACGACGGAGGGACGTGGAAGCCTCTCAACACTCCGCCGGTCGACTTCTTTGGCAACGAGTACGAGGTAATCCACGGCAAACATAGCGTGCAGAGCATGCAGCCCGCTTCCTCAATATGCCAACCTACGCCCAGCCATCCTCGCGCAGCGGCCACAACCTATCCGCGCTTGGGTACGCGTCAGCCGGGCCCGCCTATGCCCACGCCGAACCCACCGAACACGCTCGCATTGGGGTCCGAAACAGCGGACTGCGGCCCACCGACTGGCGAAGCTGTGTCCTGCCGCGGAGGGTGGTGGAAGGGCGCACCGCTGTCCAGAGGCCCATGGAACGAGTTGCGGAAGCCAGACTGCGGCATCGCCTGGATCGACAGGAACTTGTTTGGCTGTGGCCTAGCCTCCGTGCTGAACTGGAACTGCAGCCCGAGGCCGTCCGCCTCGGAGATGTCGAGCAGCTTGACGAGCTTCTTTCCGATGCCGTTCAGGCGCTGCACATCGTCCTTCCCACGCGTCCACACCTGGATGCGGTCCACGTTCGCAGACTGAGAACCGCGCCGCAGATCTCGTCGTGCCCCTCCTCGAGCTCCTCGCCGACGAGCGCCATGACGAGCCAGTTCCAGCAGCGGTCGAGCAGCTGCGGGTTGTTCTTCATTGTGAGCACCCACTTGCCGCCGTTCGCGATCGCGGGGTCCTCCCACATCGGCTTAATGCAGGACTTGAAGAGGTGGTAGTTCGAGTTGCGCTCGAGGTGCGAGGGCGGCTTGAGCCAGTTGAAGTAGCGGCAGAACTCCTCGACGGTCGCAAAGCTGCCGACGACGGTGAGCCCGGCCTCGTAGTCCGTCAACTCGGCCTGGTGGAAGGAGGTACTGAGACGATCATGATCCGCGTGGCATGAAGTGCGAGGCGGCGCCTCTGATCAGGAGCGCGAAGGTATCTTTTGGTGAGCATGCATACGACGCGGAAGCGCAGGTCTCATTTGCAACAAAGGGCTATATCATCTACCGCGAGCACGACGGGGCGGGGTACTCATGGGTCGCAACCAGGGGTCGCACACGGGTCGCACATGGGTCGCACACGGGTCGCACATGGGTCGCACACGGGTCGCACACAGTGCGCACACGGGTCGCACACAGTTCGCACACAGTTCGCACACAGTTCGCACATAGGTCGCACACAGTGTGACATGCTAGCGACGATGAAGCTCCTCAGTTCGCCCGAAAACAAGGTATTGCCGAGCCATCGTCCGAACTTCGTCGTCGCTGCACCCCGATTGTCTGAGGGTGGGTCGGGCTCGGGCGATGCGTCTCCGTGAGTTGCATCTCAACTGTGGCACGTAGAGATTGTTTGAGGTCAGTGCATCTTCTTCGTATGCTCGGGAGTTGCATCGCATGTCTGAGTGATCTCCCGAAAGTCCGGGTTCATCGCTCGAATATTCGCCCGATTGAGGCACTTTTTTCTCTGCAAAAAGACCACTTTTCTGTCTGTAAAAAGAGTGCTTTCTTCTGTGGAAAAAAGCTGTTTTTCTTGGCGTGAAAAGGGAATCTTTATGTGCGTAAAAAGGGCGCTTTCTGCTTCAGAAAAAACCCGCTTTTTTCGTCTTTTTCTTATGACGAAAAAGAGCACTTTTTTCGCAGGGAAAACGTGCTCTTTTTGCGCGGAAAAAAAGAGTATCTTCACGTGCTTTTTTGCACGTGAAAAGAACGTGCTTTTCCACGTGAAAAGGAACGGAAAAATCCCGTTTTATTTCGCTCAAAAAAGAAGTTTTTTTCCGTCGTAAAAGGCGCGTAAAAAGGAACTGTTTTTACTTACTTTTCTCTGCATAAAAAACAGTTCTTTTTCTGTGCAGAAAGCAGCGCAAAAAGCACATCTTTTTCGCTGCTTTTTTCTGCTTGAAAAGGTGTTTTGTTTGTGCACAAAAATACTTCCATTTTGATCTCTTTTTTCTGTCCTAAAATCCGTGCTTTTTCCTCGCACAAAAAGCCTGTTTTTCTTCACTTTTTTCCCCTCTTTTTTCCCCTCTTTTTTCTTCGCTTTTTTCAGCAGAAAAAATCTGGTCTGCCCGACGTGAGATCAGATCTGCGGAAATCCGATGCGCATACGACACGCCCTTTGTCCTCGACCTCCAACCTGGCACGGCACTTTCTGGAACCTCTCGTCAGCCTTGCCATAGCTTGCCTATAGATGTCATGTCTTATACCGCTGCATTGGCACGCTCTTCATCGATGAGCTCGAACTCAGCTTTCAACCTGCCTAATGAGGACGCCTTTGTTGTTCCATCTTCGCTTACAACTCCAGGACTCTCCATAACGTTGATGATCAACAATTCACTCAAGTATTCGTCTATGCTCTGCTGCGTATACCGACGCAGCTTTGCGGCACTCCCTCTGTTGATGACTGTACCTTGGACGAAAGTCGTGCGAGGAGTCCTTCGGCTTGTTTTACGCCGACCTATGGGTCGCCCACATTTACTGGCGCTTGTGACAACCACCAGGTAAGTCTTACTGGGCGTTTTGCTGGCTTCCGCTTACATGCCTTCTGCCTAGACCGTTATCTCCCTTTGACCCGCGACTTTCCCGTCCTCCCCGAATCTCCACCATACCAAGCGCGACCGAGGGCGACGAGCCTACACGAGATGAGGCGCCACAAAGCGCGCCCTTGCTCCCTCGAGGTCGCGCCTCGAGCCGTCGCCGCAAACACGTGGGGGTGCGAACAATGACATGATGGCCTCGCCGCCACGCCAGGTCATGCCCACACAGCTCCTGACTCATGTCCCACGTACGGCTCCTTGCCCTCTACCCTCATGGCGCCCACCCCAACTTCTGCGGCTGCTGCTCTTCGTTGCTACACCCGCTTACTCTCGAGCACTCTTCCTGAGTAGTCAACGCGGGGGGTAGCCCGCGATTTTTGCGGCGCTTATCGTGACTGAAGGTCTAATGCGCGCAACGTAGTCAGAGGGCCTTCATGCCTTGAGCCCTCATACGAATCAGGGTGAAAGAGTGTGGTCCTCGAGCGAGACCACGTCGCTGACCTTTGCCAGCAATATCTTCCTTCGCCGCCGACTTTTCTCCCGTTACGTCGCGCGCGCGCGCCTATTGGCAGACTGGTTGCCACACCTTCGACCTCAAGCACCGCTAGGCGCAGTGTCCCTACTTCTCATTAGTGGGCGTTTGTGCAAGCTCGCTTCGCCGTTTCGGTCCCATCCTCGACGATCTTGCAGGCTGACCACACCCGCGGTGCAAGGACCAGGCATCACTTTTGCGGCGCTTCCGGCGTGCAACGACGCCTCGCTTTCCTGGAGCATCGTTTCATCCCAATTGAGCGGATCTGGAGGTTCTCTCAGTGAGTTGCCCTGCTGGTCATCAACACCCTCTTCTTCCTTTCCATTTTCCCTACTCGTACGCGTAAGCATTGGCGTGCTCTGACCCTGTCCTCTGTCCTGGACATCGACTGACGTCGTCCCCGAAAGCACCTCAAATTTCTCATCGCCGGTGCCTCACACTGGCGCCTGTCGCCACAAACTTCATTTTTTCGTCGCTAGACGTCTGCGAGGCGCACCGAACCGTCCTCAAGGTCATCGCCTCTCGCGCCGGAGGTACGCGCACTCCCCCACCCGTTGACCGCCTCAAATCGTTTCCGTCGAGCTTTTCGTGCACGGCTCGAAGCATCTCCGCGGTCATCCTGATCATTGGTACGTACCATCACTGACGAATATTTTCTGACTCGCCGCATTGCGTCTTTCAGGAAGAAAACTTATTTCATCAGCCTTTTTGGACGATTCAGTGGCGTCCGCAGTAGGCTGCGCGGCTCCAGCATGTTTTGGTCTTGAAGATTTTCTACGTGCCGCTCGAAGCTGGACAACGGTCGGAAGGCCGACCGTCTCGTCAGGTATGTTCACTCCTTGTGCAGGTGGCTACACGACGTCTAGCGGAAGTGTGGCGCGACCACGGTAGCTCATCCTCGAGATCAGGAAGGCAAGTCTGGGGAATTGCAGGATTGCGCCGTCCGCAACTCTGCGGGTGTAATGGTGCGTCGAGCACCTGATCCTTCATGACTACTCTTCTGACTACCTTTCAACCAGAAAGAGTTCCTGCCTTTCGCGGTTGTCCTGTTCAGGACCGAACACGACCGCGGGGGCTCTCGTTGCTCTGTCGGAAGCGCGGCGAATCCGCGGCGAGTGCCCGCATCCAAGTCGGTCCGGCATCAACCGATGAGTTGACGCTTCTTGGGTCTATGAGCAGGGACTGTAGCGTCAGGAAGTACGGCGCTGTACTCGACTCTGCGCTAGCGCGCCCCTCAGACGCTGTGGGTCCTATCGCCGGAGATGATCGTGGGACAGCTGACGTTTTTTCTGATTAGATCGGCCGGTCGTTACACGCGGCAGGGTCATAAACGGCCCGTCACAGAGCTTGTTCGCACATGGCTCTGATTGCACATTCGGATGCGGTAAGGCCGTGGCGCTGTGTCTCTTGTCTCCTGCCATCATCATCCCCTCCGCTGCTCGCTCCTCGAGCCCTCAAGTCCCTCCGATATGGCTGATCTCCCGCGTCGCTATCGACGACGACGACGAACCGACGGTGGCCGCTGATCGAGAAGTACCGGAATTCGTACGTGGCGACCTTTGTCCTCGTTTTCTGGCGTCTCTGTTCTCCCCCTCCCCCGCTCTTTGGTCCCCCTGGACCCCTCGACCATCCTCGACGTCCTCCTACCCCAATCCACCGCGCTCGACGACGACGACGGCGCCAATCCCCCATGTTTCCTCGGCGCCTCCTCAGCACATACAACTCAACCCCCGTTCCCACGATCCGGAAAGAACAACAACGCTTCCGAGACATCACGCCGACGCATTCAACGGGCCTTCGTTCTCGCCGGTTTTTGACCATTACGCATGTCCTCGTGCCCAGGAAGCGGTGCAGAAGTGTGGCGAGGCCCGCTTCGGCGCGCACGCTGCCCCGGTGAGCTCGTGGGGCGCAGGTGCCGCGCCACGTTTCTATGAGGGAATTCCAATATTTCGGCAGCTATCGATGGTCTCTAGGCTGAGGTACGGCTGCTCCGACGCGCAAAGGTATCGCTCTCGTCCTACTGTGAGTCTACGACCTGTCCTTCTCGACATCGCCCTCTCTCCGCCTGCCGATCCTTCTCCTCTCGCGCTCAACTCTGCGTTCTACTGCTCGGCCCGCTCGGAAACCTCCCGCTATCGCTCATCAGATCAGCTCGCACGGCTCACTCTCGGCATGCGAGCGCTCAACAATGGGCTTACCACGCACGCGCGACTGCGACCATCAGATACTGTGCGCTTCTGCCATTCAGCAGCGTCACCTGCGGACTCACGTAACCCGGCTTTGCCGAGGGCTCGAGGACTTATAGGGACGCTATCTTGCGCGTGAAGCACCCTTTCCCGTTGCTCCTTCCCCGATGTCCCTCTTTCGCGCTCGTTGCTCGTTCCGCCCATCCGTCCTCCGTCCCAACTCATCCCTCGCCGCCGCCGCCGTCGCCTCTTCGCCATCGAAGCCAGCCCGACCTGCCCTCAAGCAACGCCACCCCGCCGTCGAAGCCCCGTCCAAGTTACTCACGGTCCATCGGGAATCGACGGTCGCCGAATGGACGCGAAGGGGGTGGGGAATCGAATTCCCCTGCCTCATGTCGGGCTCGGAAACCCCCCGCGGCTTCGCAGATGCCATTCCTGGACGCCTTCCCCCGGCCTGCGCCGGCGCGCGATCGCGTATGCAACGTCGCCAGATAGGATACCGAGGAGAGCGCGGCGCCGCGGAAATTGCGCTGGCGCGATATAGGGATCGACCACGGTGCGTGGTGATTTTCCTGAATAAATTCGATATACTCACTCGCGCTGCAGGAACTTCCGCTCCCTCTCGTCCTTCGGCTGCCCCTAACTGTTCCATTCCGGCGCGCATGGCTCTGAATACAGTCTTCGGCGCGGCACCCCCCTTTCCTTCGCAGAGAAGGCAGTCGGAGACTGGGGATTGGCTAGACTAGAGACTGGGAGGCGACTTTGGACGGCGGGGGTGCTGTTTGGATGGCAGGGAAATGGGGATTAGATCAGCGGTGCGCGTGGCTGCTTTCGTGCAGTTTCGCTTTCGCCAGTCGCAGTGTACGTCGCTGCAGCTCGCCTCTGGGGCTCCCCGCTGACTTTCTGCGCCTTCAGATATTCGAAAAGGCTTCATACAGTCATATAATGTCGTCTGCTCGCATCTCTGATGCTCATCATACGAGCAACGCCTTGCGCTTCGCAGCGCAGGCGGTGTCATCGTCACCAAACTGGACCCTGGGCGCGGGATTGGGTATCTACAACCAGGCAGTCGAAGGGAACGGTTCGGGAGGCCATATGGGAGCAGCGTCAGGGGCAACTGGTACGTCTCCGTCGAATGACATTGGCTTTGCGCCGCTGACAAGTGCCTTCAGTCCCACCGATCATCGACATGCGCAGGCCCTGGGGGGAGATAGAACAAATACTCCTCCGCGATGCGTCTTGGACTGTCCCGGCCTTCTCCTCCCCCGCCATGGTGATCGTGAGGGCCGGCGAGGGTAGCCCCATCCCCGTCACTCTACCCGGCTCAAGCAGCCACGCACCTTGGTCAAGGGCGCAGTTGCTGCAAGCCGTCCATCGGGCGCTGAATACCCCTCTGGACACCCCGGGACACCGCCTCATCGACACGGTCGGTGAGCATGCGTACTACGGAGGGTTCAGTCAGGTGGATGGACGCACTGTCTCGCTATGTGTAGTGACAAGGAATGAGGCTCGTAGGCAGTTCTCCGGGAACCTGTAGGCTCGTTCTTGTGTACTTCCTATCTACCACATAGTTTCATCTGTACCAGTATAAGCATACTCATCGTGTATATCATCATATAATGCCGTTTCCTACCTCGTGTGATGCCGGTCTGCATCCAATATGAAACGTGTGAGCTCGCCACAAAGTCCCGCAACGATCTACGGCGTCGGCGGCGGTCAAAGTCGAGGTCGCCACTCGAGTGGCGACAACGTCATCAGTATAGAATATCCTAACAAATTGTGTGTTATATTCGTAGCTGAAGTATGCCATATTCTCGCCGCATATGCTTCAGGATCTATGCTCAGCGAGCATTTATCTACATTTTGAAATTACTTTGAAGAGCAACAGGCCATTGGGGCATGCTGCACGATTCGTGGCGCGCGCGTCGAAATATTCTTATGAACCGGCACTCCCGGAGCCCATGTGACCGCGTGAGTCACGGCTGCGGAGTTCGAAAATTCAAACCTCCGCCATCCGGAATTCCCAACTCTCTCTTCCACATCGTAGTAGGATTCGTGGGGCCCTGATATCTGCGCCGATACATATCGTCGCTGCTCGTATCGTCTCTTGATGACTGATCTACGTAGGCTATCAAATGCTGTTCTTCTCCAGTCGACAACGGACATCGTTGCTTGGCGCTTATCCCCCCGGGCCATCGGTCCTTCTCAACTCTGCCTGTCTCTCACTCGGTCAAGATGATGCCTACTTCACTTCTCGCTCTAATAGTTGGATCTTTGGCCAAGGCTACTATAGGGAACGCAGCATCCTACGTTGTGTTCCGAGTATGCGCAAGTCGGCATACGCCGACAGGCGCAGCAATTGCGGAAGCAAATTCGTCCGTCCTCTTTTCTCCTCACTCTCATGGGAACTCTCGTCGATACAGCCTCTGCGATCTTGAAATCATGTCGCTCGACTCGATTCCTCTCAGCAGCGCGATTTCATGCGTCCTCGTACCTAGAATGCGGAGGTGTCCACGCTGCCGAAGTTCACATTTCGACCGGTCTCAGCTCCAAATCTTCCCTTCGCTCTCGTCGTGTAACTGGTGCCCCTCTGGTCTGCGCACCAATTCAACTCGTCGTCGCTCGGTCCATTTCTCGATGGACGAACTACAATGGCCCAACCATACCCATTGTTCCCTTCTCGTCAACAATGGGCCTCGAACTGCTTAAGTACGCGCACGCTACTCGTCTTCCGCCATCGATCTCCTTCAGCCTACTTCCTTTCCTACTCTTCAAAGATGTCCTCACACTCCACGTACTCCTACGGGTCCGATGTTGGCGGCAACGATGATGTGGGCTTTTCTTCACACGAGAGTGGATCTCCTGCACCCGACATATGGCCGCCGCCCTTCCCCGTTCCGGGCGCTCGTCCCCAGTCCCGCGCTCACACACCCGTAAACGCTGTCGTAAACCAGTTCTACAACCGCACGGTCTTTACGGGTGCACTTCCCGCGCAGGGAATGTCTCCTACTCGTTCGGACACTCCCGAAACCGGAGATGTTTTCCTTCGCCACGGAGGAGCGCGTCGTGCGCCGACCCCTCTTCCTCATTTCAGGGTTGGACTATCTTCTTCGTCTGGCTCAGACACTCCTTCAGCTTCCAGCTTCGGAGATATCGCCCCTCGCCGTGCACGAACACCCAGAGCACGGACGCCTCTCCCTTGCAGCGCTATCGAGCCGCACTCGGACCCTTATACGTCGATGTTGGCTTTCGTTCTGCCTCGTGCCGTGCAGGCTTCGGCTGATGGGGATCGGGAGCAAGGACTTTGCTTTCCCGACGGCAACTTCGTCATCGTCTCCAAGGACCATCAGGTTTCCCGCGTCCACAAGAGCACGCTCGAACTACAGGCTCCTCAGATCGTCCGCCAATCAAGGAGCTGGAACGAGGTCTATCGCTACGCGCTACTCAAAAACGCCGACGGCGCGCACGTGGACGCCTTCCTGCGAGCCGCGTTTTGTCCCGAGTGCGTAAATCCGTTGCGTAGGACCATGCCTCGTCTCTAATGCCCCTGCAGGTATTTCCCGGCACCGCCGCAGCAGGTCGCCTTCAAGGTCATCCGCATGGTGTTGACCATGGCGCATGAGCTCGGCGCGATACCTCTGCGGAGACGCGCGTTGACTCACTTGGAGGCCTTAGCTAAGTCAGCGCTTGATTCTCCCAGCCATTGGGCCAACGTTGCCACCAAGCTGTTCGTGGTCTCCTGCTCGCGAGAGGTCGGCGCTCTATGGCTGATGCCCTCGATCATGTACACGCTGACCTGCGTGTCTCCGCGCTCGTTCGACGTCGCCGCACCAGCCGACCACGAGTATATTTATGTCCTGTCCGACGAAGACCACCGCACCATCGCCAATGCTCGGGTCAGTACCCGGAACTTCGGTGAGATCAAGGCGCTCGTCTTCGCTAACACTCGCTGCGTCGATCGCGCGTGCATCAACTCGCGGAATAGGTTACTGGACGTGATCCACGACAGATATGAGAAGGACCCATTACACGCTATGCACACACTATCGTATATTCTCCAACCTGATGCAAAGGAAGCCTGCCGAATCTGCTCGCATTGCTATGATGTGGTCAAGCCCAAAGTGGACACGTTGGAGGACAAATTCCTGGAGGATCTGCCGACTCACTTCGCCTTTCCGACCTGGGATGCTCTGGAGCACATGCGCGAGCAAGACATGGGCTGCCCTGGCCAAATCCTACGCCCAGTGTGGAAGCATATCCACAAGGTTTAGATGACTTTTCTACCACTGGCAACTCGGCCGTATGGTAGATAGCTGTGTACCGTACATTAGGTTACAATTTGACGATCTTCACGATATAACTCAAGCGAAAAAGCTGCACGGTGGGTATGATAACCCGCACGCTTCGACGTGTGGGTCCCGGTGTAAGCAATTCGGCATTAGCCGATAGATCACGTGAGATATTGGAAAAGCATCCGACAATGCAATCGCGAGCGTTTATCCTCCTTTCTCTTGACTCTCATTGTTGCCTAGTCTTCGGAAGCCAAGGGGTCCTTACGATATCTCCAACGGAATAATACGCACTGCTTTATCTGTGAATATATGCGTCGCGACCTCTGTAGACCAAGGTCGACGGCAGACTCGAGGTTCATGATGAGCGCCTGTCCTCCCTTACTTGCCTTCTTGCATGGTATCTGTTAGAAGAGGTCTCTCACACTCAGCCGTGCAGGCCTACACTTGTACTCATGTTATAGGCTCATGATAGGGAAAAATTACAGACGACAACGGAGGAGTCAAACATACGGATATCTCGCGATACAAGAGGCATACATGGTAAGTCCCGATACATAGAGCCGACTAGTCGACGTGATACTTATACAAATCCCAGAATCCAGCAGACATTCAAGCATATACGTCCAAGAGGTAAGGACCCTCACCCTACATAAGCCAACGAATAACATCGCCCTCCAGCGCGACGCTCCGGCTCTCCCCGCCGCCCTCGAGCCCATGCAGCGCCCGCGCCACTTCGCTCGTGTCGAACTCCTCGCAGCGGTCGGGGGGCAGCGCGGCGTTGATGTACGTGAGCAGCGAGCTCACGGTGAGCACGTCCTTCTCCTCAGGGTCGTACGTCGTGCGGAAGAGGTGCGCGGCGGAGGTGTGCACGAATGCGCGGCGCCCGGCCGCGGAGACGAGATCTGGGCGACGTGGTGAAGGCGGGCCGCGCGGCGACGGGCGGTGGGAGTACGAGTCGGCGCGGCGGCGCGGGGTGGTGGATGGGTGGTGGAGGCGCGCAGCGGAAGCGGGGCTTGGGTAGGTGGTGGCAATCATGCGCGGCGCGGGCGGCGAGCGAGGCGCTTGCTGGTGGTCTGTCGAGGGAGGGCGATGATGACCACCGGCAGACTGGTGCTCGTGTTGGCGCATGTCCACGATACGCGAATTGGGATGGTACGGGTGGATGCCTGCTGAGGATGATATGACGATCGCCTGGTCGTCCTCTTCCTCGAACTCGCCATCCGCATCGGCGTCTTCGTCGTCTTCCTCCCTCGGTTGATGATGACTTGACGCGGCATTCGCAGCCCGCTGCTTCTGCACCCGACGCTCGCTAACAACACCGTCAGCTTAGCCACACCGTCCGACAACCAAATTACTCACTGCCTTGCCAGACACTTCCCCCGATGCTGGGTCCATGGATACGCGCAGTACGTGCTGTCCTGCCGCAGCTGCACCCACTTCTGACAAAGCCTACAGAACGCGCGGCTCGGCTCCACAGCCTCGACGAGCTCGTCGCTCAGCAGGTGCGCCCGGCGCTGCTCCGCGTTGCGCTTGCGCGCGTCCGCGGGCTGGCTCCCGAGATACTGGACGGCGCCGGCAAGGGGCACGGTCGCGATCGTCGGGCTGGTCGACGGACTGGCGACGGATCCGCCGGGCGTGGTGAGCGCGGGTGGTCCGGGGATTGGTGGAGGGGGTGCGACGGCCCGAGGGAGCGGGGCGTTATGAAGGAGCTCGGATGGCGGAGGGAGGGTACGCTCCGTCGGGCTCGACAGACGCCGCATGGGCGCCATGACATTCGACTCCGAGGGCGGTGTGTGATGGGAGGTCGCTGCCTTGGCGCTGAGGAGAGTTAGGATGAGTTGACCAAACGATGCAGACAGACTCACAGGGCAACGACGGATGGCGACTGGCCGCGACATGCCTCCCGATGGGCAAGCCACTGCTGGATAGCGCGCGCGTGGTCCTCTGGGTTGACCGACACCCAGTCATCGCACACCGCGCAGAGCACGCGCTCACAGTCGAACTTGCGGATATCCGGATCCTTGGAGAACGTCCCGTTGCACTCCTCGAGGAGGTGCGAGTTCTTGTTGCTGAGAACAAGGTAAGCCATCGTCGACCACAACCCGCTGTTGGACTCACATCTTTTTCGCCAGGCATGACTTGCGGTGAGCGTCCCACGGGATGCTGCAGTAGGTTGAGTTGGGTCGGAGGCGGATCCACTTGTTGCAGGAGCCGCAGAGTACGCGGTACGCCTCGAACTGCGCGACGTAGCGATCGTTCTTGAGGTACGCGATGCGCTCCTCCTCCGTGCGCTTCGCCCGGCGCCGCTTGGTGGGTGGGTGCGAGAGGGGGTGCGATGGTGTTTCTGGCGAGTAGAAGACGGTCTCCTTCACGGACACGGATGGCGACGAAGGTCCCCGACTAAGTCATGTAAGCATCGCGGTCATCTTTCAGTCATATCATGCTCACCAGACAGCGCGATGGGCCTCCCAGGCGGCCATCGATAGCTCTCCCGTCTCCGTGCTACGGAGGGAGACACGGTTTCCGCAGCGCTCGCAGGGGACCGACGAGCGGGCATCAACCTGCTCGCACGAGCGCGAGGCGTCGGGAGACGACTGCCGTCGACGGGACGCAGGCGTCTGTCGCTCATCCTCATCGCCCGATGGCGGCTCCTTGCGCTTAAGCGTGTTCCTGGTAGCCACGTTAGCGGCACGTTTATCGACATGCGGGGTAGACTTACAGTTCGGGGCTAGACGAGCGCTTCAGCGCGGATGGTCGGCAGGCGACGGTGCTGCTCGACATTCTATTCGCGAGGGTGAGTGCGCTGGCGCTAGATGTGCGGGAAGGACGCTCACTCGTGGTCAGGACGGGGCGAGGACATGGCGGGGCGAATAGCGAAAACAAGAGACAGAGATGTGGAAATGAAGGAGGGCCTTATATATTCCAGAGGTGCGTGTTCGGGTCCAAGGCTGCAGGCGGCGATGGATATAGCTATTCCTGTGCGTATTACGCCATCAACCGTCGCGACATACACAACCTTCAATGCACTTGCCTTCCATGGACTCGAGGCGCTGCGTGATTGACTTTCCTTTCTCGACCAGCGTTTCGAAACCCAGCGCCGTCCCGCGATTCGCGTCACTTGCACCGTTACGGTTTATGGCTACCTCTAACCCTCTGACACCCCCGTACACGAGGCCTCACACTGATCAGCGATTGTTTTCTCGCAGACTTTAGGGGGACGCAATGATGTTCCTTGGTGACTTCTCCCGGATCCCGGTGAGGCGCGCTCCCCTCTTTTCATTCCAGGTCCGGTATATGCACTGACATGCCTGCAGGCAACTCGCACCGTTCATACTGATCGTCTGCTATCTCCTCCGATATCTTACTCGACTCTCGGTCGGCGCCTATTCCTGCGTTCCAATGGAGCCCCGGATGACTCACGCCCACGATCATGTCGTCGACACCGCGGGTTGCGATGTTCTACTACGAAGGCGCCTAGAGCGGCGAGGGCCCCTCGAGACATACGGCGAATCTTCTGTCTGTCAGAAAAGCGCGATGAACCGTGGTCGTCGGGCTCCTACCCCCAGCACATGTCCGCCGGTCATTCAACACCCGTTCTGTCGCGAGAGCCTAAGCTTGCGCATTCCTGTTCCGGACCTCGCCTTGTCCCATGCGTGCATTCAGTGCCGCGCCACGCGCAGCGTTATTCGGCCCTCCGTTACCTCACACCCGGTATGTTGTCGTCAGGGCGTTCATTGTGCGCTCTCGGGCTCCCTCATGCTCCGCGCGCGTTATGTACACAAACACACTGGCCGGGCCTGCGCTTCCTAGAAGCGCGGGTCTGCGACAGAGCTAGTTCGACTCGGTGCGCGATGCTGCGTCCTCGAGGCGCTGGCTCGGTGCGCTTCTGACATGATGGGTAGTCAGTCATGTTCGACGTGAGCTTCGTCTGCTGTGTCGATAGGCGGCGCGACATGTCCTGACCAAAGCTTAGTATTCAACAACAATACAGCTCCGGCGGGACACAATGGAACACTGACTCGGACCACATCGCGGCCGTGGACACCGGGGTCTGCGACTAGTACAATCCATCATGGCGTCCTTTTCAATTTTGACGTGCAGGTCCGTTCGCTTCCCTTTTGTCTGCCTGCCACCGATAATCACCGCAGCCCGCTGGGGATAATGCCCTCGACATCAGTCACTCGCCAGAAACATAGGTTCGCTCACTCAAGTAAGCTCGCCAACATTTACCCCTCCCCCCTTCACCCTCGATGCATGATGCTTCACTGACAAGGTTCGAGCTGGCCTCTGACATTCTAGTGCCGCGCCCCCCGTAATGCATGACTCCCCTGAGCCTTTCTGATCAGGCGGCGATATCATCTCGCCACGCCGCACTGTGTCGTCTCGTCATTTCCGCGGGAAGGTAGAACGCGTTCATCAGCCAACTTTACGATTCCCTCGTCCGGGTGAGTTTCCATCTAGGCGCCGATCTTTTGGGGATTAACGGGGAATGATTTCGCGCGAGTTTATGTGCGCGGCGCGCCTGCCTGGCCTTCATGATAATGTACGTCCCCTTCACGGACAGAGGACCGCGTCGAGGTGTGTGACCGCCTGACGCTTTTCTTGACTTTGGGGTCATGTCAAGGTGCGTCTCGTATGACCCGCATGTGTCCCACGAAAATAACTTGCGCTTGCGGCAGACAGCAGAAATACCCAGCTCTGCGAGAATCAGCAGTGCTGTCCATCATTGGCTCGTCAGTCATGATGGCTAGCTGGCCTCTGGCACCACGCCAGAGGTTCAATCTCGATCTCCGAGGTGGAGGTCCTGTTGTCACGCGCCAGCGCTTTTGTGACACGCAGACGGTCGGTGAGTTAAGCAGGCCATCCTTTTCCTGACTAACTTGTACATCCTCAGACTGATTGAGCATCATTTCACGAGCCTCTGACCCATGCGCTTCTTTGGCGCGCGATACCCCTCCTCCCTTGTTTTCCGTCTCTCTTCTCCTCCATGATTTTCTCTTCCTCGATCCGTGCTTTTCTCGTCCTCAATCCGTCATCTTCTCTTCCTCAATCCGCCATCTCCCCTTCTCCACGACGCCTCCATCACAGCCTCCACCCACCGTCGCGCGCCACGCATCGCGGCTATCGATGTTGGTGCGTCACGGCAGCGATGTTCTGAGGATGCGCCACAGCAGAGATGTTGTATGCGTGCGCCACGGCAGCGATGCCAGGAGCATGCGCCACAGCAGAACTATCAGACGTCCCGTAAAACATCCTGACGACGTTACCTTATACGTACTCTGGGCGATGCTACACATTCTCTCGATACGTGCTGTTCACGCCACCGCTCTTAGGCTATCAGGACCATATTGCTCACGCCGCCCCCTTCATCCCCATCAAGTGTTTTTTTTGCTCATGACCCCTCAACGATCTCTTTGTGATCTTCTACAGACGCTCAACTTGAACACCCTCCTCATCTCATCGCGCACGGTCGGTCCGAAAACATCCACTCCACTGCACCCTGTCAGCAAGAGTCTCAGCGCTGATCAGGTCAACCACCATGTTTGCCGGACGCCACAGGGCGCACAGAATATCTGACCGCGGGATGCGCGGATCCCGAGGTCGGGGCCGGGCAACGTGTCCCTGGGCAGCCGCATGCCGTGTCACCGCCAGCCTCGTGTCGGGTCATCGCCAGCCGCATGTCGCGCCGCTACGAGCTGAATGTCGTATTTTGACCGGATTTTATTGTTGTCGGTGTCATAGAAGGTGAACGCGTGGTTAAGGGAGCAGGGCGCGTGGCTGGGAGAGTGCGCGTGGCCGCGAGAAGAGCATGGTCCGTGTCAGATTATGGGGTGATTCCTGGGCGGTGGAGAAAAGCGGAAGAGATGATCGCACTCGTGTAGTTGTTGACTTCTCTATGAGGAAATAGCTAGCGTCTTCATGGGACGGAAGGGTGGGAGATGCGCTTCCAAAGACCTAGAAGCGGTACTTGGATAAGTGGTAGAAATCATCGACGTTACGGGTAACGGAGGACTTGTCGAAGAACAATGGAGGTTTACGGCTTTGAGTCTGACAGTCTTACTTACCCTCTCCCGTCAGACGCAACACGCTGCACTGTCAATTCCGGCGCATGTTTGTTGGGATTTCCATGCGCCGCAAATAGAGATAAAAGGGAATGGAGTGTGTACCTCATGCGCAGACGACAGGGAGCGCTCCCGGGAAGCGCGCGAACTCGACCTCAGGCGCTAGGAAAATAAGTATGACATCGACATGAGTGCCGCTGACGAACGCTTGAGTACTCTTGACCAACACTTGACAGGAGAGCAGCGCTTGACCCATCGTGGCATGGTTCACACATTGATCGCGGTACAGCCAGCATATGTATAGCTCGCGAGGTACCGGCGCGCCTTGTCCATATGCTGCATCTTTCGCGAGAGGATCCGCAACGCTAGGAGCGTAGTGGTTTACGCGGGCTAAGAGCAGTCATCTCGCGAACTAATCAAGTCGTGACTTGTGGACCATAAGCGTGCTTCATACACGCGATTAGGTAGCGTAGTGCTTTCGCGGGAGGGGACCTAGAGCGTGCCGCTAAGACTTGCCGTAGGCGACGGGATCAGCGAAGGACGAGCACGACCAGGCGTAGTTCGAGCTTCCCAAACCGAAAGGCGTCATGGGGAGAGGCCGGTGTTATCTAAGCGCTTGGTCTGACGACCTTCCGGTCTGAGTGGAAGTTTGCGGAGGCATATTGCCTAGCACGAGATGGAGACCAATGTCGTCGTCGACGTATTTTGGGAGGGCCATTTGAGAAACTCGATACCATAAGCCAAAAAGCGCTAAGAGCAATCACTCCAATCGCGTCCATCGCATGGCATGCATCCTAGATGGCGCATTCATCCTGAACGGGCTTAGCCACAAAGACAGACGTACCAACCTACGGAGATCCGCGAGGACTCACGGTCTGCGCCAGCGACACAAGGCGAAAGAAATGAACACGCACCCTCTCATGACTGACCGCACCACCGCACGTAGGCTCCAGCTGTCTTGGAGTGACCATACGGCCGCGATCCCGGGGGCCCATCGACTTCATACCGCTCCTGTCAGACCGCGCTGTGCTTCTGGGTAAATTTCCGCATCTGGGAAAGCAGCCTACCGCGACTCACCGTACGTGTCGGTGATTTATATCCGGTTCATCTGAGTGTTGGACGCAGGGGCAGTGGCTCATCACGGTACCGCAAATGAGCGGAGCATAAGACTAGAAGTTTGTTGTGGATTGAACACGCGATCGGAGAGGTCGGCGAGCGAAATGAGACGGAGTGCACGGAGTGCACGGAGTAAAGTTCATGAGAATCTTGAAATCCATCAGGGCTACGATCCACTTTGGACGCCGGCAAGCAAGCGCAGAGTCTGTCGAGCGCCTTCAAGGCTTGTCATGACGGTCGGGGTAGAGAACATTGAGGTCAGGTGACGGGACTCCGACAGACGCCCACACGTTCGGCAATTGCCGTAGCGGACCCAAAGCTTTAGATTCCGTTTTGATTCCATTCGGGGAAGTTCTTCATAGGCGTGTAAATATTGTTGGTCAATTAAACAAAGACTGGAACACGGCAGAGCCTTGTACCACCTTACGACGAGCACCTCCAGCTTGCAGAGGTGCCGTGTACGCACGTACTGGGGCCAAAACGTCAGTGCTCTGGCGTCGGCCTTTCCTAGAATGGCCATTAGCGTATAGTACGAAGCAATATCGGTGGTACGCACTGTATTTCCAATTGGTAGCGTATACTCACGACAACTACTCGGCTCGAGAGGGGCAGGCTTATGCCGCTTTGAGAGCCGCCGCGGCGCACGGCGCGCATGACCTTCGTGGTCAGAGTGTCGTGTGGTAAGCGAAGGTCATGAAGGTTGTTAAGAGGGGGGATCGTCGTCCAGAATAGTCGAGCTATGGGCAGAGCCGCTCGTTAGGGAACAAGCAGGTATGCGCCTCGAGAAGGGACACTGACTTATAGGATAATTTGCTGCCTAGGCTGCCCAGAACCGAGGCTATGCCACGAACCATTGGAGAGAGCGTACTGCTGAGGTGCTATATGGCACTCCGGGCGTGACAGAAGTTCGCGCGTCCCTGAGGGAGAAATGGAGAAACTATAGCGTCTCGAGAACATGCGGCCGTGCGGCGCGCGAAATTCCGCGCCTGCGTTAAGCGCCGCAGGTCGACGTGGCGGTGAGGCTACCCATCGAGCTTCGGCGTATCTGCAGCGAAAAATAGGAGACGCTGGCGCACGATTTGTGGCGATGTAAAATGGAAAAGCTAGCCCCGGGCAGCGGTGGTGTACCCGAAATCCAGGTTGACTCCAGAGACAATTGGATGTCGGCGGAGTTTTGAGAGAGAAAAGTCCACCTGGGCTGCAGGATCTGGGGACGAGCTAATGAGGGAATAGCGAAGACACACCGGAGAGTTCGTTAACGCCAAATCGGGCGAGTAATCCATAGAGCGGGGTAGGGGTATGGGATGTCGCGCGAATTTGTGCGAGGTGGACTTCCCGGGAAGAAATGGGTGAGGCTTGTACTTTTTCTGGTAATCGAAGGTTGAGGAAGCCCCCTGACCGCCAGGACCGCAGCGTCCTTCGTCGTTACAAGCGAATAAAAGACAACGGAAGCGATTCTGGTAGAACAGGCAGATTCAAGCTCGGAAGTCTCATGCAAATAGTCCCTCTGAGGATATCATTCAACAGTGAGAGCTCAAAGTGAGATCTGTGGTCGGGTTTGAGCGACATCGCGCGGAGTGTTGTGAGCGCTGCGGACAAGAAGTGTGGCGTTCGCTTATCGAATATTGATGCGTTCGCGCGTGGTCCCACCGAACCGCTTGCCACACGCCATCATCATGGCCAATCCGATGGACCTGCCCGAGCTAAGGGAGATCATATTCGACTACTTTGACCCCTTCGACATCCGCAGCGTCCGATTGGTGTGCAGGAGTTGGTATCCCGAAGCCGATCAAGCATTCTGGAGAAGCGCCCACAATGCTCCCATGATATGGTCTTTTTTGCGGCTGTTTCCCGAAGATGCATGGGCCGAAGATATGGTGTGTAAGATGCCAAGACTCAGGGAATGCCTGACCTTGTATGGCTCTAGATTAAGGAGATACCTGAATTCAGAGGGACAGCAAGAGTCCGTCGCGAGAATTTCGTACGTGTTCATCGCGTGGTATTGATTCACTCCATTGCTGAACCAGCCACGGCAGCGCTTTATACGTGACCTGCGGCCTGAAGACTGGATACCAGTCCTCCAGCGGACCCGATTTGCCAGAGTACAAACCATGGCCTCTATGGCGAACGCCGTCAACGTCATCACGAAGATCCTGGCCTGCCCACCACCGGGGGGCGTGGTCCTTCCAAACTTGAAGGTTCTTCATGTCTTTGTGTTTCTCCAAGATGTGGAACTGCACAAACGACTATTATATCTGATCAATCCATCGAGCCTCGCTGTGTTCACGGGCATGGCAGACGAAAATACTGTCGGCCCCGACCCTAACGATTTCGCATCCGCCTTCCCTCACCTCACGCACGTCACCCTCATGATGAGCAGCGGCAGCTTCCTCAGATGGGACATCCCTATCTCACACGCGAGGCGCTTCAATATCTCCGTAGTCGAGGCGCTTGCAACATGCCCCCGCCTATCGTACGTTTCGCTCAGTCTGGAATCGGTCTCGGCAGTCGATGCTCTGCTGGTGGCAGCGAGAAGCTCTTCTATCAAGCGACTCGTTCTGAATATACGTGACGGCAAATTCCCTCGCCAGCTGATATATCCCACGGACTACGCATTGCCAGCACACTCGACTCTCGGCCAGCTCGTCCTAACCGGTCTGACCCTCGCGGATGCGCGATGCATCGTGGAGCGAGTGTGTCCGCGCTCAGTTCATACTATCGATCTACTCCACGCAGACGCCGAGGACGAAGAGCAGGACCACTTCGCCGAGGACGAAGGCGCCCTGTTTTCTGCCCTCCAATCGATACATTCCCAGTTTCTACCATACAGATCCCTGCGAGGTCTATCCTTGCGCGGAAGCCTTGCTGTACCCGCCACACTCAAACTAGACGACATACGCATGTTCGCCGCCTTCCCGAACCTGACCTACCTCTCGCTCGCGCATCAGTTCACGTACATCGCGCTGGATGACGCGGACTGCGCGACAATCGCCGGGTGGTGGCCGAAATTGCGTCTTTTCGGTGTTGGAGACCCCAAGCATCCCCAGGAATACCTTCCCGAATGCACTCTCAAGGCGGTATTGGCGTTCGTTACCCGCTGCCCCGAGTTTATGGCATTCCAGATGCCGCTGGACGCGACGGATATCCCCGAAGTCGAAGTGGACTCCAGAGGACGGCCGTTGCGTTATTGGAGTCTCACGACCCTGGCGGTCGGAGACTCACCGATCGACGATGGAACGGGGCTCGGCGCATACCTCTCAACGGTATACCCTGGTCTGAGTATGGTCGATTATCGCTTCCCGGAGAACGGAGACGAGGAGATCGAGAGACAAGCAGAAGAGTGGGATCGCGTGAAGGTCGCCGTCACTGGGAAGTCCGCCAGCGATCCTCCCGAGCCTGTCTTCATGTAGAAGTCGAAGGTGCCTTTGCTCTTTCTTTCAGACCAGACTACTCATCGACATGATTACTGCGCGCAGAAGTCCGAACACGAAGTACACCGGCATGAGTGGCTGCGGACCGGTTCTGGAGCCGTCGCACGACGTATGGCTACTTCTCCTCGGGAAGTTACCCAGAATTGATGGCTACACGGTGGATGGATATGCGGTTATCGGAGGGCATCGTATAACGAAGCGGGTTCACGGGGACGCTACACTACTGCCTCATGTCCATATACATTGCAGACTCTTTCCCTTCATTCGACGATTGTGGCTGCGTGATAAGCCTGCCATTCTCCTCCTCTCAGCAGCCATTCCTACCAAGAGAGTACCGCATCGAACTACTATTTGCTCACGTGCAATGGTGAACTTCGCTTCGGCAAAGCCCGACGCCGCGTCAATCTCACGTGGTCTGTGTTTGCAGCTTGACCACGGCAATCACACTCGCCTCTGGTCGTGATATGCGCCATGGGTAACCCACTGGAAATATCCGAACTCAGGTTGCTTATCTGCCGAGAGCTCTACACTACAGACCTCGGCGCGCTTCGACTGACATGTAAACGATGGTCTCTAGAAGCAGAGCAAGAGATGTGGTCGCACGTTTTCAGGTTCTTACCCTTGTTGCGACTCATCCCTGAAGATGCCTGGCTAGAAGGAGAGACCGTGAGTATCAAGATGATACGTGCTGTACTGTAAAAAACTCATCGGGGACTATCAGGAATCAACGCTCAAACACTATCGGCGACAATTGAGCTTTGTATGCTCATTCTTCTTTATCCTTCGTTTCAAGGGCTTATCGCGCGATAATATCTGCAGAGATTTATACGTCCTCTTACACCTCAAGACTGGATCCCCGTTATGAAGCGTGCTCGCTTCGTGAAGAGACAATGGTTCATGGACCTCACCACCTTGGAATATCTAGAAGGCCAAGTCGACGCCATCCTCGCCTGTCCGCCACCCTCTCTCCCTCTCTTTCCCAACATGCGGTCTCTGAGGGTTGACTACGACTCTCGTTATGGACCTGCTTATCAGCACCTCGCCCACATCCTCTTCCCGCAGAGTGTTCTCAACTCTATCAGCGGTGTGGCGTGTAACACGCGCTTCTTCGACCCCGCCAATTTGGCCGCAAATTACCAGGATCTCGCAGAAATTAGCCTCACTGTGGGCGACAGCCGCTACCATCGATCTGATGTCATGCCAGAGTCCGCCATCGCGCAGCGCTACGAAGTACGCCTCGCTGGTGCACTGGCCGCTTGTCGAAGCCTGTCGCATGTCACCCTATCTCTGGATGGATCAGTCGCTCCAGAGATAATTGTCGCGTTGTCACGCAGCAGGTCCATTCAGAGCGTCAGTCTCCTCTTCCATGATCTCGTGACGGACCATATTCGAATTCCAGCGTCATATTCCTTCCCTCGCTTCCCTGCCCTTCGCAGCTTCGGAACATCTGGATTAACCCTGGAGCGCGCGTGGAGGCTGCTACAAGGGTCCGGGAGAGATGCGCCTGGCAACATCTTCGCCCACCAAGACGCTGGCTGCAAGCTTAACGCGCCCCTCTTCGTCGAAACCGGCAATGCGCTCCTCTGCACCATGCGCTCTATACACGACCAGTACACGCCATATCGATCTTTGCGCTCCCTGTCGCTGGACGGCTCTCACCAACCCATGAATATCAACTTCAGCGACATCGAGATGTTTTCCGTATTCCCGCACATCAACCACTTCGCGCTCGATTTCGAGTTCGAGGAGGTCTCGATCACGGACAGCAATTGCGAGGCCTTCGCGAGCTGGTGGCCTGACCTGCGCCACTTCTCAATCGGAGGCTCCGCGAGTCCCGCTGTGCGTACGGCGCCCCCCGCGCTAACGCTCCGCGCCCTGCTCGCATTCGTCCAGCGTTGCCCGCAGTTCGCGTGTCTAGCGCTCCCCATGGACGCCACGGTCGTTCCTATCGTTCAAACGGACGCCAAGGGGCGTGCACCGCGATACTGGGGCCTCGAGGAGCTCACTCTGAAGGACTCTGACATCGGAAGCGGGGATGAGCTGGGCGCCTGGATGGCCGAGTCATTTCCGGGGTTACGCGACCTTTACTATTCTCTGCCGAACGAAGAACATGGCGACGTGGACAGGAGGATCGAGGAATGGAACCGCGTGAAAATGTTGACCACCGGAAGGACGGAATTCTGAAAGGTTGAGTATTGTCGACAGGGGCGCAGCTGCATTGCTGACGGGCGCACAGGGTACGGCGCCCATGGTTGACAAGACGACACGGGGTTGAGATGCGCCTGAGAAACAAGGAGGGATAGGTTGAATTCGAAAGTCCACGCCCGAGGATTATGCTCATCAATGTACATCTACCGAACGCCAGAACCGCCTGATATATACAAAACCGGATATCAACATCCCGCCCCACTCTCCCGCACATGCTAGTACCCCTCCGGACACAACCCCGTCCTCCCCACCGCCTCATCGACAAGCGCCTCCACCGCATCCGTCAACAGATAGTGCAGCTTGTCCATGAACATCGGCTCCCACGCAATCGGCTCCGTCAGCGCAAACTGGTCGAGCACCGCCCAGCCTCGCGAATTAGCGAGCGGCGCGACGAGCGACGACCAGTACGCGTGCCGCACGTTCGTGTTCTTCTCCCGCAGACCCGAGCCCGCAAGGTCCTGGCGGGGCGCGGCGGCGGCGGGCGTGAGGAGGATGCGAGTGCTCGGGCCAGCGTACTCAGCATCGGCGCATTGATCAACAGCGTCGAAGAGCTTCTCAACGCGCTCAAGGAAGACATGCGTGGGCTGGTCGATTGCGAGATGGAAGGCCTGGTGGAGGTTGTGAGCGATGAGTAAACGGGTCAAATCCCGACGTACGATGCTGGCAAAGTATATATCTACTTCGCGCTCTTTGAGTGTCGCGCAAAGTCGCTCAGTCTGGGTGACCATGAGTTCGCCGCGAGGGTCCCTAGGAGCAGTCAGGCTCATCACGCAGCCAATGAACGAGCACAACGTACCATTGGAAAGCAAAGTCAATCTCGCCGACCTCGGCAGTCTTGAACTCGAGCTTCGGCTACGAATGTTCGTCAGAAAACCGCCAGCGACTCCTCACGTCCCTCTCACCGAAGCCGTCATCTGGCCCGCCGTCCCATTCAGCCTGTGTATCACCCCATCGTGCACCAGACGCCCATGGCTATCTCCCAGAGTGTACACGCTGCTCTTCTTCCCCGTGCATCTGTGCGCGCTCGCCGCGCGCATCCCCGCGTGTCGCCACTCGCAGTCGTGCGGCATGAAGCGGTAGCGCCCGCCCACAGGTCGCCCGAGCGGTTGCGGGTAGTATATCTCCGGCCAAAGAACGTCGAGCGTGTGCGCGCGGTAGTACGAGCCGGTCATGGGTTCGAGGCCCGCGCAGGAAGGGAGGTTGTTGACCATGAGGTCGAAGGGGGAGAGGGGGGCAGGCACTACGACGTGGTGGGACTCCCAGAGTGGGGGGACGTTGTATGGGCGGCAGTCGGAGGCGCCCCAGGGGATGCGTAGGGTCTGCGAGAGGAGAGGGTTGTTTAAGAGAGGTGGCCATGGTCGTGTACGCATGTCGTCGGTCTCGATGAAGCCCAGGTACTCCTTGGGTCGGGAATCAGCGCGCACCAAAAAGATAGAGAAGCATACGCACCTCCCACGCATGGAACAAGTCGACGTATAGATCCCCTGCGTTCCTCACAGGTACATCGAACCTGTACGAGCACTCTCCCTCGTACACGCTCCTTTGCGTGCTGATGCGCTCTGCACCATCGACGCGCAGCCACAGCGTATCCGGCCCGCGCTCAGTCTGCACGAACTCGCGCACGTCCTCGCGATCTGCCTGCGGGCCCTTCTCCTCCACTCGCGCGCACTCTTCCTGATCTAGTCTTTGTACCCGCATCGTGAACGCGTCGTACGCGTCGCGCTCGTAGCAGAACGACACCGCAAACACGCCAGACGGCGAGTCCAGCGGCACGCAGATCTGCTTCTTGTGGTCTATCGCGCGCGTCTGGGACGATCGAGGGACTGGACAGTGGTGTCGGCGGGAGAGGGCGGACCCAACCGCCTTCTGAGCCTTCTCCAAGAGCCCCGCCGAGGAGAAGGCATCGTCCCCAGAGTGCGAATGGAGGGAGGTGAAGTACAAAGTGCCGAACACGATGACGACGACGAGCGTGCAGAAGCGCGCGCCGCCGCCGTGTAACATCTTGTCTAGACTTGACGCTCCAAAATCTGTATTCTGATGAAAGTTGAGAAACTCGCCTAGGCGAGAGAGTAGAACGTACTGTGGAGGTCGGTAGAATATCTGGCCGCGCGCAGCCTCGAATAGAGTGATCTACGGCCTATCAGCCATGATGCGACGCGTCGTGGTTAAGATACTCACGTAGTATATAGTTAGGATGCTGTAGTATGCAATAGAGGTGGATAGAGTAGGATGGGAAGGGAAATGGTGGTAGTAAGAAAGTAGGATCCAGTAAGCGGGTGAGCGGGGGCAAACGAACCTGCCGCCACCCCGTCGCGAGACATCTGGTTCCGGCCTGTCTAACTCAAAGAGAGTAAGGGGGAAAGTCCGGCGAGGACTTGTTCGCCGTGACCCGGCATCGAAGAAGGTGCGGGCCCCTTTTACTGAGCATTTGTGGTACGCACCCTGCTTCACGAGTCCTGCATAGATCATTTAGCTTCAAATGGGTCCTGCTACTAAAGGACACGCACCGTCCGCCGTTCGTCCAATGTAAACAGTTCGAATCAGCAATATCCGGCCGCCCTTATTGCCCCGCACCGGTTTCTGGACAGGCGACGTATCCGACACATTGCGCGGAGGGGTGAGACGAGGTAGGTTCGGGATCAAGCCCCTTGCACGCGATCCCACCTTCCTTTTTGGGCCTTTTGGGCTGCATCAAAGCTTCCGCGACAAAGGTCGGCGGCGAGATTTCGTCCCGACCACCTTGGATGCCAGATCGGACGACGGTCGAAAGCCTGGTGAAGGAGTGACAAGTGAGGACAAGAAGCAGAGCAATCTCAACCAGACATCATACTCATCAATGTACACATTAGCCAAGACCACCAGGTATATACGAGACCGGATATCAAAGATACATACATCGCACCCGCACCAAATCGCAATGCCCACACTACTCCTCCGGGCACAACCCTGTCCGCCCCACCGCCTCGTCCACAATCGCCTCATGCGCGTCCGTCAACAAGTAGTGCAGCCGATCCGTGAACATGGGCTCCCACGCCATCGGCTCCGTCAGCGCGAACTGGTCGAGCAGCGCCCACCCGCGCGCGCGCGCCAGCGGCGCAGCGAGCGCGGTCCAGTGCGCGTGCCGCGCGTTCGTGGACTTCTGCCGCGAGTTCGCGGCCGCGGCGTCCTGGCGCGGGGCCATGGCGGCGGGCGCGAGGAGGACGCGGGTGCGGGGGCCGGCGTAGGCGGTCTGGGATCTGCGGTGGCCGTGCGCGGCGGGCTGCTTGCAGCGGTCGACGGCGTCGAAGAGCTGCTCGAGGCGGGCGAGGAAGACGTGTGCGGGCTGGTCGATGGCGAGATGGAAGGCCTGACGAGGGTGGGTGAGTGGCCGGGCGCACACGGTTACGAGGGACATACGATGCTCGCGAAGAAGACATCTACCCTGCGCTCGATCAGCGTCGCGCATATCTGGTCGAGCTCGGTGACCATGAGTTCGCCGCGAGGGTCCCTGTAGATCGTCAGACTGTCAACTCCGCAGATCGACGGGGCCAGCATACCATTGGAAAGCAAAGTCGACCTGCCCAACCTTCGCAGTCTTGAACTCGATCTTCGGCTACGACTGCTCATCAGCAAGCCGCCCTAGGCAATTCGAAAACAGTCTTACCGAAGAATGCATCACCCCCCGCGTCCCGTTCAGCCTGAACACCATCCCGTCGTACATTAACCGCCCATGGCTATCCCCCAGCACATACACGCTGCTCTTCCTTCTCGTACACCTATGCGCGCTCGCCGGGCGCATCCCCGCATGCCGCCACTCGCAGTCGTGCGGCATGAAGCGGTAGCGCCCGCCCACGGGTCTCCCATGCGGTTGCGGGTAGTTCCACTCCGGCCAGAGTACATCGAGCGGGTGCGCAGGGTAGTAGGCGCCATGGATGGGGTCGAGACCCGCGCAGGAGGGGAGATCGTCGAGAGCGTGGTCCGCGGGGGCGAGGGGCGCGGGCACTTCGGCGCGGTGGGAGTCGAAGATCGGTGGTACGGTGTACGGGCGGCAGTCGGAGGAGCCCCAGGGGATACGGAGGGTCTGCGAGAGGAGAGGATGTTGGAGGAGTGGTGGCCATGGCAGTGAACGCATGTCGTCCGTCTCGACGAATCCCTGGTATTCCTGGGCTCCAGAGTAAGGTCGCATCTCATGGAGTAGCGACGCATGCGCACCTCATATGCGTGCCACAAGTCCACATAGAGATCACCCGCGTTCCTCACGGGCACGTCAAACCTGTACGAGCACCCTCCCTCGTACGCGCTCGACTGCGTGCTGATGCGCTCCGCCCCATCGACGCGCAGCCAGAAGGTATCCGGCCCGCGCGTCGTCCTCACCAGCTTCCGCACCTCCTCGTCGTCCACCTGCGGCCCCCGCTCCTCGATCACCGCGCACGCCTTCTGGTCGAGCCGCCGCACGCGCACGGTGAACGCGTCATACGCGTCGCGCTCGTAGCACAGCGACACCGCGAACACCGCCGACGGCGACCCCAGCGGCACACACGTCTGCTTCCCGTGGTCGATCGCGCGCGTCTTGGACGATCGTGGGGTCGGACAGCGGTGCCGGCCGCGCGCAGAGCTCGTGTCCGAGAGCGCGAGCTCGACCGCCTTCTCCGCTTTCTCCGAGAGCGTCTTGTTTTCCGTCGGCTGGAGGGCCTCGAGCCCCTCATCTTCCGAGTGCGAGGGGAAGGATGGGAAGTACAAAGTGCCGAGCACCATGATGACAATGAGCGTGCAGAAGCGCGCGCCGCCGCTGCGGAGCATATAACGAATGGACGATGCGCCGCGCATCTTGAGGTCGAGAAAAGCGGGAGGGCTTGAGCCTCAGCAGGGCCGAGCTACGCTCAGGGAGGCCCGTCGGTGCGGAGGGAAGAAGAATGTCGCCCGCCGGCTGTCGAAGCGCGCCATGAGTCCGTTGTGCCCGCCGTCCATCATGGCGGCTTGATCCAAGTGGTGGTCTCATCAATGATCTGCGGTGCACGTGCAGAGTCGAACTTCCCTCGGCGGACGAACAATGGCAGGCAGCTCTGTATAAATCAGAAGCAGGTCCAGAGAGGTAGAGATACAAAAGACATGCATATATAGATAGAGGGAGAAAGACACACAGAATAAGTTATAGCAAAGAGCGTGCAATTGAGATCAGCCGCCTCGTCCTTCAGCCTTCGTTCCAAAGCTGCCACCCCTTCATCCACCAACACCACCTCCTTCATTCGCGCCCGCTATGAGTCGAGGTCCATAGCACTACCTGGCCTAGACCCATGCATCGCCTCGTCCCGAAGGCTGAGATTGCCCACCCTCGGCGCCAGCGACGGACTGCCCGCCATCGTAGGACTCCCCAAGGGAGGCAAGCCCTGGGCGAACGCCGACGGAGTACCATCCTCCATCCTATGCTCCACGGTGTCGTTCACTCTCTGCTCCACGGTGCCGTTCATCCGATGCTCGGGGATCCCAAGCTTCAGCTCTGGCAACCTGCTCCCGCTCCCGTGGCGGGCATGACCGTGTCCATTGACGTGCTCACTGTGCCCATTCGCGAACCCACCCTGCCCGTTCGCGAACCCGCCGTGCCCATTCGCGCCAGCCTGCCCCTCAAGCCCCTGCGGGAACGTCGAATCCAGCAGACCACGCAGGGACGACGTCGACGACGAGCGCGACAGGCCGAGACCAGTCGCTGGATCTGCATCCGAGCTCAGCACATCATTCACGCAGACCAGGACCGACAGACTCACCCTCCCCCGTCTCCCGCACCGCGCTCTCCCTCGCCCCCAAAAGGCTCTCCCTCGCCCCCAAGAAGCTCTCCCTGCTCCTCAAAAAGCTCTCCCGCTCCCTATCCGCATCGTGCGCGTCGCCCGGCGTACCTTGACTGCTCGGGATCCCCAACCTCCCCACCCACGCATCCGCCCGATCCAAACTATCCTTCACCACGCTCGTCACCCCGCGCATCATGTCCAGGCTCTCCGTCGCGAGCACGAGGATGCGCTGCGCGGCGAGGACGGTCGCGTTCGCGTCGGCGCGGGCGTCCGCGCCAGCGGACGAATGCCGGGAGTGGCCGTTGGTGTCTGGCGAACGCGTAAGCATTCGCGGCGTGAGCGACAGCGCATGCTGGCAGAGCACCGGCATGAGCAAACGCACCTCCGGACGAGTGTCGCGCGTGCGAATGCGGATGCGCAGGTCCAGGAGCGGGCAGCTCATACGGGCGCACGCGAGGACTCGAGGTCGCGCTCGTGTTCGCACTGCCGGACACTTCGTGCCCGGCCTTGCCTTTCGCCTTGCGAGAGCCGGAGGTGGGGCCGGAGAAGTGGCCTGGGTGGGAGTTAGCGACTGTAGTGCGGGCGGTCGATGAATGCCAGAAAGCCTTGACTCCAATGCGGACGAAGCGACTCTGCTGCGAAGCGTGTTCACCACGACTCCGCTGCAGAGAACACGTTCACCATAACTAGGATGAGAAAGCACTCACCATCCGCCGCCGCCCCCGCCGCGCCTGGCGTCTGCACCGCCGGCGCCGTCATCCGCCACCTCGACGGGAGCCCGAGGATGAACCCGCGCACACGGTTGCGCGCGTCGGGTTGGAGGACGCCCTGAGGGTGTTGGTCAGTACTCTTCGTCGGTGATCAATGCTCGCTGGTCCCCGCGCCGCTCTTCGTCACCCAACACGCAACGCTCTTCGACACGCAACATAACAACACCATTACCACAAGCAACGCTCCACATCGGGCTCACTCAACGTCGCCCCTTTCGAAACATCGCCCACACATCCTCGCCCTTCGATCCTTCAACTCCTCCCAACCAACCACCCAACAATCGCTCAACCACCCTTCCCAATCAACCAACCAACCAAACCAACACTCACCTTCCCCCCATACTGACTAACCACGCCCACCACCTGCCGCACCGTCGTCACCAAATCCTTCTTGATCGAGTTCACCGTCTGCGAGGCTTGATGGGCTTGGGCGGATGAGGCTCGCGAGGTAGAGGCTGAGGCTCGCGAGGTGGATGCTGATGAGGCTCTCGAGGTGGAGTTTGAGGCTGAGGCTGATGCTGTCCGGGATGAAGAGGCACCTGATCCTAAATGGAAACTTGTAAGAACAACGCCATAGACCAAGAGGAGAGAGGACGATGAGGAGGGGAGAAGGGAGGAGGTAGAGATGTCATCACACAGGAAGGAGTCAAGGACTCCCTACAAAGGCAGTAAAGGACGCCCTACAAAGGCAGTAAAGGACGCACCTCGAGACGACTCTGCTTCCTCATCCTCCGGCCCAGGGTCATGCGGTCCCTCCGCCGGCGTTAGCGGCTGCAGGCTCGCGATCAGGTCGCGCAGGATCAGGATCTGACCATCAATGTGCTGGGTGGCGTACTAAGGGTGAATGTTAGTATAAATGTGGAATGAGGAATATGGGATGGAATGAGGGGGAAGTACAAGAAGTGTGGGATGGGATGAGTGGGAAGTACGGGAGAGATGCATTGTGCGGGGAGAATGGGGAGGTAGGAAGCAGACGTAGGGTGTACGGGGTGAAATGTGTATATAGCGACAAGAGCAAAAACTCACCCCCAACCACCCTAGCACAAATCTTAGCCGTCTCCTACTATCGTCACTAATCCGTACCGCCGCAGCGACACCCGGCGTGGCCATAATGAGGGACTGCCATCGAGAGTTAGGCGTGGGGAGGAGTTCTTGGGAGGGCTGTGGTGTTTCTGGTTGGTGACTTGTCGGCGTGCGACTCCGTGAACGGCTCCGAGAACGGCTCCGCGGGCGGGAGGGGGCGGACGATGGGGGTGGGGAGCGGTACTGCGATGAGGAGGGGTAGGAAGGGGAGTGCGATGCGCTGCTCGACTCGAGCCACCCGCCAACGCGCTCGTCGACGTCCATGTTCGCCGATCGCCAGTCCGCTTCGCCGGTGGGGGAGTCCACCTCGCTGCCCGTGCCGTCGAGCGTCTTCTTCCTCCGCATAGGCGCCGTCTCCGTACTTGATGACTGTGACGGTCGTCTGTACCTATCGAGCTAGGGAATAGAGGTCAGCTGAAGTGAGGTGTGACGGGCATACAAGTAGACGCACCCTATCCAACTGCCGCACCGCGAACTCGTCGATCCCCTCGCCGACGAGGCGCTCCCCAACGCGCATGATCGTGTTCTCCATCATCTCCGCGCCAAACTTGACGACGCGCGACGACGCCTTCGTGCTGCTATACGCTCGCAGCGCGCTGTCGAACAGGGGATGCGCATTCTGTAGGCGGGGAAGGAACTCCGACGAGCTGGGGCCCGCAGTCATTGATGGATCGTCTTGTGGGGTAAGGGAGGTCTGGGAGGAGAGCGCCGACATGCCCTCTTCCCTGTCCGAAGTCATCGCCGTCGTGCTCGTCGACGCCGTATCTGGTGGGCGCCACAGTTCAGTGTCCAGCTATCGTGCACGACGAAGTCCACACACCGCTATCTGGCGCAGCCCCACCCTCCCTCATAGAGCCTAGTACGCGCGCTGCTATCTGCACATCCTCTGGGCGATCGCCAAAGTCCATCTCGGCGTCGTTGTGGACGGTGAGCAGGGGGGAAGGAGGAAAACAGTGTAATCACATGTCTTTTGTTCTGCGAAAGGACATATCGTCAAATCACGTGGGGCGCATCCGCCCAACATTCCCACGGTTGATATTGTCACTGATCGCCATATGGCTTGCCTTCGACGCCGACGGCCCTGGCATCGGCCCCCGAAGAGTTTCACAGGTGCTCTTGGACTCTGCCTGGCCTGTCTGGCCCCCGTGAAGCTGGGCTATCGCTCGTACTCTACCTGTCTGCCTTGGGAGATCGAAGGTACAACGGAATCACCTGCTTCGAGGCTCAAGTCTTTGGGGTAGGTCATTCATCGATGTGGCTACAGAGCGATGATATCGCACAATCTTCGGGCTCTGTGATTGTGGCGTGAGAGTCTGGCCTTGAGCTCGACCGCCCGCCACACATCTTCGCATGCAAAACGGCAAACCGCGTACATATCCCTCAAATGACAGATACTCGAATCGATAGGACGATGCGGACGGCGTGGGCCATCTACGCTCTGAATAAAGGCCTATAGATCTCTTCATACATCATCTCCCACTAAACGTTTGCAGACTTTCCTGTCGTCGTCTTCTTGACACGCTGCCACTCATTCCACCTCCAGTCCGCATCGTCATCGTATTCCTCTGGCACTTTGTGTAGTACGGGCACCCCGTATGTTCCTGAGGGGAGCGCTTGGGGCAATTTCATCTCCTCCTCTTCCTCCCCCTCTTCCTCCTCTTCCTCTGAGTCCACCTCTGGAATATAATACACGACTTTGCGCAGCCCAGGGAACGTCGCGGCCATCCACGCCCCCACCTCGTCTCCGCTAACGATAGGCGTGTCCTGGACCACAAGCTCCTCGAGCGCCCAGTACCGCGGCGGCCGGCCACTCGCGTCCGGTTGCAACGTAGGCACAACCGTGGCGTCCATCGGCAGCGTCAAGCATGCAAACTCCGGACACCGCTCGACGAACGCGAGCAGGGCGCGAAGCGTGAGCACGGCAGGCTCCTTCGACACCGCAGGACTCGCGTACCCCCCCCCCCCCCCCCCCCGACGCGGAAGCTACGCGGCAGGCCGGGCCATCATCCCGCGATGGTCTCGCAATCGCTATCCGTGAGCACGATCTCCGCGTACTCGAAGTCGAGCTCGAAGCAGGTGATGTGCGGGAACACAGCGAACATCTGGATATCGCTGAAGGTGAACGCCATGGCAGGGAGGGTGCCCTCAAGCGACAAGGAGCGCAGAGATCGGTATGGCGCATACTGATCGTGCAGCGAGCGGAAGATGGAGAGAAGCGCGTCTCGCGAAGTGACGAACAAAGTCCCTTTACCCGGGATACTAGGCTCTTGGTGGATTGTTATCTCGCCCACGGACTCTCGCCCGCCGCTATTCAGCAGCCTCCGGGCACACAGGAGCGTTAGCTGGGATGTACGGAAACTGCGAAGGGCGGGAAATCGGGGGAAACAGTATGTCTCCGGGATGCGAATCTCATCGTTCTTGAGATCCTGGAAGTCGAGCCAAAGCCGACGGATGGACGTGCTGCATGACAGGGCGATGATGATCCAGGGCGCGACCGCTCCATTCGCTGGGTACAGCCTGACATCTCTCAGACACGGGCAAGCGGCCAGAGTGCGAGCAGTCCGAAGTTCATTGCGTTGCGCAACGTCGGCGCCCGTCAAGGCGACATCATCCCGGCGAGGAAAGCGTTCATCGTACAGACTGAGGTAATATATGGTCGTCAGATTGTGAAACCTTGTTGGAAGAACCCCGGGATCGAAGAAGTCCGCCTCGTCTGCCGAGCCTCTGATTTGTGTGACCATATTCTGAGGGTATAGGATTTCGACGAGGCGCTGGTAAGCTGGTACGTGGTCCTTCATGCCATTCAACAGCAGATACCGCATATGAGGAAAGAGTGGCACAGAGGGGGGCGGGCAGGCGATGATGACGCCAACGACGGATTCCGCGCAGACCGCGGGTCGCAAGATGTCCCAATGGAAGATCCATTGTTCCTTCACAAAGATTGAACGTTTCAGAGCAGGTATCCAATCTTGGAGTGCCAGAGGTCGCGTAAACCGCTGAAATGGCATTATATCAATGATCATACCGTGTCGATGGCAAATGATGAAGGAGGAACTCACGAAGTTCTTGCGGTCGTGGCCGCCGTAGGTGCGCGGTGACAGATCCTGGAGGGTTTGCATGAGTGGCGTACTTCGACTAAGCGCAGTAGACACATACCTCTGTCCAAGCATCTTCAGGCATGAGTCGCAGCAGCGGCACGAGCTTGGACACATGCGACCACAACAGCTGATCGGCCTCTGGATACCATCCTTTGCACGTCAGTCGAAGCGAGCGCAGTGTCGAGGCCTCCAGCTCCTGGAAGACGAGGAATCTGAGCTCAGAGACCTCGATCGGGCTGGTCATGGCGGGTGGCAGAGACGAAAGGAAGGATGATGGTCGGGATCAAGTCGCAGAGAAAGGAACTGTAGGGTGACGTGGCTTCGGGCATCTCCCGAAGCTTCCTTTGTTCTGCGCGTGGAATATACGTGAACAGCGAGTAAGCGACAGCTATATCTACATCTCTGCCACTCGTACAAGTGGGAAACCACGCGCCTGCTCTCAGCGTACCCGACCGATCTCGCGTGGCCCGCTTCGCCTGGTCACAATATCTGGACCGCCGGGGAACCAGAGACCTGTCGCGCTGGCTCCGCTTTCGCCAGACTCGCGTGTGCGCGCTGGATAATCGACACAGTGAATGAGCAATACTGTGACGATAATCCGGATCCACCTCAAAGTCTACAAGTATATCGGCTCCGGAGGATCGCTAGCCGACCGCCCAGTGACGATCATCTTGACCTTATCCCACTCTTCAGCATATATCTCGGTGTCCTCGTCCATTGGTTAGGGGAAGCGGAAATCGAGGTCGCGCAGACCGGGAAATACTGTTGATAGGTATGCGCTCAGGTCTGCCCAAACGTAGATGGCAAGAAAGCAGGCCATGCTGGTGTAGAAGACGTCTATGGCGACACACAAAGTAGGAACGGGTCCCTCTCGCGCAGGGCTCTCCAACTGCGCCACGACGCTCTTCGCCCAGAGCGCGAGCCACCGACGATGACTGTGTCACTGCTCACGCTACATCGCCATTCAGACGCTGCTCATTCGAATAGAAAAATACGGCTGACCTTTCACCATTCATGAGCAGACTTCCCAGTACTTAGCTTCTTGACGCGATTCCACTCGTCTCTCCTTCTGTCCACATCGTCGTGGTCCTCTTCCGGAGAACGAAAGGTGACCTGGCGCAAACCCGGAAATGTCGTCGCCATCCAGGCCCCCAGCTCCTCTCCACTCCCGATAGGCGAGTCCTGTACCGCGAGCTCCTTCAGCGCCCAATATCGTTGCGCTCGTCCACTTGCATCTGACTGCAGGATAGGCACCGCCGTAGCGTCCATCGGCAGCGTCAAGCACGCAAACTCCGGACACCGCTCGACAAATGCAAGCAGGGCGCGAAGGGTAAGCGTAGGACGCGACCCACGTACGGCAGGACTCGCGGAGCCTCCGATGTGAAAGCTGCGCAAACAGGGCCACCAGCTGGCGATCGCCTCGCAGTCGCGATCCGTAATTATTACCTGCGCGTACTCGAAGTTGAGCGCAAAGTCGGTCATGTGCGGGAAGACGGCGAACATCTCGATGTCGCTGAAGTCGAAAGTCAAGCTGGGAGGGTGCGTGCCCTCGAGAGACAGGGCGCGCAAGGACCGGTAAGGCGCGTATTGATCGTGTATAGAGCGAAGGATCGAGAGGAGCATGTCTCTGGACTCGACGGAAAAGGGTGGCTGGTTGCTGCAATTGGGATCTTGGTCGATGGAGATGTCGCCAACCAAGTCGCGCCCTGTACTGCCCAGCAGCCTCCATGCGCGCTGAAGCGGCAGCCCAAATATCGCAACACTGCGAAGAGCGGGGAATCTCGGGAAGGACCAGGACTCCGTTATACTAACATCGTCCGCCGCGAGACTTTGAAACTCGAGCCGCAACTTGCGGATCCTCATGCTCGTCGACAGCACGAGAATGATTTCTGGCGCGATCTGACCTGCATCGCCCAGGTAGAGCGTGACGTCTTGTAGACATCTGCAAGCAGCCAGCGCGCGGGCCAGCCGCACCTCATAGCGCTGAGCGATGTCGGCAACCGACAGGACTACATGTTTCCTCAGCGGGTGCCGCTCGTCGCCCACGCCCAGATGGATCATCCTGAGATCGCGGTATTTATCCGCTAACTGGTCGGGGTCGAAGAAGTTCGCATCGCTTGTCGGGCTGTTGATCCAGGTGATCGTACTGTAAGGATATAGGATATCAGCGCTGATGAGCTGGTCTCTGGCGGATGATTTGTTGCACTGTCAGAGACCTTAGGTTGGGAAACAGCGGAACGGAGGGCGGAGGATAGGCGACAATGGCGGCGACCAAGGAGGGCGAACACAACATGAAAGTCAAGTCCACAAAGCACTGGGCCTTCACGAAGCGTGCGCGCTTGGAGACGGATTCCCAGTCCTGAGGTTCCAAAGGCCGCGTAATCCGCTGGGGAATCGTATGAATGAGCATGTTTAGAATGAGGAAAAGCAAGCCAAGCGTACGAAATTTCTACGTCGCCGACCATACGCGCCCGGCGGTAGTTCCTGGAATGAGAGTATCAGTAGGACGCTTCACACGTATGTGCAAGTCGTACAATTGTGTCTTCTGCCCACGCACTCTCGGGAATGAGGCGCAACAAAGGTATGATGTGGACGACGTGTGACCAGAACTCCTGATCCGCCTCTGGGTACCATCCTTTGCAGACAAGTCGCAGCGTACCGAGATCAGGAGGCCAAAGCTCTCGAAAGATCAGAAACCTGAGGTCAGATATATTGAGCGGGTTTTGCATGGAGAGTTGGATGACCAAAGGGGAGATGACGGTCGGGATCAGAAGGAAAACGAAATTCGGGTGATTCTCACGTGGCTTCGGGCACTCGCCGAAGTTCAATCAAACGATGGGATAGCCTAGCTAGCCCAGCGAGGGGATCCTCGGGGCGACGGCCTGGTGATGGCTCGGGATGAGATAGCAGCTGGTCTACACACGTGTCTACGCGGTGGTATAGGCGTGTGGCTCGGGCCTACGGCCCGGGATCCCTACTCCAACGACAAGAAAGTGGACTTAACGATACATTGCGCGGTATAGGTATCAAGCAGAAGGTTAATCGAACAAAATAGTGTGCATGCGCGCAGTCATGTAAATTACGGAACGGACATAGTGGCCGCCCCCTAGATAAGGGTAAGCGTACTCGATGCGGTTGAGGATACGAGTGGCGTACCTCAAGGTCCTCTCGCTTCATCTCCCGTAATTTCTCCCAGGGTGGAAGTCCCATAGCGCGTGGAATGTTATTCCAAACTCTTTCTGATTCATCTTTGAATTTTCTGCGTAGTTCCGATAGGCATACGTCGCAGAGCCTCGAAATGTGTCCATTGTCGGCGTCGATCCAATCACGTAGATATGTCAAAGGCCGACTGATGAGAAGGCTCTCGAGGTCGTCATCATCGATCCAGTCACGACGTATTCGATCGCATCCCACTTTGCCACATCCCGCAGACGAATCCAAGAACAAATGAATTATTCTCGCGTCCGCAATCGCTCTGTAGGCGAAGAAGCACATTAAAATGTCGTCTGGCGCAATCCCACGCTCCTTTCCCATCCATATCGGTCGCGAGATGTAGTCCTCCCGTTCCTCACGTGCCAAGCACAGGCAGAGTACAGGAAGGAGCCATAATGCCTGAACTTCGCGCGCAAGGGCTAGTTCCGCTTTGAGAGTGCAAGCAACATCTTCGATGTCGTAGCTGCGCTCCAATTCGAGTTCGTTTTCGAGGTTTGCGAGCTCCGTCGGACATGTGATGGACAGGTGCTGCAAGGCGCGCCGTCGAAGCGGGCCAACGTCGTATTTGTGCGAGAGTCGAAGAACGCCCTCGAGTACACCAAAGGATGTTCTAGCTGGCGGTGGGAGGAAGTAACTAGTCAAGAAGTGTCAGGGGAAATCAGGCCGACGCGATGAAAACGACATACTCCGGGAAGTACAAAGCACGTAGGAAATGACGCATATCTTGGGCGTCGTCTGGGAAGACCGCCAGCTGGACACCTTCGTAGGTTTCCTGCGAGGCGGGCGTAGGGAGGGACACCATATCCCGAAAGACGGTCGCATGAATGGCCAGCACGCCTTTGTGCACGCGAAAAAGCGCGAGACCGGTCTGAATGACAAGGTTGCCGTCGTCGAACCAGAGGTCACGGTAAGTCGATTCCATGCTCACAACGTCGGCGAACTCTCGAGAGCCAGCGCAGGCTCCTGACTCGCTGGCGACGGCGACGTATGTTGGCAGAGGCGGTTCGACCTCGATGGTGGCGGGAGCAAAGGCGCAATCGATGTCGGGCCGGCAGGCGTGGCACAGCTGCACGTGCTCACCAGCTGATTTTCCGCATGTTCCGAAGGCTCGTCAAGTCCGATTCAATTCCCAAGCGCAGGCCATCGCGAAATAATCAATGAAGAGCGAGTTTCCTTCTGAGACATAACCATCTGTACTCGCATGTCACAAGCCGGCATCTTACCTTTAACATCGCGTCTGGAAACTCCTGCGCGATCTTGGATCCAGCGCGCATCCGGGGATTCCGTATATCATTCTTGGCATCAAAACTAATGAGGGTAAGTCTCGACAGAGACTACAGCGTCTAGCACTAGATAGACATACTCAGGCTACAGCATCAAGGCGTCCCTACTATTCTTTATCTCAATTTCGCGTCGTTCCTAGCGGCGTAAGGAGTGCGCTTACTTCGATATCCAGCTTCTTCATTTCCAGAAGCTTATCCCATGGAGGCAGTCCGGAGACCTCAGGGAGCGAGTCCCATATACGCCTTTTCTCCTTGACATACCCGACGCGGGCCATCGAGCGACATACTGGACTGCAAGCGCCCCATGCACCCTTGCTCACCCATTCGTCAAGTGCTGTCAGAGGTTTCACGCGCGTGCTGGCAATATCCACCGCCACGACGGCTTTCTCCCGCCGCGTGCACGTTGGGCTACCGCACGTCTCGCTGTAGAAGATGTTGTGGATATCCGAATCCATAACGGCCTTATACACGCAGAGGGATGCTATCGTGTCTTCGATGGACAGGGATCGCAGCTTGCCCGCATATCTGCAGGTTCCAGTGATCTCGTGCCCATCGCACAGGCTCATGTTGAGAAGGAGAATCGGTAGTGCCCAGAGAGCCTGAACCTCTCGAGCGAGCGCGATCTCAGCTTTCAGTAGTGGGCTGAGATCATCGAAGGTCGCGGTGTACGAGCGATCCAAGTTGATCTCGTCCTTCAGCTCGTCCAGGTCAGTGACGCACGCGCGGGCCATATGCTGGAGAGCGCGTCGACGAAGGGAAGGGGCGTCATATTTATGAGCCAAGCGGAGTACGCCTTCCAATCTCTCAAATGTCGTCATCTCGGGAGGAGGGAGGAAATAGCTAGGCCAATCGTAAGCAACAGATCAAGTAACAGACGGACAGTCCGCCGCTACGCACTCCGGGATGTATATAGCACGCAAGAAGTGGTGCATATCTTGTGCATCATCGGGAAATTCCGCAAGCTGAGCGCCTTCATATGCGTCGAAAGAGGCGGGCGCAGGGAGTGAAGCCATATCTCGGAGGACGTTGGAGTGAAAGCAAAGCACGCCTTTGTGCACGCGGAAGAGCGCCTGGCCAGCCTGGATGACGAGATTACCGTCATCGAACCAGAGATCGCGATAGGCAGGCGGAGGGCCAGAATCCATGGTTCTGTAGTATGTCCTGGAAACGTGAAGCGGAGTGGCGAGATGGTGGTCAGAGCTCAACCAGATCGTCACCGCGTGGGCGGTGCACGGAACTTCCCGACTATTATGTGGCGTTCTGTTTGTCCTAGTTTTCTATTCCAACGACGAGCGCTAGATGCACCCCAACGACCGGTCAAGTTGAACGCTGCGCGGCGATATAGTACACTACTGTTACATTGTATGCGTGTATGGAGTCGGATAAGTATAGCGAAGGCCGCCACTTCTACGCGGAAAGACTACCGGAATTGTGGGGTCAAGAGGTACGCCATATGCCACCAGGGAAGAACGACTTGGAGGTGACGCGCTGAGCGCGTGATATGATACGATGGTTGGTCGGGAAGTGCTCGATCCCAAAGGAGGGAAGGCGAGGGGTATATATGAAGGGATGATGCTCGGAGAGGTGGGAGAGGATGAAGGTCTGGGAAAGGACCGCCCCAACCTAATCGCACGGGATCGCCGAAGTCGATACGGAGTGAGCGCCCGAGTGCAGTTCAAGTCGCCGATAGAGCAGGGTATGTCGATGGCGGTGTTGGCGACCGATGGCGAGCGATGTGCCTCGCCATGGAAACTCTCCGACTGCGACATCTTCGCTCGTGAGGGATCCGCCCATCTAGCACTTCTCCTCCATCCCAATGACCGCGTAACGCCCTTTCCTCCCAATCCCCGCCCGCCTAACGCGATTTGCGGCCGTCAGATTGACGACGCCAGCCAGGATCAGCGTTCCCGCGACAGCCGCGGCAAAGATCGCCAGTGCGGGCGATCCTCCGCCGTCTGCATCCCCGGTTCTGCCAGCACCCACGAAGCCTCCCTCGCCATGCGCAGCGACCCAGGCGCGCGCGGCCAGCCACGCCTGCACGCCTACCCAGCCTCCCGCTAGTAGATTGAGCGCGCCGGCGAGGATGAAGGCGGCGATCGCGCAGAGGAGAACATGGGGTGAGAATGCCTCGCCGAGGATGGGAGATGCTTCGCTGCAGGTGAGGAGGTGGGCGTGTGCGAGGCCGGTGAGGGAGATCCTGAAGATGAGTCAGGATACAGGACGCATGTAAGAAAGCGAGGAAAGAAGGCAATGGGGTTGTGCATGAATGGAAAGAGATGGTGAGTGGATGAGGGAAGTGTACTGACCAGAGGTTCAGGAGGGCGAGGGAACCATAGCTAGATGGGCGAGTCAGTTGATAGTGGGCATGCATGACTGCGAGACGCACCATACGCCCACTAAGCGGTCCATCCTGAGCGTCTCCTGGCTGGACTACGATCTTCGGCGCGTCGATTGAAAGGACCCAGTACGCGTACAGGGTAGAGACGCGCGCGAGAGGAAGAACAGAACGAAGCTCGAAGGCGAAGAGAAAGAAAAAAGCGAAACCCGAGCGCGGAAGTCTAAGAGCGTTGCCCGCGACGGCGGGTGTCTGAGACCTGGAGGCGGCTAGCGCTTTCTATGATGTATGTACCGGCATGGGACATTGCCTCCGCGATCGTGGCTTCCTAAGAGTTGCAACGACTTCCTAGTGAGGCACGATGGCATCCGTCGGAGGCGTCGTGGCTTCCGGCTGAGGTGCGCAGGCTTCCTTCCGAGGTATGGTAGCTGTCTTGTAAGCTTGCACGACGCCCGCGCCCTGCGTCCCTTGCGCATCCCAGCTGCCTGCATTGAATGGATTGCGGCCTGAATCCAATGAAGACGGGGTCCTAACTTCAATAGAGACCGCACTTACACGTACGTGGTAATCAGGCTTCCATCCTCCCGAGGCAACCGATAGATCGCCGACGGATACGGTGGCGCGTCGTGAGGGGCGGAGCCGATCTTTGACAGAGGTATTAGCGAGGGCGGTAGAGTGGGGGATTCGGGGGAGCCAGCAGAGAAATTGGGACGCATTCCCATGTTGTAGGGTAACAAGAGAAATGGGTCTTGACTACTTGGACTGCGGGCGAGGACTTGCGGTGGTAAACCAGAGATGCTAGCGTGTAACGCCGCGCGGTAGCCTGAAGCAGACGTCGAGCCGTGGGTGCAACACAGAGAACTCGAGATATTGACGGACTATAGAACATCGGGAAAGTTTGGAGGGTACGCACTACGGGCTTCGCGTCCGGTCTGTTCGGCTGTTGCGGCTGAGCTCTTGAAGCGATGTTGAAGTTCATCTTACGATGTCTGCGAGAGCCACGCAGCCGGTATATGCGCAGTAGATCTCAATATAGGCGGAGAGGATGCGTCGAGGAGTCGGTAAAGAAGTAGAGGCCGTCGCCTGAAGTGGATACTGTAAGCGCAAGAGAAGAACCAAGTCCGGAAATGCCAGTGCAAAGACGCCAATACGGGAGTTGCCGACCTGATTCCCACGCCACATCATGGCAGCATTATCTTGGTCCTGACCATCATCATGGACCAAGTTGCCTAGACCTTCGCGCACGCCCGCTGCCTTGACGCACTGATAACTGCCTATCTAAATGCTGGCATGCCATCTCCGTTCCGACTACCAGCTCGAAATTGAAGTTTAAGCGCGCGGACCCCGAGCGGTCCGCCAAGGTACAGAAGCACTTCCCGGCTATCCAACTTCGACATCCCCACGCCCTCCTTATCATTCACTTTGTCCGGCACCCGCTCTCCGTCACAGGATCTGCACACATGCGCCGTCCCCCGGCCTGCTGATGGCGGCATCCCCACCGACTTATCTATTCGATGATGCGCTATAAGACTCCGGACGGAGGAGTGGACGCGGTCTGCTAATTGCTTCAGCCTTCCTCGCGCGTCAAACCCTCTTAGGCGCGACCATGATCCTCTCGTACGCGCTAGCTGGCGCGCTGCTCAGCGTGGGCGCGCGCGGCGCGCTCGTGCAGACGCAGGTCGACCTCACGCCCTTCATGAACAACAAGGCGGCAGCGGTCGAGGGGCAGATGGCGAACTTCGACGGTCATAATGGGTCGTATCCGGCTGAGTACCTTCCGCAGGGAACATTGACGGACGCGTCGATCAATGTAGGTGATCGGGGGAAGGGGATTAGTGGTGAACGCCGGCTAACACGAACGCAGTACACGCTCCCGGTGTTCACGAACCCCGACCCAGCCGTCCTGGACAACATCAACTGCACGGGACAGACGATCGACGTGCCGCGCGGGAAGTACCACTCTTTCAACTTCCTTGGCGCGACGGACGGGATCGCGTATGTGAACGGGGAGTTCTTCGCGGTGCGTGGCGCGTCATGCTGCTCCTTCACCCTTCTGACATTTCACTAGGTTTACGACGATAACTCGACGGAGAGCCTCGGCTTCGTTGTCGCTCCCTGGTGGTTGAAGAACCCTTCGGATGGGTAGGTTCCATGCCTGTGTCCCTAGGCTCCCCGTTTTCACTTACCACCCCTTCCAGCCCGATCACCGTTCCCTATCTCAACGAAGGGCTCGCAAACGGCACAACGCACAGAAACTGTACGCTTTCTTCATACATCCTTCTACCTCCAACCTCATTGACGCTGCTCTCATTCCCAGACAACATCACGCGCATGTTCACCTTCCAGCACCACGTCGACAACTCGAAGGTTCTGACCAGCTTTATCTTGCCCAAGTGAGTTCACTATCCTCCCTTCCGCGCGAATTGCCTCCCTGTCCAACCTCGCTGACGCACTCAACGTTACTGACGCTAACCTTTCCCTCAGCCAGACAGGCAGCTCGCAACTGACCGGCACGGTCAGCATCCACGTCTTCGCGATCACGCTCGTCTCCGGGTCCAACGCCACCGCGGACGCACCCGTACTCGAAGTGCAGAACGTGCGGAGTACGACGAAGTGAGCTCACTCGTCCTTCCTTCATCTACCTATACATTCTTTCTCACCAATTTGGTACTGACCTCCTCGCCTATAGATTCCGCACGCTTGACTCCACCTCCACCCAGGCCCAACTCATCGAGCTCACCCTCGCCAACCTCGCCCCCTCGACCGCCGGCCCCGAGGCCTGGCTTACATCACCTTTGACCCTCTCGCTCAAGTCCGACGATGTTGAGACCGTACTGCCGGCGACGATCGTGCGGCTGCGGGGAGGCGACCAGGCGAAGGTGGTCGTGGGCGTGGTGAATAAGAAGGGCGTTGAGGCGGGGGCGAAGGGCAAGGCGCGGGTGGTGGCTACGCCTGGTGGGGTGGTGGCGACCGCCGGAGGAGCCGCTGAAAGTGATGGCGAGAAGAACGAGCGGGCGACATTTGCCAGGAACGAGAAAGTGCTCGCTGACGGTGGGAGGTCGGCGAGGGACGATAGCGTCGCCTGGGCCTCGGACAGGGAGTGGCCCATCGTGGCCGGAATCCCGGACTACTACGTCGGCGACGATAGCCTGAGCACACACGAGAGCGCTGAATGGTTCGACGATGCGAAGTTCGGGCTGTTCGTGCATTGGGGTGGGTCGCGCTCCTTCGTTCCCCGCCTCTCTGCCTCGTGCTCCTCCTATTGCTCACCCTCTCCCCCCTCTACCATCGTCCCTCACCTCCCTCCCGCCAACACCCACTCATGCTCTACCCAGGCATCTACTCCGTCCCCGCCTGGACCGTCTCCGGCACCCAGTACGCCGAGTGGTACTGGTACTGGCAGCGCAACCCCGCCAACGAATCCTCCGCCGTCTGGACGTACCACAAGGAGACGTACGGCGAGGACTTCTTCTACGATGAGTTCTTCCCGATGTTTACGGCGGATGCGTTCGACGCGGAGGAGTTCGTGCAGTTCGTAGCGGATGTGGGGGCGAAGTATTTTGTGAGTAGCACTCCAGCAGATATGGTCGTAGGTGTGGGGCGGAGATGCGAGGCTAACTGCGTCGCAGGTCATCACGACGAAGCATCACGACGGGTTTGCGCTCTTTGATACGGGCGCGTCGAGCAACAGGAACTCGCTGAACTATGGGCCGAAGTGAGTCCTGCGCTCCAATCTCTACCGTCGCTTCTGATGATCGCAACAGGCGCGACCTCATCGCCGAGATCATGCTCGCGGCGAACAATACGCAACCGCAGCTTCACCGTGGGGTAAGCATGTTCATCGATAGATCGTCTACCTCGTACTAACCCGCCACCAGCTCTACTACTCATTGCCGGAATGGTTCAATCCCGCGTTCGCCAAGTATGGCCACGCTGGCGGCGGCGATGACCTGTACCATAGGCGGAGCTCTGACCCGGACTCGGTGAGTAGTTCACCGCGCTCCTCAAGAGTTCTTCTGACCGACTCTGGCAGCCCGGTTACAACATCCTCCAGCGTACCGGCTTCGCTGGCGGTCTCGCCGCGTACGTGGCCTGTCCCATCCCCTTCTATCACTAGCCTTGCTTACCAACTCGATTGCTCCGCTGCCAGCAACGCCTACAACGCCAGTGCGCCCAAGGAGCCTTACACCGGATACGTCGAGGTCGATGACTTCCTCGAGGACATCATGAAGCCCCAGATGGAAGCGCTCTTCTACCAGTACGAGACGGATATCTTGTGGTGCGATGTCGGCGGGCCCACAGTCCTGCCGGATATCGCGCCGGAGTGGTTCAATTGGGCGAAGCAGGAGGGAAGACAGGTGGTGGCCAATGCGCGGTGTGGGGCGAATTACTCGGATTTCGATGTGAGTATGCGCTCGGCTGGGTGGAAGTGCGCACTGACTAGTCGACTCACAGAACCCAGAGTACTCGGCGACCAGTCATCTGAGTACGCACCCTTCTATCACTTGGTCGTTGCGCACCGCTGACCTCCTCTTACAGAGCTCCGCAAATGGGAGTCCAGTGAGGGCTCGGACCCCTACTCCTACGGCTACAACCGCGACACGCCGTACGAGGACTACCGCAATGCGACGTACATCCTCCACTCTCTCGTCGACATCGTTTCGAAGAATGGGAACTACCTGATCGACATCGGGCCGACGGCGAACGGAACGATCGTGCCGCCGTCGCGCAGCTCGCTGATGAAGGTCGGGAAGTGGTTGAAGATTGGGTGAGTGCGCTTTCAGAGGGAGCTGTGTCTAGTCGGGCTGACCTTTGGGAAGTGGTGACGCCATCTACGGGACGAAGTACTGGTACGTCGCAGCGGAGGACGGCGATCTGCGCTTCGTAAGTCTCAGCGTTCTCGCACGCGCCGCGCAGGTACTCACCTTCGCCTCGCAGACGACGAAAGACGACGCCTTCTACATCCTGTCGCTGGTCTATCCCGAAGGCGGCGTTATCTCCACGAAGCTCCCCTTGCCGCTCAAGGAGGGCGACAAGGCAACCTTCCTTGGGCGCGACACCGCGGACAGAGAACTCGACTGGAAGTGGACTGACGACGGTGTCTTCGAGCTCTACGCGGACGAGGATGACCTGAAGCAAGTAGACGACGTGTGGGCGTTCAAGGTACTGTACACGTAGAGAGGATGTTTATCAGAGACCGTAATGACACTCATCTGCAATGCGGCGCGACGGAGTTAATGATCGAAAGGAGGGATGTTACGGTGTGTATCCAATGGCCAGGGAGAGGGTCGAATTAGGTGAGCGAGAATCGGTGGATGTTTGCGGCCGACGCTCATGTGATGTCCAACATCTAGGGCAACAACGTACATATTGGGCTGCGAGGTGTCACTCGAGGGCGCTAAGAGACGCTGCGGTGCCTTCAGACGACATGGGGATGTCGTGAGCTTGCCCCTTTGCGTAGGGCTATCACTGCGCCGACTATTCGTGCAGAAGTCCAGACAGAATATCCCCGTCAGCGGAGTGGCGATGATGACGGCAAGCACCCCAAAGTGCTCGACGACACTCGCGACCAACGGTGACTCAGAGATCTCGACAGACTGACCTATTGTTGAAAAGCATCGCTAGGCACGCGAGGATGTCCGTTAATCGCGTTGAAATGACATTGTTCCTGTATTTTTCTGTGATTCGTGCGCTCGTCGCGTAACATATTCCAGCCTAGCACTCACGACCTCAGCTCCCTCGTACCTCTCGCACGGCCCTCAGATTCCTCCGACGGGCGAACTCAGCAGTATAAAAACCGGCTCAACCACCGCAGAACACCAGACTCAGTCTACACCTGCTTTCACACTCGACCTCAGCTTTACAGCAAACTTCTCCATCTCATCCACCATGTTCGACAAGGCTGGCATTTGTACGTCGTTTCTCGTACCCCTAAGGCATTGCTCACGCAGAAATGGGCAGACACCATCGTCAACCGCAAGGCGAAGGCGCTGATCAGCTCGTACGGTGAGCACCAGCGTCCTCTCAGCGTCGTCGAGGTTGACTCTCGACTCGCAGGCGAGCACGTAAAATTGTCCCCTGCGTTGGGGCCCAAGGAAAACCTCTGCCAGCTCTGGTTCGTGAAGCCCTCTGAGGGCGGTTCCTTCGTCATCACGAACCTGGCGACGGGCAAGTCGCTTGACCTTCTGGGAGGTACGTGTCTTGTGCCCTGATTGTACGCCGTGCTGTGCTTATGCGCGCTGCAGCCTCTCCTGAGGATTGGACGCTCGTCGTTGGGCGAACCAGCCCCGAGGGTGGTGCCGCCCATCAGCGCTGGATCATCAAGCCCGCCCCGGACGCGAAGTACGACAAGTGAGTATCTCTGCTTCGGCATCCTCGTCGTCGCTAACTTCGGTGGCACAGAATTCAGAATGTGGTGACAGACAGTACGTCGCCGCGCGGCATGGTTTACTGATGACCAGGCCCTCATCCCGCCCTCAGCTTTCATGAGCCAGGGCCCCGAGAACGACGAGTGAGAGGGTCGTTCGACGTACGCTTCTCGGCGCTTACACACGCTCGACAGAAACAGGGTCTTTGGCAAGAAGGGAGACTGGGTCGACGACAATGATATCCCCCACCAGTGGCGCTTCAACAAGTACAGCATCCGCGGCGCGCAGGTCGGGAAGGTTCTTGAGGCGAACAAGAAGCTGGAGGGCAAGGTCACCATCGAGCACCCGACACGCATGTACGTTCTCCGATTCCATTATACATGCCTACACATGAGCTGACATCAATACCCTCGCAGTTACTTTGTCCTCGACGGCGCCGTCCTCAAGAGCTTATGGCAGAAGGGTCGCATCGCCGACTTCCATCAGCGCAAGGCGCTCTTCGAGCATGACGAGTTCGAGATCGGTAAATATTCCGTCTGTCTGTTTGCAACAACGTGCCAAATATTCTCGCATCAGTGTACAAGGCCTACGTCGCCCAGTGGGCGTATAAGAGCATCAATGTCGACGTGAGTCTTGGGATCTGTCAGGCCTCCTCCTCGCTAACGATCGTATCAGGGCTTCGGCATCCTCGCTGGCTCGGCGATCTGTACCGACGAGGAAGGTGTGAAGCGTACCGTCCTCATCTCTCTGACGGGCGAAGCTCTGGACACCATCATCTTCTTCGAGTGAGCGTCCATCCGCACCCGATCCGCCTACGCTAACTCATCCCATCCACAGTCCACAGACCAGCGAGATCACCGTGCGTGTATTGTGTGCTATGCGACATTCGCTACTGACACTATCTACAGAAGGATGTGCTGGAGAACATCATCTCGGTCATCGTTTGAAGAGCCTGGCCGGTGCCGAAGAGGTGGACGCAAGTGTGGCGAGGTTGATCAAGGGATGGGAGCGATTTCAGTTGTATGTGGTACGACGTAATTTTGTGCAGTAATCTCGCGTAGTAAGGTAGCAATACTACGAGCGATATCACAGGACTGCAAAACAATGGCTAAATCATCAGAAAAGGGCGCGCTTGATTTTGGCGCCCCACCTCGTAGGCATCCCTCCACTCTTCGTGCGCTTCTCAAATGAGGGCGTTATACCGAGCTTCATATCCCTCTCCCGCGCCCTTTGCCGCCTGCTACCGGGAAGTGGTGCTGTTGCAGCCGCGCTGTGAGTACTGAATGCCTTGTGGGCGCGTGGCTGAGATGATATCGGTATTTTCTAGCGTGCGTTAAAGGGAGTCAAAATGCAACTCACCGAACTTGGCAGATAAAACGACCCCTAAATCACATTCGTAAGTACGATATGATGTACAAGAGCTGAAGATGCTTACAGGAGGGGCTGGCTTGGGGCTGCGGGGTCGTCTCGACAGGTACGAGTCATGCGATCTTTCCATTCGGTGTGGCGCAGATACGTTAACCTTCCGATCTCATAAGCGTCGAATATAAGAGTTTCCTCACGGCCTACAGTATTTCTGGGACGTGGTTCGTCTATAAAGAGGTCACGCTAGCCAGAATTCATGGCGTCAGTCATAATCAACTTGTGCCTGGATGGATAGCTCACAATGTTCGTTTGATTGAGAAGTTCCCGAGCCAGTTTCTCGCGTATACTAGGGTCCTGCTGCATCGTAATCAGCACATACAGATTGCGACTGCACAGTTCGAGAAGGTCTCCTGTAGTGGCGTCATCAACGTAGGGACAACGATGCGCAGGAAGTCGTAGGTTATGGTGCGGGAAAGAGGAGAGCGTGTCGCGTCGCACGCGTATGGACATCGCCAGAAGCCACTGCGGTTCATTGCGCCAGGGCGGGTGCGTGTGGACATGCGCCTTCGGAACTCCGCCCTGCGCGCAGACCGCGTTGGGCGTCGCGACAGGAATCAGGATAGTGCCGAGCTTCTGAAGGACAGGCGGTAGAACCCAGGACTGCTCGAACGACCCCATGAGGCAAACGAAGAAATCGTGCTGTTGCTCGCTGGCTTGAATAACCAAGCATGGGCGCTCCTTGTTGAAGCGTGAAACGTGCGAAGAGTACACGGTGGCCTCCTCAATGAGCTTGGTTCCCATCCGCCCAGAGCAAAGGCTTCGTATCAGCGTGAGGAGGTGTGATTTCTCCTCATTGGCTACGGGTAGTCCAGCGTCGAGGCGAACAAAGTCCTCGACGAAAGGTTTGAGGGCCGTCAGAAAGGGCTCGCGAGTGCCCAGGATATCGCCCACGCGAGGCTCGAGCAGAATGGGCCGCCCACCTTCGGCATGGCAAGGAACAGCGCACCCACACGGTGCGATGAAGTGAGAGACAGTCGCCATTACGGACTGAGAGTGAAAACAGATGAAGATGTTGGTGTTCCTCAACTTCCCTTGCGTATAAAAGTGAAATCCGACAGGCCCTTGCACTTTGGTCCGAGCTCTCAGAATTCCTACAGTTTGTGCCGCTGCATAATTTCACTGCCAAGTCTGAATACTCCCTGGTCATGTTCAACAATAAGCATTCCTATTGTTGACCGATGGGGATGCTGCGAGATGGAGGTATGTCAGCGGTCGGAGGTAATGAGATGGCAAACGACTACGTATCTGTAAATAGTACCTACCTAAGCGATGCTCTATGGACCACGCAGAGCTGCGGATAGATATGGCATGGTGGTACGACGCGAAAAGAAATCATTGGATCTTGATGAGCGCTACGTGATATCATCTCACGTGGTAGAGTTCGTGCGGCAAAGTCCGATGCTGAACTCGCTAGTTGACCAGCATTCTCAGGCTTACCCGGTGCCTGCAGAAGCCCGTCCTTCGCCACCGGCAACCTCGGCGGCTCGAGGCAAGCTGGTATGATCAGTCGCTGTCACTCTTCTTTCCTCTCTCCTGACCCGATCCCCATTCCCTCACGTTCTTCCGCCTCGACATGAGTCTCCTTCCATACATGGGCGCTTATGTTGTCGTATCATTGGATCCAGTCAAAAGCGTGGAGCAGATCGACGACGATATTGTTCAAGAGCAAGCTCGGGCGCTTGAATGTGGAAAATATGTGGCGGCGGCAACTTGGGTGCGTCGTCCTCATTCTTCATGCCTTGATGATGATTGACTTGGAATACAGGAACTACACCCTTTAGGCGCCTTTACTGCGCAACGGACGCTCATTTGGGACTTTGTGACGCAAGGCCTTCCTCCCAAAGACCCCGAAACCGGATTCGAGCCCTACATGACCGTCCCCATCCATCCGAACACCTTGCATCCGGAGAGCAGACGCCCCGTCGAGACCCTGCCTCCCCTTCCCTGGGATAACTGCTACCACGCCTCCATCCACCGGCTGGATTCGGCGATGTGCGTGACGAAGGAGATCGACGCGGACCCCCAGTCCTGCTTCTCGCCGCCTGAAAGCCAGGTCATTGACGCATACCTTGAGGCCGATTTGGGCTATGCGACGCGCGTGAGGCGCGCGAAGCTCGCGGGTGAGCCGGCGCCGGAGCCGCACTTTGTGTCGGCGAACGTTCTGAGGATGATCAGGATGGCGAATAAATGGCGTCGCGAGGATGGCAAGCCCTGGTGGCTCATCACTCGGGAGGACGCACAAGCGAATATGGCAAGACGTGCGCTAGAGGGAGACTCGACTTGCGAGGAAGACAACGGCGCTGCTTTTCAAGCGCCTGACGACGCTGAACAACCATCGGAGCCAGCCGCAAATATAATGCCCGATGATCTGCCCACCCACGAAGCTGCTTCTGCTTCTCCCCCAGTTCCTAACGCAAATGCCTCCGCATCAGCCCCGTCCGAGTCGTCGTATGAGTCTGACTTCAAAGACGTCGTCGCCGGTATCCTCCTCGGCATCAACACCGCGTCTAGCAACCTTCCCTGGCTCTACGTCGAGTCCTACGATATCCGCCAATTTGACGCGCCGCCGGATCCTACTGGCTTCTTCGAGGAGCTGAAGAAGCTGGAAAAGTGAGTGCGACCCTCTTCTCGCTGCCTATGTCTTCGTTGCCACGTCGGTCAGTCGTATTGACGCATCTCAGAATCAAGACAGACTACGTCGAGCGGCAGAAGGCCCGTCTAAAAGAGGTCCAACGACAAGATGCTGAGTATATCGCTTCGATCGAGGCGCGAGGGAGGGCTGGCAAGCCGCGTCATCGCAGCCTCCTCGTCAAGAAGCTATCCTGTACGTCGCGTGACGAATGCGCACCCCTACGCCTATTAATCATTACGCGACAGGTCTGCCATTCGTGAAGTCCGCCAAATTCTTGCGTGCGCGACTTGCTCGTTCGATTAGTATCCCGTCCGATTCACCTGAGTCTGAGAAGGTGCGGTCAGGCTCTCGGTGGTCGCGCATATTGCCCTTGTGTAAAGGTACCTCAAAAAATGCGGTGCCCACGGTTCTATGAATACATATGGACGAATATCCAATCCGAAGAATTACTCAATGGTCGTGGCCCGTACTCCTTCGGGTTATTCTCTTGTATTTGTGGCCTGAAGCCTTGACAAAATGCCTCTTGCTATCTATATGCCCCTTTTATATGAATTGATTTCAGTGTCCACCTATATGTCTGCAAGGGATGTAGTACACCGCATATCGAACAGTGTGACGCATGTGACATGTTCAACTTCCGGATCACTCCGGACGCGTGTCATGTGTCGCGAAGGCGTCCGCATTTGGTGCGCCTTGTCCTCAACCACTTCGCGCCGCGGATAGCAACATAAGAAGCACTTAAGAGCTCAAGATGATTCCTTGTCCCACCTCCATCTATCCTCATCTCATCTCCCGTAACCGCTGTTCGCACACCTCGATAGGAGGCCAGCTTTTTCGTATCCGTTATCTTGGCCCCACGTCTGAATTTTAACCTTTCTCTCCTCGCTTCTTGTCCCTCTCTTTCTGCTCTTAATATCACCCTGGACGCACGGCCACGATGACTTTGCCCTGGCGCGGCGCCTACGTCGTTCTATCTCTCGATCCAGCGTCAAGTCTGAAGGACATCGACGATCCCATAGTGAACGAAGACCTGCGAAAGATGAAGTGCGGTAGATATGTGGCGACAGCGACGGAGGTGCGTACTGCTATCAATGATCCACCAACAATGGCTGAGCATGCGCTAGGATCATCACCCTCTTTCCGCGCTTATGCCACAGCGCACGTTTAGCTGGGACTTTGTTGTTCAGGGCATGCCTTCCGATGCCCCAGAAGTCTTTTTCAAGTCATACATGACTGTTCCCATCCTACCCAACACTACGCATCCAGAAAGCAGGCGCCCAGTCGAGCCCCTCCCTCATCTTCCCTGGGAAGGTTGCTATCATGCCCGGCTTTACCGGACGGTCGCGATTTGCGAGACCCTCGACACGGAAGAGAACCCACAGTCGTGCCTCTCCCCGGAAGAGGCAGCCGTTCTCGACCAGTATATCTCAACCGACAACAACTATTCTGTGCTGTGCGAGCGCGCAAAGCAAGACGGCGAATATCCGCCGTTGCACGACGTTCCCGCGCAGGTTTTGATGGCCATACGTCTTGCGAATAAGCGCCGGCGCGCGGATGGCAAGCCCTGGTGGGCCATTGTTTGCGAGCGTGCTCAGAAGCGACAAGCAGAGGAGGCGGCTCAGGCCGTCGCGTTTCAAAGTTCCACCCTTCCTACGACCGTATCACCGCTGAGCGACCACACCCCTATCTCGCAAGAGATGGATTCTGCACCGTCCCGTGAGCTCTCACTGCCGCCTATTGTTGCCGAGACGCCCACCGTCCGCCCTTCGCCCGCTGCTCAGGCTACACAAGAGCGCCAGGGAAGCGGCTCCGACAGCGGCTCGGACGCCTGCTCAGTCTCTGGACCCGAGGACATGCTTGCCGCGCTCCTGGGACTTGATGAGCTCGAGAAGCAATTACCCTGGGTCAAGATCGAGTCCTACAACATCCAGCGGTTCGACGTCCCGCCGCATCCATCTGGGTTCTTCGAGGAGCTGAAGGAATTAGAAAGGTAAGCTGCGCCTATCATGCCCTTTGTGTACGACGTGCACGATTGTCTAACGTCTAATCAGGATTAGAAGTGACTATATCGAACGTCAGAAGAAGCGTTTGGAGGACGTCCAACGCCAGGACGCCGACTATATGGCGTCGATTGAGGCGCGTGGGCGCCCGGTCTCGGGACCTGCGAAGCAAACCCTGGCGACCAGAATCTCAACGTCGACGAGTACGTATACCGTTGGAAGTACACCCGCGCGCAATCTGACGAAGTCGTAGAGCGCGTTAGACGTTTGATGAGTCGGGGCTCTCGTGCCAAAGAGACTACCCCGGCGAACATTGAAGCAGTTCGAGCGTCGACGGAGGCTTCGGGCCCTCCCGCATCAAAGAAGTCGCATGCCATTCAGCGACTTCGCCACTTGATTTTCTCTCGCATCACCGTCAGCGCTGCGTAGTACACCGGCGCCGCTTAGGGCCGTGTACTGCTCCTTCCCTGTCGGGCGGTTCAACGTAGCAGAACGGGCTATCAGAATATTTAACATTGTGTCGGCTCAATATAATCTTGCGGATCTCCCCTTTCCTACTACTAATGGTTGAAGAAAGCGGACCTGAATAAATTCGGCACGCAGGTAAACCCGACGATTCGAACAGTGTGACATGTGTGACATGTTCGACTTTCGGATCACTCCCGTCGCGCGACACGAAGGCGTCCGCATTTGGTGCTCCTTGTTCTCGACCATTTCACATTGGCGAATAGCAACGGGAGCAATATATAAGGGAGCTGGAAATGAATTCATGGCATATTACTCTCCTTCACCGTCTCCTTCGACCACACCGGAAAGCATGGCACCACTCCCCTGGCAGGGCACGTACGCCGTGATTTCGCTAGATCCCGCAGCGAGCCTGTGGGACATCGACGATGCTATCGTCAGGGAACAGATAGCTAAGCTCAAGTGCGGGCGATATGTGGCGACTGCATCGAAGGTGCGCCATACTCTACTCGCTTTGCTGAGCACTAATACGATCGACCAGGAGCACCACGCTTTGTCTGGGCCCACGCCCTTCCGCTTGATCACCTGGGACCTTCTGGTACAAGGTATTCCTCCGACGGAGCAAGACAGACACTTCGAGTTCTATCAAACCTATCAAACCGTCCCCGTCTTCCCCACTACCGAACACCCTGAGCGCAGACGCCCTGTCGAGCCTCTTCCTCACCTTCCCTGGGAGAATTGCTATCACGCGCGGATGTACCGGAAGGTGGCGATCTGCGCGAATCGCGGGTTCGAAGAAACACCGCCGTCATGCCTTTCTCCAGACGAAGCTGCCGTCCTCGACCAGTATCAGTCGGCCGACATCGATTACACGAAGCTATCGCGGCAAGCGAAAGAGGAGCGACGCGCACCGCCGCCACACAATGTTCCTGCTCAGGTCCTAAGCGCGATTCATCTTGCTGACAAGCGCAAGCGCACCGACGGCAAATCGTGGTGGGAAATCTGCCGCGAGCGCGCTCAGACGCGCATGCAAGAGGAAGCTAGCACTGCTATCGCCTCGGGATCTGTTCATCCTGAAGCGCAGACGAAGTCAAAAGGCGACGCCTTCCCCTCTTCTCCGCAGAAGAATAATACTACTGCTGGCGAGAACTCGTCGAAGCCTGCCGCGGCGGCCCTGACGACTATCTTCCCCACGAATGTTGCTGAGGCTACACAGGAGCGTGATAAAAGCGTTTCCACTATTTCCGGCGCCTCGAGTTCGACTTTGTCCACCGATAGACCGGAAGACGTGCTGGCTGCACTTCTGGAACTTCACGGGTTCGATGATCATCACCCCTGGATCAAGGTCGAATCCTACGATATCAAGCAATTTGATGTGCCCCCCGATCCAACTCGATTCTTTGCAGAGCTCTTTAAGCTGGAAATGCCCGTGGCTGATCTCTGCCACCGCCTTCGCTTTTGTCTACTGCCCCGCTTCCTCCGATCTGCGTCTTGTCGCTTTTCCATGTGCCAATGTACGTCTTTGTAGGATCAGATATGGGTATAATTTGCGGCAAGCGCGGCGCCTTGCGGAAGTCCAGCATCAGGACGCTAGATATGTGGGATCTCTCGGAAATCACAGTACGCTGAACCAAGCCTAAAGGAAGGCGAGCTTCTTCAAAAGACTCTCCAAAGACGGTGCGTTCAGAATGACTAATACTTACATCTCTCTGACGGTCACTTTCGTACAGAGCGTAGTTTCATAAGAAGGTTGCTGAGGAGCGATGAGACTGAACTCGCAAAGAGACAGGCAGATCACCCTCAACGCACCCTTTGCGTTGATCGTATTGTCACGCGACGAATGAGTTCGGACATAGGGGCGAATGCCACGAGGACGGGCCGGTCTAGGCCTTTCGGCTCCGCTGGCACCTGACTCATCACGGGGTTCGGGGGCTTCCGAAATCGGTCAGCGATTATCCAGCACGGAGGAAACGACGTCGCTGGAGGGAGACGCGGCAAGCGCCAGCAAATCTGCCAGCGCACGAGGAACGTATCCCCTAAGTATATAAGTAGCGTAGATTCAGGGCCTAATACATCATCTACTTTGCCCACAGTACCTGTCCGAAGCTTCAGAAAGCTAACCAGAACCTGCCACTGCCGCGTATCACTATCAGCCTAGCCATACAGAGGACCTCCGACATATTAAAAGCCCCTTGAACAGCAGCTTCTTGACCACCGCACGCCCGCTCCAGGAAAGCCCCCGGTAGATCTTCCATTAACTCAGCTTAGACGCGCCACCCACGTGCTAACCCCGCAGGATTCTCCGGTGCAACACCTAATTCAGGCGCGCAGATACTAGTTGGGAAACGTATTTTTGGAGACTGAGTCCAGCGCGAAGCCCACCGCCTCGCCAAGAACTCGCCTAATAGGAATTAGGTCTTTTTACTCCCCCCTTTTTACTAACTTTAAATTAGACTGACATACCTGGAGCCCACCGCGAGGGGAGGTAATAAGTTCGACTCCACATCTCCACCACTCAACAATACCCAACTACGCGCGCCGGCCGCTCCGCTACCTAAAAACCGTGCTTAATGGCTCATTCTCCAGAATCGGATAATGGCTTCGATATTGTAGACTCCTCGTCCGAACGCGCTAATTCTCCATCCCCTGACGATCACCCAACATCCGCTATGAATACGTCCCCCAACTTCTATTGGGGACCCGCGGCGGAAACCGCCCAGCCTCCCGCCGTGGCTCCCGCTACTTACCCACCTATACCCTACTCTGATTTCCCGCGGCCAGTACGACCCCTAACCGTTCTAGACATGCCTACTCCGGGCTCCCGTCAAGCACCAAAGACGTTTAAGGGTGCCTACTACGAAATCGAGCGATTCCTAGAGCACTACGACCGATTAGTGCGGCAGTACAATGTGAAGAGTGGACGAGACAAGTGTCGTAACATCATTCAGTACTGCTCGCAACACATAGGAGAATTCATCATGTCCACGCGGGAATATGCTAAGAACGATTGGGAAGGCCTCCGTACCGCGCTACTCAAGTACTACAATGCCGACAAAGTACATTCAAAATACAAACCCTCCGACGTAGTAGCGTTCGTGACCAAGACACAGAAGCGGCGCGTGGAAAACCTCACACAATGGAATCAATACTTCACGCGCTTCGTCAGCCGCGCGGGTCAGCTAGCCAACGCTCAGAAGCTGTCCGATCAAGACGAGGCAGCATACTTCTGGTTGGGAATTCACCCCGCACTACGAGAAATCTTTGAAAATCGCATACTGGCCAAGCGACCGGAGCACGACCTAGAAGAAGCCTACCCCATCGCCCTAGTCTGCAGCATCGCGGAGGAATACTTTCAACGACAAAAGTTCACGACAATGCGACTTGACGCAGAGAAATTCGGATTTCTTCCCGAAGATGAGCTCTCGGATTCGGGATCAGACACGGAGGATTCGTCGGATGACAGCGGCATCTCTGACAAAGAAGAACGACGTCGAAAAAGGAAGCGGGCGAAGCGTAAGGAAAAAGCCAAGAGAAAGGAGGAGAAGCGCAACGCCCGCAACGCCAAACTATCCGGGAACGCGGGGGAAGTGGCAAACCTAGTTAGGCAGCTAAACGCCATGAAGCCAGAAGATCCCGTATACGCGTCACTCTACTACCAAGCCATATCCATGGATGAAACGGGAAGAATCGACGATGTAATTCACTCACGACCAGTAGCGCCCCAGCGCGGGCGCGTCAACACAGTTCAACTTCGACCTGCCCCGCACGAACCCCGTGATCTGCCCCCGCACCAGAGAAGCCAGGCTAGGGTACCTGCGCCAGCGGTGAATAACGCGTCGTTCGGAGAGTTAACCTGTTTCGGATGCAATGAGACCGGACACCGTATCTTTGAATGCGCCAAGATCAATAAAATCCTTCAAGAAGGACGCGCGAAGCGGGATCCAGGAACTAACCGACTGGTGTTGGCAAACGATGGAATTATCTATCGCAGACCCGGCGAAACCCTAGCGGCGGCCATTGACCGCATAACCATTGGAGAAGCTAGTATTCCGGTCAGTCTCTTCCTGAGTCACCCCGAGGCGTCAGAAGGAACTACGTACCTCGCCAGCATCGAGTCGGACACGGAGGATGAGGGCCGCTACGCGCACCAAATCAATCACCGATCCCTAATGGCCTTCCACGACCTACAGGAGGAAATATTATCGGACGAGGAATCCTATGAGGGGGACACGGAGGATGATGAGGGGAATGAATTCTTTGAAGAAGACGACGAAGGAAATGTGTATCGCGTGCAAGTATTCCCTGCAACCCGCACCGAGAAGGCCGCAACCGTAGCAAGGAAGGAGCGAATGTCTGTCCCCTACAAGCGTCCGGGACTACGCCAAAACGTGGTAAGACAAACAGTCCCCGCTAAATTCCGACCCATGCGCAATGAAGTTGAAAGAAACGCAGGAAGAAAGGACGCGAGGGCCCCAGACCCCGAGCCACAAGCGACAAGAAATGACGACCCACCTGTTATTCCCTTGCCCCGTTCGGACATATCTATGTCCGACCTCGATCCACCATCCCAGGAAAAGCCTAAAGAAGCCCGTGTCCCCGAAGCAAGCCCTGACGGCCTACGGGATCAAACCCAGAAAGAAGCCCCATCATCCAAGCCAGCTCCCTCCGCGTACCCTAAATGGCGTTCCTTGAATCCTTTTACGCGCGTACCCCAGCCTATTCCAGTAGACGCCCGTCAACCACGCGTACGGTTCGAAAGTTCAATAGCAGAGGGAGGTTCTAGACTCGATAAGCATCCGAGCGCAAGGCAAGAACCTACCCCCGTGAATGGAGACGGAGGGGTAGGCAAATCGCGAGGTCCTGCCAAAAAGGCCCCAGTGGTAAGCGAGACCGACCCAAGCGCGGTCTTGAATAAACTCATGGACTGCCCATGCGCACCACTCACGTTACGAGAAGTTCTAGGTGTATCAAAAGAACTGCGGATGGCGCTTCAGGACGCCATCAAACCACGAGCTGTGGCCAAGACGTTACTATCCACCACGCTCGAATCGGAAGATGTACCGGATGACGCTCCCCGAGTATATGGAACCGTGGCGGGATACCCGGAGGCCCGTATAAGCCGCGGGCTCATTCACCTGGACGTACGGGTCGCGGGAAGCAACGTGCTGGCAATTATCGACACGGGGTCCCAGCTGAATGTGATGACGGAACGCAAAATGCACGAATACTTACCAGGCTACGTTATCGACACCTCGGGGGCAATGCGCATGACCGACGCAAGCGGACGGCAGACCCCAGTAGTGGGCATAGTCAGGGACGTGGAGATAGCTGTGGGGAGTCTGTCATCACTCATCGACGTATACATCATCGACAGCAGACCAGAACCCAACAAGCCGGAGCCGTATGAACTCCTGCTAGGACGTCCCTGGCAGAGAGGGAACCAGATCTCGATCGAAGAAAGATCATCGGGAACGCGCCTCCTAGTACCAAACCCGGATGACCCAGAAGGACCCAAATTTATTGTCCCCGTTCGTAACACGGACAAAGTGAAGGGAGGCAGCCGCGCCCACGCTCCAACTTACCTCGCCCGGGAAGACGAAGAAGGGATAGAAGACGCAGCGGAGGCAGCAAGGACGGAGGTCCAGTTTAGAGAACCAACTAGGGCACCTAACTTCGCCGTGATGTATGCCGCCCAAGAAGTAGGAGAACAGATTGAGTACGAGATCCGCCCAAAACAAGGAGAATCGCATCAAGAATCTCAGCGCCAATCAATGATCGAAGGTCCGCGTGGCCCATCAATTCGAACTTGTATCCTACGCTCTCTCCTCTGGCGGTTAATATCCTCTGCTGCGCTACTCTACCTGCTATGGCGCGCCATTCCTGCGGTAGCGGCAGCGCCAGCGCATACCACGGGGAAGGAGTATATAAGCCCAGTCAACAAGCCCTCGACTCTCATCCCCGTCTTCGACTACTGCAGCACAAATTCGCTCCAACATAACGCCCAGCTACAACTCAACTTCCCAATGAATCTCTTCCAACCCCCGCCACCCTTCTCCACGGTGCTCCACGGAGGAATGGGTCCTCAACACCGGACCCTGGCCTATACCCTTCAGTTCATCGACAGTTCCAGCGTACAGATACCTCACTACCAAGCCCCGCGCGGAGTCCGTATACCCTCAGGATCCGACTTTGAAATGGCCAGGCACGCCGCCGCGCGGGCATTCTCGGAAATCCTTCGAAACACTGAGCCTTCCAACGTCACCTTCGCGAACGTCTCCGGTGTATGTACAACGGGGGAGCTAAAGCGTGACGAGCAAGGTCACGAGTTCCGCGAATTGTTCATTCACAAAGGTAGCGTAGTCAGGAATCTGGATCCTGAGGAGCTAGCTCATTCTTTCATAGCCGTCGTCGCCATTCAGCACCCTATTACGGGGAAAATGCATTTCGACTGCCAAGACATTGTCATGCGCGGATTTACCCAAACCGAACCCTCCACCGACCGCGAGCATAGCCCACTGCCAGGTCACAATGGCATCGCTCGCCTGCCGGCAACAATGGAGCAGCTTAGCGAGCGCTTCCAGAGACAGGTGGACGACACTACCGGACCCCCACCCAACATAACGTTCACTGCCCCCGTATTCGTTTTCGACGCCTTTAGTCCCACTCAGCCGCCGACTCCTAGCGATATCATAGAGGATCCTCCTAATAGTCCGCCCCCACCGAACCTGGCTCCCCTCTCTGCCTCCCACAGGATTCCCTCGCCTATACCCTCGCCGGAAGAAGAGGCGCTGCATACCAACCGAGACACTCTGAACGAATTCTTCCGGGAGCACGGGCTTTTGTCAACGCAGGACCTACTGGCCGCTCTGCACCAAGAGTTGGAGCGCCGCCAGAGCGAAGAACGATCAGGATTAGACGAGCGCAACACGTCCGAGTCCTACGCCTATCAGCTCGTCAATGGCGGTGATCAGCCAAACCCCGCACTAGAAGTCGCGACCAGCATTGACGAAGAGCTTGAGTACGCGGACGAAGACCCCGCCCCAGAGCAGGGCAACCCGATGCCTAACGGAGTCCTTCGGTCCCGCGAGTACGAGATGCTCCAATACCCCTCGTCGCGGTCGTCAACGGCATCTACTCCTCCGCCGGTCATGCTCACGGCAGCAAGACCCGCGTCGCCAGTGGTCACCAGGAGCGTCGGGAGCGGAACCGCCTACATAGTACGGGGCGGAATTAACGACGAAGAGCTACGTACGGAAACACTGGAGACCTATGACAGCGAATCGGAGGACGTCGACATGCGCGAGCCTTCGCGCGACTCAGGGGAAGAAGAAGACGACAGCGACCGCGGATCTACTTCCGTTTTCTTTCTGGCGAAGATCTTGGGCCCCCAGTCCGAGCCCGCACAATCATCCAGAAGCACGACAGACCCCCGTCTTGGTACACCAAGGGACTCTTCAACGAGCGGCGTGAGGAGACCTCCCAACGAGCCAGAACAGTGCTTTCGAGGAACCCCCGAGCGCAAGGTTCGCGGCGCTCAGGGGGGCATCTCCAGCGGGCTGGCCCATCGGGTCCTTTCCCTCAAGTCTCAGTGCGCCTCCGAATCTAGGCAATATCAGACACCCTACCCCTCCCCTACTACAGTCGCCTTCCGCTCAGGAGCACTCGCCTTGGAGACAGTTTCCCGAACCATCTCGCGACTTTCCCGGTTTGCAGAGCCCGTCCCTTCGGGAGAACACGACGACGGCGAGTCCCTCGGCGGATGGTCGTTGGCCGGGCGAGGTCACACCAGCTCGTCAGACGACGTGTCCACCGTCAGCTCCGTCGAACAGGACCTCTACGCCGCCTCGCTTCGCTCAGCCTCTGTGGGCGAACTCGCCGCGCTTGCCACCCCCCGAGTTAGGACCGTCAGCGCCCCAGCGATGGTATCCCCCACCGGTGGCTATGCCAGTCCGCACCAAGAAGCGCCATCCGATCCCAACAACGCACCCTTATCTGCCGGCCTCGACGCCCACGATGAGCCAACCGCCGCTGAGGCGCTCTCCGAGGAAGAAGAGGCGGGTGGCATGAACAGCTCCCCAGACCCCGAGAGCGACGGAATGGGAAACAACAGCTCGGAGGTCGATCTCCCCTCACTGGCTGATATCTCTGACTTGGACGATGTGGATTGGTTCGAGAAGATCCCCATGAACGGGACACGAGTGGCAGAGGCGGCAGCACAACAACGACGAGTATTGGTACAGATCCTCTACTCTCGCCACGTCCGCGCATTCGCTCATGTTTGTATACAGCGTCGCCATTCAGGGAGCTTCGGACCAGGATACCGTGTAGGAACACCATCCGAGCCCGACCTCAGTCCATCCTCCGCGGACGCGCTGCCTCCTGCTCCCATAACGGACGAAAGCACTCCGCCTAGCGCCGTCTCTCCAACTTCTATGCCGCTGTCGCCACCGAGCCCGGCGCCGTCAAGTATTCCGTCCTTGCAGTCTGTCAGCGACATGAGCGACTCGTCAAGCGAGAGCAGCCTAGCAACTAGCGAAGGCGAGTACGTTCACTATTACCAAGATTCGATCTACGATGAAGGCGGACCGGACATTCCCTTCTTCAATAACCAAGGGGAAGGACCGCCGCCGATCCAAGAGATCCATGCGGCCGATTCGGAGCTGGACGCAGAAGGGGAAACGGACGAGGAAGCACTCAGTGAGGGGGACGGAGGTTCGACACGCGCGCGGCTGAGGGAGTTGCGTGCCGCCGAATGGTGGGAGATTATAGAGGATGATTGGGGGGATGTCATATTCCGTGAAGATGACCTACCGCCACCCCCGCCGGGATACGACGCCGCGCCTATACAGACCGCAGACGAGTTCATGGCGGATCTAGCCGACATAGAAGAAGACACGCGCGATGATCCCCATAAGTTGAGACACATTAACTGTGTCATGAGCGCTGTCCAGCGAGTGATCGCGCTAGCCGCTGCTAGTACGGCCCCGGAGGCGGAACAGGTAAGTAGCCCCATGCAGGATTCAATAAGCGCTAACGCGGACAAGCAGTTCACGATTATATCCTCGATCAATAAATGGGGGCAAGAGGGGATAGTGGACATCCTAGGATCCCGTCCCACTCTTCACTACGCCGATCCAATGGCTCACGCATCCGGACTCATCGCCGCCGTACGAGAGTATCGAGTCGCGCTCGACCGCCTCGAACAGCTGAACGACTACGACACCGAGAACGAGATCGTGCTCAGAACGAAGCCCGAAGTGTTCTTCAACAGCGAACGACCCTCGCAGATGAACATGTTCCAGTCGGTAGCAACCGACCCCTCCTCCAACGCGCTCTTCGACTACTTCCTAATTTACCACCGCGACCTCCTCACCACCGACTCGCGCGCTCGCCGAACCTTCGTTCCGGCAGGACGAATCCACACCCACTTTCCGCCGGCTATCGAGGCGTTCCCCCGAGCTCCTCCAGGACAGACCGCACCCCTGTCATTCGTCATGAACGAACATCGTCGGGACCACGGCGAAGGGATCGCCGACATGGGGGACGTGGTACTGGAAGCTCGTCGCGCGCTTGTAGCGGGGAATCGTCATCTTGTGGATTGGGTACACACCAACGGACTCCAGGAACAGGTGCGGCGCGATATGAGGGACATCCGGGGTCATAGCATGCAACCTCTCAATCCTCTGATGTTCCTGGAAGAACTTTACTACCTAACGGGGGTGGTGAATATTCTCGACCTCGATTCGCGCGAGCAAGAAAGCGACCTGGTGGAGAAGGTCATCTATTCCCACCCCCGCGTGTCGTACCAGACCTTGCGCCTCATGATGCGTCTGGGATATCTGGGGGGCCCGGTGCCCACCATGGGCAACGCCGCGCAGCATGAACTGCTGGTAAGGGGCACGGGTAGGACCATCTACTAAGGGCATCCCGTTCTCGAAATTGGCTAGGTACGAGACTTGCCAAGACTCCCCGAGGATCGCTGACCACGAAGAACAGACGCAGCCTTCCTCTCCGCACCGAGGGGTGCCATACACGTACTACCTTAAGCAACTTGTCGCGCGAGGTCTGCGTCCGTCGTTCCCGTTTTGGCTCTCCTACCCGCTCCTGTTATATTTATTCTCGAATTCGGCTGGAACCCTTCTTCAGATACTCGCCTGTAGCCTTGCGATACGCCTGATTTCCGGAACCTCTAATATGCTTGTCTACAACGGCGATGGACGGCGCTGGGCGCGTCTGTCGGCCAGCCTGGTGATTTCCCGCGTCGGCGATCTCATGTACCTTACCTACGATCGTCTAATTATATCCCCCTCGCTCGACTTCCGCCGGTTTTGGGTCAATATACATACAGCAATAGAACGAATAGGGCAGTATCTCTTTGGCGAACACAGACGCCCATACCCAAGCGAGCTCGCGATAAACACGTCTCACTACGGCAAGAAGCGGGAGTTGAACCCCGGGTCAGGTGACTCACACGGGTCCCCGGAGAATGCCGGTCGAGTCTTCTTCTTCTCGCTACCACATCCGGACAATCCCTCTCGTATGCTCCCGGTCGCCACCTCGGAGGACGCGCTACGTCCCACCAAGCTGACTCCCGATGATCTAGCACGGCTCTTTTTGGAAGATGAAGACGAGCTAATCCTATGTACCGAAGCCTTCCCGCAGCAACGCATAATACCTTCCGCTCCGCACGTGCTCACGGCCTACAAGCGAGTGGACAAGAAAGTCAGGCCCGTGAGGGGAATATTCCCAGTAGCTAGTCAGGTAACTCGGACCCGACCTACCGAATCTGCTCTGTTTGCATCCATGGAACCCTTACCGACGCAGCCCCCAGTGTTCGAACCCTCCGGCAGGCTGACCAAGGACCGTCTGGCAGGTATGGATATCAACAAGGAAGGATTCATGTGGGCCGAAGAGGAAAAGCTGTTTGCCCACGTACTAAAGCTCAATCAGGACGCCTTGGCCTTCGAGGAAAACCAACGAGGAACGCTCAAGGAATCCTACTTCTCCCCCTACATCTACGTGACCGTGCCGCACACGCCCTGGGAATACCGTAACATTCCCATTCCACCGGGCATCCACGATAAGGTGATAGATCTCCTCAAGGAAAAGATGCAGGCCGGGGTTTACGAACCGAGTCAGTCTTCTTACCGATCTCGATGGTTCTGCGTGCTAAAGAAAAATGGGAAGCTGCGCTTAGTTCATGACCTTCAACCACTGAACGCGGTATCCCTCCGAGACGCTGGAACCCTTCCCATCATAGATGACTTCGTAGAAAAGTTCGCGGGGGCAGAATGCTACTCCGTATTCGACCTTTTCTGGGGTTTCGACGCGCGCAAAACACATCCCGACACCCGCGACCTAACCTCCTTTCAGTCTCCGTTGGGACTTCTCCGACTAACCTCTATGCCCATGGGGTATACCAATTCCCCCGCGGAATTTCAGAAGTGTATGGTGTTCGTCCTAGAACCCGAAATTCCGCGCATCGCTAACATCTTCATCGACGACCTCGCTATAAAAGGGCCCACTTCTCGTTACCTCGACCAAGACGGACACCCCGAGACCATTTCTGACAACCCGGGAATCCGTCGCTTCGTATGGGAACACGCGAAGGACGTCCACCGGATTATGCATCGGGTAAAGGACGCGGGCGCCACTTTCGCCCCCAATAAAGCACAAATCTGCCGCCCCGAGGTACTCATCGTGGGACAAACCTGCTGCAAGGCCGGTCGGTTACCCGACCAGGATAAGATAAGCAAAATCCTATCCTGGCCGGCGCTAACCAACCCAAAGGAAGTACGCCAGTTCCTGGGACTGTGTGGAACGGTGAGAATATGGATCCCGGGATACTCTAGGCAGATTCGTCCCTTAACCGAACTATACAGAAACGATCAAGACTTTGTCTGGGACCAGAGGAGACAGAAGGCATTCGACGAGATCAAACGGCTGGTGACAAGCCCCCCGGCGCTGCGACCCATCGACTATACCTCGAACAAACCCGTAATTCTCTCGGTGGACTCCAGCAAGGACGCGGTCGGCATGATTCTGTCACAAATCGACGAAGGAGGGAAGGAGCACCCTGCGAGGTATGGATCCATCCCCATGAGCGAACGAGAATCACGATACTCGCAGCCAAAATTGGAACTATTCGGCTTATACCGGGCTCTTCGCCATTGGCGACTCTATCTCGTGGGGGTCCGAGAGCTGCACGTAAAGGTGGATGCGCAGTACATCAAGGGGATGTTAAACGACCCTGACCTTCAGCCCAACGCGACCATCAACCGCTGGATTCAAGGAATACTACTCTTCGACTTCAAACTGATACACGTACCCGCAGATCGCTTCAAAGGACCTGACGCTCTATCCCGGCGCCCGTTAACCCACAACGAGGTTCCAGAAAGCGACGACGATAGATGGCTGGACGAGATAGCCCTTTTGACGATAATAGCCACGGAGAAGGACGCGACAGGGCCCAGCGAGAACCACGACTCCGACTTCCCTCAAGACAGCCAAGTGCTCCGCGTCGCACGCGCCACAGCGGAGAAACACCTTCATCAATACAGTGAGTTTCTGGATACCTTGGAGGCCCCGGCATTCGAAACCACGCAGCAGCGACGACGCTTCCTGGCCAAGGCTATGGACTTCTTTAAGCAAGAGGGCACCATGTACCGCCGGCGCGGCAACCAGCCGCCGCAGAAGGTAATACTATCCGCAGACGAACGCCTTCGAACCCTGAAGCAAGCCCACGAACAGTTAGGTCACCGCGGGGTTCAGGGGACCTTCGAGACCCTTCGAAAGCGTGTATTCTGGCCGCACCTATACGCCGACGTACGCCACCACGTTCGATCCTGCTACGACTGTCAAGTCCGCAGCCTCAAGCGCTTAGAAGCTCCCCTCACGGTCTCAACCCCGGTTCGTCTCTTTGACAAGATCTATATGGACGCCATGTTCATGCCGGAGACCGAGAAGGGCTACAAATATATAATAGCGGCACGAGATGACTTATCAGGGGTATGTGAAGCAAAAGCGCTGCGTACCCTCCGCTCGTTCGAAGTGGCTGAATTCGTGAAAACCCAGATCATATACCGGTACGGGATCCCGCGTGTAGTGGTGTCCGACAACGGGAAGGAATTTCAAGGAGCCTTTGATGCAGTCATGCGTCATTTTCGCATCCCGCTTCGCCGGATAACACCGTACAACCATCACGCCAATGGAGTAGTGGAACGAGGGCATTTCACCCTGCGCGAAGCAATAGCAAAAGCATGCGTAAACGAGCCGACCGATTGGCCTGCGAAACTGCCACTAGCCGTATTCGCCGACCGAATCACTGTGAGCCGCTTAACAGGCTTCTCGCCCTTCCAGCTCCTACACGGCACTGACCCTATCCTTCCCATGGACCTCGCGGAAGCCTCGTTCATGGTCCAAGGTTTCAAAATGGGAATGGACACTGCCGACCTGCTCGCGCTCCGCATCCGACAGCTGGCACGGCACCAGGACGACATTCAGCGTGCGTCCCATGCTTTGAGCCGAGCCCGCTTCAGGTCCAAGGGGCAGTTCGAGAGGCGGTTTCAGAAACGAATGCTGAAGGACGAGTACCAGAATGGGCAGCTTGTGCTCCTCAAAAATCAGGTGGCGGAGAACAAAATCAGCGCCGAAGCCAAGGTGGCACCCCGGTACTTAGGGCCGTACGCAGTCGTGCGTCGGAACAAGGGAGGTGCTTACGTGCTCAGTGAATTAGACGGCTCGATCATGAATGGCGCATTCTCGCCCAGACGCCTCCTGCCCTACATCAGCCGTCGCCACGAGTTCATGCGTTATCACGACCTAAGCTCGTCCTCCAGTTCGACTGAAGAGGAATCGGACGAGGATACGAGCTCAACCGAGCTGGCTCAGTCGGACGGAGAATACCAACCGGGCGAGCGACGCAGAAATGAATAGGGCCCCAGCGTACTTAAGCCGGGCGCTCGCCTGCGAAAAATCTGCCCTGCGGACCCCCGCAAAATTTCTTCCTCCCCGCGTGCATGCAGCATCCGTTGCCCGAACGCCTCTCACCTCGACCGCCCAAACGGACAGCGTCTCCTCCGTCGCTTCGCGTTATTCGCCATAAGCTGGTGGCGAACTACGTTACCAATCTCGCCCGAGTCAAAGGAGAGTACGGGCAGGAAGCCGAAGGTAAAAGAGAGGGCCCCGCAACAGAGGCAAGCGGAGCTGACACCAACGACAGAAAGCGGGACGACAGCTCGCTCCTCCTCGAAAACCCCCGGCGCCAAGAAAATGAAGATTCCTCTACGACGCGAAACCCGGGTTCACGACTCCCCGCCCACGTCTCCCCTTGCCGTCGAGACTGGGGTACGAGCCATCCGCCACACCGCGCGAACCACGGCACCCAGCTCCGCCGTCTTCGCCCCTAGTCTGGGGGCACTACTCAACCCTCCTGGCAAGAGAGTGTCGCGTACCCACGTTGGGATACCCTCTATCGCCAGTTCGAACCGTACTCGTGAACGCCGCTCCCCGTCCCCCTCGGGAACCGTCGCCGCTTCACCCTGGCCCAGGGCATCCTCCGCCCCATCCCAAGCGTCGCTGGACAGCAGACATGAGCGGGCCAGAGACGAGCTCGCTCCCCCTCAAAGCTACGAAGCCCTTCGGGAGTATGGAGTGGGCGAGGTCACGCCCGCCGAGCGTCGACCCATGGACCTGATTCCGGAGATAGAACCGCGCAATCCCTCCAATGACCCGCAAGGACACCACCGCGTACCCGCAGTATCCCCTGCCCCCTCCATCCGCGACCTCCCGCCGGCGCTAGCGCCACCGCTGCGGGGACCTAGCATTCCAGCCCCGGGGCACCCCTTGCCCCCCGCCTTCCAACCCAGTCTTCAGCAGTCACGGGCGTTCGGGATAGATCGCATCCTGAGCCTTGTCCACCCCTTCGTTCGACGTCGCACTGGGGATATTCGACCTCACGCCATGCTTGTCAGCCTGGACGCCGATGAAGGGCACCCGACACAGCGCGTGCAAGGCTTTCCCTTCCCTCTGCCTCGCTACCGGCTCGATTTCACGCATGCCCTCGAATGCACGCTGACCAGCGGGACGACGGTGATCGTGGCAGGCCCTCAGGGCCTCGTCGGAGAACTCGTCTTGATCGAGGAGCTCGACATCGGGGCCGAAAGCGCTCACCTTCTGGGGTATAGGGTTTGGGACCGCCGTTCGTTCGCCTGTGTGGTCGACGTAGCTGCGGACTGCTCCGAAGTACTGTCGCGGTACGAGGTCTTCCGAGGATTCGAGTACGGCGTCAACCCGGTGCTCGCGTACCGGGACATCCTGCATGCCACGACGCGTCCCGAGCGCTGGGAACATGTATTCGCGCACACGCGGATGTATACGATCGAGCGCTTCCTACGAGAGATGGGCCGCGAGGACATCTTGGCGTGCGTGCCCGACGAGCTATGGGGAATATTCGTGGCTCCGCCCGAAGGACAGTACCTGACCACTGCTCTGTTGTACGCAGCGTCGGGAGTGCCCCCTCATCTGCGAGGCCCGAAGCCTGCGCCGCGCGGAGAAAGCGCGTCGACCGGAAGGGAGCGTGACGCGTAGGAAAACGTGCAGACGAGGACAGAGGTTACCGAACTATACGCTTCATTTCTTGAATATCTCAGAAGGACTGGACGCTCCTTCCTCTCACATATCCGCCTCGTGTCCCGTGTATAATAGGGCGCTCCCGTATGCTAATCTACGTTTCGTTCGTCCCCTCTTTTGGCATTCCCCCTTCAGCGAGGGCGCTGAAATCTCTTGTGCACCGCGGATGTCACGCGACGAATGAGTTCGGACATAGGGGCGAATGCCACGAGGACGGGCCGGTCTAGGCCTTTCGGCTCCGCTGGCACCTGACTCATCACGGGGTTCGGGGGCTTCCGAAATCGGTCAGCGATTATCCAGCACGGAGGAAACGACGTCGCTGGAGGGAGACGCGGCAAGCGCCAGCAAATCTGCCAGCGCACGAGGAACGTATCCCCTAAGTATATAAGTAGCGTAGATTCAGGGCCTAATACATCATCTACTTTGCCCACAGTACCTGTCCGAAGCTTCAGAAAGCTAACCAGAACCTGCCACTGCCGCGTATCACTATCAGCCTAGCCATACAGAGGACCTCCGACATATTAAAAGCCCCTTGAACAGCAGCTTCTTGACCACCGCACGCCCGCTCCAGGAAAGCCCCCGGTAGATCTTCCATTAACTCAGCTTAGACGCGCCACCCACGTGCTAACCCCGCAGGATTCTCCGGTGCAACACCTAATTCAGGCGCGCAGATACTAGTTGGGAAACGTATTTTTGGAGACTGAGTCCAGCGCGAAGCCCACCGCCTCGCCAAGAACTCGCCTAATAGGAATTAGGTCTTTTTACTCCCCCCTTTTTACTAACTTTAAATTAGACTGACAGTATGTCCCTTGAAAGAGATGAGACGAATGTCCTTCGCGAGACAAACATACATCCTTGGTAACCACACAGCGACCCTAATGCCATCTTGCTGCTTGCCTCCCTTGCCAGCGCGTGCTGCAGGCAACATATTCGCAAGGTGCGTCGCCTGATCATCTGAATGACAAACCCAGGGACGAGGTGAGATCCTCTTACCGGTGTAACTCATTCGTCTCACTAATCCGACGATGTTCAGCAGGCAAGTCGTTGATATGTGGTTAACGGCTTTCCGACCGGGCTCTTGCGGCCGGCTGACCGTGTCTCGCGAGTCCCATCGTGGGATAAGTCGGCCCCTTGTGTCGTGGATCGTCAGCTGGATTAGGAACAATGCACCTTCACCTGCGCCAAGGTACGTGGGTACGCCGGATGGCTACCGCGACGAAAGCGGTTGCCATCCGGAGCGTGTGAAATCGCCGCCCCTATATAGGCCAGATTTAGTGGTAGGAGCGCTCTTCACTCTCCGTCCAGTACTGCCTGACACGAGAAGAAGAGCGCTCGAATCTTGTCAACGGTGCGTGCATCATTTGTGGCAACAGCATTCGCGGGCACAACAACCGATCCTCTTGAGCAGTGACAACTCATCTCCGTTCTCCATCTGCAGCAACCATTATGGTCAAGTACCTCGGTAAGGAAGTCGGCCCCATCGGATTCGGGCTCATGTGTACGTCGCTCATCCAGTGTGCTATCCTCGTGTCTAACGACCCCTCGATAGCCCTCACTTTCAACGCCAACCACTCCGTTGAACACTCCATCGCCTGCATGAAGGCCGCGCTCGAAGCCGGCGCGAACGTCTGGAACGGCGGCGAGTTCTACGGCTCGCCCGAGCACAACTCCCTCCACATCGTCAAGGCGTACTTCGAGAAGTACCCCGAGGACGCCGACCGCGTCATCCTCTCCATCAAGGGCGCCGTGGCCGGCGTCAGCATCGGACAGCCTACGCCGGACAACTCGCCCGAGGGCATCCGCCGCAGCGTGGATTTCTGCTTGGGCATCCTGCAGGGCGTGAAGAAGATCGACGTCTTTGAGCCCGGGCGAAGAGATGCGTCAGTGCCGGTGGAGACAATGATCAAGGCGCTGAAGGAGCTCGTCGACGAGGGGAAGATTGGCGCTATTGGCCTGACGGAGGTCGGTGCGGAGACCATTCGCGAGGCTGCGAAGTATGCCCCCATCGACGGCGGCGTCGAGGTCGAGTTCTCGGCGTGGTTCACGGACATCCTCGACAACGGCGTCGCAAAGGCCTGCGCGGAGCTGGACATCCCCATCATCGCGTACTCGCCTCTTGGCGCCGGTTTTCTGGTGAGCTGAACCCCTCCTTGTTTGAACTATCGCTGACCTGAGCCGAATTGCATAGACCGGGCAGATTAAGTCCATCGACGACCTTGCACCTACCGACTACCGCCGTCACTCCCCGCGCTTCCAGCCCGACGTCTTCGACGTTAACCTTCAGCTCGTACGCGCCGTCGAGGGACTCGCGAATCGCAAGGGCGTCACCATCGCGCAGGTAGCGCTCGCCTGGGTCGTCGCGCAGAGCGCCAAGCCAGGCATGCCGACTATCATCCCAATCCCGGGATCGAAGAGCGTGGAGAAGATCAAGGAGAACTCGACACTGGTTGAGCTCACGAGCGATGAGCTGAGCGAAATCGATACGATGTTGCGCGAGTTCAAGCCCAAGGGAGAGCGATTCCCGGCGCGGTTGGCGAAGTATAACTTTGCGTGACGAAGGAAAGTGTAAAGAATCGCGTAGTAATAACAATCTTCGTATGGAGGACGTCGGATACAAGCCTGAGTGGTCGTATTTTGCTTCGGGATGTTCCGTAAGCACATCTTGTCCGGCGTGACTGAAGTCAAGAAGCACGCGCTAAGCTCAGGCTTTCCCGCTTCTTTTGTGGCACCAGACAAAGACACGATGTTATAGCAAGTACAAAATGTGTTATGGAGTAAAGGACAGCGAGGGCTCGATGGAAGCCCAGTGTTATACAAGGTGGTGGCATACTTGTACAACAGGTAAGCGCGCCGACCCAACTCTATGTATAAATAAGTGGTCGTCGCGAGTCGTGCCAGCAAAAGCGTCTACAACAAATGATAAAATCCACTCTATGTCACCAAAGATCGTTCACCACCCAAACACTTCCTCGTGAACCTCGACGCCCCCGACGAGATCCCGCTTCTTCGGATCGATCCAGCTCACCGTCTTGCGCACGTCGTCCGCGAGCGCGACTGGGCCGCAAACTCCGACGAGGACACCGCAGTGAGGCTCGGCGTTCCGCTCGCCAGCACCATACACCGTGTTCGTGATGATGTTGTCCAAAGCGTGCTTCGTGTGGGGGCGACCGACGTGGATGTGCATGCCCCGCGGAATCGTAGCTTCGTGGATAGCTGCCGCGCCCGCGGCAGATACTCGCGTGTAGTGAATGGAGATGTTCACCGTCGCGTGCCTTGCCGAGTGCAACAGCGCGGTGAGCTCGGGAAGCAATGGCGCGATCGCGCCTAGACCGCCGTTCAGCACTCGGTCAAAATGAAGGAAGGAGAAGGCAACGCACCGATGTCCTGGACTATCCAGATCAAGTCAATGATCTTGAGACGGCTCTCTCCTGCGGCGTCCTTCTGAAGCAGGTCGTCCATGGCGGAGAGCCCGAAAGTGATTCCGCTCCCACCGCAGACGAACAAGGCCGCAGAGTAGCTTGAGAAAATCGAGTCGCCAGGTCCGCCGTACGGCCCCTCGACAATCACCTGCACCTGCGGGTCCTCGTCGCCCTCCGCGCTGCGCGACTTCGCGAGCTCAAACAAGTGATGCTAGGATAGATCGCGTCAGATCGAACGCAAAGGAACGCAGAAATGTGTCGTACCGTCCAACGCCCCGTCTTCTTGACCATGAGAACCATGCCGGAAGACGTGCCCGGCGCGTTCGCAATCGTGAAGGGGTGCACCTCAGACCATCCAACCAGGCCCATCGCCGAGCTGAGCACGCGAATCCGCACATGCTGCCCCGCGCGCCACCCCGAGGTGAGCGAGCGCATCTCCATGCGCACCATTCCAAGCTCCGGCATCGCGCGCAGATGCGCGCGCTGCACGCGAGTCTTCACGAGGCGGAAGACACGGTCGAAGGCGTAGACCGAAGCGAAGGCGATAACGTAGTTGAGAAGGGGCCGCTTGTGCATGTAGATCGCGGGGATGAGGATGAGGAAGGCGGTGCAGTGCGACCAGAAGAAGAGGTTGTAGAAGTTGTTGCGGACCCAGGAGGTGGAGAAGATGAAGAGCATGTCCATGCACACGGTCGCGACGAGACCCCAGACGTAGTCCGGCTTCACAATCGCTTCGAAGAAGGCGTCCTCCCAGAAGAACTTGAAGACTTTTCGAAAAGGGTCAGACGTTACGAGGGAGGGTACGAAGCCAAGACTTACGATATCCGATGACATGGACATTGACGGCGAGGATGATGAGTCGTCCTACATGGCGATGGAGGAAGTTCAACTAAGGAATAGGTCAGAGCCAGCATCTCACGTCGTCGGGCTGGGGTAAACGGTACCTTCTCGTAGCCGACACCAAGAACGTAGCCTACGGGGTTGACCTTCGTCCCCAAAGCGAACACCCACGGGATCTGGGACACGGCGACGGCACCGGCGCGCACTAGCGAACTTTCAGCATCTGCGATGGCACAAAGGGAGAGGGTAACGCACCAGGATTCGTGAATGGATTAGACTTGTACAGTCCAGCGTATGCCATACCGACAAACCAGCCGACGTAGAGGACAAGCTGATTGAGTGAGTGTCCCTTCGTCCAGCGCCAGTGAAGGGGTTCGAAGATAGGACGGAGGATGCGAGGGCAGGCAGCGACGTGCGGCGGGGCGCGCGCACCACCCTCACCTTGCAGAGTCGGGGTCAACGTCGCGCTCTGCGTGAGCGTGACGCCGCTTCCCTTCTCCGCGAAGTGGGGCCTGGCGAGGGTGTCCTCCCGGTCGAGAGGCGGCCGCGGCTGCTCGCGCACGACGGAGATCTTGCTCCCGAAGACATGCCCCGCGAGCCATTCGCCGGTGCTCGTCAAGCGCGCAGCCGCGCGGGAGACTCGTGTCAGGGCGAGCAGGCCGAGGAGACAAAGGAGGACGATGTTAAGGTGCCACACGATCTCGGGGGCGATCAGGTCTTCCTTGCGCACGGGCTGCTGCGGGGGAGCGCCTCCCTGCGCAGTGCCGTTGGATGCTTCAGCGCGGGAATACATCGTCAACGATGATGAGCGAGGGAGAGAATGCAACTGGGGAAAAGGTCGGCGTCCAAGAGGGCTGCCCCTTATCTATCTGTGGGGAGACGAATAGTAATTAGCGATGATGCTATTGAGCTTTGATGAGTGAATAGTGCGGGCACCTGTTGCAAACGCGCAGAGAGGTGGATAAGCAGAGTCGCGTGGGAGAGCACTGCTCTGCACGCGTATGAGGTCCGCGTAGGAGGATCCGGAGTTCTGATCGGATGGGGATGGCCACACGGGCGCCCGTATGCGTGCAAGGCGGAAGCACGGAGGTTCCAAGAGAGTGGAAAGGCAGCGCGAACCTGGCGCGGAAAAGGAACAGGGAGGAAACGAAGAATAGAAAACGAATGGAAACGAATAAACGAATACAGAAACCTGACCAGCAGGGCAAGGGCGGGAAAGAACTCGGAAGAAATCGAACCGAAGAAAAAAGCGAAAGGGGGGAGTGAATGCGACCGCCGGGAAGAGACTTGCGAAGAGGCGAGTTGGCTTTTGAGCTAGCGGGTCCCATGTCAGGAGAGCAGTCTCTAGGATACCAAGCAGGCTTCAGGTGACGCAAGCGCAGGTCCGGCCGCCGAGTCATAGGATGTCGAAGGAGCGAAGTCGGCGACCGTTCGAGCTTCCGCATCCTATTGTCCATTCAACCTTTTTGCGATTGTCTATCGCGTCAATCCCATCAATTCAAAACATCTAATGTTGGTGTTCCGTTCGTGCATTCACCGCGATCACCTCGGGGACGCGGCTGTAGCTGAGGAGCAGGAACGCGGTCACCTGGTCCTGCGCGGAGGCTGTAAAGAAAGACAGCCAAGCGCCGAGAAGTACAGCCTGAAGACCAAGAGCGAGGAGGATTGGCGCGACCAGGAGTTTCGGGAGGCAAGAGGGAGAACTGAGGTTGAGGTGCGTGAGGTCATCATCTTGTCGTATGTCTATTTTTTCTCTGCAGGCTTGATGAGCGCGTCGTCCAAAAGTGGCCCATGAAATGGCTGCGCCGTTGCCAGCTTGCTGCTTCGCAGGTTTCCACTATCTCGTTCCCCCACAACCATATCGGCCAGAAGGGGACGAAAGCACCATCCTTTCGACTGTCGCCCAGATCTCTTGGGCGCCCGTGATGATTGATCAAAAAGGTAGATGCTGCGTGTACTGCCCATGCAATCGAGGTACGCGGAGAAGCAGCTTCGAATGAAGAGGTCGTTATCGGGTCCTGCTCAATGACGCACCCTTCCAACCGAATCATCGCCAGAGCCGCAGCAATCACAGCATTGGGCCAGACAGGAGTTCTGGGAGCCTTTGCGAAGTGCTGAAATCTGGAGGAGATTTTCAGATGCTAGAGCGACGGAGATGCAGCGGAGATCCGGATGGACGGAGACAAGCTGCAAGCTGTGCACGTCCTCGGGATGTGTTTGTCGTTCCCACGACCTCCCACGATATCACGCGGTCAATTGAGACTTGCGTGATTCCTGGCGCTTGAGAAACTTGTCGCCGCGTTGGAAGGGCGGCGTCGTGGGCGGCCTGATGTCGCTGAGGCGCGCCGTACGGCATGGTCCCCCTCCTCGCCTACAAATATCCCTCCCCGCAACAGTCAGTGAGTGCGGGAAACGTCTGGCATCGTGTTAGCCTCGAACATCGGCTAAGACCTTGTATGAGTTCGCGCGGCGCGCCCACCTTGTACATGAGCCACACGATACAGACTCTCGCTTGTGGCGTACCGCAGCTTGTGCGGAGGCGGCGACGAACAGAACCTGTCGCGACAGGCGTCAGTAATCAGATGACAGTGATATCTGCCTCCGGCTCCATGCTGCATTGAAGGCCTTCTTTCGATCCATCGCTATGCAGCTATCGACGTGCTCACCATCGTCCGAGGCGATACATGGATGATTTAGCATTATTCGCCATGCTACAGCATCTGCCTCATCACTCGGACGCACTTCGACCGACACTGTTCCTTGATGATGCAAGCGACCATACATTCAACAGACTCGCCTGATAGCGAGAGCATCGTGCGCAATGTTGCTCACAGCGTGATTGCGGCCGTGAGCAGTGGACGAACACAAGCGAGGAGGTCCCTAAAATTGTATTCAGCCTGACCAGAAGGCAGCTGCGCGCCGCAAGGAAGCTATCGGAAGCCCACCTCCATGCCCAGGGCCGCACGCCGCGCGCCAGGATGCTGGACGAGCAGGCGACGTCCCTTCGGGGAGGGCAATGTCCGGCGGGGAAGGCGCATCCTCCACGCGGGAATATCCCCATAAGGGGTCCCCTTTCCCTCGTCCTCCCACAGCGCCCACGCACTCGGTGGAGGCGATAGCGCGCTGCGTTGCTGAGGATCGCCTGCGGAGGCGGGCTAGCCCTCGAAAATTCTGGAGAAAGAAGCAGAGGACGTACGATGCTGCGAGATAGGCGGCGATAGAGCACCGCATCTTCATAAGCGGCGTAAGCGTCTATACGATGTTGGACACCGTCATAGTCAGACTCACCAGCGTGGTCCTTGGCATGGCCTTCAGCATCTGTCGATCGAAGAGGCGTAAGGCATAAGCATTCGTACGAAGGATTATACGACGAGTGTATTTTTGTTGTCTCTGAACTCCGGGTCCGAGTCGTTATTCGCCGACAGCGGACAGCCTGAGAGGCGATGGGCATGAGAGCGCCTCGCAATGCTGGCGGGACTCGTTGCCACAATTGGTGGCATCGTGAGTTTATCTACTCAATGTGTCAGTATCAGTAGTTCTGCACACAAGATACAATCTCACCTATTGGTTTTGCCGGTATTGTACTCAACAAGGGCAGAACGTCACACGCACCTTCCCAAGCTCAACCACCCCTGGTCATGCTGGCAGGCCACAAAAGGAACAAATAAGATCGATAGAGAAATATGTAGTACAAGCAGAGCATTCACAGCACACAAATCGTACAAACAGCAGATCGACAGCTGCACATCAGAATACATAATGGGTCGTGAACAGGGCGTGAAAAAGGAGAAAAGGGTCCTAGTATGTACATTTTCCGAGCATTGAGATCAACACCTTACTCTGCGTAGTCCAAATCCGTGTACGAAGTTTGCGAGCGCTCGCGACGCGGGCCTTGGGGCTGAGGCGGAGGAACGGGCACCGGGGTCGGCGAGCTTGACCGCGACGGTGGCCGCTCAGGGATGAAGGGGCTTGTCCTGCCGTTCTGCACGGGAGGGGGACCATAAACGCCGCCACCGGGGCCAGCGCCATTAGGCATCCCGCCTGGGACCGCGGGAGGGGCGTACGGACTCGCCGGAGGATGAGGAGGCTGGGCATACCCGGCAGGTGGCGCAGCTGCTGCGTAGGGATACACAGGAGGTGCCCTTGGCTGCCCATATGCATGCGAGGCCGGAGGAGCACGATAGCCAAGCGGCGCTCCGTACGGCTGCGCGCCCCCAGCGTAGGGCATACCCGCGCTGGGCTGCTGCGGAGGAGGCGGTCCACGATATGCATCGCCTGGGCCCGTACCACCCCTCGTTGAGTCGCCGCCGCGCGACCGCAGGGAAGACGCCCTCATTGCTGCATTTGCGCGCGTGTTCGCATCTGTCTCCGCACCGTAGTCGTCCGACGTCCCCTGGCTCCTCCCCTGCGACGGCGCCTCCGACGCGCGCGACGAAGGCGGTGGGTCTGCTGGCGGCTGAGACCTTGGGCTCCGCAGCTCATCCCTCGACCGCGACAACGCGCGCTGCCTGGATCGCGGCGTCGCCGACACCTCAGCAGCCCGCGAACGCGGCGTCGCAGCTTGCGCCGGCAGCGTCAAGTCCTCCGTCGACCGCACGAGTGCCGGGTCAACGTACGTGGATGGGTCGTAGTGCCCGTACGCCGAGCCGCGCGAGCTCGGGCGGTGCAGCTCGCTCGCCAGCCGCGCATGGTCCTCTGCGTCTTGCCTCGCGCGGTCCCTGTCCGCGTCTGCTTCACGCTGCGAGCGTAACGACCGCGCCGACCGCCGCGACATCGCACTGCCCGGACGCGTCGTTGGCTCAGCCGAGGTCGTGGGCGCAAGAGGCGGAAGGGGCGGGAATGCCAGCGACGGCGAATGCTTGAAGGCCATCTGATGCTCCTTCGTCGTCATCGAGCTGCCGCGCAGGCCGCTGTACGCGCTAGCTGGGCTGAATGGCACAGGAGGCGGCGCTGCTGGCGCCGACGGTCGCGGCGCATGCACTTGGGGCGGTGGCGGCTGACCGCGAGATGACAAGTTCGATCGCATACGACGCGGCGCCCCTCCCGCGCGAGACGACGAGCTCGAGTTGTTGACACCATGCGGGCGCATGCGCGACGAAGACGAGGACGAAGGAAGAGGTGGCCCACCCCTCACAGCCGCGCCATTCGGCGTCGCAACCGTACGATCGAGAAGCCCCTTCCATCCCTCCGTATCAATAAGATGCCTTTGCTCCGGCGTATACTGCGCCGCCCAGTTATCCTCATAGTGGCCGCCTGGCGTATGCGGCACCGGGCGCGTATACTCCATCGGCGCTGGCTGCATCCGCGGCGAAAGATACCCATCGCTCCTTGGCAGATGCTCGCGCGAGCTCATGCCCTCCCTCGACGGCGTCGCCTTCGACGGCGTCGTCTCCGAGTGCGACGGCGGCTGCACGGAGATGGCGATGTCCGGGCTAACGTCGTTGCGCCCGTACGGTGCGCGTGGGACGACGTTCTCGCTCTGGCTGCGCAAGTGGCCGCGCCGGGCGGACGAGGGCGTGCTCTGCTCCTCAATTACGCTCAGGTTGCGCTGCAGGCCCGGCCGCTTGCGGGATCCCTTCCCTGTCAGCGCCCGCTTCAGCGTGCTGAAGATGCCGCCTCCGCCACCACCGCCCTCTTGCTCTCGAGCAGCTGCAGCAGCCTCTTGTTGCGCCGCCAGCTGCTGGCGCTCCTGCTCCGCGATACGCCGAGCTTCTGCGAGGATCTCCTCAGGCGTACGCTGCTGTATAGGCCTCGACGGTGGCGGTCCCTGCGGCCCATCATCTTCATCTTCGTATTCCTGACGAAGCGGGTTCGTATAGATGGGCTGCCTATCACCTCCACCTTGGGGGCTGGTCATCTCATACGCGCGACGCATCTCCTGAGGACGTATCTCCATCGCATGACGCCGCGAGTTGCTCAGACCCCGACGCATAGTCCTCGGCGGGTTGATCTCCCGCTCGACTTCCTCTGCAGACGGTATCTCGAGGCTGTACGTTTGTATACCCGGCGTGCGCATCTGAGGCGGGACATATCCCGCGGGAGATCGTCCTTCTGGGTGCTCAAGCACAGGTGTAGGCGCTGGAGCAGGCTCGGTGAACGGCTCCGTTGGGGCGCCGGTCGTCGGGTAGGATATGCGCGTGCGTGGCGGGGATAGAGGGTGCGGGCTGGGTTGCGGTGGACCCGTCGAGGTCTCCGGAGAGATCTGGCCGGCATCGACGGTGCGTATGGGCATGCGACCTGGAGAGCTGGCGAGTGTTTCCTCGTGTCGACGTGGCGTGTTGCGGAACGCAGCTTCGTAGTCGTACTCGCTCTCGTAGGGATAGTCGTATTCGTCCTCGAAGGCGGCCTCTTCCTCTGTATCGGTAGTAGGAGCATGTCGCCGACGTGGCTGGTGATGACGGCGTCGCCTACGCGGATGCTCAACAACCGTCTCAGCACGGGCTTGACGAAGACCGTCGCGGAAGCCTAGGCGCCGTCCCTCCTCTCGCGCGGCTTCAGCAAGCAGCTCGCGCGTAAGCCGCCGTGCCGTACTTCGCGCTCGCGCCGCCGTACGCTCCGCATCATCTCGCTGCCGCTCTAGGCTGCGCACGACGTCCTGCGCGCGGTCGATCTCGCGCTGCGCGTTCGTAACCTGCACGCGGTACATGGCCAGCTCATCGCGCGTGCGGGACGCATCGGCCTGCGCGGTCGCGCGCGCTTCCCCCGCGAGCCGCACGTGATGGAGGGTCTCTCTTGCTACGCGCTCCGCTTCAGCGGCGCGCTGCGCCTCGTTGTCGATGCGGCGGGATGCCTCGTCAAGCGCGCGGCGCAGCTTCTCCGCCTCGTACTCGCGGTCGATCAGCAGGCGGAGGAGTTCGTGGTGGGGTTCGTGAGCATGATGTCTTTCGCGGTCTTTGCGGTAGCGCGCGCTCGGCTTCGTCTTCGAACGGTTATGTTTGTGCTTCTGGGTGTGTCTACCGCCAGGTGGAGTGGATAGTAGTTCTGATCGAGGGGAATAGCTATCTTCGTTCGCGTAAGCGTATGCGTCTGGTCGAGAGTCAGCTCTGGGGAAAGTGTCAGTCGCGGGTTCTTTGGGAAGTAGACTGGGACACACAATGCAGGCTCTGGCATGCGTATGGGCGGAGGACTTCGTCCATCTTCCTCCGACTCCGCATACATCCTCAGGTTGGCTGATCTTCGTGTCGTCCGTGAGCCTTGCGAGTGATACGGATGGAAAGGGGATAGAGATTTAGCTCAGGAATGTACGAGCCTCATGGCGCAGCGCTTAGCGCTGTGCTCGTCGTGGTCGGCGACAAGACGTCAATTGGAATTCGGCTTCGGATCAATTTCTCGTAATTGATTAGTTCACGTGACTGAAGTTCAACATGCACGTGCATTGGCATCGCGCCACACAGCGAAATACGAGCAATGAAGGTCTAGACTGACGCTGAGAGAAGCGTTAGATATAGCTTAACACAAGCTCACCTCGTATTCTACCCTCTATAGTACATCAGTGCAATCCTATGGTAATAAATCCAACAATTTCATTCCGAAAGCCCACATATTGTGCCATCTTCGCACAGAAGCTGCTCCTCGGAGTCACTAGAAAATAGTACTAGATCTAGCTGATTACTTACCGCGCTGAAAACGTCAGCAGTGGAACTGACACGACGCCACATAGCACTTATCGGCAAGTGCCGAGATGCTTTATCTCCGCGCTGCTTAGGCATCTAGGCGCTCCTTCCATCTCTCAAGGACGACGTGCTTTGTACTCACACGATGAACACACCGACAACATCTTCGAATATCTCACGACGCACGCGCGTCGTAGAGCTGTGGTTCGACGACGGAGATTTGTTCATTGCAGCCGGATCGCACCTTTTCCGCATGCATCTCAGCGTCATGTCCATGCACCTAGTGTATCTCGCGACATGTGACTGTGTCCCTTATTATCCTCTCAGTACATGTACGCCGGAGTACCGCTCTTGGAGCTCTTGAACGATAATTACGAAATCCCGACGTGCGCGAGTCTTTCCTCCGTGTTATGGCTCGTGCCATATCCACTCACATGCTTCTCCTCAGCGATTCAGTAATCGCTAGCTTTACGCGGGCGCTGTCGTACTGCACGTACTTCTCGTAACACTGGAGCGCTGCCGCGAAATCAGAGCTAAGAGTCGCAGCAAGGACGAGGAATCCTCACACCTCGCTCTTGGCTATGAATCAGTGCATGGCTTTGCAAAAACACATCGACGATCACTCCAAAGCCTGTTTCCGCTTCGCTGTCAAGCCAGTGATTTTCCCAGCTCCATCGCCACTGTGAGATCGTAGAAACCTTCCGTCGCTACCTCTGAGGGACAGTCTTATCTCAGCCCTTACGTCTCTTGTCGAGTAGAAGACTTTAAGGCTATACACAAGGATTCTCCCGTAATAGAAGGAAGAGCAAAGTTCAACCAATCATGTGACCTCACGCGTGCAAAACATTTGATGGCCGGTTCGAAAGATCCCGACATCGTCACCCGGCCCTCTTCTTCGTTCACACCTGCGTCCATGTGCACATTCCATAGAGTAGCCAGCCGAGGATACTTGTCCTGTTCTCACTCTTTCCGCCGTCCTCTCCCCTTTCTCGTATTTCTCTCCTCCCTTCAGCTGGATCTCCCAGAATGCCATGTGCGGGAACGGACGTTGCGAGGGGGCCGCCATCATTACATTCATTAACCCGCTTTTGGGCTTTCGCTTGACGTGGACACGCGGAAGTGAAGGCGGGATTAAAACATACTAGGAACCAGCTGACATAGCATTCTTCCTACGAATGCCCGACCGCCTTCCCGCCGGATTAACACCTCGCACGGCGTCGTATCCCGCAAGGTTGGACGCGGCGTACGATACACTCCACGACCTATGAGGGCCACGGAAGCGCTTACGCCGTCCGCGCAACCCAATTCGCGGTCTCGAGCCTCACTCAATCAATCGCTGCGGAATTTCCGCGAAGCCGCCCGGTGACTCGACATGCCCAATTCAACACTTTGACGTGCATCACGACCGTCTCCGCGCGCGCTTTTATTCCTTGGCTTCCTGTTTCTCCGCTCACGGATGCCAGAGCACTCGACGCTCCCCGTCGCCCGCTGACGGCCATGCTGCCCTTTGACTCGATCGCGGTGCTCGCGCTGACCGCAGAGGTGCGTTCGCTGCTCAGGGGCGACCGTGGAGGGATCGCTAACGCTGTCGATCAGATGTTCTTCCTTGGTACGTTCACTCGCGCCCGCCTCCGACGTGTCGAGCCGTGATGTTGGCGTGAAGGGCTGTACACGGTTCTCTGGGTCCGGCATGTGATGGTGATGGTGGGGAAGGGCTTCAGCAGTCGGAAACACAGCGTGCGTACCCAGGCCGATGCGTACCTACCCCGAGCTCACCCATCGGGCAGATCTTCCTCGCGCTGTCGACCACGATGTACGTGTCAGCGGTCCTGCACGCTGGTGAGCACCACTACCCCTAGAACGAATGCATCAAGCGCTTAACGCTGCGCAGGTCTGCTGGCATACCGTGTGCTGTACGGGCTCGGCCTCACTCCCGAAGCTGCTGAGCGGCAACACTGGTGGACGGACCTCACAGGCTGGCACATCCGGATGATCAGCGCGCTTCAATTTACGCAAGTCGTCATCGGCGATCTCATCCAGGTGCGCATCAGCCCTTCCCACACCCTCCACATCGCTCACACACCCTCAGGCCTTCCGCACTTACGTCGCCTGGAGTTTCAACCTCTGGGTCGTCATCCTCCCCTTCCCCTTCTTCCTCACCGGTGTCGGTACGCCCCTCACCCTTGTTTCTTCCGCGTCCATCCATCTAATGCCTCACCCAGTCACCACCATCCTCTCCTTCATCCCTGCGCACCCCACCCCTTACCTCCAGCTCCTCCTTCGCATCGGCCTCCCCTCTTCCCTCACGTACAACCTCACCATGAGCGCGCTCCTCATCTGGCGCTTGACACGCGCGCATGCCGAGTCCGCGCGAGCCGGTGTGCGTGATGCGACGCGCCCTCCCGTCCTCCTCCGCATCGCGCGCGTCGTTGCCGAGACAGGCGCGCTCTACGTCTGCGCCTACGCGATCTTCATCGCTCTCGACTTCGCGGGCCGCCTCGAGATGTTTGTCGTGCAGGCGGCGCTGATGCCGATAGGAGGTGCGTAGTGGCGAGGGACAGGGGCGATCGAGCCCCGAGGGGTAGATGGTTATGCTGACGCTCGATCTGCAGGCATGACATTCTCCCTCATGTCGATCCGACTGTACGGCATCGTGGACGAGGAGCCGGAATCGTCGTGGAGTTGGCCTTCCTGGACGACGTGGTCGAAGACGGAGACGTTCCCTGGGGACAGCGACGGGCCTTATCCACCCGATGTGGAGAGGGCCATCTCCAGACATCGCGACCGAACGTTCTCTGGCGACCGGGAGCGCAGATTGTCGGGCGCTGGAGAGCTTTCATATTCCGGTCATGGCGAGAGGATACTTACAGGGGACTGCGAACGGACACTTTCCGGAGAGCAAGCGCGGACATTATCGTTGGAGAGGGCCCATACGCACGGCTCTTCGCAGAGTACCTTGCAACGGACATCGCAGCATACCTTGCCACGGACATTGCAGAGTACTTTATCGCCGGATGCTGTTGTACAAAGATAATAATAGAGCAATCCTTACTGGCTGTAGGTTTCCAGAACTCGCTTTCAGACGCCTTCCTCGTCCATACGAGGTCTTTGCTGACTTCCTGTTCACAGATCTACTTGCGAGGCTCGCCATCTGAAGGCTCGAGCTTCGAGCACTGCGCTTGCAAGGGTGAGGGAAAGCAGCCGGACGCCACAAATTCCGGCATTATCCGATTGCCACGTGCTTCGGCAATGGCCGACTATTCCGGCCCGAAAGTTCATTCAGTGTTCACTTCTCGCCATCATCACGCCAACAATTATCGCGTGCCCACACTCGAACATGGCGTGCAATGGCGCTCCGTATCTTGATCCTCAGCGTCTGCTCTTATAAAGCGTTGAGAGCGGGTTGAATAGGCGCCCGAGGATCCCCCAGTCGTCTCCCTTGAGCGAACAAGCCAGCCGAACACCTCAATTCACCGAACAACCTAGCCGCCGATCAGCCATGCCCATTCGTTCTCTTGAGAAGCCTCCTCTTTCTGAACTGGCCGGCGTGCCCGAGAAGTTCGTGATCTTCTACTCGTCTGTCGTAGATGGGCAGCTCTGGTGTCCGGTAAGTCTTCATACATCCTATTCACTGCTCCGCCATGCCGGTCTAGCATCTACCTTTCGTGTACTTCAGTCTTTTGAAGCTAATACGAACTGCTCATCTTATAGTACTGCCGCGACGTCGAGGACCGCGTTCAGAAGACATTCTCGGCCGAGGGCGCGCCAGATCTGCTCATAGTGCACGTCGGGGATAGGCCTGAGTGCGTTGGCTTACCTGGGTTCGCACGCGTAAATCTTCTTGCTGACATAGACCGAAAGGTGGAAGACGCCTGACGCGATCTATCGTAAGGAACCATGGAGCGTCACCGGTGTGCCGACGCTCATCAAGCTGGACTCGGAGGTAAGTGCACGGGGATGATTTTGCTTGGACATATCTTCTTGCTTTTACATGTTCTCCTCGCCTCGACCTGTCTTTCCATGTTCTCTTACTTGTGCTAATCATAATGCACTAGGGCAAGGAAGTTGCTCGCCTTTCCGGAACGAAGATCCTCGACGGGCTCGACCAGATCATCCGAGACTGAGGCGAGTAAAGCGAAACAAATGTCAACGAATTGTGTAACTGCTGTCCCGTCAATACCATGGCGGTCATCCATCAATATCACTGAAAGTGTACTCTGTGACAGTGGCTTACCGGCCGCTCGCAAACTCGACGGCGGTCTCCTCTGACTGTGACAACGTCGCGTTACACGCCCCTCTGTCGTCCTTGTGTCTGACTTCTGTCGCACTTCTGTACACCTTTTGACGAAGATGTGCGCGCCACCTCTTTTCGTGAAGGCATCAGGGTGTCATCTACCGTCGCCTCACTGTGACGGCCGCTCGTATAAAATCCAGACTCTCTCGCCAGATCCTACATCGCAGACCGCCCTTCGCAGTCGTCTACCTGTCTTGCTTATCATTCTTCCGATTTCTCTTTCTGTCCACTTCCAACTCCTCACTGAACTTTGTTTTTGTCGAACCCGTACTCTCCTTTACTACAGACCAAGATGAGATTCATCTTCCTCCTCGTGCTTATCTCTGCCGTTGCGGCGGCTCCTGTCAAGAGGTATGTGTCTTTCCTTCTCCTTTTCGTCTTTCGTATCACTGATCATCCTTTCGCAGACAACCCACCTCCTTCGCCCCCGCAAGCCCTCCCGCCGCCGCTGCCACAAAGTACCCCACCCCACCAGGCGCCCTCCCCGCCGCTGGAGGCGCCGTCCGCGGTGCCGAGGGCGCGCTTCCCGCTGCTGGTGGCGCGCTCCCCGAGGTCGCGGGCTCGCTGGATAAGGGGCTTGTTGGCAGCCTTATTGGCCCGCAGAGGCGCGATTCTACGGGTGGGGACGCCATCAACGAGAGGGGTGCTCTGGATGGCGGTGTGAGCGGGGAGGAGGGTGCGACGCCCTCGAGCAGCGCTGTCATCAAGCCCATGACCATTCCATTCATGAATCCTACCGACGCGTTTGTGAAGCCCACGGGGACGTACTACCCCTTCGCCACTGCTGGCGTCGCCTGGAAGAGGTAGGCTTGCCTTTCACGTCATTTTACGAGTCTATCTCACTAACTATCCGAAAGGCAGTATGGCGGCTCGGAATACGGCGCTGGAAGGAACCATGATGGTCCAGGCTACGGCAACTCAGACGATGGAGGAGTCTTGGGATTCGTATACGGTGGCGAATACAACGACAACCCATACGCGCGCCGAGGCCTTCCTCGCGACGCACCTAGCGCGGCATACGACGCTGGTGTCGGCACTGCATACAACTCGGATACCGGTGCTGGCTACGGGTCGCACGCCGGCTACGCCGCCGGCGCCGGCGCAGGCGCGGACGGGTACACCTACGTCAAGGCCAGCGGGAGCATCTCGGGCTCGTACGAGGCCATGATGGCGGGCGGCGGGGCCATGGATGGGTACGGGAGGGCAGGGATGGGCGCGGGTATAGGCTCTCACGCCGAAGCAGACATGAACGGACGCCTCTGGCCCCACGGTACCAGTCACGCCTCGCCTGCGTACGACGCTTCAGCCCCCGCTCTCCCGGCTCAGTCAACCGACGCACCTTCCGCTGACCATGTCCCCATCCCATACGCGACCGCGGCCCCCGATGCGGCTGTTCCTACATTCCACGGACCCGGTCCTGTGGATGGTGTTGAGAAGCCCTCATATCTCGACAATCACGGACTCGAGGCCTACAACATTCCGGAGGGACCAGCTACCGATATTCCCCTCCAGTCATACTCTCCCACCGACGAGCCACAGGACACCGCTTATCCCGAGCCGACCTACACCGCTAACGTGGCGAGTGAGGTCCCCGTGGATAGCCCTGCGACGTACGACTACCCTTCGGCTGCGCAGCCTACCAAGTGGTCCTATCCCTCCGCCGACGCTACGGATGGCTTTCCCGTATACAGCACCCCTGCAACTGACGACTACCCTCCGGAGGCGCAGCCGTCTGTGTGGATCTACCCCTCCGTCAACGAGGGCTCAGACTATGGCGCTACAGACGCTCCCACCCCTACATACGCTCCCACCCCTACATACGCTCCCACCCCTACCTTCGATCCGACCCTCTACACGATGGTGCCTCCACCTCACGGTCTCGGGACGAGGCCATGGGGTCCGGGTCCGGCTCAAGAGGTTGAGCCCACCATGGAGGTCGAGCCGACTTATGCGGTGCAGGCCGTACCTACGGAGGCGGCTTCCGTGATCTACAAGTAGATCACTCAGGCGAGCGTCGTCTGAGATAGACACTATTCTTTATTTTCATTCACCGTCGACGTTATGCTATCTACTCAATCTAGTCCTGTCTTTACCGTACGATCACCTCGTCCAACTCGCTCTTTTCTGTCTTTGCTCGAATTGTTCATTCCTCCGTACGTTGCGTTCTTATCTCCAATACTCCTCGACCTAATTTCCATGGAAAACATATCCACAATCATTATCCACTCTGCAATTCAACTATCCTTTCCCTAACCCCAATTCAACTGCGCCATATGCTCCGGCACACGGTCCCCCTTCGGCTCAAACTGGCGCAAGAACGCGTCAATCTCCTCCATCTCCTCGTCCGTCAGCTCCACCAGCGTCGAGTTCTCCTTGACGCGCTGCACGTTCGTCGACCCGGGGATGGGGATGATCGTCGGGAGGCCGTTCTTCCCGCTCTGCGCGGCGACCCAGGCGAGGGCGCTCTGCGCGGCGACCCAGGCGAGCGCGATCTGCGCGGGGGTGGCGCCCTTGCGCGCGGCGAAGGCCTCGACGGTGTGCACGAGCTGGAGGTTGAGGTCGAAGACGTCCTCCTGGAAGCGCGGGCAGAGGTGCCGGAAGTCGTCCTTTGGGAGGTCGGCGTAGGACTGGAATTGGCCGGTCTGCGATGGCGAGTCAGAATCATGTAGCAGAGATACATAGAAGGATTGAGAAAGCCCACCAGGAACCCAGAGCCCAGCGGCGAGTACGCGATGATGGGGATGTCGAGCTCCGCGCACGCCTTCGCGACGCCGTTGTCCAGGATCTCCGTGAACCACATCGAGTACTCGACCTCGACGCCGCCATCGATGCGCGCGTACTGCGCCGCCTCGCGGATCGTCGCCGCGTTGACCTCCGACAGCCCGATCGCGCCGATCTTGCCCTCGTCGACGAGCGCCTGCAGCGCGCGCATCGACACCGCGAGCGGCGTGCCCTTGTCCCGCCGCGCGGGCTGGAAGACGTCGATGCGCTTCGTGCCCTGCAGGATGTCCAGGCACCAGTCGACCTCGCGGCGGATGCTCGCGGGCGAGCTGTCCGGGCGCGCGGTGGGCAGGCCCGGGTCCGCGAGGCAGCCCTTGATGGAGAGGACGACGCGGGGGGCGTCCGCGGGGTACTTGGTGAAGTACGCCTTGACGATGTGGAGGGAGTTGTGCTCGGGCGTGCCGTAGAACACGCCGCCGTTCCAGACGTTCGCGCCGGCCTCGAGGGCGGCCTTCATGCACTCGATGGCATGCTCGGTCGTGTGGTTGCTGAACCAGGTGAGGGCTGCAGAATAATAAATACTTCGTCAAAGGTGAGGACAACGGTCGAAGGAGAGACGTACTCATGAGACCATACCCGATGGGGCCGACTTCTTTGCCTAAGTACTTCGTCATGGTTGTTTGGGGTGCTCGTGAGGCTGCTTGGAGAGAGGAAAGAGCTCAAGACTGGGTGAACCTCTGAGTGCGCGTTCGTCTTTTATACTCCTCTGGGTCTGGTCACGTATAGTTTCGACATACTAAATTGTCAGCGCAGTGGCAAGCCGGGGTGACGGCGAGCACACGGCAACAGGGATACGCGGGCTTGCTGAGGAAAAAATGTGGGGAGCAGTACCCCCAGTCCCACGGATCTGAGCCGTCGTTGGTAGACCTGGTCGAAGGAGGGTATGTACGCATAGTGAAGTTGCCACTGTCAATGAGACCGTTGACGCGTTCGCGGCGGACTCGGACGGGAGAAGGTCTTTGGATGCGAGCTCTCGGTAGAGCGAAGCCCCAGGCGCGCTGCGTCGAGGTATAACGCCCTCTGAGCGTATGTGCACACTTCAACGTTCCACGGACACAGACGATGAGGACTTAGTCAAGGAGATCCGGCAATTGCCGATGCGAACGCTTCGGGTCCGTCTCCGTTTCGGACTGGCGGTTTCAGCCAATAGGATTGCACCGTGCCTATTCCGACGAAAGTTAGACATCCATTCCGCTGATTCGAATTCAAGTTCAACACAAGTATACATCGCATTCGGCTGCTCGGGAGCACAAATCAAATAGGAGAACAGGTAGTTGGTACGACCCGCGCAGTCGCGACGTCGCTGGCGACGATAAATACAGTAAGTAATACAGTGGATAAATACATCGAGCGCATGCGAAGACATCAAGTCCACACGCTATGCGGGTACACTATAGTACTTGTGTTCCCCATCCCCCGACTTCAGAGACTCCTCGATATTCTTCTGAAGCATGTAAATGAGCAACATGCGCAGGGTGATGTTGTCGCTCTCGTAGTGGTTGTGCAGCCGCTTCTGGCGCTTCTTCTCGTCGACAGGAAGGTGCACTGAAGCGCGGAGCTCGGCGTCGAGGGCTTGCGACTCGGCCTGCGACGACAGTTAGTCAGAAATTCGGGGAGTTCGCTGCGGGACAACGCACCTTGTCCTGCAGATATTCCTCATACTCATCACCGTGGGCGAAGTTGTATCGTGCACGAAGAAGCCGGGTCGAAGGTCGCAAGTTCTTCGCTTGGAGCTGTCGCTTCGTGAAGGAGACATCCTATAAAGAGGAAACATATATTCAGCCACGAGTTCATATTCGATGGATAGAACATACCTTAGCACGCTCGAAGCTTGGCTCTTCGTTCTCCTCTGCAAATCGTACAGCCGCGGCCTCCTCCTCGGGGATCGTGATCATCTCAAGGTCTTCGTCGTCAGAGTCGTCGCTATCAGAGTCGTCGTCGTCCGAGTCGCTGTCTTCCTCGTCCTCAGCCTCGGGCTTGGGAGCAGGCTTTGTCTCGGTAGCGGAGGACTTCGAGTCGCTGGAGGTCGTGGATGCGGGTTCAATGGTAGTGATGAGCGTCTTCTCGGCAGAGGGGGCGGGCGCAGAAGTTGGCGGCGTCTGCCATGCCTGCTAGTCAATAAACATACCCTCGCCACAAAATCGGTACACACCTGGGCATCGAGCCTCGCGTCTTCCTGCGCAACCGGCGCCGGCCGAGCAAAGCGGTTGCTCCTCGCCGTGCCAGCGTCTTTGTCCGCAATGGGCTTCGCATCAGACCCCGCCTCTTTGTCAGCGTCCGACCCCGCCTCTTTGTCCGCGCCCGACATCTACAAACACGACCGTCAGCAAACGCCACCCCATACGCGAGGAGAATTCGCGACACCCCGCACGCGAGGAGGACTCGCGACACCCCGCACGCGAAGCAAACACAGTACCCGCACGCGAAAGAAAACTCGCTCACGTTCTTCATCGCCACCTCGTCCTTCGCGGAGCCCCGCTTCGCGCCTTTGACTTTGCCGACCGCCTCCTTCGCCTTGCTCACGGCGCCCTTGACCGCGCCCTTGAGCTTGGGCGTGGAGTCCTTGAGGTTGGGTGATGCGTCTTTGAGCTTGGGATTGGAGTCCTTGAGCTTGGGCTTCGCGTCTTTGACAGCGCCCTTGGAGTCCTTGCCTTTGGAATCGTTGGCCGCGCGCTTCGAGTCCTCGCCCTTCGCGCCCTGACCCTTGAACACCATCTCATGCCCCTCCCCCACCCCGCCAAACTCGTTGATCAACAGATAAGGCGATGACCGCGGCCCCTGCTTTCCCTTCTTCGAGCGCGTTCCCTTCGTCGACTTCGACAACGATCCCTTCGTCGACTTCGACAACGATCCCTTCGTCGACTTCGACAGCGATCCCTTCGTCGACGTCGACCGCGGACCCTGCTTTCCCTTCTTCGACCGCGGGTGCCTATCCTCCTCGTGCGCGGCCTGGCTGGTGAAGAGCACGGTGGCCACCATGAGCGAGAAGTGCGCCACCAGGCCGCCGACGACGAGCGTGGTCACGGGCATGGCGGGGTAGGTGGGGTGTGGGGAGCGAGGGGTGGGATGCGAGAGACGGGGATGTGAGGTGCGAGAGGCGGGGGTGGGGTGCGGGGAGAGGGGAGGGAAGAGGGGAGCGACGGCGGGGTAGAGGGAGCGGTCGACAGAAAGGGAGAGTGGAAGGGGAAATGATACAGCGAGTACTAAGCGCAAGTGGACGATACAGAGAAAGGGGATGTGTGTGCGGGGAAAGTGGGTGCGTGCGAGAGAAAAGTGGGTGTGTGCAAGGGCAAAGTGGGTGTGTGCAAGGGAAAAATGGGTGGATGCAAGGGGAAAATGGGTGGTCAAGGTTAAATCCAAGAAAGGGCGGTGTCCCTTAAAAGGCGGGCCAAGGGCTGCGGTGATGGATACGCAGTCCGTTGAGTGGCCACCTCGTGGTCGTCAGGTGCCGAAAGCGGTCGCCAGGAGCCGAAAGTGGTCGTCAGGTGCCGAAAGCGGTCGCCAGGCGCCGAAAGAGGTCGTCAGGCGCAGAAGGCAGTCGTCAGGCGCCGAAAGAAGTCGAGATATTGCCGAATATGGAGACTAGACGGTCGAGCTCTGGGAACAAATCAACATGGAGCCGTCCGGGGTGGGTATAGAATGGAGAGGATGTGCTAGATATAATGGAGAAGCGTGCGGTAGATGAGAGATAAGGCTGGCCTTGATTGACATAGCCGAGTGTCGTAGAGGGAAGACACAATGCACCGGAGCGAGTACCGGATGACGACTTACCGAGTTCGCGACGTCGTTTGTGCACTGTGACTGTCGTCGTAGAGATGTTATGCAGTCGCCTCAGCTGCTTGGACTTCCAGCGTTGCCTGGAGCAGCCAGCTACACCATATAAGATCAATACCAGACCCTACTATAGGTTGTGATATCACGGGCATACCTGGCTTCCTGTCGATCGTTGAGCGTTCGTCGGGCGTTCGCTATGTGATGTTAAGCGACCAATGCACGGACCCCTAGCGGGAACAGTGCGTCGAAGATGGATGATATGTCGATGCGACCAGCCGCAATGAGGGGAGGGAAAAAGAGGCCGACGGGCGATCGGGCGGCGCGGGGCGGCAGCCTCGTGTTGGGCGCCTTGGAACCACGACGCGCTGGGCACGGCTGCCTCGATTACGTTTCGGCTCCAGCTTTCGGGCGGAGCAAGGAAGGCAAGCGCACCTGGGCCCAAAGCTTATACGAACGAGACTTTTATAGAGACAGAGGCTATGATTGACCTTACTCGGCGCTGGACTACGATAGCCGTCTGAGCGCCTTCTGTCAAGCTGCCGTCTGCTACAAGTGCTTACAATGCTGACCTAGTGCATCTGCGTTGATAATCGTGCAGATAGAATCCAAAGCATGCTGAATAACAATGGCCATTGTGCGCACCCATGATGGGAAGCGCAAAGGAACACGGGCGCTTACTCTAGATCAAATCATCAAATCTACGACGTGACTGAAACGTGGCACACAAGCCGATCGCCCTTGTCGTTCACGCTCACCACCTCGCCCAATCTCACCGCCGTCTGCTGATCGTACGTACGAGTCACCTCTCTGAGCTCTTCTGGCTCTGACTCACTACATATCAGTATCTAATCCGCGACCCAGCTCGCGATGTTCGCTATAACAGAGCGATCCTCTCCAGCTCTGCCAATTGAGCTGCTAGAGGTCGTAGTGGATGAGCTGGGATCACAGGAGGATCAGGAGAGTCTACGATGCTGTGCTCTAGCACACAGCGTCCTGCGCAAGAGGTGTCAGCAGCACCTGTTTTCGTCCATTGTCCTCATGGTACCGCCATTCTCTCTCACGCGGAAAACCCCCTGCCAGCGTTTGCTCGACATCTTGCGCCGCTCGGGTCATCTGGCGGACTATATCAACTCCATTCGCGTCGAAAAGTCCTCACCGACGCTCTTCCCAAGCGATGACCCTCAGGCTGTACCGTGCGGCGTAGCTGGCGAGACCGCGCTCTTGCAGCTCCTGCCGATGCACGGGAAAGTGCGGATCGTCGAGTTCAGGTCGAAAAGGTACTCCTCCCCAAATCCTGACGATTGCAACTCCCTGGCCTCACTTTGCCTGCCATCCGTAGAGGCTCTGATATTGTGGGATGTCAACTTGTCGCTGTCCGTTCTCGAGTCTTTCCCTGGCCTACGGAGAGTCTCGCTTGTACACACGTGTGCTGGGTCCCCAGGGCCCAATCCAATGACTCAGCAACGGTACCTCTGGTATCGCCGAGGATACAAGAACTTGAAGTACAGGGCCCTTCCGCTTCGTTCTTCATCGACTTCCTGGACCTTCTTCGAACACTCAACTCTCCCGCCTTCGGTAATCTCACAACACTGAGGATATGTCGCCTCGGCTGCACGTTCTCGCATATCATCTCGATGATTCATCGCTGCAAGCATAGTCTGGAGAGGCTGGAGATAGCCAACCCAATGGAACGTAAGCTACATTGTTCATCTGCACCATCGCTCACGACTAATTGATGCGTCCAGGGGATACGGGCATGCTAGACCTTTCTCAGATTCCACGATTGCAGCACTTGTCCATTATCTCGGTATGGATCGAGAACATGGCCGACGTGTCGTCACGATTCCTCCGCATGCTTCGGACCATCCGTTCGCTCTCGCGGCTTACTATCGCATTCCTACACAACTGGGACGATGTCTTTACGCATAATCCGCACGAGTGGGCGAATCTCGACGAAGTATTCGGCTGCGCGGATAGACATATCGGGCATGTCTCTCTCTATGTGAATTACCCCAAGGCGCCTCGTGCTGTGGTGGATCGCACATTGGTGAAGAGCTTACTTCCACGTCTGCATGGACGCTTAGGGGATAAGTTGGTCGTTGTGAGCGGCATGTGGGGTGAGTTTATGTTTTGAATCGTGGATGCGAGCTGACTTCACTCGGGCAGAGCATGGCTATCTGTCGTAGGCGCGCTATTCAACTGTATAGCTGTAACATCGCGAGGCGATAATCTCAGTTGGGTTCTGTATCACCAGGCACGAATTACAATTATTCTGAGTTATGTTACGAGCTTGTGCCACTTTGTGGGTCCAACCCGAATTGGAAATATGTGGCGCACGTCAGAAATGACGTCGCTATTTTTGGCAGCACTTGTCGTCGTCCCCGGCGACGAGCAACCCCTCTTCCTCGCTGTCAATAGCGACGACCACGCTACTTCTAGCACCTTCAAATCGCTGCGTTGATAGACTCTCTAACGCCCCCACATCTGTTGCGAAGGTTCTGAAACCCTACCGCCGGCGCTCGCATACTTCCGCACCGACGTGTAATCTGGTGTAATCATCAAACCCATCGCATTTCACCGCTCCTTGGAGCGAACCTGGAGCTGCGCACGTCTTTCTCTTGACCACGACGACCATGTCCTCGACACCGACACCGGTGCCGACGCCGACGCCCGCGACAAAGGGCAAGAAGTTCAAGCGTGCGATCAAGTCCGCCGCTCGTCTCCCCCGACCTGGCAAGGGCCTCCGCGCGCGCAACGGGCGGGGCAGCTTCGCCCCCATCCCTGGAGAAACACCCATCGTGAACCTTCGCGTCCAGATCGTCGGATGCCGCGATCTGGTGGCCAAGGACCGGAACGGGTACAGCGATCCGTGCGTGTGATTACCCCTTTACCCACTTGTCATCGTGCTCACTCGACTTACCCAGCTTCGTCACCGTATCCGTCCTCCCGAACCGCCACCAGACGCCAGTGGCGAAGCGCACGCTGAACCCGACGTACGCCCCCAAGGATGCCACCTTCGACTTCCCCATCTACCTCTCCCTCGCCGATCGCCTAGGCGCGCTCGAGCTCGTCATCTGGGACAAGGACATGCTCAAGAAGGACTACATCGGCGAGGTCGCGCTCCCCCTCGATGACTGGTTCGCGAACGACCGCGCGTTCGGCTTCAATGAGCCCGCCAACGTCCCCTTCACGGTCAACCTCGTCAGCACGCGCACCAACACGCGGGCGAGCGGCTCCGTAGAGCTCAAGCTTGGGTTCGTGAGCCCACCGCAGACGACGAACCTGCTCGAGTTCCCCGAAGTCTACGAGGAGCTCGTCCGCCGCGCGCGTCGCTCCCTCGTCTCCGCGCCTCCCACCGAGGGTGTCGGCACAATCCGGCGCAGCGAGGGTGGTCCTGCGTTCGAGGACGACGGCGGCCTGAGCTCGTCTTCCGAGGACGAGGACGAAGACGAGGATGACGAAGACACGGACGCGTTCCCAACGACGCCGTCGACCCCCGGAGGCATCTACGACCGCCCTCCCGCCGAGCTCCTCGCCCACGCGCGCAAGCCAAGCGGCCCGCACGGCACTCCAAAGGTTGAGTCACCCAAGTCCGACAGCACGCCTACGCCCCGCGTCGACAGCGCGGTTGCGCCCCGCCTCGACGTGCAGCCGGCCTCTCCACAAATGCCGCCGCGCAGTCCATCGGGCGGTTCGCGCTCGAGTCTTTTGCCCAAGATTCTGCGTCGTAGCTCTAGCTCACCAGCCGACGGTACTGCGAGCCCAAGTCGTAGCCCCAGCCCGGCTATTGCAACTCCAACGACTCCGTCATCCACTTTGACGCCTTCGGTCCCAAGCACGTCGACTCCTGGCAGACGTCGTAAGCGCGAGAAGGGCGGCTCATATGCTTTGGGCAGCGAGAACGACATCGTCGGCATCGTCATGCTCGAGATCGACCGCGCGGAGGACCTGCCGAAGCTGAAGAACATGACGCGCACCGGATGGGACATGGACCCCTTCGTCGTCGTGTCCTTCGGCAAGAAGGTCTTCCGCACCCGTGTCATCCGCCATTCGCTCAACCCCGTCTGGGACGAGAAGCTTCTTTTCCACGTCCGGCGGTATGAGAAGGCATTCCGGGTTAAGCTTACCTTGCTGGATTGGGATAAGCTTTCCAGTAACGATCTCATCGGCGAGACGGGCTTCGAGGTATGGTATATGCCGTCCTCATAATATATAATGCTCACGTCTTCATCCAGGTCTCTGACCTTCTTGCGAAAGCTCCGCAGCCGGATCCGAAGACGGGTCTGTACAAGGATGTCGAGGATGAGACCGGTCAGGAGGAATTGATTGAGTACAAGCTGAACATCGCTACCGACAAGAGCCACGCTTGGGAGGCGAGGCATAACCCCGTCATCACCGTACGGTAAGTTGCACTGAATGCTTTACGTTCCAACAAGTCATCTAACATTCGTGCAGAGCCAAATATCAGCCTTACGATGCTCTGCGACAGCGGTTCTGGAGGCAGTACCTCCGTCAGTACGATACCGACGACACGGGATCCTTGTCGCATGTTGAGGTATGCTACCGGCGTAGCAATTTCGCGTCGTGCTGAACTGTAACAGATCACGAGTATGCTTGACTCTCTGGGCTCGACGCTCACGCGGTCGACCATTCACTCGTTCTTCACGCGCTACGGTAAGCAGCCGCATGAAGACGAGCTCACGATGGACGAGGTCGTACAGGTAAGTGTTAGTCGCCGAGGTCTCTTCAAGGGACTAACGCCAATACAGTGTCTCGAAGACGAGATTGGCAAGCCGGACGCTGAGCGGAAGCGTGTCGGGGACGATGCGGATGACGACCCCAGCACAAGTGCTATCGCTACCCCCGTCATCGGCCTCTCCGACGCGCAAGGTCGCGAGATCGACATGAGTCAGCTCGACTTCTCCGGTCCCCCGGCCGCCGCCGGTGCCAATGTCTCTGGCGACTTGAGCGATGCACCCGTGGAGAAGCCCGAGAGCATCGTTCCGGGTGGCGGCCAGCCCCTCGACACTTCGCACGAGAAGCCAGGCGCGAACACGACCAAGCCTGGTGCGCCTGCCGGTTACTCGACGGAACCAGCGGCGCAACCTCTGCACGAAGCTGCCGCGCCCGCTTCTTCCTACTCGTCCTCTGAAGACGCCGGTGAAGAGAGCTCGACATCTGTAAGCGGCGTTCCCGGCAAGAAGAAGAAGCGCGGGCTCAAGTCGCGCGCCAACTTCCGCAAGTCGTCGAGCTCGCGCTCCAAGTCCGGGTCGAGTAGCCCCGACGGGCTGGGTTCAGGCTCTGGGGATGTGGGCTCGGTCGAGCGGGTGATCAACGTGAAGAACTGCCCGCTGTGCCACCGGCCGCGGCTGAACGACAAGGCGGAGATGGACATCGTGACGCATCTGGCTGTGTGCGCGAGCCAGGACTGGAACAAGGTTGACCGCATCATGGTCGCCAACTTTGTGACGGCGAGCCAGGCGCAGCGGAAGTGGTACACCAAGGTCATTGGGAAGATTAGTTCCGGTGACTACAGGCTGGGCGCGGTAAGCATAGGCGGCATCATCGACAACAATGAAGCTCATATTTTGACTGTAGAACTCTGCGAACATCATCGTACAGAACCGTATGACGGGTCAACTAGAAGAGGAGAAGATGGCTGTTTACGTGCGCTTGGGCATCCGACTGCTATACAAGGTTCGTGCTCTTCGAGCGACTCAATACCGTGATTGACCTAATGCCGCGATTAGGGTGCTAGAAGCAAGATGGAAGGCGGGCGAGGTAATGACTTGCATTCATCTAATCAATAAATCGGCTAAAGACTATGCAGCTCGCCGTCTGCTGAAGTCATTGTCCATCAAGCAGGGTCTCAAGTACGACTCGCCGGAATCGGCGCGCGACATTCCAGCCTTCATTGAGTTCCACCAGCTTAACGTCAACGAGATGCTCGACCCGATAGACTCCTTCAAGAACTTCAACGAGTTCTTCTATCGCAAGTTGAAGCCCGACGCACGTCCCGTCGAGTCTCCCGACGACCCGTATCGCCTCGTCAGTGCCGCCGATTGTCGCCTCATGACCTTCGAGACCGTCAGCGATGCGACGAAGCTGTGGATCAAGGGCCGCGAATTTACGGTCGGGCGCCTGCTCGGGGATAACTACAAGGCGGACTTCTCGCGGTACGAGGGGGGCGCTCTGGCCATCTTCCGTCTCGCGCCGCAGGACTACCATCGCTTCCACACGCCAGTTGACGGGAAGGTTGGTAAGATGACTTATATCGCGGGCGAATACTACACGGTCAACGTAAGGTTCCTCAGTCGCCTTGAGTTCGACTTGATCTGACGGTCCTTCTCAGCCGCAAGCTATACGTACCTCTCTGGACGTGTACGGAGAGAACGCGCGCATGATCGTGCCCATCGACAGCCCGCAGTTTGGCCGCGTTATGGCGGTCTGCGTCGGGGCCATGATGGTCGGCACCATCAAGATTACCGTTGACGAAGGCCAGGAGATCAAGCGCGGCGACGAGTTTGGCTACTTCGCTTTCGGTACGTCCGTCGAACCTCGCGGCTGTACTATACTCACCTCCAACAGGTGGTTCGACGATCGTGTTGCTTATCGAGAAGGGCGCGGTGCAGTGGGATGAAGACCTCCTTATCAACGGTCGGTCCGCTCTCGAGACGCTCGTCCGGGTTGGCATGGGCATCGGTAAAGGCTTGAGAGCCGATTAAACTTGTGTCGCGGTCGTCGATTAGCTTGGTTGGCGGAACGAATATCTGAGGACGGACTTGCTAATAAAACTAAAGAAATCTGTATTTATCTCATTACAACGGCAATGTACATTCCGAAAGTGCATCTATACGGATACGCTGTTGGCTGAGTGTTGGTACAGGATTGCCACTGGCAGGCGGCAATTGCAGCGTATGACACGGCGATGTTCGGGATTTGCCGATGTCTGACCTTCAAGTTTGCCACACAGCCAACTCCCAGCAAACTACTGAAAGCAAAAGCAGGACAGGGGCTTCATGCCGTAAAATGATACAGCACTGATACAGCACTGATAGTATAGTACTATGAGCGAAGTCAGAGAATCAGTCCTTCGTAAGCTTGTCCAGAACACCGCGCTTGTAAAACATCTCGTAAATCCTCAGCATCTGCGGCTGCATTCGATCTCCAGATATCCGTGCGACCGCTTCACGTGTGGCTTGAGGATGCGTAGCACTCGGAGGAGGCTGGCGCTGAGGTACAGGCGTAGGTGCAGGTTTGGACGCGGATTTCTTCTTGTTCGACTTCTGCTTAGATTCGCCTGCGACCTTCTTTTTCGACTTTCGCAGCGTTGCCACTTTCTCCGCCTGTTTTTTCTTCTGTTTAACGTCGTACCGCGATCTGATTTCCACGTGCATGAGCGCGATCCGGCGCATGGTCATGACCTCCAGCAAGGAGTAGTGGAGATGCGGAGGTCTGCAGAAATCGCGCTTGTTTGTACCCGCTTCGTCGGTGTTGATCTCAGCCGGTTGGGCCGCTTGTTCTTTCTTCTTCTCCTCGAGTCTGCATATCTAACGGATTAGTTAGTAAAAGATGCCCATGCAGGTAAATACATACTACGCACCTTGTTATGAAGATAGTCCGCATATCTCGGCGGGTATTCAGCGGTAAAGTCGCGACGCGCTGTCACAAGCCTCATAGCCGCGCTATCCGGTGCCATGTCGGAAATTGGCTTCCAAATATTGAGCATGGTGGAAGAAACTAGCGTTTGTGTGGGCGTACCTCGGGGCACTCGAAGGTGGGATGAGATGACTCGGAATCCGAGCCTGGTGCTACCTCCTCCTTGAGTTCCCGCAAGCGCTTCAGCATGTTGTTGCAGATCCGTCGACCAGTCTTCAGCGATTTCGCCGCATCGGAAGACTGTGAGGGGGCCGGTGGCTGAGATGGCGCAGCGCCTTTTCCACTCGGGGATTCTTGCTGTGGCAGAGCGGAGCTGACAGGAGTGCTTCTCTGCTCCTTGGGGACCAGTATCATTCTATCCTCAAGCATGCGCGCTGCCGCCGCAAAGGGCGCGCGAGCAGAGTGCCTTCCCCACTGGGCATTCACGATCAGGAAGGTGAGTTGAGCATTGAGTATAATACACGCACACGATGTCTGGCTCTCGATAGACGTTCTGCTATAGTCTTCACCATCGGTTTGGTACCGAGAATGTCATCCAGCTTCAACGAAGTCTTCAACGTTGACGACTTGATGGGTCGGTAGGGATCAGCTCGGGTCTTCGGTGGCGGCGGCGACATGGCGAGTGTTGGATCGAAAGAGGAAAAATCGGAACTCGCGGTCGACGGTCTCCAAGGTGGCACGCAGGTGGAGGTGGACAACAAAGGCAACAGCACGTGCACAATCTGGCCCATGTTGATTTATGGCAGATGCCGAGGCATGCGGCAGCCATCATCTACCTTAAGGGGATACTCTCAGCGTGGCATGCATCTCCGTCGAGGTATGAAGACAGGACATTCACCTGGCTGACGTCGCGCGCCTTGTGGGAACTACGAAGCTGATTACTTTGTACGCCTCTACGCGTACTAGAGTCTACCTCAACTCACTTGATGCACGCCGGATCGAAAACAGCACGAATCGGTCATTCTATCGCATTCAAAGTTCGCTATGACTACTGTACATACGGAGGGAAAACGAGCATCTCGCAATAAGGACCCTTTCCACGCATGCCACTGTTGACGAAGTTATACTCCGCTAGCATCTGCGGCTCCTTTTGCTCCTTAGATAAATCGGAAATAGCGTTGCGCAGAGGCTGTTGCTTTTTCGGAGACAGACTCTTCTTAGGCGACTCAGACGGTTTTTGGCGAGACTGCGGCTTCGCGCCGCAAGTGGCGACCTCTTTCTTGCTCTCACGCAGCTCCTTCTGCCGCTTCGCATCTTCATGCGCACGTCTCACGTTCGACATTGCTAAATGATGGACGGTGATTTTGTGCATCGCCGTGACCTCGAGAAGGCGTTTACGAAGGGAGGGAGGTTTGTAGAGGGTGGGGTACGCTGTGCGCTCGAGCGGAACATCGGCTTCACGAGCTTTCAGAAGCAGAGCCTTCTCGCGCTTTTCTTTGGCGAGAGCATGATCCTGCCACCATGTCAGCGCTGAGCGGAAGACAGAAGGCATCGGAGTGTCAGTACCCTGTGGTATATGTAGTTGCGGCGCTTATGGGTGCTGGAAACGTATGCCAGCCGAGAAAGCTCAAGCTTGGCGGCGGGACTGGATTGGTCAGTATCAATGAATGACTGTTTATGACGCCTGATTGAGCACGAGAAATAATCAAGCGGGATGCTAACATACCTCGGAGCTCTCAGGGCGAGACGACGGTGGCATCAGTGCGGCGTGGGCTTTGATGATCTCTCTCAGTTCAAGTAGGTGGTTAGGCTTCGGCGACTTTCTCGGAGGGGCAGAGGGTGGTGTCGCGGTGGCAGGCGCAGGCCCTGCGTTCGAGGCGGAAGGAGGTGAAGAAGGGATATTGGGGGGTTGAGAACGCTCGTGTGGTGTGGGTGGCGGCACAGGATTCGTGTTACTTGCCCCCAGAATACCCGAGGCCGTCGCGATCTCTCGTGCCACCCTGGCAAAGCCTCTGCGCCCGAGGCTCGGCTACGATATTGTCATGATAACCCTCGAATTACTCGCACATCCAAACGCACCTGCGCTCTTCCACGCTCCAGCTTTGACTCGATCTTCTTGGCCGACGGACTCGAGCCCAACATATCTTCCAGCTTCACAGAAAATCTCAACATCGACGACCTCGCCGGGCGATACGAGTTGGCGAGGGACTTGGGCTGCGGTAGCGACATCGTAAATGATAATTCTATTGATCGAGAAGCTTCGCGGCGGCTTTGGCTGAGCGCGAGATGACCTCGAGATGAGAGTGGCAGACAAGGAGCTGCGTTTGCGGAAATCCAGCCCCGCGCCGCGTTTTGTTGACTTTCGGAAAGTGCCGCGATGCCGCCGCACGGCTGTCGGAGCATGCCCTTATATGGTAGTTGATGGTAGTTGTTGGTAGGCGGAGTTCGAATTGACGCCTCGTGATGTTGGCCATGTCTGTAGGCAAAACAATCGGGGGGAAATCTAGATAGATATCTCGTCAGTAAGTACGAAGAGAAAGGCGTACTTTCGCGCCAGGCCGTCACAGTATATAATACTGAGAGAATGTCGCCGCAATGCCACAACAACAGAGGTTAGCCATAGTCAGTCAGGTCGTACAAAGCGGTCTACATGTAAAGTGATCTAGGAATGGTGCAGGGTGATACAGACAAACAACAGCATCAACAAAGGGATAGAGAAAGGTACACGTCACAGCGCCGCGCGGGGCTTGGATATTCACAGTCGCGCTACTTGTGCGAGTCCTGGACTCTGGAAGGCCTGGGGCGACATTTAGCGGGCTTCTTCCCCTCAGCTCTCTGTAAAATTTGACGTCAACACAATACATAGCAAGGCAAAGCGCGACTTACAAGTTGATTGACCAAGCTGCGCCGCTTTGGCCGGTACTTGGCTTTGACAGAACCTACGGGTCTCTACGACGATAATTTGCATTAGCCCTCATAGAGAAAGCGCGAGGATGGACTCACGACCGTAACGACGGCGGGCAACTTCTGCGACACAGTATTGGCCCTTGGTCCCTTGGGCTTGTTTCCCCGCGGTGCCACGGATCGAGGAACAGGGTCCTAAGTGGCGTGAGATCACGAAATCAGGAAGACGAGGGAAGACGCACCTGGGTCGCCACAACACTCGGTTCCTGGAGCGGCCAATCCTCGACGACGGCTACTTGGGCCTCGACAACAACCATCTCGACGCGGTGAACTGCGCTGAAGGGTTTCTTGACAAGCTCGGTGACCATCGGCGCTGGAGGTTGCAAGGGCCTCGTATGGTGCTTGTGACCTTTCTCCGCCGCCACTCTCTGAAAATCGGTCAGAGTTGACGTCGAGTCTGGTAGATGATCGATGTGACGTACCTCGACGTGTTTACTCGCTGAAGACTTGCTCTCATGGGGCGCGTCCCTCTGCTGTCCATCGACTGGAATCCATTTGCCATGGCCCTAGAACGGACAAATCAGACAGACTAGCAGCTTCGGAACGCCGAAGCACTCACCACTTGGATGAACTTACGCGCAGGCCTCGCGCACTTCGCGACCTGTTGGATGAACATGGCTGCAGACTTTTGAGTGGCAAGGTCGTCGGTCTACAGACACCCCGAGGCGATACGCGCCAAGGAGCGAAGAGGGAGGGGCAAGGGAGCGCGCGCCAAAACCTGGGCGCCCACCGTCCTTATATGCGCGCAGCGCGCTTAGACCACAGATTACCTTCTATAGCAGTGGTCCGGTTGAACTTGACCTGCATCAAAATGGAGCCCGGGGCGACCCATGCTATCTCCGCGAACAAAGCAGCGTCGCGCGCGCCCGTGAAAGAGATGTGATTCGAACGCTTTAATCGATATACAAATATTCCTTTAAGGTTCTGACGCGTCAGGTGGTGGCAAAGTCGCTGGAGTAGTCAACGTAAGTCTTGTGCCAGTGGAGCAGCCAAGCTGGGACTGTCGACCTCGTTTGTTGAACTCTCGGGTCGGCCGATATTCGTTGTCGAACCAGAGCCAAGCGGCGGGGGCTCACGCGCTACGTCCGGCTCGTCTCTGGGGCTCAGGAGAAAGTGCCACGCAAGAGCGGGAGCACGCGACAGCGCGACATATTTGCCCCTCGAGAGAAACCCAGAGCAGTACATCGCCAACGCCACAAGACGGCGTTATAGACGAAGTCGACCGAGGAACGTACTACAGCGAATGCCCTCAGGCAAACCAGAGCGAAGCAGCGGTTGCCAACGGAGCCCATAGTCTATGAGTTAGAGCAATTCATGCCGAAGCAAGGATTTCCCTAGCATCAGAATGACCCCATCCAGAACAGAGTGGGTGTAGCTGAACGTGACCGTCCGAAAGGCGCCGGAGAAGAGGGTGCCCAAGCGTATGCTCAACAGCGCCAGCGGCGCTGCAGACGTTGGTCTCGCTTCTTTGGAGTCGCCCGCGTATATGAGAGCAGAGAAAAGCGCAGAAGACGGGCTGAGCTGGCAGTGTACCAGGCAGGAGGTGGTTTGGGACAAGGGAGAGACGCGCCGTCACGCGCTTTCAAACTCCGACTCGCATACTTCTCGATCATGCCCATCTGCCGTCCGCTGCCCCTTCGCTTACCGCTCAGACTCCAGGCCCCGCGGAGCCTCGTATCGAACTACGCTTTACGATCCCTCGGACTCCAAAGCACTATCTCGTCTCGAACAGTGATACTGAGTGAAGACGCTGTCATCTTATGCGGGCCTGAAGCGGACTGGTGTACTCTTCCTGCGGGAAGGAAGCCTTCACTGAGTCAATCACTGTATACTGGACCATGTACCGTATCGGTGTGTACACTCATCTGCTTGATGTGGCGTGCGCTGACGGAGATGCAGTCTAGGTAGTTATCGTTTCGGACGTGTCGATCCAAACGTACCTCCCAACCGCCCATGCACTCCCTGTCAATAAACACCCTTTTCACCTTGATACGTCGGGCGCAATCCGCTCAAGTCGACATCATTCCGCCCGTTTTTGGGAGCGAGTCGAAGTTCCGGTTACCCCTAAGCAGCGCGTGCGACTCTCGGTGGCGGTAAGCGCATCCTGCCTCCGGGGAGCCTGCTGCATGGGATATTACACCAGTCGCGTCAGCCAGGCGTAGCCATTCAGACTAAGGGGACGTCTGGTGAGCTTGATCAGCAGCGAGCCACGCTCGAGGGCGATTCGCAGACACCATGAGACGTCGAGACGACCGGGAAGACAGGCTATGTGCTGACACGACAGTCTTCTACGGCGGTGTGGACGACTCAGCGATACATCCCCAGCATGGGCGCGCATTGCGATCATTGCTTTCCTTAGATGCAGGGCATATGATCACCGTCAATCGATTCAATTTCTACGATCTTCCGAGGAGGCCATTGCGACGCACTCCCCATCTGTGCATGAGGTGTTTCCCGCTTGATGTCCGTGGAGCGCTGACTTCACGTGCAGGTTCTCAGTGTCCCATTGTTCGCTCGAAATGGCCACTGATGGCAGCCGTTCGGGATCCGCCGCATTCTGCTGATGCGAGCCTTTGCGCTTGCTTTGTTCAAGTTGTGACTCGCGATCACCTGTTTGTTGCGGTTACCCTTGGGCTGTTCCCGACCGTCACTCATCGTCGTTGGATCTCTCGTCCTCCCCAGTGGTCCTCGCCCTTTGGGGTCCCATCCTCATTTTCCTTCCTCCGCCAACTCTTGGCATTGTTCTTGGGTATTATGGTCGTCCCGGCTCCCTCTCCCCTGCGCTACACCACGGACGCGGAGGGGTCTGCCTCGTACGTTGCGCCCCGTGAGGTCAAGGAAACTCAGTCCGAGGTGCGTGTACCGCTCTCCTCCGTCCGAATGATTTCCTAACCCACTCTTCGTAGACCCCGACGCGCGCCCTCGTTCCCGTCTCATTCAACATCTACTCGCAGAGGATCTATAGGCCCGGATACCCCAGCGACCTTCCATCCATCGAGGCCGCTTCCGTGCGTCGCCTACTATTCTGCTCCCCACCCTCTTTACTGACTACGCACCCCAGCGCACAATGCTCATCAAGTCGAACGCCGAGACGCGAGATCTCGGCCACCTCTGGTACGCCAGGAAGAAGTTCTCGTACGGACGGAGGGGCACAAAGCAGTACCTCAGCTACTGCTACGCAAAGGTGCGTCCGCTGCCCTCCCTTTCGTTGATTGAGTCTGACAGTATACGCTCCGAAGGACCAGCGCAGAATGGCGCACGCACAGTTCTGCTACGTGCAATACATGAAGCATGGGGAGGTCGACGAGGACGAACGGCGGGGGATGCGTGATCATTGGGAAAAGGATGTACCGCGCTTGCGCGGCGACTGGGTATACGTGCGGCGGATTGTCTTGCGCTTCCTCCTCGCGCGGGTAATGAGGACGTGGAAGGCAAGGCTTGTTAAGGTGCGCGCCGGTAAAGGCCAGCAGTTGTCGATCAGATCCACAATCCCAGACATTCTGTAGCATTACATCTCAACTTTTTTCCGCACATATTATGGCGCACTCGGGTAGTGTAGCTTCATCCTAGGCAGCCCGTCGTAGAGGCATTAGATATTTTACTTATGTATGGATCCTGCATATGATTGGGCTTCGTCGCCCTCATTCACGCATGCTTAATGCTTCATTCGCACACTCAACAAGAACATGATGGCTACCCATGGCTCACAACCAATCGCTAGCGCACCACAGCTATTGTAAACCGATTAGGAAGGCCTTGTGGCCATCACGTGAGCGCCACGAGGCGGAAAACTGCCCCTGATCCACGTAAGAGCGCATTTCACCAACCTCCGGAGCACTCTTCCCGCTCTTCGACATTCAACTGCTCAGCCTTCTACAGTGTTTCAGGTCTGGACGAATCCCATGCCCTTTCTGACTGCAGTTTGGCGAGCGACCTCCGTCCGACAAGCCACGGGCTCCGGAAGTAATTCCGTCGCCGACGCCGATTTATATGGATTGAAGTTTTCTAATTGGTGACCTCGGACGCAGAATTGAATGTTCCTCGCTTGGGCACCCCCGTTTCGTGGCTAAGAGCACTGCATTCATTTGGCTGACATCGCAGGTGGATTCAAACACATGCCAACTCGCCACGGCTCTCACGCGAAGAGGTCATTCTCATGCTCAGGCAGACCTTCTGGACAGCTTTGAGAGGGCCATGGGAGACATTTGGCCTGCGTAGCATGCCGCCAACCATCTTCAAGCTCGCCTTCAGACGGATCGGGACTATGATCGACAGCAGAAAGGGGCCGGCAACCGGTTTCTTACCGGGCATGTGGCTAGACTTCCGTATTTGCATATCCTTGTTCCGGGGGACTCGGCGCGCACGCCCTCCGGCCGCTGTCTTAATCCTCTTCCCACCACCATTGCCGGTCCCCTTCCCTCCCTTACGCCCGGCCTCGAACGCCGCCTTTCCATTCCCTTCCTTTGCAGTCACGACTCCCTTCGTTTTCTACCATGATGCCGACCATGCAATCCCTCCTGCTCCCCGCACTCCTGGCGTCGAGCGCGCTCGCCGCATCCGCAGATGACTGGCGTCAGCGCACGATCTACCAGGTGCGTCGCACACGCCTTTGCACGGCGAGCTACGCTGACCCTTACCTCTAGCTCATCACCGATCGCTTTGCGCTCGAAGACGACTCCGGCGCGTCCTGCGATACGGCGGACAGGAAATACTGCGGCGGGACGTGGAAGGCGATCCAAAACCACCTCGACTACATCTCTGGCATGGGATTCAACGCCATCTGGATCTCCCCCGTCGTCAAGAACGTTGAGGGCGACCTCGGATACGGCGAGGCATACCACGGGTGCGTTGTGCCTGGCAAAGGCGCTTAGGCGGCTACTGATCGCCGCGTCCCCCTTTCCCTGCAGGTACTGGACGCAGGATTTGGACTCGCTGAACGACAGGTTCGGGTCCGAAGACGACCTCAAGGCGCTAGTGTCGGCTGCGCACGACAAGGACATCTATGTCATGGTTGACGTGGTGGTGAACCAGTGCGTCGCGGCTGCTTCTGGGGGGATGCGGTAGCTGACATGGACGTCCTCGTAGCTTCGCTGGCAGCGGCAAGAACTTTGACTACGACAACTTCTCGCCCGTCTCTGGCTCCTCTTCGTTTCACCCGCAATGCTGGATCAAGGACGAGGGCAATCAGACGGAGGTCGAGCAGTGCTGGCTCGGCGACGAAACCCTTGCGCTCTATGATATCAACACGGAGGACAACGCGATCGCCAGTAAGCTCAACGACTTCGTCAAGAACATTGTTAGCACCTACGGCTTCGATGGTGTGCGCATCGACACCGTCAAGCACATTCGCAAGGACTTCTGGCCCGACTTTGCCAGCTCTGCCGGCGTCTTCACCATCGGCGAGGTGAGTAGTCTTTCGCAACACCTTGAACGACCTCGCTAACGTCCGAAGGTCTTGAGCGATAACGTCACCTATGCTGCCGACTACACCGAGGTCCTTGATGCCATTCTCGACTATCCGACCTACTTCGCCCTCGTCAACGCCTTCACCAACACCAGCGGTGATCTCTCTGCCCTCCAGAACACCGTCACCGAGGCGCAGGACAAGTATAAGAACGGCGAGCTGATGACCGGCTCGTTCAGCGAGAACCACGACTACGCGCGTCTGGCGAGCAAGACCTCGGACAAGTCGCTAATTCAGAATGCGATTGCATTCAACTACATTCACGACGGTATTCCCATCACCTACTACGGCCAAGAGCAGGGCTATACGGGTGGTGACGAGCCGGCCAACCGCGAAGCGTGAGTCTCAGCCATCGTGTCATTATGAATCCGTTTTAACGTGCCTTCAGTCTTTGGCTCTCCGGCTACCCGACCGACAACGCCTTCTACAAGGGCATCGTCGCGCTCAACGCCGCGCGCAAGTCCGCCATGAACGCCGGCACCAACTTCCTCACCACCAAGCTCGCCTTCCAGTCGCAGTCCGACATCGGCGCGATGGCCGTGTCCAAGCCGCCCCTCCTCGGCTTCTTCACGAACACCGGCAGCAGCGGCTCGGCGTCGTGGTCTGTTGACGGCGCGTACGACGCGAACGAAGAGCTCGTGGACGTGCTCAGCTGCAACACCGTCACCGCGGACGGCAGCGGGAAGGTCACGGCGACGTCGAGTGGGGGGATGCCGCAGGTGCTCATCCCGACGAAGTACTTGAGCTCGGATGCGGGTGTGTGTCAGGACCAGGCCGGTGGCGCCATGAGCATGCGCGTTTCTGCCATGGCGGGTCTCGCCGCGCTCGTCGCGTTCGTTGTCACCGCGCTATAATCGCCTCGGCGGTAGCTCCTTCGCCCTCGATGGTGAATCTCTCGCGCGACGGTAGATCCTGCTTTGACTCTCTACTGGGATCTCATGTGGTCGTTATGGACTCATTTAAACACCTACTATCCTTATTTACACCCTGGACATTGAGGTTGAAGGTACTGTACTCTTACTCTTAGTATATTGCTGATACTGGTGTACACAATTCGACCTTACGGACTACTGGCCTCTAGATATCGGGCTTGTTTGGTAGTAATCAATGGCAGGGTCCCTCTAATAGAATGTGCTCGCTGTGGTTTTGAGCTTTTGCGGTCCCCTCGAGCGTCTTGGGATACTTACCTGTGGCTAAGGTCCTAGGGGCAGGTCAAAGTCGGCCATAAACCCCGTGACCTTCGGCGATTCCCGATAACAGTAAGCGGCTGGCTTCCGCATTCAGCGGGATGACCGCCGCTGGCGCATATAAGCGCCCATCGATTTGTTGCACTTCTACTTCTAATCGAGCCCTCTGAAGTAAGCGAGAATCGTGTCATGACCGCTCTACACACCCCTTGTCGACTACAGCTGGCGCTCAAGCTCTGCTTCTCCACACGTCGCGCGGGCAGTCTGCAGCTGGAAGAGAGCGCTCTGCTCGGGCGCTGTCTCAACTCGCCTTCGAAGCGGTAGTGCGGTACTGCCACCCTCGACGCGCTCAACGTAGGATGCGTCGAAGGCGGCCTTTGACTTCCTCCGCGTCTGGTCAACGCGGATGCCAGCCGCGACTGGCTTCGATGACTTCGACTTTCGCGGGTCATCGTCCGAGAGAGTAGGGATATAAGGGAGCGGAGGAGATGGTACGACGGCATCCAATTTTTCTAACTTCGCAACTAGTAATCCCTCAGCTCCACAAAGCAATCCATCTAGCATGTCCGCTGCAGGCCAAGTCACCTATCGCCAGCTCGGCAAGTCCGGTCTGCGCATCTCTGTTCCAATTGTACGTCCCGGTTGGTGTGCATCGTACGTCTATGTGTTAGCTCACGACTCCCTAGCTGGGCACAATGAGCTTCGGAAATCCTGAGTGGGCGGTGAGCATGATGCAGAGCGTATGCAAGCGCAATGCTGACCTACTATCGTGTTCAGGCCTTCGGAGCGAAATGGGTTCTCGGCGAGGAGGAGAGCCTGCGCATCCTGAAGACGGCCTGGGATATGGGCATCAACACCTTCGACACGTCGAACAACTATTCGAATGGCGACTCGGAGCGGATGCTAGCTAAGTTCATTGAGAAGGTAAGTCTATCATCAAAAGGGAAAAAGAATGGACCTAACGCACCGCCAGTACAACATCCCCCGCGAAGAGATCATCATCGCCACCAAGTGCTTCCGTACGTCATATCCCCCCTACCCTCCTGCAACCTACTCACCTCACCCAGACCTCGTCAGCAAAGACCCCACCGCCGTCTCCCGCGCCCGCCCCGACCTCCTTAACACGCGCGAGTACCTCAACCGTGCCGGCCTCTCTCGCGCCGCCATCTTCAACGCTGTCGACGCCTCCCTCGCGCGCCTCAACACGCCCTACATCGACCTCTACCAGATCCACCGCTTCGACCCGACCGTGCCCGCGGAGGAAACGATGGAGGCGCTGCATGATCTCGTGCATGCGGGCAAGGTGCGATATATCGGCGCAAGCGCAATGCGGTGCTGGCAGTTCGCGCACTTGGACACGGTGGCGGAGAAGAATGGGTGGACGAAGTTTGTGAGCATGCAGAACCAGGTGTCGTTGTTGTATCGGGAGGAGGTGAGTAGTGTCCGTTGGGATGGAGGTGAAGGGAAAGAGGAGGGAAGCTGACGACACACCACAGGAACGCGAGATGCTCGCCTACTGCAAGTTCAACGGCATCGGCGTCATCCCTTACTCCCCTCTCTTCGGCGGCAAGCTAGCGCGCCCGCTCAAGTCGGACACCACCGCCCGCGAGACCGCCGTGACTGCCATGATGAGTGGGGACGTGTCCGAGGCGGACCGCGCCATCATCGCGCGCGTGCAGGAGATCGCGGAGCGCAGAGGCTGGAAGATGAGCCAGGTCGCGCTGGCGTGGGTGGCAAGCAAGACGGACAGCCCGATTGTGGGGGCGAACTCGCCGGAGCGGGCGTTGGAGAGCGCGATTGGGGGCCTCGAGCTGACAAAGGAGGAGGTTGCGTACTTGGAGGAGCCGTGAGTGGCGGACCTTACTCTTCTGGTTTCTGTGCTGACGAAGGATGACTGCAGGTACAAGCCAAAGGCGGTCATGCATCATGCGTAAAAATTCAGCATGTGCGATGCAATTGAGGTGAGATGTACATAGTTAAGACCATGTAAAGCGTATTCTCGATATTGTTATCCTGTCCGACGCGAAAGGCACCTGAAACTATCGTGAGTAATATCCATTCGACGTGTCAAGGCCATAAGCAACACGTCAGAGAGAAGATATTGAGCCTACAGCTCCAGTCATTGGGAGGCCGTGTCATCAGACACGCCTCGCTTCAGACAGACGTGGTGATACGATAGTTTCCATCATTCGAATTCAAGGGCAATGCGAGCGCGCACCTACTTACTGTCGTGAGACTCGCCAGCCGCCATGAGATGTCCGCGTCGCAAGCGGTTCCGGCAAGGAGACTGATATTCCGCGGCTCCCGAGTGTTTTCGCTCGATGGAAGGGCCAAGCAAGCACAGGTCAAGCAGTAAGCAGCCAGAAGAGAGATAAAAGAATTAGCTGACGAGTCACCGTCCACAGAATCGGGCCCCGGCTAAAGCCGATGGCTATGTGGCGTCAGGTGGCGTCGTGGGTCCGGCGCTTGCGAACATCCATCAGCATCAGCGCTTCATGACCGCGTTTCCTCCTCGTCTCCCGCTCCCATCTTCTGCTGCACGTCCGCCGTAGCGTACGGTGCCGGAGAAGGGCGCCTTTGCCCAAGACGACCCCGCAAGTACCCCAAACGCTGTGAGATTTGGACATCTCGGCATCACCTCCAGGCGCTCGTACCCCGGGTCCCCCCATCTCGTTCCCAACCAGCATGAAGGCAGGACTAGGAGGGATGCGCGCGGGACTCGGTGTGGTCTGCATACTCAGTCGCATAGCGCGCGCGACGTTTGTCGATCCCCTACCTCAGGTGCGCGATCAGCCACAAGGGCGTGAACAACGATTACTGATAGTTGCTCAGTCGTGGTTCTTCGACTTCTACTCCCCAGATGATCTCGCGCAACCTCTCCTCTTCCCCGTGGTCCGTACGTGGCACATCCCTCACCCGCCTGGCCATTCCTAAAGAACATCTCACAGGGCAGTGCGACACACTGACCATTCAATGGACCTCCGAGGGCGCGTCAGAGTACGTTGGCACCTCGCTTCCTTCATTCAGAACAGACTAACCTCACCGACCTCGTAGCCCGAAACCCTCCCCGCCGTACAGCTTGACGGTCCTCTCGTCGTACGTCCCCCACTCCACATGCGCATACCCTCCGCTTAGGCGCCCTAAGAGCCTATGATTATCCGATTACGCTCCCCGCGGGGGACGGGAACAGCGTGGTTAGCTCGATCTTTCCCTCATCCCTCCCCTTCGCGTCTGATCATAGCTTTCAGGCTTACCAGGTCACCTCTCCGCCGCAAAGCCAGGTACGCGCCAGTACCGTCCTTACGGCATCCCATCGACTTATCACGCATCTTCCTGTAGTTTCAAATATGCATGGTAAGCTCTCCCGCTGATCTGCCGCTCTGGAGTCTTTGCTGATGAACTCTCTTTCTCCCATCGCCTCTCTTTTTCCTATCCTCCTTCTATTTCTATCCTCCTCCTAATTCCCACCATCTCACTCGATATGTCCTCTCAATTGCACACACCATCTCTTGTCGCCCCTTCCCTCCCTTCCTCCCACCATCTCTCGCTCCAGTTCGACTCAGCAGGCAACACCGGCGGCTGCCAGCGCATATACTCCGTCCTCGCATCTGATTCGACCCCAACCTGCGATAATTCGTCCCTGCCCGACGCACCCGCGCTCCTGGATGTGAAGGCTACAGATGACGATGGGACGTTGGCGAATGATCAGAACGGGCCGGGGGAGGTGAGTTTTGGCTTATTTGCCTACGCGCGGTCGATGTATGAGGGGAACGGATGAATTTGGCTGATACGAAGCCCAGTGCACGAGTGTTGTCTTCGCATCGCAGAATGGGACGGGGCCGTATAACTTGACGGTATATTGCACTTGTTCGATTGTACTTGATGATACTCATCCCGTGTTCTTTCACAGATCTTTCCACCCGGCCACCCTCCGTACAACCTCACTACGGACGAGGACAGCAGTGCCTCGAACTCAGATGATGACGGAGCCCTTGACTGGACTGTCGCACTCTCCGCCTCTAATGTCTTCTGGGCCGCGGTCGCGGACAGCACGGGCGCGCAATGGCTCTACCCGCGCCCGATCCGGGTCGGCGAGGGCGAAGACACGCTATGTCTCTCGGGGAACACGTGAGTGGTAGATTTTCTGCGCCTTGTTCCTTGATTTTCTGCGCCCTGTTCCTTGATTTCCGGAGCTATGCATTCATTCACGATCCCATCCCTTCGCACAAGCCAGCGTATATGCGCGCGCTTGACTTCATCGTCGCTGACCTGCATATATGCGGTCATATACTAACATACAGCCGCATATAAATCACCTACTAACCTCAGACCTAGCTCCCTCCCCTCCGGCATCTCCCCCGGTGCCGCAGCCGGCAGCGGCGTCGGCGGTCTTGTCGGAGGCTTGCTCCTTGGCGCCCTCGCCGCCTGGCTCGCTTTCCGCAGGCGCTTTCCGAGTGATGGGAGCTCGGGGTCAGGCTCGCCGACGGATTATCGTGTCGTGCCGTTTACGGATGCGGACGTGGGAGGCAGGGAAGGTAGGTGGAAGGCTTGACTTTGGCGTCCTGGATTTGTTGAGCCCTCTCGATGGATGTTTCCTCACCATGACTGTTGTTTGTCCACCATAACGGGTGCTTCTCCACCATGACTGTTGTTTCTCCACCACGACTGTTGTTTCCCCACCATAACGGGTGTTTCTCCGCCATGACTGCTTTTTCTTTGACCCGATCGCTATTTGTCTCGAAGTCAAGTACTCACCACACCTACCCACAGACGCCCCCTCCTTCGCTGACCGCCTCGTCGCGCCGCAGCGGAAGAGCGTGTACGTCGTGCACGGGCTCGGCGGCGCGCCGGTCACGGTGTATCATGGAGATGATACGCGCGTCGTCGAGCTGCCGCCGGGGTACGTAGATGCGCGGACGACGGGGCACGATGATGCGCGGACGACGGGGCACGACGATGCGCGGGGGGCGGGATACGATGCGCAAGGTAGTGGGCGGACGGGTACTAGTCCTGACAGCCGCAGCGGGTCACGGTCGAGGAGCGCGGGACCACTTCGGTCAGGATCCAGGGGTGCAGGACCCGCGATGTGGACTACCGGCCCTAGTGCGCGGGCGGCGTCGCCGTCGAGCTCGGCGTCTCTGCTGCGATTGCATCCAAATCGACGCTCGTCGATCGAGAAGGGGCCTCGGCAGCTACCGCCCGGTGCAGCACCTCCAGCTCAGGTTGACGGGGGCGGGTCTGCTCGGGGGGATGGGCATGAAGGCGGCGGACTGGCAGACGGTCTTGTATCTCCTCGGGAGCATATTCGCTCGCCCGAGCCACATGCGGCGCTTGGCGAGCAGCAAAGAGAGCCTAGCGAGCGAAGAAGGGACCCTGCCGAACGGCGCTCACACTCTCATACGCGCGAGGTGTCGCTGCCCTTCGGTATGCGGGAGCGGTCGCCCCTGCTGGGCCCGCAGGAGCCTTCTCTGGAGGATGAGACGCCACCGCCTGGATCTCGCACGCTGTCTCCGCTCAGGCGCGATGGGGTGCCACCACTGCAGAACCTGGACCCGGATGGCCCTCGATGTCGAGCCGACCACAGTGACGTCCGCGCTCGACAAGATAACGACCCACTCAGCGGAGACAACGTCGACCAGCTGGGCCCGCTGACACCCGTGCGGCTGACGTTCGGACAGCCGCGTACGCCATCGCCAAGGATGCCTTCCTCGCAGTCGCCCGCCCCTCGGCCTTCGTCGTCTACGCCGTTCGGTGCCCGTGCTCCTTCGGTCATGACGCGGGAGCCATCTGCGCTCACACGAGCACCATCCGAGCTCATGCGAGCACCCTCCGAGTCCCTGGCACCCTCCTCGCCTGCACAGGAGCCACGCTCGGCCTTCTCTGAGTACTCGAGCTCTGTCTCGCATGCCAGCATGGCTGACAGACCGCGCGGATGGCGCGCGTCAGTCCTCTCGACCCTCGGTGGAACGCTGGGCCGCGCGTCTGCTGCAAAGGAGACAAAGGAAGCTCCTCAGCAAGAAAGGAGCAGATCTCGGTCGAAAGGCAAGGAGCGAGACGAATCGCGCGGTCGGCTACCCCACCTCTCCCTCGGTCGCGCTTCCCGCCCGAGCTCAGCGCATGTCGAGCCGTATACAGTGCCGGCGACCCACGCGGGGCACTACGCGCGTGAGCGCCGCGAGTCGGCGTCCCCTTCGCGCTGGGATGATCTGAGGAGAGCTGGGTCGGCGTCGCCTGCGCGGCAGCCCATGACGCCACCGCCGCGGTGGGAGTCGCCCTCGCCACCTCGCCTGCAGCCGCTGCGTATGCAGAGCTCGAGGGACAGCCTACACGCACCTCGCGGTCCGCGCCCTCTGCAACCGCTGCGACGGGTGCCTAGTAATCAGGATCAGTCGCCACTATGAACGACGGGCCATCTCATGGCCTTTGGATGAGTACTTACAGATTCGTTGTGCGCGGACTGCTATGTATGCGTCTTGCGGTACCGTCAGACGCGTCAGTTGGTCGACAGCCATCGTCGGCTATTGTGGTAATTAGTAAGTCCAGTAGACGCCTCGAAGAGATGTCAGGGTAACATACCTAGGAGGAGGCCGGGATAGCTCCGAATTCAAGCCAAAGCATATCAGGTCACGTTATCATTCGGCAAATACCGAACTTCAACTTCCCACGAGCTTGATTCCGGTCTGCTTCGTAAATCTCTTCTGGCGGAGCTCGGTGAAGGATCATGAAATCTGCAGCAGGTCTAAATTCCGCCTCTGCGTGGTAGTCGTCTGCGTATCACCATCCTGTCGGCGCAGGACAGCCGTCCGACTCTGACTGCAAAGGACATACACGTAGTCCAAACGAGAGGCTCGAGAAACGTGCTAGTCCAGGTCAAATGTGTTATGGAAGGCCTTCCAGCTACCTTGGAGATAGTACAACATGCCTAACTTCTCAGTCGCTCCCTCGAAGAGTCCTCTTTGCGCAAGTTCTATTCTTAACTCGCGTCGCCACACCCATATGCTGCGGACTCCACTATGGTCGAGCCGGGACTTACAACCACCCACAAACTCACCGTATGTTCATCTCTCACAAGCTCAGACCTCTCCTAAGCTCAGAGACCCATGAGAGATGGCTGCTCATGCAGACATAATAATAGACCATCGCCCCTATGCAGCCCACGTGTCTCCATAACTACAAAGTTCAAACTCCGCTCCGGGCCTGGCTACATACATTCCGCACGATCACTCGAGTCCTCAAGCTGCTCTTCCTTCCTCCCACCATCGTCTGCCTCTTCGTTGACTCGAAGTCACCCCGTCACTCGTTGGTTTCTTGGGACACAGACAGCCTCTTCACTTTCCTATCCCAGTAATCCACTTTGAGAGCCATGTCGCCTCTTTCGCCAGTCCTTTTATCGTCCGTCTTCCTGGCCGGCCTTGTCAAGGCTCAAGCGGCCACGGGTACCTTCCCCGAGACGCCCTTGGCTAGCAAGCACTTCAAGTACCCGGATGAGATTGTGCGTGGTCGTCTTGTGCTGCTATGCGAGACGCTGACACCGCCTCCAGCCTTACAAGGTCGACACTGACCAGGGTCTCATCCGCGGTACCCAGTTCGGTTACAACCTCTGTAACTCGACCACCGAGGGACAGGACTCCCTGTGCCAGACCAGTTTCCTGAACTCCCTCGATGGTGCGCACCTACGATCCTTCAAGCTCGCGCATGAAGCTCACACTTCCTCAGACTTCTGCCTTTGGGCCCCGTCCGAACCGAACTCCATGATTGCTGACACGGAGGGCGAGGAAGTCGCGTGGTGCACGAAGCCTGGACGCGGTATGCTTCCTCTCGTTTCTCGCACGTTCGATTCCTTACCTCGCCCCAGGCACGCGTCTCATCCCCGAGGGTGCCCTCACCGGCGTGCAGTTCATGCGCACGTCTGCCTACGTCCAGGTTATTGGCTTCATCGACCAGACTAAGATCAACATCGCGGATGGTGACTTTGGTGGCGAGCTCGACCCGCATGGTGCCGATCTCGTAAGTTATCGGCGCGCGATCACGCGAGAAGGAATGCTGACCATGTCCGACAGCGTGGTAACCCTATGGGTGGTCTTGTCTACTCGACTGCCTTCAGCTCGAGTGGCGACGAGTACACGCAGATGATTGAGTGGCACAAGTGAGTTGAGAATGTATTCTGTTGCAAGGATCGCCCGCTGATGTTACCTCCCTCAGCTTCATGGGCGGCAACGCGTTCTGCTTCAAGGTCTGCGATCCGTCCAACGAGCACGCCGCCGACTACTGCCAGCACATCTACGACCGCATCGGCTGCGCGTACAACGCGCCCAACAACGCCCAGGACAAGGTCTTCGAGTCCTGCGAGGGCGACCTCCAGGACTTCCCCGGCGTCTACACCGGTTCCGACGGCCAGGTCACCACCTACACGCAGCCCCCTGAGTCGCTCGGCGCGATCACGACCATGCCGTACCAGCCGCGCGTGCCCGCGTCGTCCAACTGCCAGACGTTCACGAGCTCGGAGCTGTACTCGGCGCTGGCGAGCGCCAGCGGTAGCGGCTCCGCGTCGGGCAGCGGCTCTGGCTCCTCGTCGCGCGCGAGCGGCTCGAGCACGACGACCGGCTCGGCCGCGGACACGACGGGTAGCAACGCGGCCGTGGGCGTGCGCGTCGGCGCCGAGGGCGTCGCGTGGACGGGTGTGTTCTGGGTGGCGGCGGCTGCCATCGCGGGCGCCGTCGGTGTGATGGCGTAAGGGGAGATATCGTGTCGTGTTTCTTGTGCATGGACTTTTGGTTTGCTTTCGGGACTCGCTGCTATCGGGGATCTACTCAACTATCGTACGCTGTATCCATGGCCGGACTAATGCTGCAATGACCTGCTTGCTATCTAGACATGGACAGTACTTGGGCCGAGGGTTGCGTGAAGTTGTGTGAGCAAGATTACACTCAAGAATACGGGGTTGTCATGCCTAAAGAGATGGAGGGATGTTCAGCACAGGTGGTAGTTGTGCTTCGGAAAGTGCCGATATCGCAGTCTTCCCAACCCCGCAGGCCAGTTCCCAGGCGAAGAACATGATCTGATTTGCCTCTCGTCCGCGTTCGCCATCGCAGAATACGTCGGGTCTCATCGTACGCTCAAGCGTCGTATCTCTTGCCGCCGTGTACTAATACGCTCCACAGCACAGCGGCAGGCAGTACTCGATCTTCAACAATGGCGCCGCTGTTACCGCAGGACCTCCTCGACCTCATCCTCGATCGCTTAGGCGCCCAGATGGACTACGAGTCGTTATGCAGATGTGCGCTCGCACACCGATCCATGCGGGAGCGGAGCCAGCAACTGCTGTTCGCGGAGCTCAGAGTCACCGTGCCCGAATTCGTCCCAGCGGACCAGAATCGCCGGGCGCGCACCCTGCCCGAACGGCTGCTCGCTACGCTGGAGAAAACGCCCCGTCTCTCCCAATATATCCGCATTCTCCTCGTCGTGTCTGAACGCCCCGGATGGGATGGCCTCCCGGTCCTGCTTCACGGGCTCTCGCAAGAAAGCGCCCTCCCCAGGCTCTTGCCCGGACTACCTCTTCTGCACACGTTGAAGTTGGTGGCCTTGTCGGATGACCGGGCGCCGGAGTTGGGAGACGCGCTTGTCGACGCGCTGTTGCGCACGAGCGTGGTGGAACTAGGCTTGCATAACGTGCACGCTCCAGATCGTCTCCTACGCACCCTTCCGCCTCGCCTTCGCCAACTCACGCTCGACGAGGTTATCTGGGGTAATACTGGGATATCCGAGATGCCCCCTGACTCATGCCATGACCCCCTCAAACTTGTTCTGTACGGTGGAGAGATTCCCATTGAGTTTACGCTGATCCCCTTCGCACGCACCAACACTAGGTGCATCGTCGATCTGGATCTGACCTATGTCGAACACTTGAATGCACACGCATGGAGAATGTTGGCTATTGAGCCGCTATGGAAGCTGCAGTGCATCACATTCGGGTGTTATCCGAACTTAGGTATGTCATCTTTCCGAGGCAAACATCTGATTCCGATGCCTGCTAGTTGCGCCTGACATGGGGAACTATTTCGAAGATCTGCGCGAACTGAAACTCGTACTATTCGCCTTTCGACAGATCCAGTGCTGGCATTGGATGCTGGAGGTGGTCGATTGCTGTCGGCCCCTACAGCGCCTGACACTGTTCATCTATGGCGGTGTTTGGGACGAAGAACACGCATATATGTTCGACGAGTACTTGGTCAACAACGGCGCAAAATTTGACCACATCGACATTCATCTGGACCCTACAGTGCCCAAGGCGATCACTGACAATATTCTTCCTCTGTCCATCAAGCGTTATGGCGCTGACCGGTGCTTGCCGCGCTGCCAGTAGGCCCATTGTATCATGGTGAGTGTGGCTCGTCACCCTGCGTGCCCTTGATCAACATTTAACTCGATTTTCAGGCGGATATCAGATACGTAGCGATGAGCATGAGATCCCTTGGCTTCTTGAGATGTGGCAGCGGTTTCTGGGAGGTTTGGAGAGCTGGTCGATGCTGACTTTGCGCATGCAGTGGATAGTCTCTGTGTAAACATTGGGTCATACCGCCGTGAAACTACCTCACAACAGTGGAGGAGTTCGCGCGCAATGGACTCCACAAGGCGGCAGTAGTCACCGATGCCATATAACCCGCATACTACTGTACAGTGAACTCCAGCAACACGTATCGAACTCTGTAAATATACTATCACAAGCCAGCATAAATAAGGACGGATGGTTCGAATCACCAATGACGCGATCCAGACAGCTGCATCACCTCAGAAGCTGAGAGAGCCAAGGATGGCGCGCGTAGAAAGGGCAGGAGGCGTAGGCTTACGCGTCGGGGAGCGCAGGCCACCTGGCTTCCCGACGCCCAGGAGGGCGGACGGCGTGGGCTTCTTCGCCGGAAGGCGCTGGCGCTTCGGCGGCCCAACTTTTTCTGGACCGTTGTCCTGCACCGTCGCGGCCTGCTGCGCGGGCATGTTCTCCTTCTCCAAGCTCGGAAAGGCATGACCAAACTTGCGCGCGCGCTCCGCATCCTTCTTAGCGCGATCGCAGGCCCGTTTGTCCGCCCTCGCCTTCCTGGCCCTCTCCCCCACCGCCTTTTTCTTGACCTCCTCCTCGGACATCTCTCCTCGCTCCTGAGCTAGCGTCGCCTCCGCCTTCGCCTTCGCTACCTCCGCGGCCTTCATCGCCTCGTACCTCCGCTTCCAGGTCTGGCGGTTCCGGTAGACGGGGTGGCTCTTGTCCTCCTTCCCCTGAGCACGAAGTCGCGCGCGCCTCACCGCCTCGTCGACCACGCCACCGCTCGCAAGCCATGCGCGTGCCTCCGCCGCGGCCTCCGCCTGAGCCCTTGCCTGAATGCGTGCTGGGTTAGCCATCACCGATCGCGCGAGGAACTAAGCGGTAGGAGTACACACCTTGCGCGCCTGATACTTTTCCAAGTCTCCACTGGGGCGAGCGACGAACGCGCAGCGGGCACGGTGAAAATGCGAACGGAGGTAGGCATCGATGTCGTCGACGAGCGGCACGCCCATCTCTCGCCTCCTCTGGAACTCGGCCATTTCCTTCTCGTGCCAGTCCGCCAACTGCGGGGAGAGGGTTAGCATAAGGAGTCTCAAGTGAACAGCTAGAGAGGACGCACCACACTATAGGAGCGCTCAAACGAGGCAAATGTGTCGCGCTGCTCCTTAAAGAGGGTTAGGCGACTCGCGCGGTCCTCGTCCTCGCCGTTAATGATCTCGGAAAGGTCATTGAGGAAATCCCAGTCGTTGAGGAGATCGTCGTCGTCAGCGTCGCTTTCGCTTTCACCCATGTGCATCTTCCCAACCGCGCGAGGCGCAAGCTGGGGCACCGTGCAAGTTACGATCTGGGCCGTCATACAGTTCGCAACCGGAGGAGCGGCAGAGATCACAGAGCGAAGCGGTAGCGTCTCCTGTGCCCCTTGCGAGCTGCACAACGGGTCCGCCCTCGAGCATCTACGCAGGGGAGATGGCACGAAGGGGACGTGCCGGCAGTCGGGAGTACGGTGGAGGAAGCCGCGCATGTAGACGGGCATGGTATGGTGAACGTGAGACTGGGGGAGAAGATGGATTGAGGATGGGGTCCGGGTTGATGAGGAGCGTCGAAGGCTGAGGATGGTCGTCGTAAACGCCGTTGAGGCGAGGCCTACCGCCGCCGAAGCAGGTCTCTAGAGCCGTTGAGAGCTCGAGAGAGGGGTTGGCTGAGGCTCGAGCCGCGCAGCGGCGATGACACTCAACGGGGTGAACGAAGAAACAACGACCTGGATCGACCGACCGACCGCGCGACGATGGCCAAGTGTCCGAGATCGAGAGGGCGATGAAGTCGCGTCGAGCGGTCCGAAGTAGGACGGGGATTCCCAGCAGCCAGACGCGCGCGACAGCCACCAAACGCGACACGACGACGGCCAAAGCAGAGGCCGAGAGGCAAAGCGCAAAGGAGGGGTAGCAAATGCTCTCGAGCCACTCCGCCGCCCGTCTATATAAAGGCGCCGAAAGCACGACGCGCAATCACATCAAGGCCAGGAGAAAACAAATCAAGATCTGTGAACAAACAGATCAAAACATAGAATGTAGTGCACATGGGCTGGGGAACACGAACCAGGAGTCCGGGGCAGAGATATCAGGGCGCGGGGCAGGAGAACCAGAAGACCGGGGCGGAAGAACCAAGGCGAGGGCCAGGCGCGCAGCACGTCTGCATACGCGAAGCTCGACAGCCAAATCTGGAATGGAGAACAATGGGAGGTCGAAAGATGCACGCCGATCAAAAAGGTGGAGATGTTTCCGCGTCGACCTCGCAGTCCACTCTGGGCGACAATCCCGCGTCATCTGTCAAGTGGCGATTCCGCATCCCACACCGAGGGACAATCCCCTAACCCACTCCCAGCGACGAATTTCGCATTCGCCGCCGGTCGGCGAGCCTGTGCCGCGGTCCGTGTGGGATTCGACGTCGACGCGTTGTGCACGAGGCTGCAGAGGTGATGACGCGGGAATGGAGGTGATTTTGTGAGATTCGAAAAGTGAGTTCGTGCAGACCTGTGTTCTGTGTCTTCCATGCGTTCCGCGACTGATGTTATCGCGCCCTTCTTCGCCCCTCGTCAACGTGAACGCTTCCTCAAATTTACCATATTTACGTACCCATCCGCGTCCTACAATCAACCGCAGAGCTGTAGGCCAGCTCGCCGCAGGGCAGGCCCCAACGAGCACGCAGGAAAGAAGAGGACGTTCCCAATCATCAGGTACGGGACCGCGCGTCATAGCCTCGACGCCTGATCCGCGTGAGATGCGGGGAACCTCCCCTTTGCTGACTTTAGATCGCCAGATTTGGCCGCCGTCCGTTGCTGGGTACAGATATTCTCGGCAATTGCGACGAGTTCGCTGCATGTGTCTTGAGGACGAGCAGGGCGCGGTGGCTTCATTGGATAACGCAGAAGGATCTAAAATAAACCTAGCGCCTCCCGCTGTCGTGATCTCCGCGTGGAGTATTGACGCCGCCGAACGCAAGCTCGCGGGCTTGGTGCAGAGGCTAGCTAGGACGATCTCTGCGAGGTGCTTGATGAGCTACGTATACGCCAGGGAACATGAGGCATGAAGCGTGATCGAGCAGATGGACATGAACCGAAGGGAGTTACTCATGGGCTCCCTGGACGACCACTCACGTAGAGCTCGTTCAACTGGCGTAAGGATTACACCAGCGTGAATTGGTTCGCATCGGCTTAAAGGGCTGCAGAATACGCGGTCCTTGCTTCGGGTGGCTGAGCTAGTAATCATGGATGGATAGTGGCGGGAAGGAGGTCTGCGTACTAGTGCTCTTCGTCCGAGGATCAAGCCGTCAGGACATCTACATACTGCGCGCGCTTCAGTCTCCTCGTTAAATGCAGAATACATAGAGACACAGACCAATGTGTTCTGACCAGGGTAATGGTTTGTGGATTGAGGATACGACGTGGGTGGCGCCACGGCTTGGTTCATGACTGTTGAGTCTCAACGATTAAGCCCAGACAGATCTCGCGCATATCATGGAAGAGTTCAACGTGTATATTGAGCATGGGTCGTACATGAAGGGCACCCGTGCTTGGGCACCTAGGGCGATCCAGTAAATTCGTCGATCATCCTGCGTCCTAATCCCCGCGCAGACATGTCAGCGTTCGCGTTCATATAGAAAGGACAGGGTGACGCACCGGGCTATCCAAATCATCCTCATTGCCCTTCCAATGGGTCTACGAGGAGGCAGAGCAAGCCGATAGGCCCCAGCTTCTCAGCGCATTGTCGATCACACGATTACAACGAGAGCCTTTGCCTTCGCTCGCGGTTTCGAGTGTCAGTCTTATCATGAATGCGCTGTTCTTCAGGTCAATGTAGCTTCGAGCGCGAAGACAGAAGTCGGGTCCGGAGGTTGAGGATCGAGACCGAGAGACCATGAGAGAACGGAACAAGGAGTCATCACGGCAAAGCGGCGGCCGTTCGCCTTGTACTTCCACGATCACCTCAAGAGACTGCCCCACGCACCCTGGTCTAACATATCATGCGCTCTCTAAGCGCTCCGAAGAGTCTGAATGGCATTGTACGCGATAAAGCGACATCGACGATGAGTTTAGCTGGGTTGACCAGCGTTCTCCAACCTGAAGCCGCTACGACTATTGCAGTCTGCGAAACCCGAAGCTCGCCCTCGCCTGTTCAATCCCCATCCACCAAGGTCTGAATACTTCACAGTAAGTGGGGATGACACATGAATCGCTGGTATACTCACCGATACATTTTGACATAGACTCGTCCGGTCTTTGTTCAGCCATTTGGGAATCCAGCCGCTCTCTAATGGTCAGAATGGAGTTCACGCCTCATACTGAGTGCTACATACGTCGGAAATGCTGAACATCTTCATGAGGATGGTACAGCGGTCACGCCAAGCCCTGTCGAGCGATGAATACCGAAGAAGTTCGAACGACGGTGCAGAGGCCTCCCCGCTTAGCCTCGACGAGTCGCACAGGTACGAGTCTCCTCGCTGTCGTCCAGAGAATTCTCGCGTCGGAGTGTGAAGGCTTAGCCGCTGTGCACGGTGCTTGCAAGCCAGCTACCCTGTTCAGGACGGTCAGCTGCTATTCAGGTTCATAGTGCGACTAGATGCGGCATACACATACCTTGACAGCCGACGCACCGCACGTTCTTTTACCCTTTTCGGGAGTCCAAGGAGACGGGAAAGGCGTCCATACCTGGGAGCAAGACTACCTGGCGAGTCGTAAACAGGCAGTAATGCGCTTAAAGCGACGAAGCGCAGCAGTCAAGCCCAGCGGGAAGGTGTGTTGGAGTCAAAAGCTGACGCAAGGTCATGTATCTCGGCTGACAGGCAGCAGGAATCTGAAAAGAGAGTCTCTTAAACGCTATGCTCTCGAAGCGCCGGAAGGGTTCTTGTGACCCTACCAGCGCAAGTTCGTATGGCCTCGCAGCTTCCCCTATTGCGCTGACGAACTGTACAGAAGTGGATGAGCCAAGGGCTCGTCTCTTAAAACAAGAGAATGTCGGCACTCCCAGCTCGAGAAAGGTCACCGCTTTCATCGGACGAAAGGCGGAGAAGCTCGTCGGAAAAGAGATGCAATATGAGGCCGAGGGCTCGTAATTGCAGCACTGAGGGTACGAGACCTACTAAGTCCAATCGAGCAGTCTTGCCTGCAGTGTCAGACCGCGCGCGTCCAGGGAGTGCTTGCCACAACGTACACTGAAAGGATTGCCAAGCGCGCGCACCATCATTCCCATAGCGCAGAGTTGCTACGGTCAGACTCTGTGATGATATAGGTAAAGCACAACTTTCTCCCAGCTCTCCCATCGCCACTCAGTCACTCACCGCTCTTCTCCTTCGCAGCGCAGAGGCATCCATGGCCAGGAACGTCATCCATCCAGAACAGCGGCATTGATCCCGATAATCGGACTCCCGCGGATCCTAAACACGTTCCGATCCCGTGACTGCCTCGTGTTCTCTTCTCTCACCATTTCCCCGGAAGGTAGCTGATGGCTGTTGCGAAGGTGGCGGCGCGCAGTCGGAGCAGGAGAGGGCCAGAAAACATCATGTAATATGTGGCAATATGCTGATGACGTGGATAGACCGTGATCCTCTTTCAGTGTCGTGACCTCGCGCGCTTTGTTCTTCTCTTTCACACTTATCTTGATCGTCCATCTGGAATCCTTTTGCTCTCCGTCAAGGCTTATGGCGCCGGAAGATAATGCTCGGATGGGGTGGGGCAGAAATGCAAGGGATGCTCAATTGGATCGTGAGGTGTGTTGAGATCTTCTTTGAGTGGCGCGAGCTTGAGGGCTGAACCCGCACAGACGTTGCAGTGGCTCCGTGGACTCGAACACAAGCCACTCAGCTCACTATCTCCTCATCCTACTACCACCGGGACCTCGTTGATCGACGCTGCTCCTTCCGATGAGCCCCTGCCACCCTCCTCCACAACGGTAGTCCACCCCTCCTTCGAGGACGAGAAGGTGCGTGACCTAACCTTCATATCTCCACGATACCTGATACACACGCCTCGCAGCAAGCCAATTGGACACAAGACTCCTTCGACAACGCCAAGTTGGCTATCATCACCGACCACGATCTGACCCCCGTCCATCGCCTCCGCGCACACGCGCACCTCCACCTCCGCCGCGCGCGACATGACTTCACGATCGGGTTCGGGTATGCAGTGTATCTAGACCGCAAGGCCGAGGCGCGCGCGCAAGAGGCCTATGCCCGACGACACGGCTACGAGTGCACGCGAGAAGAGATCGCGGAGCTGAAGCGTGGCGGTAGTCAGTCGAGGCTGGAACGCCTGGCGGCCCTCGAGCGGATGCTTGGAGTCAAGCAGCCGAAGACGCTATGCCAGAAAGCCCTCTTAGCCTGCGCGCGCGAAGTCGAGATGGCGCGGCGGGCGAGGGAGGCAAAGGAAGCGGCTGCTAGGGTGGCGCGGGAGGAGGCTGCTCGCGCGACGCGGTTGGCGCAGGTCGAGGCTCATCTCAACGAGAGCGACGAGCGGAACGACATGGAGGCATTAGAGGCGGAGATCAATGCGATGGAGCGCGACATGGACGAGCTCGAGTACGAGGTGGACGACGAGATGATGCAACTGGAGGCGGCGGCACGCAAGGATGAAGGGTACCCGGATGACGATAACGAGGGCTACCCGGAGGACACCGATGGTCTCGAGTACTTTTCGATGCGGGACGAGGAGCATGGGGCAACCTTCACGACGGACCTCGAGGGCGACGAAGTGTCAGACTCGTACTGTGCGGCTGATGACGGGCCCTATGCCTTTGGCGCAGCCCCCGAGAGGTGCCGTCCGACCTTCGGCGCAGCTGGCGAGGTCTACCACCCAACACACTCAGCCGACAATGACGATGACGAGGAAGAGGAGCACTTCATGATCTCCGACGCCGAGCTCGCCGCTTTTGAGCGAGCGCTGGCGGGGGCGCGGGAGGACGGGAGCGGCGCGGACGGGGAATGGGAGGTCGTCTAGTAGTCGGTGGTTGGACAGTGCGGAGGTGTTCGAGCAGAGACCGAGTTGTTGTATTCGTATATTTATGTGAACCTGGCGTTCGAATTTGGAGTGTACTTGGAGTGTAGACTGCCCCTTCATGCGAGTTGGTTGCGGTTCAATCGACAGACTGATGTCAATTACGAGGTGAATGTTCCACCATTCCCAAGAGACGACTTTCCGAGATACTTGCAGCGACATTTCGAATTCTTGAGAATTCACAGCCAACAGAGATTATCAGCCATGGCATTGGACACATGAAGCACTGGGTCTGCGCAGCGCGATATATATATACAAATAAGTAGGGACCCGACACGCGAACAGACAGGGATATAATGGTACATGGTGTGTGGATCCGGGTGCAAGGCGACAAAGCGTATGCAAGGTAAGTATAGCAGATGCGAGGAGTAGTACGGTAGATAGCGACGGTGCATATGGTAAGTAACATCGTGAAGCTTCATTAGTAGGCGAGATATCGAGCCGCTCGTTGTACATGCTCCTAGCCTGCAGGAGGGGGTAACCCTCTACCCCGCGCGGGGTTGTCCCTCACCGCCCAGGACTTTTGGCGATGTCCTGTGCGGGAGGTACCCTCGCGTCGCCTACGCGAGGGACCCCGGTCGCTCGTCGCGCAGCTCCTCACGCACGGCGCACGCGCCGGTTGCGCAGGGAGTCCTGCACAGGGCCGTGCAGAACCCCGAACTCGTCTACACAGCTTTCATCCTCGCTCTCCAGAGCCTGGATGCTGAGGGAAGGCGAGGTCGCGGGGGTGGAGACCGCGCTCGCGTTGGAGGAGGTGCTGGCCGCGGAGGCCGACGAGCTCGTCGAGGCTGCGGAGAGGGTGGACGTCAGAGACGCCGTCGAGGCCGACGCGATCTGAGACATGGAGGAGGCCGCCGCGATCTGAGCTGCGGGGGATGCCGCCGCAGGCCCGGCGACGGTCGAGGCGTACTCCAAGGATGTAATTGACGAGGAGTACGACGTCGAGGATTCAGCGGACACCGCCGAGTCAACCGAAGACGTCGAGAAGATCGACGCCCCATCATCAAGCATGGCCTCGAGATCGTTAGTCGCGGCGCGGACCTCGTCCAAGGTGGGGGCCTCCATGACCTGTGCGCCGAATGCGTACTTGTCATCGTGGGCGGTGAGGGGAGCGGGGAGGCGATCGTGATCGGCGTCGGTGACGGACTAGGCGGCGAGTTAGTGATCTGGAAGGGCGTTTCGACCAAGATGCTCACCTTGAAGCTCACGTCATCCGACTCCCCCGCGGACTCGGCGTCGTCGAAGAGCGCGCCCGCGGCAACCTCCTCATCGTGGGCGGCCTCTTCGTCGTGAGCGGGAGCCGGCTGGGATCCACCCTATACGTGCGTTAGGGGGAGATCTGGCTGAAGAGTCCTCAGGACGTACCGAAGGGGAGGTAGCGATCGCCACGCCGGCGTTGCTAGGAAGCGGTCCGGCCGCGACGACATCGCTGGTGAGCACGGTGGTGATCGCACCCTGGGCAAGAGGGGTCAGTACAGAGCTGCGCGCGTGCAGTGTGAAGACTTACCCCCTCGTAAAAGGTGATCAGAGGCTTCACGCCGCCGTGGCTTTCGATGGCCGGGTCGCAGAAGTGCATGATGGTCGTGAACTATAAACGTGGAAGGGATACAGAAGATACAAGGTAGCGCTATCTGTGTCTGACAGGCGCAGGCGAGGACAGCGCGAGCGCCGGGCACGCCAAGAAGGGGGGGGAGAAAGTGGGGGATGGAGGAAAGGATCGGCGTTCGCGCTGCGCTTAAAAAGGGCGATGCCACGCGACCGTCAAGTGGTGCGGGTCGAGATTCCGAAGGGTGCGAAAATGACCCTCGAAAAAAATCTCCCGCGTCCTCCAGACACCGCTGCGCCACAAAGTGACTGTTCGATGCCCTCGCCCCGTGCCCTGATAATACGGGCGTGCTCCGCTCGAGGAGGGGATCGTACAGAGGCGAGTGCGCCTGCACACATGCACCATCGGACCCCGTATGCGACCCGGCTGCATGTACCGCTCCACTGCTGGTCCTGGCTGCTCCCGCCCGTCCGCGTCAGCGGGCTCGTGGGGGCGCTCGAGTCGCTGGCGGACCTGCCCCGAGGATGAGGGTATACCCTCCGAGGCTAGCATCGGAGTCGGCGCCCTGCACCCTGGCCATCCCTCGACGTCTTCCTGGCCCAATGCGGAAAGCGGCGCTTAAACATATCAGATTAGATACCTGGGTTCGGGGCGAGAGGCCAAATTGAGCCAGCTCGGGTGACGAATCGCCGCGCGCTCATTGGTCCCCAGGATGAGCGCCCGTCGAGAACGGAGAGCGTGTGCTGCGGCGCCCCGAGGAAACGACTCGTGAGGCCGCGTCACCAGAAGTAGACCTAGGAAGCCGGGGGCGCAGCGAGTAGCATGCGCATGGCCGAGGCAGCTTGGAGTCGTAGGTTCCGTAGCGCGTGCAGCAGCAGGGGGCGGCGTCGAGTCCTGTGATGTGGGCGACGTAATAGCCGCGTTGTGGAGGGCAGACGTGCCCTTCATTGGCCGATACGGGAGCGGGCGGATTTCCCGGCTGAGCCTGGATGCTCGTCAGCGGTCGTTGCACAGATAGCGTAGACAATACACGGTACAGTATCCGCAGCCATGATGTTGGGCTATACCGGGGGGGAGAGGGCTGCGCGGAGGAGTCGACCGTTGAGAGCACCGTTAGCGGATGCCGTGCCACTCGCAACTGCTCCATGGATGATGGGCTGGCTAGCAGCGCGGCATGCTTTGGAAGAGTCATCTTAAGCTCCATGGATCGTGTGGGGAGGATCGTAAGGGCTTGCCACAGACTTTGCGAGAACAATGGTCAGTGATTTTGCCCTTTTCGGGAAACAATGGAAATCGAACCGTGACATCAAGTTGAAGTTCGTGTCACCAAAGGACCTTGTAACGCTAGTTCCCGGTGTTCACTTTCCATGAGGACATGGTAGAGAAGTGGGAGAATCATAACCTACCTGCACACGAATAAAAGCAGACGCGATGGCGAGCATAGTGAAGCGCTCCAGGACCGGTGGATAAGAGTTATGGGCATGTCTTTCATCACGCGTAAGTCCAGTGGAAGTGAAAGCGGAGTGTTTCATGCGGCTTTGATCCTGGTAGACGAGACCCTGGTCGGAAGGGGATATCGAGGACGTCGGATACAATGGTGCTGAAGGCAGTCGCAGGCCGAGGGATTGGACAGTTCATGTAGCCTTTGGTACGGTCTGATATCATTCACGGTGTCCACAAATTTCGATTCTTCAGGCGGCGTCGCGCTGGATACAGCAGGGACAGCATGAGAACGAATATGCTGGTCGATCTAGCAAATTGAGGTCGTGACGATCGGAGCACCTTCCGCTGAGCGTCAGAATTCGCGTGAAGTGCTAGATGCACTGCGACGCACCAAGCTCCACAAGAGGAGGTCTCTTCACTCAAAACAGCCAGGAGGATCAACGGGGACGCGCATACGTGCAGCTTATCATTCGAGCATTTTCAGCTTTCGGAGAGCACCAGCCCCAGTGCACTGCAGTGCCCTCCTAAACGAGTCGTCGACAGTTCCCGAGAGCGTATTGTGGAGGACGAGAAGGATGGAGATGTACAGCCAGGCTCAGGGAGCGGAGGGTGCGTGAGAGGCAAGAACGAGGCGGAACGCCGGCAAAGCGCGCCCCTTCGTCCGCACCTCCGTGCAGGATGTCTTCGACGGGCTCATCGCGCGCTCAATCGACCTCGAATGAAGCTACGAAATCATATATTGCAATGCTATACAACCTAGTGAGACTACGAGAGGGGTGCAGAAGGATCTGACTCTGGCGACGGGGCGTCCGCCTTCGAGCTTGAGAGGTATGTCTCTCGCTCGGGTTCCCGGTCGTGATGCTCACTGACGGCGAAAGAATGTAGGAAGAGATATGCTCAGTTCCCTGCGATCATCCATTAAGCCGAGCTTGCAACGGTGGAAAGGACTTTGGCGCAAGGCGCTTATCCAGCTTGTGAACATCATAACAACGAGCCCGACGAGCACGCAGCGTACACGAACGGCAGCATCAGCGATGCGACAGTATAGGGCCCTGCAAGTGCATCATTAGCCTCGGAGAATGTGCTGTCCTCGCCGCGGTTCCAGCTCATCGGGCCAGTCGAAGACAGAGCTCACCGCGCGGTATACGGATGACCAAACTGTCTTCGAGAGGATGTACGCGTCTTGTGGATTGGGCGCCGAAGATAGCGGTCCTACCGTCGGAACGCAGGGCTGTGTACGAGTATGTTATCCTTCATGACCGTTTGGCGCATCCACTGAACACGCACCTCACAGACTCGGCAAGTGAGAACAAGCGTGCGCGCGATATAGCCCTCGCGACGAGAGTTCCTACGCAATTATCAGTACTCGCCAGTGTCAAGCGGAGAGCTCACCGGAACCGCAGCTCGCAAGCGTCTCGATAGCCAGACAGGACTACCTAGGTGATCTTCGCAGTGCTGTAGCAAGAGGTTCAACTGGTGCGACTGGACTCTCGGAGGGGGCAGAGGGTCCCCTCAGGCGCGAGCGAGCCCCGATCCGAGCGAAAGAGCTCCCAGAACCTGGGCGAATGGCAATTGGAAACTGAGGGAAGTTAGGCAAAACGCCGGGTGACGACGAATGAAGAGCGTGCGCGCACGTATCGAGTGTCGGTGAGTGGCGAGGGTGTCGAGTGGCGCTGTGTGGCATTGGGCACTACTGACAAGTCAAGATAGGTGAACCGGGAGTTATGCAGTTTATGCCACGTCTACAAGAAAGGCCAGTTACCTATGGCCCTATGTCGCTCAGGAAAGATGGATGTTGAAGGTCGTGGTTGTCGCCAAATTCAGCACGCCACTCGACGACGCCACTCGAGCGCGTAAGCCAGCCATGTGTGGCTTCGCCCTCGCACAACGTCTGCGCGCCGAGGGATGTCTGAAGTCTCATACCGCTCGCGTCCAGGCGACGCGCGCGGGCCTAAAGGGCTAGGCAATAGTATTCATCAGGCCTTTCCGACGGCGGAGCGAGACATCGTACCCTATTTTCCGGTGAGCGGAGCATCCCCGCCTCGATCCTTCACTGACCAGCCCCACAGACGCTGCGGAAGCCCGAAAATCCGGGTACAGCGGGAGTGTCGATCTCCTAGCAGAACACGTACATGTAAGAGTGGTGTTAGGAGGGCCGCGACTTACCGATGCGATGAACATGAGGCCAAAAGGTGAAGGTGGCTGAAAATAGAAGGTGCGTGCCATGGGGCATGGAAACTTCCTTGTTCGACTGCTCAAGGCCGCCCAGCCACTCGTCCGCCGAGCAGGCCTGAGCTAAAGACCCCGCGAACTTGTCCATCGAAGATGATACCGAGTACGACCTCCCCGACGCCGGCGATTTCGCAGATCGTCGCGGACGCGCGAATCAATGGGAAAGCCTCGACCGGTGAACCGCATTGTTGCCTCGTGCCGTCGAAGAGCGCGCGGTAGTTCGGAGCGCATGGCGGTCATGTGAACCCCGCCTTGCTTTGTTGCTGATTATATTTGCTTGTTGACGACAACGAGCACATACCCTGATCTCCACGCGCGCATTTTCGTGCACTTCCACTTCCCTTCCCGCGTCGACTCCCCGTCCGCTCTCGCTCTACAACACGCACACAACACACGCCAACAAAGCAATGGCTTACGCATACACTCTCGACCGCTCGCAGCTCGCCTGGGGCGTTAGCAAGAAAGAGGAAAATGCGACGCTGGAGCGCGAGGTGCGTGAAGTCCGTTCCGTCCTCAGAGTAGGCTTGTCTGACATCCATCTCAGGCCGTCCGCCTCCTCTCCCTGTACTTCGACTCCTACACTGCCGAATTCCCCACCATCGAGGAAGTCAAGCTCGCAAGCAAGATGGTCCAGCAGGGTTGGCTCGACAATATGGGAGACGAGGTCCCAACCGAGGAGGTGCGTCTGCGCATGCATGCTCGCGCATCTTTGCTGACGAGATCGCAGGAGCAGTCTCCCCAAGAAGCCATGGACCTCTCCGAAGAAGTCGCGGTCCCCGTCGAGTCCCAATCCGCCGTCGTAGAGATGTGGCCTCCCAACGACATTTTCGAGGATGACGAAAAATACATCTTCTCCTCCCACCCTAGCTTTGAGCAGTGTCACGTACGTGCGCTCTCCTTCACACAGACCTCTGCTCACTTCCCTGGCAGATCAACCCCCTTCCCCGCGAGACCGTGAAAGCCGACCAAGATGCACAGAAAGCCAACGCGGGCTATTGCCCTGCACTCCGCCTCCGTCGCATGCGTCAGGATTTTGCCTTCGACAGCACCAATTATCAGGCGTACCTCGCCCGCAAGGTGCGCTTACCAGGTCCCTTCCCATCATCTCATTCCCTTACTCGCGATCAGGCGTACGACATTTCAGTCGACGAGTACTACCGCAGCCAGAACCATATCTTGAGCCCGTCGGATATTGCGAGTCAGAGGGGCAGCATGCGAGAGATGCCTCTTCGCAGGTGGTTGCTCGTCAGGAATGCCGAGGCGATGCGGGCGCCGCCGCCGCCCACAGCGGACGAGTAGGGCGTGGGCTAACGACGAGTGGCGTGCCAAGGACAAGAAGTCAATGGCGCCTGCGGGAAACGCCGCTTGTATCGTTAGCTGTAAATTCTGTATTTCTAGTATATACCCTTTCGAAGACTCGGGCGTTTATATCTGTGCTCAAGTGCCGACCTTTTCACTTCTGTCGTCGGTGAGTGGTGAGGTTTCTCTGACGGCCTCAGCCGCACGTGTTCTTCAGAACGCAGGACATGGAGAGAAAAAGAGATGCATAGACGTCGACGGTAGTTAGTAGTATCAAAGTGTAGGTTGGCCCAAAGTAGAGTACAAGAAAAGCATATAAGGAGAACAACAGAGCAGACTGGCAACAATACTTACAATACCTGCGCGCAATAAACAATTAGTTAGTACGTAGGGATCCCGGATCTATGGTGGGTATAGCACGAGTTGGAATCTAGGCCGTGAGGAGATCGTCTACGGCGTCGAGTAGGTGCGATGACGGAGAGGATATCCCAAGGACTTAGCGGACGTGATGAGCTAGTACTGGGACCTAGCGCTTGGCTGCCTCAGCGCCAGTGATATCGTCTTGAAGATCGTCTTGAACAGCGCGCCGTCCTCGTTGTCCACAAGTCTCTGCACCTTACGCGTCTGCTTATCGGCGAGCTCCCCAAGCTCGGTGACAACGATGTCTTTGACCACGATCGTGCGCCTCTTCTTCGCCAGGTCCAGATTGGGGACCTCCATCTGGGGCGCCATGGCAGTCTGCGATTGTGGCGCTGAAACCGGCTGAGAGACCTGGACGACCGGCGGGACATTGACGACCGGCGGAGCAGTGACGCCCGGCGCCACTGCGACGACTTGGGGCGCCGCGGTGGTCGGCGCCACTGCAACGTCCTGCGTAGCCACCGCCTGCGGGGCTACAGCAACCGCCGATGCTGCATTGTCTGAAGGCGCCAGTGCCCCATTGTCTAGAGGCGTCGAGACCGTGTCATTTTGTGGCGCCACAGTCAGCGATGCCTCTGCGACCTGTGGCACCTCGTTGGCCTGGGATGCCTGAGCAGACTGCGCCTCGCGCCGGGCCAGGGAGCGTGCCACAACCTCCTCAAGGACGCGGGCAGCTTCCTGTTCTATCGCACGTACAGGGCGGGGTTGGAAGACGCGGAAGGAGCGACGCAGAGACTGGAGGATGCTCGACTTGGGGGCGGGCTGGGGCCAAAGAGGCAGCGGCTCGTTGTCTACGACCTGAACGTCGTAGTTCTGCAGTGGCAAGCGTAAATAAAGGATATATGGGCTGAACCGATACACGCACTACGATGTATGCGATGCCCAGTGGCAGCGCGCCTTCCTCGTACTTCAGAGTATCGACCTCCTTCTCCAGTCGGGAAGATGACGCCTTGTTTAGCGTACACTACAAGGAACGACAAGGTTAGGCATCCACACAAGAGAAGCGCCACCGAAATTCTCGTACCTTGGACTCCCACTCCTTGATCAGGACCTGCACTTTTCCGGGGGCCTTCCGGAGAGCAGCTACAGACGCATGAATCATGCTGGAAACTTGGGCGAGACGAGTAGAGTGAGCAGGACTCTAATGCACGCGCCGCGGGATCTGCGGAGGGGAAGGGAAGAGGGGGGAGGCGCACAGGTTTGGAGAGGCCCGGAAACCGCGGGTTTCTACCTTTATACCCGCAAGCTGCCGCGCCCTGCACCCCGGGGAGGTGGCCCTTGTGTTTGCGCAGTCCATGTTCGGTCATGGCCTTGTTTATGTTTTCCCTGACGAGATCCTGCGAAGTCAACATGCAATCCCACGAACTCGACACAAGGTCTCACCCAGAAAGGCACCGACTAGTCCGAGGTGGGTGTATCCGACGCGGAGTTCGTTAGTTGAATGGTAGCGTAAGTCACGGGCGTGATTTCGTTCGGAGGTATCACATGGGTCGAGATCGGCGAACAAAAGGCGTTGAACTGAGGACAATGATCGTCGGGCGAGAACAAAAGCAAGAAGAGAACTCAGCGCTTATCATCGATCTGATCAGCATCTCGCGCCTGCGACAAACGAGGATGTCGTCCGCTGGACAACTGCCCATGAAGACGGGGTCGCTAACTTATACTGGCGGTCGAAGGCAGGGAGATGGTCAACTGATTAGAATGGTCGTTAAGCGCAGGTCGACTCGGATGCATGTTTCGGCGGCGCCATGACTCGCACAATGAAGAGTCCGCTGAGAAGTTCCTGCATGCCTTGTCCTACCTGATGTTGAGTCCTGGGTAGTTGCAGCACTAATGATCTTCCTTGAACTGTCAGAGTCAGTCTCTACAAGGGGATGACAACACCAAGAAAACAATAGAGGCGGTCCGGGCTGCTCTCGAGCCTCAGCAGGGACTCAGAGGATCCTGGACCGTCGTATACTGGTGCTCAGAAGATCATTAATTCCGATATGCTTGCGGGAGAGAATGCGACTCGAAGCGGGAACGATGTTTCCACTTTAAAATGATGGGCGACGGATGTGAACTCGCTGTGACGTGACCGTAGGCATGTGACAAAAGTTGCCACCGGCTTTTTCCGCGCCTCGCGTCTTCCTTCCTACGTTCATCTCCCCTGCGCCGATGTCATATCTTCATGCCTATCCTGATAAGGGAGTCATCTTTCGATATAACGAAATCACTCAACCTTCATTCGACTGCAGCATTGGGCGTATAGCTTCAGCTGTCTGCGCCACGGTTTGGAGGCTGCTGCACGCGAGCGATGCACAAAATGATCTATGTGACGCATCGTACACAGCAAACTGCGTATTGCATATGCTTTCGTGATTCGTTGGCCGTCTTCCTTGGTCTCATCGGACAAAACTTGTCAGCTCAATCTATTGATATGCCTTTCCGTCAGAGCGATGCCTGTACTGAATACTAATGCAAGGTTCATGCTATCATTAACCCTCAGGTTCTTTTGAGTTAGTCAGATCTTTACTGCTGCAAACATCTAACGTCTCGACAGCTCTCGGTTACAGATACCACTCATGCTGCTCATCTGCCTATCACCGACAACGTCGGAAGCGACGTGCGGTGCTCGTTCGCGTGACCTCTCACGTTCGGGTACGTACATCTAGCCAGGATCGACGAGAAGTCTGGAACGACAGTATTGAGTGACGGCCGTGATAGCCTGTAAGTCATGGGAATTCTTCGCGTACATCTGATCACATACCCATCCGTCCTTGTATACGGCACTGTCGTCGCCTCGACTCATCTTCGAGATAGCTGAACACAAGTATGCCCTCTTCCCCTCATCATCTCTGAAAGGGACCCAGCGACTTATCCACACGACTATTTGTTCCATCGGGATTACTCTTTCTGGACACTCCCCGCATGCTCGGCGCATCGGTGTCCCACGCTCATGGAACGGCGCGCAATACGACCGACCATTTCTATCACTTTGGGTAACATACCCTTTCCAAACATCATGAACAGACTGTGTGCTCTCCTGACGCGCTTACAGATGATTTCCCGGTGTCCCGGTCCAACTGCTTCATGTTTTCAGCCAGAAAAGCATTATCACTGTCCAGTATCTCGCGACCCCGAGCATCTGGCGCTCAAGCGACACTGGGTACGCAGGCCATTCGAAAGACACGCAGATCGTCTTCACAACCTAATCTATCTCCACTGAAAATTGGAGCAGGGCTGCTGTCATGTATCCAAAGTACCGCCGGCCGCTATCGCGCAATAGGAAATTAGCTCGTGCTGTGCAGGCTCCTCCCGAAGAAGGGCGCCGACGCTCTTGGGAAAAGCGATAGCCGCCTGATAGGTGAGCGCTGCGCGGGTGCTAGCGACTCACGAGACGGCCGCTACAACAGCGCCACTCCGCCGGGTTCTTTAAAGGGCTCACGCCCGATTGCTCCTCCCCCCCAGCTCGTCTTCGCCTATTCATCGTCACCATGGGTCCCGCCGCCATTGACGCCCTGATTTTCGACCTCGGAGACGTTCTGTTCACGTGGAACGCGCCTCCTAGCACCGCCGTCCCGCCGAAGACGCTCCACGCCATCCTGGAGACGCCCAGCTGGCACGACTACGAGCGCGGCCGGATGACGGAGCGCGAGGCCTACGCCGCCGCTGCGTCCGAATTCGGCCTCGACGCCACGGACGTCGCGGCTGCCTTCCAGGGCGCGCGCGATAGCTTGACAAGCCGTCCATCCATGGTTTCCCTCATCCGAAATCTGAAGCGCGACGGGCGGAGGGTGTACGCCATGTCGAACATCTCCGGGCCGGACTGGGCGGTCCTGCGTACCAAGCCTACGGACTGGGACCTCTTTGACGGCGTCTTCACCTCCGCCGATGCGGGCGAGCGCAAGCCCGACCTCGCTTTCTTTCGGCACGTCATCGCGCAGACGGGCGTCGATCCAACACGCGCAGCATTCGTCGACGATAAGTTCGACAATGTCCTCGCCGCGCGCTCCTTTGGCATGAAGGGTGTCGTTTACGACGATTTCGCAAACGTCGAGCGCGCGCTGCACAACCTCTGCGATGACCCAGTCGAGCGCGCCTTCTCCTACATGCGCGCCAACGCCGGTCGTCACCTATCCTTCACCTCCACCGGGCACGTAATCCAGGAGAACTTTGCCCAGCTGCTCATCCTTGAAGCCCTCGGTGACCCCACCCTCGTCGAGTACACCACCTACGATGGCCCGTTCAATTTCTTCCGGGGAGAAGGCCAGTACACGACCCGTGCCTTCCCCTTTGACGCAGACACCAGCTCGATCGGTATGACTATCGCGGAGGGGATCCCCGAAGAGACAAGGCACCGGGTGATGGACAGGATGCTCGGGCTGAGGAACGCGGATGGCGTGCTGCAGGTCTACTTTGATCCATCGCGGCCGCGCGTCGATCCGATCGTCTGCGTGAACGCGCTATGCCTCTTTCATCTCAATGGGCGAGGTCACCAGCTCGAGCAGACATTTGATTGGGTCGAATCAGTTCTTCGGCATCGAGCCTACGTCCATGGCACGCGCTACTACGAACCTGCTGAAGCGTTTCTGTAGTACGTTCGCTCGACTGACTTTTATTCCCTTTGCTCATTCACTTCGCAGCTTCCTCTGCCGCCTCCTCTCCATATCCTCCGACGCGCGACACCGCCTGTTCGCCGTCTTCCAGGAGCGCTGCCGCGAGCGCGTCAACATGCCCGGCGACGCCCTCGCCCTCGCCATGCGCATCATCAGCTGCCGCACCGCCAGCGTCGACGCCTCTCCAGACCTCCAACGCCTACTCGAAATGCAGCAGGTCGACGGCGGCTGGGATTGCGGATGGTTCTATAAGTACGGCTCGAACGGGGTGCTAATTGCCAACCGAGGTGAGGATCATGTCTGTCGAGGAGCGAAAAACAGTCGAGCTGATCATTTTCTCACCAGGCTTCACCACCGCCCTAGCTATCAACGCCATCCGCGCGTCAAAGGTGGACGTGGGCTATAAGAGCTCCGCGCCATCTCCTTGACATGCTCCTGCTCGTGCCTTTGACTTACTATAGACTTATTTCGTCTCGTTGCTGTATTTTTGCTATTCGTATGTAGTCTTCCTTGCCTTGCTATCATCCTTGCCTTGCTTTCGTCCAGTGCACTTGGATTCGTAATTGAAAGCACCCGGCAATGCCGCTGTCTACGAGCAATATCTGCCCTTGCTACACATTTACAACCAGCGATAGTGCCTCTTTGCTTTCTTCTCTCATCGACATCCCCTAGACCTCTGGAATCAGAGTACCATAAGTAATCGTCTAAAGTTGCGCGCTTCTCATCGAAGACACCCCTGCGCTGGGTTCTCAACGAAGATGTCCCTGTACTCACGAGGAGTCCTTGCCATCTCCCCCACCCACTGTACTCAACATAGCCGACGGATAGTTCAGGCAGCCGTAGAGGTCAAGCAGTCGTAGAAATCAAGCAATCATCGATTTGCAAGACGCACTTTACTGGCCTGCTCTCCGCACCGATATAAGATACACGCGCACCCAGAGACAAAACATCGAAACCGTAAAGTCAATAACCAAATGGATGATAGGATAGCCAGTGAATACAAGGTAGTCGACGAGTGATACTCCATCAACGGAGGAGTAGGTCACCGCACACGACATAGGCGTATAAGTGCTCAAGCTCACGCCATCACACCCACCGCGCCAGCGACGGCCGCGAGGCCCGCCCAGAAGACACCCGTCCACGCAACACCCTCCGCAGAGACGCGCGCGCCCATCGCCGCATTGCTGTTCGTCGCCTGCGCGCCCTCAGCCGTACCGCTCGCCGCCGAGCCACCGCTCGTCGCCGCCCCGCGAGTAGCCGAGCCACTAGCACCCGACGTCTTGCTCGACTCCGCGCCGGACGAGGTAGCAGAGCCCGAGTGCGAGTTGGCGCCATCCGCGCTCACGGACGAAAGCGCCGAGTAGAGCTCCGCGCTCGAGAACGTCTGGCAGTTAGACGACGCGGGCACCTTGGGCTGGTACGGCATCGTGGTGATAGCGCCAAGCGACTCGGGGGGCTGGGTGTAGGTAGTGACCTGGCCGTCCTCGCCGGTGTAGACACCGGGGAAGTCCTGGAGGTCGCCCTCGCAGGACTCAAAGACCTTGTCCTGGGCGTTGTTGGGCGCGTTGTACGCGCAGCCGATACGGTCGTAGATGTGCTGGCAGTAGTCGGCGGCGTGCGGGTTCGACGGGTCGCAGACCTTGAAGCAGAAGGCGTTGCCACCCATGAAGCTGTGTTGGTGTCAGTCTCAGGATTGACGGGACGTGATGGGGTCTACGCACTTGTGCCACTCAATCATCTGGGTGTACTCATCGCCGCTCGAGCTGAAAGCGGTCGAGTAGACGAGACCACCCATAGGGTTGCCACGCTGAAGAAAGATCAGAAGACGGGCAAAGAAAAGCTGACGGAGCACTCACGAGATCAGCACCGTGGGGGTCGAGCTCACCACCGTAGTCACCGTCGGCGATGTTGATCTTGGTCTGATCAATGAAGCCAATGACCTGGACGTACGCCGAGGTGCGCATGAACTGCACGCCCGTGAGCGCGCCCTCGGGAATGAGGCGGGTACCACGACCGGGCTTCGTGCACCACGCGACCTCCTCGCCCTCCGTGTCGGCGATCATCGAGTTGGGCTCGGACGGCGCCCACAGGCAGAAGTCTACGAAAACGCGTAAATATAGAGCGCACGACCGACAGCATGCCTGGACGCACCATCAAGCGAGTTGAGGAAGCTGGTCTGGCACAGCGCGTCCTGGCCCTCGGTCGTCGAGTTGCACAGGTTGTAGCCGAACTGCGTGCCGCGGATGAGGCCTTCGTCGGTGTCGACCTTGTACGGCTAGAGATGCCCGTCAGCGATCGGCGTGCATCACACCCAACAGAACACGCACAATCTCATCCGGGTACTTGTAGTGCTTCTCCGCCAAAGGCGTCGCCGGGAAGGTCGACTGCGCCTTGGCGAGCGCGGCCAGGAAGGCCGAGGAGAGGAGGAGCGAGTTGACAGGGGACATTATATGAGAACTGGGATGGTATAACGATCGGTTTGGTTGGTGGTGCGAGGTCGACCGTGCAGGGAGGTATGGACTACTAGAGAGTGCCGCGTCCGGGAGAGGAGAAGGGTGAAAGAGAACGAAGGACTGGTCCGGGGACGGGCGACGGCGACGGTCGTGGTTGGGGAAAGAGGCTGTACGACGCCCGCTTTTTGAATGCCCTCGGGAGCGGAGTTCCAATTCGCGCCCACGTGCACGGGCGGCGGCCTAGGCCCCACGGCACGTTCAACTCTTACCTCTTCGACGCCAGGGGCGGCGGGTGTTCTGAGCCACGGACGAGGCATCTGGGGAGGACTTGATGGTGAAGAGCAGGTTGTGGGTGACTGTGAGTCCAAGTTCAACTTTGGTGGAGCGCGCAGCGGGTTGCGCAGCACTGGCTCACGTTGGGACAGAATAAATAGACGTGGGAGGGCGCACAAGGACAAAGGGAAGTACCGGTATAGTAGAGGGCAGCTGCTAGACGAGTGTACTACGCTTCAAGCATTCCCTTCTCTTCGTCCCAAGTTCTCCTGCCGCAAGTCCGGATGGCGTGCGAAAGCCGGAGGGTGTTCCCCGCAGACGTGCGGAGGCAGAAACGAGGCTGTGGGGTGAACCATAGGTGCAGGCGGACGCGTCAACCGACGACGAGGGAGTGAAGGACACCGAAGGTGCAGCAGGCCAAGTCCCTCAAACCGCCCCATGCTAAAAGCGAGCGAACGAGGAGAACAACGTCGCTAGCTCAACGGGTCGGAAAGACTGATGCGCAGATGTCATGTAAACATGCGAGTCTGCTCGCCAGCAGTGATGGCTTCTGCGAGCTGACCGCATATCGAGAGAACGCGGAGTTTAGCAACGACTCCAGCGCTGATCAGCCGTGTGAGACAACACACGAGGGAAGAGCTCGAGGCAGTCAGGACGTTATGCGAGGCCCATCGAAGCAACATTGACCACCTCTCGCGATGAAGGAACGCGTTCAGCATGCAGCCCAAAAGTCGGGGCCGAGATGATGGAAGGCGTCGCAGCATTGATGATGGAAGGAGCAGAAGAATTGATCGAGGAAGCCCGGAAGTAGGTTGCGATCAACTTCTCTTGCCTCCCATCTCCTCGACGACGCCTCGTTCCACGTCCACAACAACGCCCCGTTCCATGTTTGTCAACGATGGCTGCGTCTGCGTGGCTGGTAAAGCTACTGAAAGCTCCAGCAATCTGCGAAGCTCCCAATCGTGTACTCCGGTGTGAACGACTCTTCATATACTCCAGTGTGGAAGACAACCAACTTCCGTTGAACACGCATTCCAAGTATCAAACGAATGGGCAGGTCGTCGTTTCCAAATACACTCAGGTACTTATGCATGGCTCGTCCGATTCTGGGCCGAAATCACGCGCTCGCGTCCACGCCTGGCTTTCCTCGTCGGACGACAGCCTAATTAGGCAATAAATGGCCGCTCACGGGGATGTCACGGGACGGCCACATGGCGAGACTGCGCATGGTCAGTCGAGGGTATTCCATGGCCAACTGATGTCATTCGATTCTCCGCGCCTCTCTCTCCTACCTTCACCTCTTCCTTTCACCCCTCACCTCTTCCCCCCCTAGTCCCTCCGCTCCCGCCCCCCAGTACCTCCGCTCCCGCCCCCCAGTACCTCCGCTCCCCCCCTCTATTACCTCTCGCCCCCCCTCTACTACCTCCGCTCCCGCCCTCACTATGGTCCTCACCCTCGCGTTCTCCGGTGTGAACGTCACGTCTAAAATCGCGCTCTGGGAGACAGTCAGTGTCCTCCGAGTCTGCATATATGCACTCACTGACCCCCACCCAGCGCGCCAAAACGCAGGACTCCCCAGCGCTGATGCGCGCTGCGAAGCGCATGGGGACCAGTAGAGTCACCAGCTTTGAAGAGGTGTCGCAGTCAGGCTTTGAAGCCGCGTCGCCGTCAAGCTCTGAATCCGCGTCGCCGTCAAGCCCGTCGTCCCTGCCGTCTCTCTCGCCGCAATCATCTCCCTCGCGTTTTCCCTCAGTGCGTCACCATACCGGCTCTCCAGCGCTTACGTCTGATTTTTCTCACCTATTCAGCTCCAAATTGGCAAAATATATGACGCGCAGATCTGCTACTACGTTGCGGAGACGCAGGAAGCCTCACCTTTGGTCGAGTTGGCCAGAGTCCCGCTTTCTGTCGAGCTGCCAACCGTGTCGCTTGTCAGTAAGCCAAAGACGTCTTCCGAGTGCACGACCTCGTCGCCCGCGCCTCCCTTCGAGTCCGCGACGTTGTCTCTGCCCTTCGAGTCCGCGACGTCGCCTCTACCATTCGAGTCCGCGACGTCGCCTCTACCCTTCGAGCCGTCGACTTTCTTGCTTCCCTTCGAGGGCATGATATGCTTGCCTTCTTTTGAGGATGCGACTTTGGCGCCTTCTCCCTCGTCCGCGACTTTCTCAGTCTCCACCAAAGCCAACGAGCCGCTCGACTCCCTCGACCTCGAGGGCGTTGAGCCCATCCTCGACTTCCCAGTCATGGCTCCGCTGTCGAACCTTCTGTGGCGGAAGTGACTGTGTCGAGCGTTCAGCCTGTGTGGAGCGTTCAGCGCTACCCTTATCTCTTTGCTTCCGATGTACATATCTCACTTTTAATTTCTTGTAATTCATGTATCTCGCGTTTCCATATACAGTGGCTTGCATGAACGCACACGTTCACCCGGAGCTCGAGAGTCATGATCTTGCTTGATCGCGTCGTGCCCGGAAGACCAACTTCTTGAGCACGCCGCCTCCAAAGGAACCGACCCTTTGAGCGCGTAATGCGCGAGAGACTGCGCTGTGGCAGCTGAGCGCGCATAAAGTGTGATGTATTCCTAGTCGTTCGGTCGTATATGCATCTGTTAAGACAAAAATCCACCGTAGCTTACACTCGTTTGATCCTACATACCACCCTACCTATCGGCACCTCACACGCCTCTCCACGCTCCTCCTTCAGTACACTCTGTAAATCCTACATAATCCAATCCTCCTCCCCCTCCGGCTCAGGCGTCGACTCGCGCTGGAATGGGACGCGGGGCGCGTCCGCGTCGTCGTCCTCGTTCTCTTCTCCGTCGTCCATTGGATGGTCTTCGTCCTCCCCCTCCCCTTCCTCCAGGCTTTCCATGTGATGATCCTCTTCGCCCAACGGATGATCCTCACCACCCGCCGCATAAACCTCGTCGACCTGGTAGACGTCGTCGCCCATGCCAACATCCGCCTTCAGCCTCAAAAGCACCGCTCGCCTCATGAGTACCACACGCCCCTTATCTTCCTCCTCCTTACGCGCCTTATCCGCGTCCCCCCCAGCCCCCTCACCCACCCGCCCCGCATACGCCATCCTCAGACACCTCCGCAGCGCCCTTTCCCTTAGCGGCCTCTCCCTCCTCACCTTCCACTTCGCGCGCATATTGGCAAGGTCTTCGGTGGTGTGCATGCGCTTGCGGGGGAGGAAGTCGTCCTCGTCTGCGGTGAGGCGGCGTTCCTGGAGAGTGGGGGTGAGTAAGGGCGCAGAGACGGGGAGAATGGGCGAGCAAGGAAAGAAATCAGGTGGGGGTGAAGGAGAGGGAGCAACAACACGTCGAGGGGAAATGGAGAGAACGCGACAACGCGACTTCACACGACGAACATAACATCCGAAAACAAGTCTACACTCACTCTCCTCGCCAGATACACCCTATACCCCGGCCCGCCGACGAAGTCGAAACGCTTGCGTCTTAGGCGAAGGCGGGCGGCTTTTCGGTCGTTAATGGGCGCGTGCTGCTCCTCGTCGAGTTGTTCTTGGGTCCAGTCTCTGAAGAAATGCTGTTCAGAGACGTCGTCAGCACCGCAGTCGTGGGATACTCGTTTCTGAGCGTGAAACTGAGTACGCACCACCTCTCCCTCGAAAGTAGGCGTCCGATCCTTTGCTGGAATCGAATACGTCCCCAAAACCGACACCTCGACACCCTGCGAGTTGAGAAGGACCAGCTCCCCGCTGGCCGTGGTAGCGAAATTGAACGAGGGCTTGTCTTCGAAGATATCAGGTGACTCGTGGAGGCCGAAGATATCGTATGGCTTGTCGTCGAAGATGTTGGTTGAGTCGAAGACGCCGAAGATGTTGGAAGAATCAGAACTGCCAAAGTCGAACGAGGGCTTGTCGGTGAAGGCGGTGGACGGCTCTGAGACGATACAAGCTTGGGACTTCTCCGAGCAACCAACGACCTCGCCCGCTGCCCGCGCTTCGGCCGCCTGAGCCTCTTGGAATTTCCGGAACATCTATAGCGCATATTGTTAGTCCTTATACTAGCACTATACTATTGAGACGACGCACCTCCATGACCTCCCTATCCTGCACTTTGCCACCTTCGTTCTTCATGTTCGCGTTCACTGTCTCGTTGTTTATGTTCGTGTTCATCGTTTCGTCGTTCGTGTTCGTCGAGTTTGACGCTTTTGTCGCGCCGGGCTTCGCGTTCGCAGGCTTTGTCGCGACTGCAGGCTTCGCCGCGCCGACCTTGCTCTTCTTTGTGGACTTGGTATACTAGTAAAGCGTCAGCCATCACCTACGCGCACTGGCTCAGCGACCTTCTCACCACACCAAGCGCGCGCAAATCCCACTTGCTCTTGCCACCGTACTTGCGCGGCGCGCTCTTCGTCGTGGTAGTGGGCGGCATCGTCAATCGAAGGCTGGAAAGTTCGTGGGAGATCTAGAGAGCAGGGACGTGAGCAGTGTCCGTGACGGTCAGACGAGAGCAAGGATCGAAATCAGCCGTAAACACGAACAACAAGCCACCCAATCAAATCGCCACATATTCCCAGAGAACAATGAACCCTCGACGGCCATCCGCAGCCACGCGTTCCAGGGTCCACGCGGTCACGCATCCCCCCGCCCCTCAGCCTCGCGCGTCTGCCGGCCATGCCCCTCCCCCACAGGCCCTAGCGGTCATTCGGCGTCGCTTCCAACACTCTCGACCGCAGCCTCGACGCACCGTCCTCAGAATCGCCATACGGGGATCGCGTGGGAGAACAATGCCCACGGCCGAGCGCGGGGATAGCGGGAGCGAAAGACGCTTCTGGATCCGCGCCGGCAAAAGACACTTCTGAATCCGCGGGAGCAGCAAGCGCTTCCGGATCCGCGCGAGCTTTGGGAACGGCATGCGGCGCCTGACGATGGACTTCGGCGTCATTTGACGAGGGTCAAGGAGAGCGGCGAACAGACTGGATGGAAGGTAACGGAGTCCGGCAGAGTACGCATCGGGACTGGACTGAAAATCAGTGGGCGATAATAGCCTTGAGATTCGCTTTGAGGTCTATGCGCGCATTTACTTGGTGACTATATGCGCCAAAATTCGGTCTTCGGGGCGTTTGTCGCTCAAGGGGCTCCCGATCCTACGCTGTGACTTAGTGATGCTTGCATGCCTCGATAATCAAGGTAGCTAGCGCACCTTCAGATGTTGTGGGAGCAGGTTTCCGAGATCGAGCGTGATTTAGGCGGCTTGTTCACCCTGGCACAACTGACTTGATCTTGCAAGTGGGCTCTTCTCCTGAAGGTCTGAGCTGTCAGCTCGTCAGTACAGAACGAGGCAGTCTAGGGAAGCTGATGCTCATGCCAAGCGGTGGTCCGAGGTTGACCAGAATTGCACGCAATGGGGCCATCAAGGGTACATGATGCAAGGAAGTGCTGCAGAAGATAGTCGAGCGACGCCTATGCCTGCCTTGAGCTTAGAGTAAGAGGCGGGTGTGGCGTGAGACGAACTCACGACTCACCAGGTCGACGCCGTCGCAACGCAGCTGCCTACAGAGCGCAGCTGCATAGCGTCATCGCCCTACGAAAGTCTCTATGAGGCACTCCAGCCTGCATGGAGTGAGTATATGCGCCCTTGTGCAACGATATAAGATGTACCTGACAAGAGGAGACTGTGTCCTTGTATATACTACCAGTCGGCATCCCTAACGTTCCTCAGGTGAGACGTTGAGGCCCATATTCAAGAGGAAGACGCAGTGAGCGTCAGAGTCGCCATTCAGGAGAAGCAGCTGGCTCATCGGGAAGTAGATGCGAACGATTCCTCAATGCGCACGGGCGACGGGCCAGCGCGAGCGAGGCCGCTGAAGCTACAATGACGCGTATAGACCTGAAGAGCACAGAGCGTCTTTGAGAGGCGCTAGGAACAGGTCAGCGCTTGTCGAGCGCCTGACCGGGCGGCGTCCCGCAGTCGGCGAGATGAACACGCCCTTGAGGATCAGACCACCAACGCTCGGCGCCGATGCATTGTCGGATAGTGATCGTCATAGTCAAACAGCTCTAGCTAGCAAAGGTGAGGGAAAGGTCCGGAAATCCATTGCGTGAGGTTGGGATCGGAAGTAAAGCCAGTGCTCGACGCTTTGACTCCGCATCATCTTGCCCTTCCCCGTCATGTTCCCCGAAGCTCAACGACCCCTCGCCCTCGTCTCCTCCGTCATACTACAGCCTAACCGTAGCCAGACTACAAGCTGACTTTCGGAGAATGCGCTAATCCTCCCTGTTCGTTGTGAGGTCGATCGACGACCTGGCTACAGTTTGAGCCTGCGCTCGTTCACCGCAACCACCTTTCCGCTTCCCTCTCACATGGCTTAGGTGCGTTGTGTAGACTTCTCCTCCAAGGATGACCACTCACCAGCCTTCAGGACATTCATGTCGTAGTGATCGTACTTGGATTTCTGAAGCTGCGCCGTCCGTGAACTCCCCACCTTCCTGTATACCTCCTCCGATGTACATCGTATTCCTTCAAAGCATACTTCGGATTCATCCCGGTGACTGTCTTTGCAAAGTTGCATCATCAAGGTGGGTATATGCACCTCCCCCAGCACAGGCCCGCGCGGCCTCGCATCATCCACGCCTCTGCACGTCTTTCCCAAGTCCAACACGCCCTGCCAACCCAGAGTCATCGGGTCTCGATGCAAACATGCACGTCACATCGTCCCCGGAGCTCGACCGGCGCGCAATTGTCTCCCCAAATAGGCAGCCGTTCGCTTTGTTGACGCCGGCAGATTGTCCGCCGATGCTTGGGCCAACGGGCAAGCGCCATTGATTTGTAGTGCCGCGCCTGCTTGGAAATGAGCACATGGCTGCTTGTTTGTGCTCATATTGCGCTCTCATTCCGCGCGCGAACCATTAGCGCCCTCGCTCTGCTCCCGGACCATTAGCATCCTCGCTCGTCCTCCGCTCAACCATTGGCGCGCTCGCTCGCCTCGCGCTGAACGACTGGCGCGCTCGCGCATCCGCTATCCAGTGAACTCTCACTCATCGCCCGCCACCCGTGCGCTCGACGGACCGTCAGGCTCTTTCGGTGGCGCTCGCCCGCCCTCGCGGCATTGCTTAGGTTCTCGCACTCCGAGTCGCGCCAGCGCTCAGTTGTTCGCGCTCGCGCATCCCGGCGCAAACACTGGTCTAGCGTGAGGCTCTATCCACTGAAGCGAGGCCCTATCCAGTGGAGTCCCTCGCTATCAGTCGTCTCTTTGTCCGCCACTCGTGTGCTTGACCAGCCAACGGACCATCGCCCACCCGCCTAGCCTTTCAGTGGCGAAAGACTTCGCAACATCGCCACTCTTTCCCATTGGACCCTAACACTCGACGCGCCGGCGCGTTTACGGTCGATCTCTGCCACTACACCTCCTTACTCTCACCTTCACCCTAACCCACGCGCCCATTCTCGCCCTCATTCACGCCCTCGCCCTCCCTTCCCACTACACCCTCGCCCACCCCCTAAGTTTCAATATCATTCAGGCCTCACGCCCACCATGCACATCTACCACCCCTACATGTACGACCGGCCCCTCCGCCCCTCTCCTCTGCGCGTCAGCACGACTGCGAGGTATCGTACTCGACACGCCGAAATGCGGCATCGTACGCGGTACGCAGCACTGCGGTACTGGGAAGTCAATCCTGCTGTTTTGGACGATGGAAGTGATACGGAGGTTGGGGATGAGGACACCGTCAACAAAGAGAGATGCGTAGACTCAGACGCCTCGCCACCACGTGCCTCCGACACCTCCGACGCCTCAACCTCGAAACACCCACATGGCGCTGGTCCGAAGGACTCGAAAGACTCATCCGCCTCAGCCTCGACAGACTCGCACGAGCCCGACTCAAAGGCCACCCTAGCCGAGGACGACCCCGACTCAGAAGACGAGGAGACCGGCGACCTGCGCGTCATGCTACTGCGAAGGATCTACGAGGCTGAGAAGGCGGCGGAGAAGGCGAGGAAGGAGGAAGCTGCGACAGCGCAGGCACGCAAGGACGAGGTGAGGAAGGCGTCTGAGGAGGTGAAGAAGGCAGCAGAGGAAACTGCGGCAGCGCAAGCACAAGAGGATGCAGCGGCGGCGCAGGCACGCAAGGACGCAGCCGCCAAGCGAACGGCGGAGAGGGTGAAGAAGGTGGTGGACGCGGTGAGGGCGGCGAGGGAGAGGGGGAAGAAGCTGGAGGAGGAGAAGAGGAAGGTGGAGGAGGAGAGGAAGAGGGCGGAGGAGAGGGAGAGAGCGGAAGAGGAAGTGATGAAGAAAGAGGTTGAGACGAACACGGTGGTTGTGGCGAAGACTGCGCGGCGAAAGGCTGCTTCTCCGGAGGTGCAAGATTGGTGGAGCGCGAACAATGTCTGGCGTCGGCCGTGAATTCTCTATCTTCGCTTATTTGTCGTACTTATCAATTGACAGTCCTTTCCTTTTCGTATGCTTGTCATTCACGCTCTCTATCTATTGTATGTACTGTATGCCTCATTGTATTTAAGCCATGCTATCTCTTGAAGCGCATTATATCGTGACTTTCCTCTGCCTTGGGCGTCGAGCTTCCCCATCGCCGTCGCCACATCCCCCGCCACCCTTGCTTTCTTCTCGCTCGACGCAACATCAACATGCAAGCCTCGGCGAAGCCCGCACATCACATTCCCCACACCCGCTTATCACAAAAGTTGATCCGCGACCTCGGAACCTGATCGACGCGTAAGCGCCCGCTACCCGATCAGTCCATTGTCCTCCTGACCACCATTGTCCGCCCAACTCAGCGCTCAGCAGATCGCTTTCACGCATGCGAAATGACTCGCTGAGAATCTGATCAACCAAGGGGAGCCCATATGGGCTGCGCATTCACGAAATTTTACCCGCACAGCGGCGAGGTCTCAATAGCTCGGCCGCAAGCTGGCGGAGTCTGAATCGTGGCCATACCAGCGGTGTCTGGAGGGCGTGGGATCTGGTAAACTGCATGAGTATGTATAAATGACCCTGTTCTTTACCTGGGCGCTGCTTTTTCTAGATCTGCGAGCCCCTTCTCGTCCGCGTCTGCTTCGCGCGTGGCATACGCGTCTCTCTTCCAGAAGTCCAAGACTCAGATGCAGATGGTGCCCGACGCTTATTCCGGCACACTGAAGGATCAGGTAGGCATGTCATTCAGACAATTGCCACATCTATCGCTCAATCCTGCTTAGCATGCGTCCTTTATGGAGGACTACGAGAAGGAGATCATCGACGGCCCTTCCGTAGACGAGTCCCTCTACGACGAGCCACCTCCGCAACCCCACGCCGCATATACAGTGGTGCGTCCCCGATGCTACATTCATTGGACCTCCTTCGTTTGACTGACGCGATCCATACAGATGATCTCGGAGGACGAGAGGAGGTCAAAGTGCGAGAGTCCCAGAGCCTCGAAACTCGAGCACAAGCGCAGAGCAATCAAGAAAATTTCCGACTCCTCCCTCAATCTCAAAGAGCCCAAGACCAACTCACGCAGCCGCCACCTGCCCATGCCACATCGAGCATCAAGCCGCCCACCGCACCCGCCATCGCGCCACCTGTCCCAGTTGCGCACCCGCTCGCGTCCCAGATCGCGCTCCCTCCGCCGCCGCCCATTGTTTTGCCACCATTCTCCGCTTTTGCTCCTCCGGTGGCGGCGCCCATTGCCACCGCGCCACCGCTCGCTATGTGCGCTCCGCCGACCCCCATCACGCGGAGCTTCATGCCCGAGTTCGGGATCCTTAGAGTCGGACAGGGCACGCGCTTCGACGATCATAGTGAAGAGCTGCAAATAGATAATCACCGGCCCTCGGGTATGGTACCGTCGCTCTGCTTAAAGACCGCGTTCTGGTGGCACTGCGTTTGTAGGTCGTTCGGAAGCGCGACCTCATACTGATAGAGGATATGAATATCTGTATACCATGTCATCCATAGCTATCGCTTGTTGTACCCTTCTGTGCTTGACTCCCATGTTCGTCTCTCGAGTTCGCTCTGCTTCGACTCCTTTCGTATGCAGAGTATAGTCCTCCGAAAATCCATAGCACATCCTATCTTGTCAACCGTTCTTTCTTTCTGCGGGACAGCTCGTACTAACGTTACACTGAATAGACAAGATAAACAAGATACAACACGACGCCTCTCGGACTCTTCCTTGAGGTTGTACCACCCGTCTCTTCAAGCATCGCTTTTGAAGGACGTTGTCAGCGTTTAAGCGCCACCGGATGCACGCGTGAAGATTCCTCGACGAGATATACGACGAAGAGCGCAAAATCCATCTGCCATCAACGGATTCCCGAGTGAAAGCGATAGTGAAGGCGATTCGGGAATGGCTTGGCTCGCAGAGGAGCGACAAGAAGTGAATGGTCGGTGTCGAGAGAATCAAAAGACGCATACAGGCTGCGCAAGCGCGCCCTCCCATTCTCAAGCCAAGCGCAAGACAACGATCTTCAAGAGCCCTCATCCCTACGACTGCCGACGAAAGCCTACGACAACCGCAAGAACACGCCCTACGCTCGACGGCGAATGGCCAGCGACGCTAGGTCAGCCGCGCTGGCTGCAGCTGCTACCGCATCCCCGAGCGTGTCCTCAAAGTCACTTCTCGTCGTTGACGCTGTCGAAGGTGTGGCCCGAGAAGACGTGGGTGCACCAGAGTGAGATGCCGCGCGCTCAGCGTCGCGAAGCCGCTGCATCGCCGCGTCGAAGAGCGCCGCAAAGTCCTTTAGCTCAGCCATAGCGATGGTCAGGTCGTTGTCGATTGCGGGCGGTGAGCTGGGCGATTGGCGCTCGTCTGCCTCGCGTGCCGGCTCGTCTACCTTGACTGCTGTCTCGTCTGCCCCGCCTGTTGGCTCCTCGCTCGCATCCGTCGACGTCTCTTCGGCCTCCCTCGCGTCCGCTAGTAACGCACTCGATAGCGTGGTTTTCGACGCCAGCTCCGAGGCCGTCGCCGCCTCCAGCATAGCCGCGCATAGTCTCCTGACAGACTCTGTTTGCGACGAGGTGTCGTCGACCGCGGGCCTCTCGCCTTCATCCTCCTCTTTCTCCTCCGAGCTCTCGCTCTCGCCCTCTTCGCCTCACCCTTCCCTGTCGAGCTCTCGGTGTCTTGTTCTTCATCCACCGACGTCCTCAAGATCTCCCGAATCTCTAGCTCCTCTTCGGCCTCCACGCCATCGCTCGCTACGGGCGTCGGTCGCATGCGCGAGCGTGCCACCAGCGGGGAGGTCACGCTGTGGGAATGACGAGCACACTCGTCCTCTTCGATGCTCATCGCGGATGAGTCGTTCTCGTCATCGACCCTTTGATCGTCTTCTTCACCCTCAGTCCTGCTCGAGGATTTGCCTTCGTCCTCTATCAAAGCCCCTGCGATCCGTTCGCCTGCGTTGCTTTCCAAGTGTGTCCGATCGCCCGCTCCCGCACGCGCATGAGAGCTGCCGTTCGCAGTCAGCTGACTGCTCCCGCCGGCGAAGACGTGGATATTTGCCGGAGCCTTCGTCGGGCTTCGAGGCGGCGGCAGAGGCGGTTGGTCTGGTTAGGCAAGCGCTGGGCGGATCATCAGCAAGCTAGGTATATGCGCTCAAAACCGCAGGGTTCGCGAAGTCCTTCGACGCGATCGAGTCAGCGCACAAGAAGAGTGGGAGAGCTCGGCGCTTCAGTCCATGCCGACGGGAAGAAGGGAAGTCCATAGTTCGAGTCGCTCGCTCATCCGCGTGTTCTTAGACGGGGAAGAGAATCCTGACCTGCATACTCGCGACGCATTCGAGCAAGTTTTGCGGGTTTCTTCGGCCGAAGACCTGTAACACTGATCAGGATACTCGAAAACGTGAAGACGATATGCTGTAGAAAGCGATGCGAAGGGCGACGATTGGCGACTTGGTCTATGACTACGAGAATTCAAAGACTTAGTAGGCAGCTCGACACGCACCCTGATCACTCGATACAGACCGTCATAGCGGAACCTAAAGTCGTCCGATGAGCGAAAAGGACGCGGACCCAGATGACAACACTTAGTCGGCCAAAGGAGCGCAAAGATATACTCACCCTTGCTCCGGCGCATACGGCGAGTCAAGCTTATATCCACGGACAACGCGAACGGGCTTGCGCGATTCGTATGATTGCTAGAATGTGCATGTCAGCACGTGGAGGATGGATGTGCGCAGAAGATGGCCGAACAAGATGGGAGAGAAGAGAAATAGCGAGTTCAGGGAAAGTTCGCGTATACGAAACATACACCGAGAGAGATGGCGGAGCAGAAGAAAACATTGTCGCGGCTGCTAGGTCAGAAGCCCGAACGCACCTGCAAGGACCTGTTCCTCCAGTCCCACTTCTGGCTAGCTACTTGTGTGCCGCCAGGTTTGTCAAGCCCGCCTGGAAATGTGTCAGCATGAAAGGTATGCCTGACAGAAAGGGAAATCAGGAGAAGAACGACATTTGGGGGACTATGTGCGGGCGGATCCTACAGCGTACCTTGCCCGACGTATTCACTGGCAGAAGGAGGGTCAGTCACTACATAAAATCACACGTGCAACCTCATCCAGAGAAAAGCGATGGGATCTGTACGAGTCCTTGCCTTGAGCAAATTTCCGAGAAGACAAGGGGGTTCGATGGCCGGCAAGGGAGAAATCGAGAATCGAACTGCAAGATTTGAAGAGATAAATGAGAGTTTAATGCACGTACATAAGCTCCCCGTGATCCTGGTCTGGATATCCTCCGTTTCTGTAGGATTTGTGTGTCGGTTTAGAGGGTCATCGAAATGAGCGGGCGCGGCCGAATATACGTGCATTGCCAGAGCGGCGCAGATTGGCTGAGAAGGGATGCAGTAGACTACGCACAGAAGAACTGCGTACGCTCCATCTCTATACTTCTCGGCGAATATCCCAGCGCGCACTTCCGCATGCACGCCCGAAGCTCTCAAAGCCTTTCTATTTGGGAAGATCGTCCCGGGTGGTATACCCGGAATACCTCCATATTTCTTACCAGTAGACGTACTCACAGCAGCGGCCATAACTATAGCATATGCTCTTGGACAAATGATTCGGTGGACGAGCGAGATGTTGGCCAGAGTTAGCCTTTGTTTGGCTGTGTTGGCCACGAACGATGATCCCGTCGCGTGTCGATTCCCGGCCCGGTCCCGGCATCACCTGCCTTCGACCGTCATGTCTCCTTGGTCGTGAACTTCGCATTTTCAAGAGCTGCACCCGCGACCTGGAGTGAGCGCCTCCCTTTCGACTCAAATGCTTCATTATTTCTCGCCTTACCTTGGACAACCCGACTTCGAAGTCTATGACCGGGTCACTTCGATGTCTTGCTCGGGGCAGAAGATCTTCGTCGTAGATGTCAATCACTCCAGTTCCCACATGAATAGAATGCGTCTCTCCCTTACAATGCGGTTCTCCAACCTCAATCGAGCCGGACACACAAAGGTATCCGCATCTTCCCATGTCGAATTGATAGCCCCTTGTTCGCGTCTTCGCTAAACATGGCTCATCTCTTCGAAGCGAGACCCTGAGCTCAAATTGCCCCACCCGAGCACCTACAGACTCATGCGAGAGCATCTTCACCTGCGTAGACTCAAAACCTCTGGTGAGTCGCGAGCGACGTTTGGACCCTCCGCCTTGCTGATATTATTCTAAAAACGATTCGTCGGATGGTTCAATCGAATTTACGAGCAAGATGCGGCCCTAGAGAAGACGACTAGAGCAGCACCTTTCCGCGCCAAGACCGACCGCGACGCCGTCCACCGCAATTGCTTAAAACATTGCGAATTCTTCAGTACGTCTTGCACCCGTCTCACGAATGATCTCGGCTCACACGCATGACCTTCCTGTACGCCCCTCATCACTACGCGCTATGATCCTGAGGGTCTTCTGCTTCCATCGTCGCTGAGTATCTGCGCCTCCGCGCAGCCACCCAGACGACGTGGAACACGCATGTCTGTCGCGGTAGGCACTGCGAATGGATATAGCGAGGCCCGGCACGACGAGTCCCACAGCGCCCTCGCGAGTCGACGGCGAGTAGGACTGGCAGCTACTTGGTCCAGCAGGCGGATGGGCAGTGGGAGCTGCTGAATCTCTGGGCAATTTCGTGAGTCATTCGTTCGCGGTTCTCACTAGGCGACTAAGGAGCGGACTCTTCAGAAGGCCTTTCGCGAAGAGGTTCCGAGTCGTCGAGGACGAGAACGATGCTGGCTACTGCACGCGGTACCTCATCGACAATCGTTACCGTATACTAGGGTACTGCGCGTGTAACTATCAACCGGATGTCCCCTCCAAAGTCGACAGAAGTCCGATGACTGATCTGCCGAGCTTCTGAATCGGCGAGGTGAACGACAGCATTGAGATTGCCCACTGCCGCGACCCTCGGGCCGCATCGATGCTTCTACGTGAGAAAAACAGCACGTCGACGGCGCGTGTGCGAATCGCGACGTCAACAGCAAGCAGGCTGTGTATCGGTTGCTGACGCGTCTTCTCACCGACCCCCATGTCGATCAGCGCAGGGACAGCAAGTCAGGACATGGATCGCAAGGTCCTGTATACGATCCAGTGTGAGTTCCTCCGTTGGCCTGTCCCCCATTTGACTTACAAAGGCGGTCCGTGAAGTCGCGCCCATCGAAGATGGGCTTCCTCAGATTCCAAGGTTCAAAATCACAGGCCCCTCGAGAGACTTGTATGCGATTGCGACGGTCGAGGGCGAAAGCAAGCGTTGCGATCCGAGTAAGGAGCAGTCTTTGGAATTGTGCGTCGCTACATTCCTTCCCGCGTCACCGCTGATCGTTTGCGTCGTAGCATTGCTGGACATGGCGCAGATGTCCGGATCGAGCTGTATGCCGAGCGCGTCAGAGGCGATATCCTGGTTGCGTCCAAGGAGTACAGACTGGGCTCACTGACCTCATTCGATACGCCTGGTACGTCCGGATGTCCAACGGCCAAAATAGCGGGCTGATGTATAGCTTGTAGTCCACCTTGACGTGCGCGATTCGCGCATCGCGAGACGACCGGAATTGCAGCTATCCGTGACCGTCACGCCATTTCAAGAGAGCGTCGCCTCGGAGGTGGCCGCCTTGAAGCCCGAATTATCAATCTCTGACAAATGGAGCGCTATTATGGGGTATTCAAGGACCGTTATCCAGATATGTGATGCCCTCGGAGAGGTTCGTGCTCGACGTCTATCTATCAGCGTCAACGTCTTGAAGCAGGTCTTTTCAGGCTATCCCCCTATCCCAGACTGTATTCGCGCTCCTCGATCTCGGAGTCGACGTGCGTTATCCGTGCGTCGCGTAGGGTGATACTCACAGTCACTATAGGAACTCGAGAAGAGGGTGGAGTACCATCAAGAAATTGTAGCCCTCGTTGATGAAACGAGTAGGATCTGTGAAGTCGTTATTGCCTCCGACAAGCGGGAGTTCAAGGACAAGAGGAAGGAGCAGGGGAAGGCTTGCAACGCGCTGATCACTGAGCTGTTGCGTGTAGCATCATTCCTCCGCTGCTTGGCCTCGGAGAATCTCGGTGAGAAAGTTGAAAGTCTATATCTTTGAGTCGAGACTCACCCGTTTCTGATAGTTAAGCGCTCGCGCACCAAGGTCAATGAACATGTTCATGACATGCTGAACCGCTTGCAAGATCTATCCCGCTATGTCGAAAGTGGTGCGCATCTCGACGCCCAGAATGCTGTATTCAGGATTGAGGAGAAGCTCGGTGAGTGTCTAACTCTACTGAGCGAAATTTCATCCCTTGATATGGGTCCATAGATAATGAGACCACACTAAGGCACCTGCCTATGGCGAACACCCAGGCGGGCACCAGCAAGGGCTGTCGACCCAACACCCGGGTCCAGCTTCTCGCAGCAATCATGGACTGGGCCTTCGATACAAAAGGCCCGCGCTGCCTGATCCTCCACGGCACAGCTGGCAAGGGAAAGTCGGCAGTTGCCAACAGCGTCGCGTGCATCCTTGCCGACATGGGTGCCGTCGCTCCGTTCTTTGCCTTCGATCGCACGAATCCTACTCGTCATGCTCATCAACTTTATCCGACCCTCGCCGAGAAACTAGCCCGCTACGATCAGCATTATCTTGACGAACTGCGGTCGTTGCGTACGGAACAGCTTGAGACCATCGATATCAAGGACCAGCACCGGTACCTGATGCTCTCCGCCCTGCGCCTGTACCAAACGCGTGTCCCCACCATCTTTGTTGTCGATGCGCTCGACGAATGTCGGAATGACGATGATAATAGTATCGGCGAGCGCGCGACGCTGATTCGGACTCTGTGCGAGTGCATACAGGACCGTGAGCTTCCCCCAAGCATTCGGTTCTTGATCACTACGCGTCCGGATGACACGGATATTGCGAAGTTGCTACGAGATGACGAGACAATCGTCGTTGGCCGATCTATCGACCACGAAGAGAACACCGAGAGCGATATTCGCAAGGTTGTCGAGGAGAACCTTCGAGGAACCGATGCCTCCGGGCTAGTGGACGATGTCGTCCACGCGTCGCAGTCCCTCTTCGAATGCGCCGCCGTTCTCTGCCGAGAACTCACTGGCCCAAATCAACCGAAGAGCAGCGCTGCGCGCCAGGATCTCATTCGCAACATCAGACACGAGCCGGGCCACCCGCGACTATACGAGATCTACCGGCTCGTGCTCCACACGCATATCGGTACGAATGACCCTATATACCTATCGACTTACCGTCAGTTTCTCGCGTGGGTGCTCTCCGTGCGACAGCCACAGCCGGGGGTTGTGTTCCAAGAGTTTGCCGAGGTCTTGCTGGATGGCGAGAAAATAGACGGAATGCTGGTACATCTCGGATCTGTCCTGACCGGCACGCTTACGGGGGATGGCGAGCCCATCCGCCCACTTCACACATCCTTCCGCGACTTCGTACTCGATGCCGAGGCTAGCGGGCCCTTCGCGATCAAGCCCGTCTTTGCCGCCGCCGACTCGCAGCTCGCTCTCGCGTGCTTCGGCATCATGAGCAGGACAGGAAGCGGTCTGCGATACAACATATGCGACTTGCCCTCTCCTTTCGTGTACAAGAAGGACATCAACGACTTGAATGATCGTCTCACCAAGCAAATATCGCCTGGACTCCAGTATGCGTGTCGAGCGGTCTCAGAGCACCTCTCGCGCTGTCATAATTACGAAGAAGGTGCGAAGTTTGTCCTTCATGGTTCCCTCGTGCTCATTATGGGCAGTAGTGCAAGACCTAGTGACCGCCTTGAAGGCGTTCCTACAAAACCCCTTTCTCTTCTGGCTCGAGGCGTGCGGCTGGTTAGGGTATGAGCCATGCGACGTTCTTCAAGATATGCTCGAATGGGTGAAGGTATTGAAGTCCTATGTGATTCTTGGGTGGGAAACTGACATGCGCTCGCCAGATACACGAAAGCAATGACTCAACGCCCCTCGTATTGGACTTCATCTCGTTCGCGAAGCGATACCGCGAAGCAATGTCGGAGTCGCCACCTCAGGTCTATGTGACCGGCCTCCTCTTTGCGCCAGTCGACTCGCATGTTTCACGATTGTACGGGCATCGCATCGTAAGCCCCATCGATATTTCCGGATACGAGAAGGAGCAAGAGTGGCCGCCGAGCGAGACTCTCGTGATCCGAGCCGGAAGCAATGTCTATTCTGTTGCTTATTCTACAGACGGTACACAGATCCTGGCCGGCCTAGGCAATTATACACTTCGAATATGGGATGCGGAGACAGGTCGGCAGATCGGCAGTGCCATGCGAGGACACGGAGACAGGGTCTGGTCTGTTGCATTCTCTCCTGATGGCTCAACAATCGCTTCTGGCTCGGACGACTGCACCGTTCGACTTTGGGACGCCATGACCGGGCAGCAGCAGGGCCAGGCATTGCGCGGACACGCTGGCCGGGTTAAATCAGTAGCATTCTCTCCGGACGGCACCACTGTTGTCAGCGCCTCATACGATTGCACGTTGCGATTGTGGGATGCGAAGGCCGGGAAGGAGATTGGTGAAGCAATGCAGGGACATACGGATTGGGTTCGATCCGTCGTCTTCTCGCACGACGGAGCTTGCATTGTCTCTGGCGGTGATGACCGCACGGTCCGCATATGGGATATAGACACACGACAGCCGCTAGGCGATTCCATACGGCACGAAGGCTGGGTCAGATCAGTCTCAATTTCGCATGACGGCAAGTACGTCGCTTCTGGCTCTGACGACGGGACCATCCACGTGTGGGATGCAGGAGGGAGGCAGCAAGTGTGGTCATTGCATGGGCATATAGGCTGGGTATATGCAGTCGCCTTCTCGTCTGATAGCACGCGCATCGTCTCAGGTGGGCACGATGACACTGTCCGCATTTGGGATGTGGCCTCAGGAGCGCAGGTCGGCGATGACTTGCGCGGCCACACCGAATTAGTCTTCTCCGTGGCCTTCTCTCCCGACGGGAAGCACGTCGCATCCGGCTCCGACGACGGCACGATCCGGGTCTGGGACGTGCGGGAGGCGAAGAAGGAAAGCGGCATCCCGGTCGAACACACCCGCGACGTCACCTCGGTCGCTTGCTCGCCGGATGGCAAGTACATCGTCTCTGGCTCGTGGGACAAGACGGTGCGACTGTGGAACGCTGAGACGGGGGAGCCGGTGGGGGATCCGATGACGGGGCACGATGGCGAAGTCAACTGCGTCACATTCTCGCCGGACAGCACGCGAATTGCCTCCGCCTCGGACGACAGGAAGGTGCGAGTGTGGGATGTGGAGACGCGACTGCCAGTGGGCGTGCTTCAACGGCACAACAGCCGGGCTCTCTGCGTCGCATTCTCGCCTGATGCCACTCGGCTCGTGTCTGGATTAGCGGACGGGACTTTGCGTCTCTGGGATTTGGCGACAGGGCAGCAAATCGGCGAACCACTCTATGGCCACGAAAACTACGTTCGATTTGTGTCATTCTCAAATGACGGCTTGTACATCGCTTCTGGCTCCGATGACCACTCTATCAGACTTTGGGATGCCAAATCACAGCTGCAGTGGAGAGGGCCACTCGCAGGTCATCAGGATTATGTTCTATCTCTCGCGTTCTCGCCCGATGATGTGTACCTCGTGTCTGGCTCCCACGACAGAACAATCCGCCTGTGGGACGTGAAGACGGGCGAGCAGATGGGCGGGCCACTTACCGGTCATACTGACCGGGTACGATCTGTCTCCTTCTCGCCCGATGGGAAGTACGTTGTGTCCGGATCTGATGATAGGACGGTGCGAGTCTGGAGTGTGCAGACCAGGCAGCAAGTCGGTTCCTCCTTGCGAGGGCACGAGGGCTGGGTTAACTCAGTCGCTTTCACTTCTGATGGCGCTCGTATTGTTTCCGGATCTGGTGACGGTACAATCCGAGTCTGGGATTTTGCGAAATTGCAGGGCTCAGAGAACACGGTCGACGCCGCAAGTGCACACACGACAGAAGCTCGTGTGCAGTCACCCCTTCAGGAGATCCACAACCACTGGCTTGTCTACGATGGCGATGGCGTAGAGCGACCCATACTCTGGATTCCCCACCACCTGCGCCAGTATCCTCTCGCCTTCTCCCCATTTCAGCCCCGATTTGTACCTCCTACGACACCCCATATCCGTATCATGCTCAACGATTCGTTCCGACTCGACGAGTGACCGACTTATACTCCTGCACTCACTTCCGAAGAGCCTTCGGAGGCGCTGGTATAGGAGGAGTAGGATGGGAGTACCAGTTGACTTCGGAAGAATCATCCGGTAAGCAGGAGTATTTGTGTACGCCACTTTGCTTTCTGAGCTGACTTTCGGACAGCGCTTGCCACTGAGTGATGGACAACAGCGTGTGGTCGACCCTGCAGCGATCCGACTCCCTCCTCACACATTTGACTCCACCTGACGAGTTCCCTGGCGCGGTCGAACCTGTGCAGAACCGACTCCCTTTCCGTATATACTCGACTTCATCTCACATTTCCTTGGCTCGATGATGTCCTCTTCCTGGCATTTCTGTCCTGCATGACTTTGTACGGTACTTAACCTTCTTCCATGACTCTTACCATCGCCGCGACGCCTCGATTTAACCATCGGCCGACATCACGATCCCGATGTAATATTTTCTTGTTTCCTTCGACTCCTCATATATGCGTCTTGATACATACTTCATGACTCCGTTTTACGATCGCTACTGTTCTGTTTTCCGTGAAGGACTTGACTTGGCTCGTATAACAGCGATTTCGCCACATAGTCTAGTAGGTCCCGGGCGAAAGATGGTATTGAACTACGGAAAGGACGAGTCTGATTACTGTAGGCCCTTCCCCACACTCCGCCTATACGTCGTTATATATTGCGTGCTCGCGCAGTCACTCACGCTCCGCTCCGAAGAACAGGAAAGACGCAAGTCAATGCGACGCGCTTGCGCATGCCGTCTGGAGAGCGCGCTATATGTCCGCGACGCATACCAGATCATCTGCAGCCGCGGGCTGAGCGTCGACGATCGTGGAGAAATCGTCTGACTTGCTGGTGAGAAATACAGGCGCAAGCAGCGCACTGGAACGCTGTGACATTAGCATGCGCTTGCAGCGTCCGATGGTCTGCAGTCGTCTCATGCGTGTGCCGCCAGACGACGATGATTCTACAACGCAGATCAGCGTCCGTGACATTCCGCTCTGAAGCCAGTAGCCAGCCCGCGGCGGCGGCGCGGTAAGAGGATTGCGGTCTTCGTAGATCGTAAGGGTGGCAGGTCAGTACAACGATGGCAGACTCGCCTCGGAAAAAGCGCAAGTAGCGTTTGACGGTCAGCGAGTCGCGCGCTAGAAGTTATGTTTCGGCAAACTCAACAACCCTTCCGTTGACGCGCATCAGAAACCTGGAAGGGTGATCAAGGTCCTCTGAAGGGTTCGAGCCTGATCTCTCGTGCTCGCTCCGCTGAAGAAAGAAAGTCGTACTCACCGGGAAAAGAGTGAGAACCAAGAAGGCCGAAGCCGCGCTGATGACAATGTGGGCCTCGAAGAACCGCACGTATGTAGCTTCACACGCGTGCACCCTTGACTTTCCAACCGCGAGAGGAGCTCAAGATCAAGCTTGAGGACGCGCTCGTTTGCTGACACTGACAGGCTGGTCGCTCACTATTACGCATCCGAGTTTTGAGCGGGTAGTCAATCCTTAGTAAGTGTGGTATCAGCGAGTGCGCGAAGAGCGTGGCAGGAAGGACGCACCGGCACAAATCCGTCAGGGCATTGGGGAAGCGTGTCGCCCGAAGCGAGCACGATGTAAGTATCGCTCCAGTTGAGTTGCATCAGCATAAGAGCATCCACGAGGTTTGAAGCACCCGGAGGAGCATAGTTCTCTTCGACCATAGGGACGTCCCGAACGTGGCGAGGCGCATCCGAGTGCCCGGTGTCTTCGAGGTTGAAGGCCAAGTAGCGATTTTCAAGCATAAGTCGAAGGGAGAGTTAATACGATTCTCTGAAGCGCTGTGAGTAGGAATTGCTGGGGTATGGACCGGGACATGGAGGCAGAAGACAAGGACGGCTCGATCAGCCTCCGCCTTGATCCCGATCAGATTCCGCTTTGCTTCCGCGTTCGTCTTGCTTCCGTCCATCATCATCATCAACGTCGACCCCCTCTGCTATCCCCCTCTCCCGCGAGGTGCTGCGCTCGGACGGCTTTGCAAGGCTACGACGTACTCAGGTTGGACGATTGCCGACGGCGCGCTGATAAGTCCGCGCAATGCCAGTGTCACGTGCGATCATCGGCGAGGATCCTCTGGTTGTGGATGCGCCCGACTCGGCTATAGGAAGATGCGGCTGCGGAAGGTTGCGGGGGCTTTCCCGGGGGAGGGAAGGGTGCGCGTCGACGCAGTTGACCCTCAACGACGTCCCCTTCGTTAAGCGCGCGGTCCCGAAGTACGTGTCCTGCCATACCTATCTACCGCCTGCTAACCTGAGCATGCCCCGCCGGCTTTCTACATCTCTCGATCACCGTTGAAGGGGCAAAAGAGAGACTCGCATGCGCTACGTACTTTCTTAGGGCCCTTCAGACTACGGCGCGGCTCCGGCTCATCTCAAGCGTAGAGCCGGCCCTTGAACCGTCACCACCTACCTGTCCAGGCGCCCAAGCCTGCAACGTCGCATCAGTCGAATGATGAAGGCGCTTGGCGAGGAGATGTGTCGCTCGATAATGCAGCGACAAGTGAGATCATAATCGCGTTTTGAGTGAGTACTGCTGACTCCGATCTCGTGCGCTTTGCGCGACATTGCTGACACCCTACCCCCAGGTCACACTTCATCTATAGCAACAACTTGCTACTCTATCGGATCCACAGCCTCTTGAGTGGATGAACGAGCTCGCCGGCGCTCACGATGACCGTCTTCTTGAGGTACGTGATTGTGTCGAATTTGCTCACGATCCCGGCTGATGCTCTCCATCTCATCAGGTTATCACAACTCTCATCGGGAATGCTAAGAACGTCACCCTACCCCTCCGGCTGCTCTGCTCTATCCGGTGTACTGCGGGTCTTGGCTCTGGCTTCTTCCTCGCACTTGCCCGCCGCGGATTGTTCAACATCGGCGTCGAAGCCGCGAAAGACACCATCGCCTGCCCCATCGTAGCATCATCTGTTCCACGAAACGCAAGACGGGCGCTCGCTTCCACTCGACCGACATCGCTGAGCCCACGTCCTCTCTCATGTGAGCCGGCTCGACTCGCGAATGCTAACGCGCACTCAGGCTGTCGAAGATGCGAGGGGCTGATGGTCGCAACATCAGCCTCCAAAGAGCGGACAAGTTGCTCCATACCGCTTAGGCGCAGTCGAGCGTGGAGATGAAGCTTGACGGCCTTCGTGGAGATGAAGCTTGACCGCCTTCGCTCGGCAGTCGGCTACTGAGTTCGCCCACCACCGACGTGCATGTCGCCTCTGCGGTACGAAGCACGATCCTCAATCCCGAGCTCTGTCTGAGTGATGTGTTCCTGCAAGGTGCGTCTGGGATAATGTTGTCCTTGAGATGCATATATTGACACCTAGTGCAGTCCTCAGCGTACCCACGAAGGGCTTGAATGGCCAAATGTGATACAGCATGAGTCTCAGCATCGGCGTCGGCGGCGATCCTTGATGCTCAGCGACCTTGAGCTCGACGTATGATAGACCAACGCGGAGCACGTCAGGCGCCGGGACCTTGAATCTCTAATCGCTACTTCGCTTGCGCGCAACATGGATCGACCTCATCTGCGTCAGCGCAGTCCATGCGATATCACCTCGACGACGACTAGCGGGCGATGCAGCACCTTCGGCTATCCCGGCGCATATATGCCTATATATACACCGCAGCCAGTGTCTTTAGGGAAAAACGCTGCGCCGTCGAGGCCTCGGCTACGCGCGACCGCTGGGATTGGCGCGCCTCTGCTAAGTAGCGCCGAGGTCGACTGTCACGCCAGTACGTCTTGCGCTCAGGAGCTCTCAGGACGGTAAACGCTTTACGTTCATTGTCTATACGAAGAACTGAAGGACTCTTCAACTTCCTTTGACTGTGGGAGTGGCTACTTCGACAGACCAGAACTCGGGACACGGGCATGCTTCATTGCCTGCACTCGCCGGGCGCGGACGACGTCGCTGAAGGACCCGCGAGCGAATTGAAGACCGAACTCGACCGTTATCTTCGCCGGCACACTCTGATCTTCCTCGCCGCCCCACCCGATCATGAACACTTGCACGTACCTCCCATGCCTCTCAACTTAGATAGCTCAAAATAGCATATATACATTGCTTCACTTTATCTGTTAAGCATTCCTTACACTGCCGCTGTTCTCCAGAAGTCGAGAGACGAGCGCAGGCGAGGTTCAACATGATGAGCGGTTGAGGGAGATGGACCGGAGCCCGCGGCCCGTTGCCCCGAACTCATCCCGATCGTCGAGTCGCATCAGCTTGTCCCCTCCCCTCATGCGGAGACGTCGACGTCTCTCTCCTCTCCCCGCTACGCCTGTTCAACGATACGGAAGCTGCTTCTTGACGTGGCTGTCCGGTCCTCGCCTTATTTTCCGCGCTAACACTTGACTTCCGCCGGTCTTGGACGTCCATACACCCCGGGACATGGAGCTGCTGGTTCTCATCATGGTCGCCATATACTTCGGGAACACGAAGTCTATCTAGCGCGATGGCTCCGTTACCGCTGAAGGTGCGTGGTACCCTCGCTCTGGCCTGTCCTCCGCTGATCGCTCGACAGATGGATGCGAGGAGCCCAACCTCATTGTATGAGATTCGCTGGCGCGCACCCCGCCGGCCCCCGATGCGCGACGTTCGTCAGACAATTTGTACCCAAGACTCGCCCGGACGACCACTCATGGCATCCTGAGTGCCCACATCGGCGCATATACTACCACTCGCCGCACGGTCGCCAACAACATGGATATATGCGCCCTTCTATTCCCCATCTCCCTTTTCGACCGGTCATAGCGTGCCCGTACGTTGACCGGGTCATATACCAACTGTAATCCTGTCCCAATGAGATCCTCCCGTCCGAATCTCCCATAACATCTCGCTGATCACCAGTCAGACCTCAAACTCCGTGACGGCCGGGATTCACGTCCCCTCACCCTCAAGAACGGCGCATATATGCGATGTCCTACCACGGCTCGTCCTTCGAGGACCCTGGTGGAAACTTCAACAATACTCAAGAGCAAGATTTTTGCGACGTCGCTCGGGACATGGCAGTCCGACGCTTGAAAAGCCAGCTCAAACTGTGTCTCGTCCTCTTTCGTCTTGATCTTGATGTATCACGGTAGGTACTCTTGACCGATAACTCTTTCTCCCCGCTCACGACTACAGAGAATCATCACCCGTCAATGCTCGTACTTCACGAGCTGAAATCGGCCAGGCCTCCGAACTCGACGCATATATCCGCTCGTCGAGCTCGCTCTCACGAAGGACGCGCGACCCGAGCAGCCGCTCGAGTCGCGCGCTGTCTGCGGGACGACTGGCGCTCGGTTTCGCGTCTCCGCCTTCGCTTGACTCTCCTAGGACTGACGATATGATCTCTCTCGGGTATGTCTATCATGTCGTGCGGTCGGTTTCCTTCATTCACACAAGCCACAGGTCGTTCGAATGTGCATGTCGAAGTCGCGCTTCCGAACCTTGACGATCCGCTTGGGATTCGCCGTCAACGCCATACCTGCGACAACCTGTCAACATACACGCGATGCCACGTCCGACAGGCTTGAGCCAGGTCTATCGAGTCACATACCTGCGGGCCGGCAATTTCACTGCGCGGGGTATCCGCGAGGCTCCTTCGTCGCTCGCCGGCGCTTGTCAGGCGACGCATCTCCGGCGCGGCTTTGATGAGACACACTTCTCTCGACGTCTCGTGCGTTCAGCCCTTCAGCCAGCCAGGACATCGATCAGGCGGACGCCACCGTCTCGAGAGCGTCTTCAGCTGGGAACCTGGGGATCATAGCCGATTGAGCGACGAGCAATAGAAGGATGGTCGCTCGCTACCCAAAGAGCTCAAAGGCAAGCCGGGCGCCTGTATCACCCCTACGAGGGCGTCTCGCCAAGGTGAGCTTTGAGCACTGGTGCGACCCGCACTGTATGAATCTACTTAACTCTTTTTACAGGAGTTAATCGTGGTCCGCGCTCGCAGAGTCGGCGGCCGCGCTGAGGTTGGAGGAGGAAGAAGGGGTTGCGCAGTTTGGTTCGACTATTGACGGAGTTCGCGCTAGGATGCAGTAAGTCCTCCGCATCCTTAGCAGGCCTGCCACTGATCGTAATTAATTGTAGATGCTCTGGCGACGAGAGCGTCGGCGTAAGAGGCAGTCGCCCTCGCCTTTCTGCTTCTCGTCTTCCTCCCCGACAACGCTGCCTATGGTCAGCTCCGTTGTAGAGATGCCATCTGCGCCATAGAGAGAGCACGGCATCGCGGGAAAGTCGGTGAGCTGCACGCGTGTTCTGCACCGCAATGACTGAGGACCACTGCAGGTAGCTCTTGCGAGGTGCTGAAGCGCCCTTGGTAGACATCATCGTCCTGTTGTCAGGTCCAGCGCACGCGCTGCATGTACAATAACCCACGCCGTATAGATCTGTACCGCAGTGTCTGTAACAATGGCCTGATGTTCGTCTGCGTACTCATAATGGCTGACTCAGTGTGATCCTCCGACACCGTCATGCTGCAATCGGCGAGTACAATGTCGTCTCGGGGTGAGGCTTTATATCATACACGTGGAGGCCATGTGAACCTGATTGACCGATGAGCTCGTGCGAGCCGCATCGCTTCTTGTTCACAGCTACCATGTCGAGCGACGTGACCAGGACAGGGCCAACGGCGGGGCGAACAGTCGTGTACCACATCCACTGTGAGCGCCTGTGCGGTCAGATTGCTTTCTGCTGATCTCGGATGCATCCCTTTCTAGATCATCCCTCCGGTACTGATCACCCTCAATTCCGCGAGAAGCGTCGGCGCTTACCTTGCGCGAATATCGAGCTCCCAATCAGAAATCATCGACGGCGGCTACAGTTCTACGTCAAGTTCGAAATCGGTAATACTTCTCATGAGTACAGATGGAACCAGGAGTCCCACTTGTCCTTGTACGCACACGGTTCCCGAAGCCGATCTATCTAATGTGTGCAATAGCGAAGTACCGTCCGAAGCCGCACCTCACATCCAGGCGAAGATCACTCTATGTGCCAAGAACGAGAAGGAGGACCTACGCCTCGCATCGAAGGAATGCGTGCTGGCGTCTTTGGTCCTGTGCGGGCTAACTTCCTCCAGTACGCCCATTCGATCCGTGCCTTTCGTGACTTGCTGACATGACGGCCGCAGTACAACTCGATGTATGCGATGTCCGGCTTACCGAGGTGCCCTTCGTCAAAGTTGACGTGACCGTGGAGCCGCTGGAAAAGGCGACGCTCGAGGTCGTTGATGCGCTCGAGAAGGCCTTGACCCTTCCTGCTAAGTGGGATGCCATGGCACGTTATGTCAAGGTTGCGGTTCAGATAGGCGGCGCCGTCGCGGAGGTGAGCGTCTTTGTTCTCCGGCGCGTCGTATGCCGTTTCCTGACATGTGTTCGAAGATCAATCCCATAGCGAAGGCTGTATTCAAGTTGTTGGACATAGGGGTTGGGGTGCGCCGCTGCGTCCTTGTCTAACTTACGCTGACTTGATACCAGGAGCTCGAGAGGAGGAAGGGCAACATGCACAACATCGTTTCGCTTGTACATGCCATGGGCGAAGCAAGCGCTGTCGTTATCGCAGTCGACTCGCAAGATTTCGTGGAAAAACGAGTTAGACAAATCAGGGCGCGCGATGCCCTTGTTCCGATAATCTTTCATGCTTTGTCCTACATTCAGTCATTGAAACGAGGTGCGGGTTTGGCCAGATCTAAGAGCTAATGCTGATGCTCAACTCGTGGCCGTCCAGCTGATCGCGCACGAACTCATACCAATGACCAAGTGAGCAAGCTGCAACAGTCCCTTCGCAAGCTCGTTGCAGATATCAAAGCGGGACAAGAAATAGATATGCAGCAGGCATTCTTCAGGGTCGAGGATATGGTGGAGAAGCTTGGTAGGCTACTCGAACGCTTGTCGTAAGGCTTAGCTGACAAATGAGTAGAAATAGACAATGCTCTACGTCATCTCCCCGTCGCAACAGTGCACGCTGGCTCTACTAGAGCCTGTCTTCCCGGCACGCGCGTGGAAATATTGGGCCTGATTGTGGACTGGATATTTGATCCCAAAGGCTCGCGTGGTTTCATCTTACACGGGACGGCGGGGAAGGGAAAGTCTGCGGTGGCGCACACCGTGGCCAGGTGGCTGACGGACGCGGGAGTTGCCACGTCTTTCTTTGCTTTTGAGCGAACGAACCGCGCTCGCCGCGCCAACCAGCTACTTCCCACCCTTGCGAGGCAACTTGCGTACCTGGACCCGCAGTACTATCGAATACTTCGCTCTTTGCTACCCGCACAAATGGAGACCACCGACATTCACGACCAATCCGAACATCTAATCCTCTCTGCATTCCGTGACTACGCGCCCATACTTCCGATCGTCTTTGTCATCGACGCCCTCGACGAATGTCCCAACATCGATGTGAACGAGATAGAGGATCGCAAGGCACTGCTCAACAGCTTGCGAACGTGTATGTCAGATGTCCAACTCCATTATAACATCCGCATTTTTATCACGACCCGCCCCGAACGCGAGACCTACTACCCGCTCCTCGAGGACTCTGTGACCTTCATCTGGAAGTCCATCGACAGCGCTGCCGGCACTGCTGGAGATATCCGCAAATTCGTCGAGTCCGAACTCATGTCATCGACCGTGCGGAAGATCGTTGGCGATCTTTCCAACGCTGTGGACATCATTGCGAACGCTGCACAAGACTCCTTCGAATGTGCGGCAGTGCTTTGCAGGGAGCTTACTGGGCCTCAGCGACCAAAGACTGGGGCCAAGCGCGAGGAGCTCATTCGGCGCGTCCAGGCACAACCCGGGTTTTCACTATACGCTTCGTACGGCACGATCCTTGAGGAGCACCTCGACACGGATGATGATGACCTTATGAACTTGTACCGCCAAACTGTGGGATGGGTGTTCGCCGTGCGCGAGCCTCAGCCGCGGTCCGTCTTTCAAGAAATTGCGGACACGCTACCATCCCGAAAAGACATCCTGCTTGTTCTGGAGGGTCTTGGTTCGCTTTTGTCTGGTACATCTCCAAGCGACACGAAACCCATTCGCCCACTTCACACATCCTTCCGCGACTTCGTACTCGACGCCGAGGCGAGTGGGAACTTCGCCATCACATCGGAATTTGCCGCCGCCGACTCGCAGCTCGCTCTCGCGTGCTTCAGCATCATTGACAGACCAAAGAGCGGCCTCCGGTACAACATATGCGACCTACTCTATCCTTTCGTGTACAAATGGGACATCGACGACTTGGACGGTCGTCTCACCGAGCATATATCACCTGGACTCCAGTATGCGTGTCGCGAGGTCACGGCACATCTCTCGCACAGTCAGCCCGGTGACTCAGGTGCGGAATCTCTACATTATCGTGCCCTCGCGCTCATTTCCAGCACCAGATCTGATACCGGCCTTGACGAAATTTCTACAGAACCAGTTCCTCTTTTGGCTCGAAGCGTGCGGCTGGCTAGGGTATGAGCCGTGCGACAGTCTTCGCAACATGCTCCACTGGGTTAAAGTACGAGATAGTCTGTCCTCGACGGTTGAAAACTTACAATCCTCTCAAGAAGCTCAACCAAGGTGACTTGGCAGCCATCGTCACAGAGTTCATCGCTTTCGAAAAGCGATTCCGCGAAGCAATGTCGGAGTCGCCACCTCAGGTCTATGTGACCGGCCTGCTCTTTGCGCCAGACAGCTCGCATGTTTCCCGATTATACCGGCATCGCATCGTGAACCCGATCGATATCTCTGGGTATCAACGAGAGCAAGGGTGGCCACCGAGCGAGACGCTCGTGATCCAAGCCGGAAGCAGTGTCTATTCTGTCGCTTATTCTCCAGACGGTGCAAAGATTGTAGCCGGCCTTCGCAATCATGAGCTCCGAATATGGGATGCGGAGACGGGGCGGCAGATCGGCAGTGCCATGCGAGGACACGAAGACCAGGTCTTGTCTGTCACATTCTCTCCTGACGGCTCAACAATCGCTTCTGGCTCGTGGGACTTTACTGTTCTACTTTGGGATGCCAAGACCGGGAAGCAGCAGGGCGAGGCATTGCGCGGACACACTGATTGTGTGCGGTCAGTCGCGTTCTCTCCGGACGGCACCACCGTCGTCAGCGCCTCAGACGATTGCACATTGCGATTGTGGGACGCGAAGGCCGGGAAGGAGATTGGTGAATCAATGGAGGGGCATACACGTGGTGTTAACTCCGTCGTCTTTTCACACGACGGAGCTCGCATCGTCTCTGGCGCTGATGACTGCACGGTCCGCATATGGGAAACAGCAACACGACAGCAGCTAGGCGATTCTATACGGCACAATGACTGGGTCAGATCAGTCTCAATCTCGCGCGGCGGCAAGTATGTCGCTTCTGGCTCTGACGACGGGACCGTCCGTGTATGGGATGCACGAGGGAGGAAGCAAGTGTGGGCATCGCATGGACATACAGGCTGGGTATTTTCGGTCGCCTTCTCACCTGACAGTACGCGCATCGTCTCCGGCGGGCGCGACGCCACCGTCCGCATCTGGGATGTAGCATCAGGAGCGCAAGTCGGTGATGACTTGCGCGGCCACGCCGATGACGTCAACTTCGTCGCCTTCTCTCCGGACGGGAAGCACGTCGCATCCAGCTCCAGCGACCGCACGATCCGGGTCTGGGACGTGCGGGAGGCGAAGAAGGAAAGCGGCATCCCGATCGGACACACAGGCAAGGTCTACTCGGTCGCCTGCTCGCCGGATGGCAAGTACATCGTCTCTGGCTCGGACGACCAGACGGTGCGACTGTGTTACGCGCAGACGGGGCAGCTGGTGGGGGATCCGATGACGGGGCACGATGACAAAGTCAGCTGTGTCACATTCTCGCCGGACAGCACACGAATTGCCTCCGCCTCGGGCTACTGGTTGGGCCATTGCGATGGAACGGTGCGAGTGTGGGATGCGGAGACGCGACTGTCAGTGCGCGTGCTTCAAGGGCACTACCGCGGTGCTCTCTGCGTCGCATTCTCACCTGATGGCACTCGGCTCGTGTCTGGATCAGCGGACAAAACTTTGCGTCTCTGGGATCTGGCGACAGGGCAGCAAATCGGCGAACCGCTCTATGGCCACAAAGACTACGTTCAATCTGTGTCATTCTCAAGTGATGGCTTGTACATTGCATCTGGCTCCAATGACAGCTCTATTCGACTATGGGATGCCGAATCACGGCTGCAGAGAAGAGGGGCACTCGAAGGTCATCAGAAATCTGTCCAGTCCCTGGCGTTCTCGCCCGATGATTTGTACCTCGTGTCTGGCTCCCTCGACAGAACAATCCGCCTGTGGGACGTGAAGACGGGCGAGCAGATGAGGGGGCCACTTACCGGTCATACTGACTGGGTACGATCTGTCTCCTTCTCGCCCGATGGAAAGTACGTTGTGTCCGGATCTGATGATAGGACGGTTCGAGTCTGGAGTGTGCAGACCAGGCAGCAAGTCGGCGTCTCCTTGCGAGGGCACAAGAACTTGGTCAGCTCGGTCACCTTCTCCTTTGATGGATCTCACATTGTTTCTGGCTCCTTTGACGGTACGATCCGGGTCTGGGATTTTGGGAAATTGCAGAGCTGGGAGAACAGGGTCGACGCCGCAAGTGGAGACACGATAAGAGCACGTGTGCAGGCATCCCTTCAGAAGAACGATGACTGCTGGCTTGTCTATGACGATAACGGCACGGAACGACCCATCCTCTGGATTCCTCATCATCTGCGACGCATCCACCGTGCCTACTCGCCTTTTCACGTTAAGTTTGTACCTCCTACGATGCCCCATCTCCGCATCACGCTCGGCGACTCGTTTCGCCTTGGCGAGTGGCCATCTTATACGTCTGCCCCTGCCCCTGAGGAGCTGTCGATGGCGTTGGAAATGAAGGAGTAGGATTAACACCGCATGCCACCGAACGTAGGAATTTCCATCCGGTAAGCAGGAATTTACTTGTCCGCTATCTCTCATACTGAGGTGTACTTGACTAGAGCTGGGTGCTACAAGCCAGATAGCTACGCACGGTCGGTCTTGCGCACACTCGACTTTCGTTCCGCACACACTCGACCTCATATTTTCTTGGCTCGATGATGTCTTCTTCCTGACGGTCGTACCGTCGTGAAACTCGTTAGGTACAATTCCTTCTTCTCCCACAACTTGCCCACAACGACTACACATCACCGCGACGTTTCAATTTGACCGTTGGCCCATTGACATAGTAATTTCCTCTTCTTTCCTTCGACTCATCATATAGCGTCTCGTTACATACTTTTTGGCTTCGTTTTACGACCGCTACTGTTCTGTGATTCGTGAAGGACATGACTTGGCCCCTACTACAGCGATTTCGCTACATATTACAGGAGGCCACGGGCGAGAGACAGTACGAAAAGGACGAGTCTCATTACCGTAAGCCCTTGCCCACACTCCGCCTATACGTCGTTATATATTGCGTGCTCGCGCAGTCACTCACGCTCCGCTCCGAAGAGCAGGCAAGACGCAAGTCGGTGCGATGCGCTTGCGCGTGCCGTCTGGAGAGCGCGCTATATGTCTGCGACGCATACCAGATCATCTGCACTCGCGGGTTTAGCGTCAACGATCGTGAAGAAATCGTCAGACTTACTGATGAGAAATACAGGCGTAAGCGGCGCACACCACTCGAACGCTGTGACATTAGCATGCGCTCGCAGCGTCCGATGGTCTGCGGCCGTCTCATGCGTGTGCCGCCAGACGACGATGATTCTATAGCGCACATCAGCATCTGAGCAAGTCCGCTCGGGAGCCAGCAGCCAGCCCGCGGCGGCGCGATGAGAGGGTTGTGGTCTTCATAGATCGTAAGGGTGGCAGGCCAGTACAACGAGGACGATCTCACCTCAAAAGAGGCGCAAGTAGCGGTTGACCATTTGAAATGCGAACCGTGCGAGAAGTCCCGGCAATGTAGATCATTGACGCGCGCGGTATTCTGAATAAGAGGAGGAAAGATTGAGGAGCTCAGACCCGCTCATCATCAGAGAAGAGGTTTGGCCCACCAATCTGAGTAGTCACGACTGAGAGAACAGAACCGCGCTGAAGATAAGCCTGGGCTTCCTCGATCAACCGCACATGCGGGGCTTCATACACTTGAGGCCCTCAGCAACGTAAAACCCGCCTTCGTGGCGTGCTCAATCGCTGGGTTCGTCGGCCTTGGTTCTTTGCTACAACGGAAAGGAGTAGGATCAGCGAGTGAGCGAGCGACGAAGCAGAGAGACGCACCGGCATGAACTCGGCGGATTGAGGCGCGCCATTGGACGCGAGCTCGCCGTCTATATCTTGCGCCAGTCAGGCAGTAAGAGACAAACTATGAGGCATGAAGTTGTCGGAGGGCCAAGAGCTCTGGTCGCAACAGCGTCTCGACCGCTGGCAGTGGGTGTCCGAGCGCCTGGAGAATCGGTGTTGGTGAGCGTGAGAGGCGAGCCGTGAGCCTCAAACGTGCGCCAGCCATGGGGGGATATACGCCAAGTATCTGTATAGCCCTGGGATTGGGAGAGCAGAGCGAGTATATACGGAGATGGCGGCGGCAGACAAGGACGGACGGCTCGATCAGCTTCCGTCCTTGATCTCGATCAAATTCCGCTTTGCTTCCGCGTCCGTCTTGCTTCCGTTCATCATCACGTCGACGACCTCTGCCTCTCCCCTTCCTCGCGACGTGTTGCACCCGGTCGGGTTTGCGAGCCTACGACGTACTCAGGCTTGGACGATGGCCATCGACGCGTTGGTCGCTCGTGCGATTCGGAATCATGATCGGCGACGAACAGCCTTCTCGTGGCCGCCCATGACTCAGTTTGAGCAGGAGGAGGATGCGGATGCTCAAGGGAGATGGGGAACTTCTATGGGAGGTAGAAGGATGCACGCCAACGCTCTCAACACTCGACGTTGCCCCCTGTGTTGAGCGCGCAATCCCGAAGTACGTGCGTTGCGATATCCATCTCTCGCCAGCTAACCTAAGCATGCCCAGTCGGCTTTCGTAGACCTCTCAATTACGGGAGAGGAGGTGAGAGGAAAGAAATCTCCGCGCTATGCAGCTCCTTTAAGTCCCCCAGGCTGCGTGACTCTACTCTCACGCGGAAAGTCTGCCATTCCGTCACCATAGACCTGCACTCGCGACGTGGTATGCAACGGTCACGACTTACAAATAAAGGGGCTCGGCAAGGAGATGTATCCCTTAATGTCGCGGTCATTCCGTCGACGAGCAAGATCGTAATTGCGTTATTTGTTGAGTATCACCGGTTCCTGCATCTGCAGCTTCATGCGATCTTGCTGACACCATGCCCCTAGGCCAATCATCTTCTACGACAACAGCAGGCCCGGCTACCCGGTGAACCAGGTTTTGGACGAGAATTAGAGCTCGCTGGCGTTCATGATGAGCGTCTTACGAAGGTACGTGATCTGGTCGACTTCACCCATCATCCCGACTGACTCCGCTCTTCTCTTCAAGTCGAGCCCGACTGACAACGGACACGTCTATATACCAGTCAGAGTCTTACTGGTGCTCAACTCCAGGCTTCCTCTTACCCGCCGCAAATCCGGACGACATCATTGACGGCCGGCCGCCGAGGTTGACGCCGATGGCGATTAATGCACATCAATACCGAACTTCGTTTGCGGCACGCCATGTTCGTCACCGTCCTGGCCGAGTTCAAATGCATCGTCGGGACTATGCTGACCCTCGTTCTCGACCGACTCTGGTGAGCTCGCGTCCTGAATCATGCAGCTCGGTCTATCTCGGGAGCGCTGGTCGCTCCCAGGTCATCAGAGACGCGGACGCTGCTGTACGCGACACCAATGTTGATCGTTGAAGCGCACGCCGCCGACGTGTGACCGCGTTTTCAACTACGCGCTCCGCTGCGTCCATGGCTTGCAAGACTCAAAGGATGGATGAAAGCATGAGCTCGACGCTCCAGCGGCGCCAGTTCCTCCGAGATCGGCCCTCGTCCGTCCAATCAAGTGGCACTGGCAGTGACGAGGATGTGCGACAGAGATGGAGTTTTCAAAGACTTGTGCTCCCTCTCGACGATCAGTTTGCTGGTGGCGGGGTACGACTCAGAGGGGTAAGCTCCACTATTCGAATCATCCTCTTGACTTCAGTCAAGATAGGGACCCGTATGCCCTGCTGTGGACTTCGCCGAACAGATTCGATTGGATGCCGAAGGGCATCGCTAATCTCAGGGCCCCCTCGTCAACTGCGCTCTCATTGATCGCAGTCTCCGTCGATTGTTTTAGCTTGTCAAGGATTATGAACGCGCATGTACGGTCCGTCGTCGCGACCGGGGAGGGAGTTTTCCCCCTCATCGTGTCCGTTCGTCGGCGCATGCTGTCAGCCTTTCTGTGCGCAGACAGACTGAGTCCTGAGAATGCGTCAGCATGATAGCAGCATAATCTTCTTGTACGCTACGGGCCGAGATTATTCTACTCAGGAGAAAGGCAGGCCACGAGCCGCTGGCATGTGGACAATGTGACGTTGATATTGCCGATGAATGGTAGTGCTATGTACTCCTTGGATAGTCGGAAGCAACGTCGCTTCACCGCTGTTCATCGAGAAATCCCTCTTCGTGCGCGTAACCCCTCTTTGTGAGCGTAGTGCGCCTCCTAGTGGCCTGGCTGAGAACAGGCCGCTAGCGTTGGTCACGCATCCTTCATGTGACCGATGTTGAACTTCCGCTAAGTTCACCTGCGGGCCTACTGATACGGGAAGGTCGTAAGGTGTAGTATATGTTATGAATGCGTCATGCTTTACTCTTGCTGCACTCGTTATATTACTGATATTGACAGACCGAATAGCAATATTATATAGATCCAATGCAACAGTAGCGCCTGGCGGCGCATTATGCGATCTGTGCGAGGTAAACTCCAGCTTCCGAGGCGTGATATCCCATATACTGCTATTCTAGCAAGAGCTCTAGTCAACCCGCCATCCTCCGTCTATTGTTATCTGCGAGTGTGATCAGCGTAACTTAACACAAAACAACGGAATAGCTTACCGTTTGGCCTGAAGGCAATTCGAGTGAAAGAGCGGTCAGTTTAATGAGGTTTAAGCTCGAGATTTGACACGAACCGGTGACGTATCCGGAGTCAACGCTGGCGAGGTATGACACCAGGGCAGCGATATCGCCCGGCTGACCGACGCGCCTCATAGGAAGGGTAGCGGCGATCTAGGAAGGAGGACCTTTAGTAATGGGCGACGACGACTGACATTCCCTTACCGCATTGAGATCGACGCGGTCAGATACCTCAGGCGTTCGTGCTAGAGTGGTGATCAGCAGGTACACCGTGCGCGCAACCCCGGCTCACTGAGGGGAGTGTCGATGGTCCCTGACAAATGATCAGCAACGACCTACCAAGCAAGCTGACCGACTTACCTGGCGCATATGCGTTTGCGGTGATGCCGTGAGGACCAAGCTCGATAGCTGGAGAAAGCGAATGATTAGCAAACAACGCTTGGTGCGCTTACAAGAGCACCAACCTGCAGTTTGAACGACGCCGCGCATGGCAAACTTGCTGGCATTGTATCCCGTAAATCCGGGGTACGCTTTCAAAGAAATCTCAGCGAGAATAACACTGACGGGAAATGCACGGTCTTACCCATCTTCCCAGCCAATGACGAAGCCGCGATGAGCCGCCCCTCTCCGTGGCCCTGCTCGATGATCTTCTTTGCGGCGTACTTGAAGCAGAGAAAGACGCTGAGACCGTTGATCGCCATCGTTTTGTTGAATCCTTCGACGGTTTCTATAACAGAACATTCAGCACTGGTCGTCTTGAGTCATACAACCGGGATCACCTTCGAGGAAGGGACACCCAGGGCCCACGCCGGCGTTCGCAACCATCTGAGCAGTATGAGTAGAGACATAATGATTTATATAAGAGAGAAAACGTACCACATGGAGTCCCCCGAGCGCAGCCGCAGTACCGTCGACCATCGCACTGACATCCTCTTCCTTCGAAACGTCCCCAGGAAGCACGACGGCATTGCCGCCATTGCTCTCAATGCTCTTTGCAACTTCCTCAAGAGCAGATCGCTTTGCAGGTATGTCGCTCACGCCGACATTGAGACCATCCTTGGCTAGCCGGATGGCGATCGCCTTGCCCATCCCTTGAGCAGCGCCAGTGACGAGAGCAACGCGTCGTTGGAGAGACATGTCGAGCGAGCAGGGATCGGAGGATGAAGCCGTCAGTCGTATTTGAACATGGCGCGCTACTCCGGCCGTTCATCGCGTACATGCGTGAAGCAATTGGGGACGGCCGTGAAGGCCAGGAGCGGAACCAAAGCGGCGTCAAAGGTCTTCGGCAAATGCCGGTAAAGGTAAGTGGTAAACATGTGCAAAGACAGTCTTAGCACCTTCCGTCATGTCGCCGCCGGCCGCTCACAGCAGTGTGTCTTGCTGCCTTGCTTTCGTCTTCTAAGCGAATACATGACAATTTACGCCTGTCTCATGCGTCAGGACCCGCTCAGGCGAAGTTCAGCATAACCTGATTGCAAGAGCATTAGGCTCATCAACCCACGACTTCGGCAGACGGCCCGGTGACCCTAGTGACAAGATGGAGGTCTTCTCTCGACATAGCGAAGTATCGCGAATATCGCAAGACCGCAAAGAGGCAAGGACGAAGACTGGTGCTCAAGACAAAGCGTTCGCTTCGGACGGAAAGGACCTGTCATCTTGGAATATATTTAGTTGTTCAGGCTCGATTCCCGGGTCGAAACACTCTCTCGTCAAGCGAAAGACATCGGAAGGCTTCGGCGCTTGGAGTGTCGCATTCACTGACTGTCATGTCGCGCTCCAGCAGCTGTTCAGCGCCTCAAACTTCGCTTCGCAGGCCCAGCATTTCCTTCACCGGCGGCGACTTGCGCGAACAAGCATGGTATAAAAAGAGGCCGCCCGAGCTCGAAGATCCTCACTGAGCTCAGCAACCCAACGCAGACACTCATTCCAGCTTTCGCTACCTTCTCTCGCTCTCTACGACCACAGCAACAATGCAGTACATCACCCTTCTCGCCTTCGTTATGGCTGCTGCCGCGCTCCCGACGCCGAGGTGAGGCATCTGCCACTCAATGCTCTAAATCTCTATCTAAAGTCTCACTACCAGCGCCGAGCCCTCCGACGCCCCGGCGTACGGCTTCGCAGTCCCATCCGAGGCGTTTGCGATGCCTTCCGGCTTCGCGATGCCCTCTGGCATCTGGGGCGGTGAGGGCGCTGCACCCTCTGGCCTCGGCGGATTCTCCATGCCCTCTGCCTTCGGGTTCCCCAACGCAGTCCCGTCCGCCTTCGGCCTTCAGGCGAGGTCAGTGTACACGCAACACGCCTAGCACATAATTCTGACAATCTCTTTTAGGCAGGAGCCGACACCTCTGAGCGCGGCCGTAGCGCCCAGCGACACCTCCATCGCGAGCGTGCTCGTCCCCGGCGCTGCCAGCCAGGCGTCCCCGCCCGCGCCCAGCACCTCGCCCGCGACGAACGCAGCGCCCACCCAGGCCGCCTCGCCCTTCGGCGGGCTCGGCGGGTTTGGGGGCAACGGTGGATTCGGCGGCTTCGGGGGCAACGGTGGCTTCGGCAACTTTGGCGGCATGGGAGGCGGCTCTGGCTTTAACTCCTTCGGTGGCGCGGGCAACGGCATGGGCGGCTTCGGCGGTGGAGGCTTCCCCTCGTTCGGCGGCAACGCTGCCGCGCCGTCCGGGAGCGCGCCGCCTGCCTCGAACGGTATGTTTGGCATGGGGAACATGGGCGGATTCGGCAGCATGGGCGGCTCTAACGGTGGCTTCGGAGGCTTCGGTGGCTCGAACGGTGGCTTCGGAGGCTTCGGTGGCTCCAATGGTGGCTTCGGCGGCATGGGGAACATGGGAGGATTTGGTGGCTTTGGTGGCTTCGGCGGCGGCGCGCCCGCCGCGACAGCTACGCAGGCGCCTGCCTCTACGGTTACACAGGTTCCTGCCTCTGCGGTCACGCAGGCGCCTGCCTCTGCGGCCCCTGAGGCTCCGGACGCCTCTGCGGCTACGCAGGCCTGAGTTGCTCTCACGGCGCAGGCCTGAGTTTCTCTTACTGCCCAGGCCCGAAGCTCTCTCACGGCGCAAGCTTTAGGCATTATCGCACCTCTCCTACTGAACCACCGTCGATCATCGCTATCGTATTCGCTATCCACTAAATACTCGTCTGTCCTTACTACCGCGTCCTTTACCCCCGTGTACCGCGTCCTTTTCTTCGGTGTACCGACTCCTTTCCCCTCGTACTCTAATACCTTTCGCTCGCGTACCGCGTCCTTTTCCATCGGTACTGAGTCCTTTCCCTCGGTACTGAGTCCTTTACCTCGTGTACTGATAGAGCCTTTCCGTCCTATCCTAATCCCTTTCCGTCGTGTACTGAGTCCCGTCGCTTATACACCGAGTCCTTCTTAAAATTCGTCGTCTTTGCCACGCTCTCCCGCCGCCAAAATTCACAGGATGGGTGATCAGACAGTTGGAAGGATCGTATCGTATCAGATAGCCAACAGAACCATTGAATCATGGAGCCAGAAGGACCATCGTACTAGATGGCCAACAGGACCATTGTATCGGATGGCCAAGGCGCCATGCAGACAATGGAGATAAACAAACAAACGGATTGCCAACAGTACCGTCGTATCAGATGGCCAGAAGGAGCACAATTGTCCTTCCTCCCCCAGCAGCTTACGCATCGTGCGCTGTATGTATGATAGATGAGCATTCACTCGCGTGCTGTCTGCGAGTGATTCGAACGTGGGCCGGTAGTATCCGGTGACACGTGATCCCGGAGCCGCATAGTTCAACTTCAACTTCCACTTCAACATTGTGTCAACTTCCACTTCAACATTGTGTCAATGCCAAGTCAAAGCTCGACTCGAGCAGTGAAGCGACGCAAAGACGTGCGAAGCGCCGTCGCATTGGGATGGTTTATACGTCACGGTCCGCGCAGCGGGGCATCAGTGTGCTAGAGTTGTGTATAGGTAATGGTAGCGATAGAATGTGTTGAGGTCCACCGCATGTATGCGTTAGTCACAAGAGCGGGATACCTTTCTGCGTATGCGAGACCTTGTTGGACATCGTAGTCATAGCTTGAAGTACCGTAAGTCCAAAGGATCAGTCACTGCGCTGCTTCCATAGCTCATACTGAACTTGGCTTTGATCCTGACCGCCGGCCGCTGCGACGGCGGTCTAGTCCCGGTTAGATTTTTTGTGAACGAAAGACTATGTAAAGGTGTGGATGAGCTTACCGGAATGACCTTCCCCCCGCGTGCGCTCAGCCTCACATCCTAATGACCGTCTTGCAGCTTTATACTTTCTACCCATTCGATGCGTCGGTCGTGGCGCTCCTGAACACGACGGCGGCAAGTCTGACCGGATGCCAGGGGTGAGTAGAACAAGTGCATATCGGGGGGAGCAGAACGAGTGCACATCGAGGGGAGTAGAGCGAGTGCACATCGAGGGGAGTTGGAGCTCACGATAGCGTCAGGATATATGCAGGTCGCGAGATTGAGGATTCCAACCGCGGACACTGCGTTTTGCGTGCGTGCTTCTGTTTCGGACGGGTGGTGGCTGATTGTGCTTATGATGAGCACAGAGTGGGAGACGGAGTCTGCAGCGTCTCAGAGCGGGGAGATCCTGCATGTGCTGCTCGCGGGCGGCAGATGGGTGTCGCAGAAGACGATGGTCATCTCGTCGAGCGAAAGTGTCGGCGCCATCCGGACGGTCCTGAGCGCACCGGTGCAGGAGTTCGCCGTCGCGACGCTGAAGGGGAAGGAGAACAGAGAGGAATGGGAGCGCCTCCTGCAGGTGACGACGGAGGGCGTGCGCGTCACGGAGGGCGCGGTGGCGTCGCTGCAGGGACTCGATGCGGCGGACGGCGCGCGCTACGTGCTGCTCATCGGCTGGCAGTCGCACGAGGTGTGGCTGCGGGATCCAAGGTCGTTACGCCGTCCAGCTAACCCCGTTCGCAGGCGCACATGCGGGCGTTGCAGTCGGAGTACGCGGACGAGGTGATGGGGCAGACGTTGGCGGTCGTGGACTTTGATGTCAAGCACGCGCAGCGCATCCTATACGAGCGGCCTTCGTAGACACTGAGAGGGAATATACCTCCGTAAATGCTGCGGATGGCGACATGAGAAGAAAGGGCATGTTTGATTTGACGCTGTTTGGAAGTGCCACGCGTGATGACAAGCGCAGCCAAACAACGACAACCAACTTGACTTCGCATGTCATCGCCTACTTGACATGACATGGCATGGCCGGCGAGTAAGTTCTCCGTCGCACGGATAGCGAGGTCGGACTCCGTCTCTATCTTCATGTTCGCGGAGAAAGGGGGGTTTCTCGCTCAGGCCGCCTCCAATCACAGGTTCATAGATGTGCCCTCTGACGCTGTACATGTCAATCACAACGCCGGATTCGTACTGGGCTCTCTGACAATCTATAACCCTCTTTCCTCTGATGTCGAGCTAGCTGTCAAAGGCTCTCGGCTACGAAACAGCGGCCGGCGGTGTTAGGCAGGCGACGTGCGCGAAGCAACATCCGACTCGCGCTAGAGCCGACGCGCTGTGACGGAGAGCAGCACCATGGAAGCCTAACAATGTCCGAGGCGCGCGCCGACGACTCACCAGCTTCCCGTCAGCACGCCGCCTCCCGCTGCTGCAAGCGAACAAGGGCGTGCTCAGGAGCTTGAATCAGGCGAAGAGCCAACGAAAGTTGTCTCTTCCCTCGTTTCCTTCGACTCCCACTGTCTTTGCGATGAATCGAGCCTCGCATTCCAGCAGGGCAAGCACCGTCGGTGACCATGACGGACGCCCTAACAAGCCCGACAAGAAGTCTTCGCCAACCTCTCCAGACTCGACTCCCGCCCCCGCCTCGTTTCTGTCTTTATTCAGGCAAGAAAGACGCTTGAGCGTGTGCTTCTCCCCTGACCTACGAGCACAGATTCTCGACACCCATCGAAATAGCCCTTGATATATCAGGCGCGATAGCTGCAGCCGCAGCTGGCGCCGGGCAGGTATGTCGCAGTCTGCCGTCGTACTTATAGATATACTAACTCTACTCTTCCAGCCACTGATGACCCTCCTCTTCGCGAAGCTCACTCAAGACTTCCTGGTCTTTCAGACGGCGGTCGCGCAAGCCGACTCCGGAGATCAAGGCGCAGTCGAGCGCCTGCCCCAGGTCGCCAAGCAGTTCTATCACTCATCTAGCCTCAACGCGTCGTATTTGGTATACCTAGGTGCGTACTCTTGCGCATATACTAGGCCTGCAATGCTTAGTGCCCTCTCAGGAATCGGCATCTTTGCCGTCACCTACTACTATATGCTCGTTTGGACGTGCACCGGCGAGATCAACGCGAAGCGCCTCCGAGAGGAGTATCTCAAGGCCACCCTCCGCCAAGACATCGCCTACTTCGACACGATTGGCGCCGGAGAGATCGCCACCCGCATCCAGACCGACACGCGTGAGCAGGCCTGAACCTCGTAAATGAACCGCGCTGACGCCCAACTCAGATATGGTCCAGCGAGGCACGTCTGAGAAGGTCGCGCTCATCTGTCAGTACCTCAGCGCATTCGTCGCCGGCTTCATCCTCGCATACGTCCGCTCCTGGCGCCTCGCGCTCGCGCTCTCGTCCATCATACCCTGCATGGGCCTCTTTGGCGCCATCATGAACTACTTCACGTCGAAGTTTGTGCAGTGGGTATTTCTGGTTCTCTCCTCTAAACTAGTCTGACGCCGGTGATCTCAGGCGAATATCCAAGCATATAGCACAGTCGGGGTCCGTCGCGGAGGAGATCATATCGACTGTCCGCACGGCGAAGGCGTTTGGGACGGAGGACACGCTCGCCTCGCTGTACGACGACCACATCAAGCGAGCGCACGTGGAGGACCTCAAGAACTCGCTGGTCCAGGGATTCGGCACCGCGTCGTTCTTTTTTGTGATCTACGGCTCCTATGCGCTCGGTCAGCATTTGACGCGCTGATACTATCCTCCAACATCCCACTAATCACCCATGCTATAGCCTTTAACTTCGGTACCACGCTCATTCTGCACGGCGAAGGTGCGTGGTGGGATGGGGCCGTGGATGAGCTCGTGCTGACAACGCGTACCCGTGCAGCGGATCCCGAGATTGTCGTCAACGTGTTCTTCTCCATCTTAATCGGCGCATTTTCTATGGGACTGCTCGCGCCAGAGATGCAAGGTGCGCTGGGACCTTTCTCCGTATTGCGTATATATTCACTTTGTCTCTACTCTAGCCGTCAGCCAGGCCCGCGGCGCGGCCGCGAAGCTCTATGCAACGATCGACCGCGTGCCGCATATCGATGCGTATAGCGAAGCCGGTCGCAAGCTCGACACGGTGCACGGCGACATTACGCTGGAAGGCGTCAAGTTTGCGTACCCGGTAGGACACTTCTTGATGATTCCATTCCTGATGCTGTAATCTCATCGTTCTCCAGGCTCGCCCGGACGTCCAGGTCGTCAAGGGCGTCGACTTGCATTTCCCGGCGGGGAAGACGGCGGCGCTCGTTGGCGCATCGGGGTCTGGAAAGTCGACGTCCATCTCGCTCGTCGAGCGCTTCTATGACCCGGTGGAGGGCGCCGTGAAGCTCGATGGCGTGGATCTGAAGGACCTCAATGTGAAGTGGCTGCGCTCCCAGATCGGTCTCGTCAGCCAGGAGCCCACGCTCTTCGCCACCACCGTCAGGGTATGTTACCTTAGTAGACGATTTCTCGCCCCAGGCTCACGTCTCCACAGCAAAACGTCGCGCACGGCCTCATCAACACGCGCTGGGAGCACGCGCCGGCGGAGACGCAGTTCGAGCTCGTCCAGCGCGCGTGCATCACCGCGAACGCGGACGAGTTTATCCAGCGGCTGCCGCGCGGGTACGACACCCTGGTCGGCGAGCGCGCGATGCTCCTCTCCGGCGGGCAGAAGCAGCGCATCGCGATCGCGCGCGCGATCGTCTCCGACCCGCGCATCCTCCTCCTCGACGAGGCGACGAGCGCGCTGGACACGCAGTCGGAGGGCGTCGTGCAGAGCGCGCTCGACCGCGCGGCGGCGGGGCGGACGACGATCACGATCGCGCACCGCCTGTCGACGATCAAGGACGCGGACGTGATATTTGTGATGGGCGAGGGGCTGCTGCTGGAGCAGGGCACGCACGCGGAGCTCTTGCGGAACGTCGATGGACCGTACGCGCGCCTCGTCGAGGCGCAGAACATCAAGCAGGCGGACGAGGCGGCGCGCGCGGCGGACGACGAGTCGGGCGAGGAGGACGTGGCCGTCGCCGAGCCAGTCATCATGGAGAAGAAGAATTCGCGATCGCGAAGGTTCAGCGTGCGCCCGAGTACGGCGCGGTCGTATGCTAGCGACATCGCCAGCGAGGCCGGCGCGGTCGACAGCGGCGCTGAGCCGGACCGCGAGTATAGCTCGCTCGCCCTATTGAAGCGCATGGGCCGCATCAACCGCGACGAGCGAGTGCTGTATATCCTCGGGAGCCTGGCCGCGATATGCTCTGGGGCCGTGTACCCCGCCTTTGGGATCGTCTTTTGTGCGTGCATGCGGTGTTGTGTCGGGCGCACGCTGACTTTCTTCTCGCAGCGCACGCGTTGCTTGGCCTTTCCGCGGAGGACGCGGGCGTGAAGCGCCACGAGGGCGACCGCAACGCTCTCTGGTTCTTCATCATCGCCATCGGTTCGACCATCGCCTCTGGTGTGCAGAACCACGCCTTCACGGCCTCTGCCGCCGCTCTGATCTCCAAGCTGCGCTCGCTGTCGTTCAGGGCCATTCTCCGTCAAGATGGTGAGTTTGATGCAGGGCTCCGACCATTCAACTGATGCTCACACAATCTTCCCAAGTACAATTCTTTGACAAGGATACGAACAACGTGCGTATTGCTTCATCAGGTTCAGTGTCTTTTTCGTGTCTGATTGACCGCTAGGCTGGGTCCTTGACCTCTAGCCTCAGCGAGAATGCTCAGAAGGTTAATGGGCTCGCGGGGATCACTCTCGGCGTGTAAGCTTTCTTCCAATTATAATTCTAATGGCCATGCTAACCTGATACCCCGCAGACTGGTTCAAAGCATATCTACCTTTATCTGTGGTGTTGCTATCGGCACGGCGTACTCGTGGAGGCTGGGTTTGGTAGGCCTGGGTGCGTCCCGCAATTGATTCTTGTTCCGCTGTCGCGGTCTGATGCTTTCCCTCAGCTTGTACCCCGATCCTAGTCTCAACCGGATACGTCGCCCTGGTGAGTGATATGCTTCGGCGTTGAACACCAATACTCAGTGAATACATAATAGCGCGTCGTCGGCACCAAAGACCAGAAAAACAAGCAGGCGCACGGGGAGTCAGCGCAACTGGCCTGCGAAGCAGCGGGCGCCATCCGGACGGTCGCTGCGCTCACGCGAGAGCGCGACTGCTTGGCGCTGTATAGCAAAAGTTTGGAGAGGCCATTGAAGACGTCCAATCGTGCCGCTATCTGGGACAACATGCTCTTCGCCGCCTCACAGGCCATGGCCTACTGGATCATCTCCTTGGCTTTCTGGTACGGTGCGAAGCTGGTCGCGGCTCGGACGATCGAGGTGTCTGCGTTCTTCGTCGCCTTGATGGTCAGTACTGATGTTCGGCATGAGAGAGTCTGATATTGATAGATGTCAGAGCACTACCTTCGGCGCTATTCAAATCGGCAATTCGATCATGTTCGTCAACGACGTGGCCGGCGCCAGAGGGGCAGCGAGCGACATTCTTGCTCTCATCGACTCGCGGCCGGAGATCGACGCCGACAGCAAAGAGGGAGAGAAGGTAGCGCGCGAGTCGACGGTCGGCGAGATCCGCTTCGAGAAGGTGCACTTCAGGTACGCCGAGTGACTTCGGTTGTCGGCGCTCTCGTTCTGATGTACGACAAGGTATCCTACCCGCCCGGGTGTCCGAGTTCTGCGCAAGTTCGATTTGACCATCAGCCCGGGTACCTACGTGGCCCTGGTCGGTGCGAGTGGATCCGGCAAGTCGACGACGTGCGTTGTCGGGGGTCCTTGCTTTTTCTCTTGCTCACGTGTCTGTAGCATACAACTCATCGAGCGTTTCTACGACCCGATGCATGGCGCTGTATACGTGAGCGCATTCTCCGATGTTCTACGTTCAGTATCTGATTGATGACACCCAGCTGGACGGTCGCCTCGTCTCGCAACTCAATCTTGCCGAGTATCGCAAGCAGATTGCTCTCGTGTCTCAAGAACCTACGCTATACTCAGGGACCGTGCGCTTCAACATCCTTCTCGGCGCTTCCAAGCCACCATCCGAGGTGACGCAAGAGGAGCTGGACGACGCTTGTCGTAAGGCCAACATACTCGACTTTATCCATCGTCTGCCAGAGTGAGGATCCACTCCGCTTGATGGTCATTGTCAAACTGACATTATGACACTTAGCGGGTTCGATACAGAGGTCGGAGGGAAAGGAAGTCAGCTGTCTGGAGGCCAGAAACGTAGGTGTATCCCCCCGTCCCCCTGGGTATCCCCTCTAACCCTGCTCTACAGAACGCATCGCTATCGCGCGCGCCTTACTCCGCAACCCGAAGGTGTTGCTCCTCGACGAGGCTACGTCTGCACTGGACTCGACGTCGGAGAAGATCGTCCAAGCTGCGCTCGACCAGGCCGCGAAGGGCCGCACGACTATCGCCATCGCGCACAGGCTGTCGACGATCCAGAACGCTGATAAGATGTACGCCTCGGATTTTGCTTTTTTGCTTGGCGATTTTCTGATGATTCCCGCAGCTGCTTCATCAAGGATGGATCGGTCAGCGAAGCGGGTACGCACGATGAGCTCGTCGCCCTCAAGGGCGACTACTACCAGTATGTCCAGATGCAGACCTTGAGTGCCAAGTAGTGTATTTCCTGGGTCGTTGTTCTGCTTCTTCGAAGAATCTATAAAGCTACGCGTCCTGTCCTTACGAATGCTACAGTACTCATAGTTACTCGCGACTCACCTTCTCACCTTAATGAAACCTTGGCTGATGTATATCCGGCGAAGGGCTGAAGGTTGTCAAGATTTATAGCGAAGGCTTCGACAAAGTCCTATGTTTTACATACGTAGTTGTGCTAGTATCTCTTGACGCAGATTGGAACATCAGTCTCCAAGCCTATAGCATGCTGGGGGTCCCGGAGACGGGTTGAGATGATCCTTTGCGGTGTACGCGTCAGTCGAGACCCGCACAAGGACGAACAGTGCGTAAAAATGCCATGCTGCCACTGCCGATGCACACACAAGATCCCAAAGCGGCTTCGCAACGTAGATATATTGCATATCGATATCTCGATTATCCGGACATTCAGATCATCCTCTTCGAACAGTGCGATACATAACGAGCCTCCATGTTCTCCATGGCCAAATCGTTGACCGCTTTCTGAGATTCCTTCGCAAGCTCCATCATATGATCCTGGACAATATTGTCAATGACAAGACGTGTCGAAGCGCTGCCACCCACCTCAACCGAGTTCCACCCACAGATGAAGACGATGCAGTCCTCGTCGTCCACCGCAGCGAGGACGAGCTCGCCTTGCGTCGTGCGCTCGTGCGGATTGGCCAGCATGCCCTGGACGGCGCGCTCAGCCCCTTCGCGGCAGGCGGCGTTCTTCACCGCTGTCACGGCGATCTCGGGCACAGGCGTGTCGAGGATGCGCTCCAGGACGCCGTATTGGGAGTCCTTTAGGCTCATCACGACGGGGGCGCGCTCGGAGACGGTGCCGGCGGCCGCGAGAAAGCGCTGGTAGCTGCCATCGGCGAGCGCTGCGTCGCGCGCGCGGACCGAGGTCCATTCTGGGAAGGCTTCATGAGTATGTTTAATTGGGACGGTGGGGTCGGACACGCACGGAAGACCCAGTTCACGTAGTCAGGATTCTCGATCTCGCGCGCGGCATATGTCCTAGGGAACAAGGCTCAGTGCACGGTACGCATCGAGACGCCTGAGAGCACGTACAGTTGAAGTCGGTCTCCGGCCTCGCTGATTGCATGCTTGATCTCGGACAGGGAGGAGTCGTCGAAGCCGGTGGACGCAAAGCACTCGAGGATAGCCATCCGGAGATTATGTGCGGTGAAGTTTCTCGCTGAATGGAATGGGCGGAAAGCCAGACGCGAAGGGATTCGAAGGTTATGTAGCGACCTTGAAGTTAACGAGCATACTTTAAGCGTGATTATCTACCCGGCGGCCGTCCCAGATCGAGCACAGGCTGCAGTAACGGGAATTACTACAGCCAACCGACCTGCGACCGACGCCATCGTGAAGGGTCAGGCCAGGCAGTACTGAAGCGCGGCGTTTGCCGATTGCTCTCGTCGGACATGGCCGAATTCCCGCGGCGCATAATTCCACTTCGTCTCTGTGCAGTCTCATTGTTGGCAACGCTCACGTCCTTTTACTTCGGAGCATTGGCCCAGAATCTGGCATCCTGCTGTGAACGACTGCGCTCCGCCGGCGCAATCATACATGGCCATTGGATCCTGGTTGCTCGTTCAGCGAGAGCGGCACTTACAAGGTCGGGCCTTTCAAGCTGACCTGTGTCTGTTCAGATTGGATTGTAGCATGTAGCTCAATCAACTTTGCGGCGGCTTGAAACTGGCTCGCCGTCCCGATCCAGCGAGGCAGCCGCCGGCCGTTACAGCTATGACAGGTAGCTGACAGGATCGTCGATCCTACTTCGCCTCTCGAGAGGTGTGATAACTCCCTCTCACGCTCATTCGCTTGCTGCTCAGCTCCCGCCTTCGCAGATGGACTTTGCATCTTCCATGACCCTCGACATTCCTGTCTGTGCCGCGTCCGCACTATTGGCTTGCGGGCTCGCCATCTGGGCAAAGAAGCGGACGAGAGGCCCGCTTCCTCCAGGGCCGCCGCAGCTTCCGATCTTGGGAAACTTACTACAGATGCCGTCGAACGAAGCATGGCTCAAGTACATAGAATGGGGGAAGCAATACGGTGCGTATCTGGTCTGATATTTGATGTTTTTGCTGACGCTGCTCCGCGAAGGGGATGTGATCTACCTCAAGGCCCTCACCCGAGAGATGCTCGTCATCAATTCCGCTGAAGCTGCATACGAAATATTGGACAAAAACTCGAGCCTCACGTCGGATCGACCGCAGAACATCATGATCAGTCTGTGCGTATGCCTCGCATTGCATCTAAGCATGCATGTTGATGATCCGCGCAGAATTGGGTGGGGCACGAACATTGGACATCTACACTACGGCGACGAGTGGCGATTCTCTCGACGCGCGTTTCATCAAGAGTTCAATCCCGGCGCCGTACCTTCACACTACAAAGCCGCCTTGCCGCGCATCAACAAGCTCCTAGTCCAACTGCTCCATGACCCGAATAACTTCATGGCGCACATTCGACAGTACGCGCCCCTCTCTTTTTGGACGCATATACCCGCAGTCTGACAGTCTCGCGCAGATGCGTCAGCGCGATCTCAATCAAGATCAGCTACGGCTTCGACGCGGAGACCAAGAACGGGCAGGACCTCATGCATGCCACGGAGGAAGCGATCCTCTGCCTCGAAGAAGCCACTCTGCCAGGGTCTCAGCTCGTCTTCTTGTTCCCCCCGCGTACGTCTCCGGACACCAGGCCAGGGCGCTTGCTGACCCGACTCCAGTCAGGTATCTCCCAGCCTGGGTCTCCGGGGGCTCCTTCACGAAGCTGGCCGCCCGCTCGACTGCATTCGTTCAGGTCATGCGCGACTTGCCGTTCAATATAGTCAAGGAGCAGATCGTACGCTGCCGTTCTACAGCGCCAACTCTCCCACTGACCTTATGATAGCGTAATGGCACAGCGCCTCCGTCCTGGATGCAGAGCCTCCTCGATCGCACAACGACCACTGAAGATGAGGAGCGATACAAGGGCGTCGTATCCCAATTCTTCGCAGGTGGGCGTCTTCAGTACACATCGCGAGTCATCCGCTTACTAGCGACCTGCAGCTGCGAGCGACACTGTGAGTTAGATAGCAACCCATGCGAGAGGTGGGACTGACCCCTCCAAAGACGCTTGCGGGCTTGCGGGCGCTCATGCTCGCGCTTGTGATGTACCCGGAGGTGCAGCGCCGCGCCCAAGCTGACATCGACCGCGTCGTCGGGTCTGAGCGGCTGCCCACCTTCAGCGATCGTCCAGCGCTGCCCTACATCGACGCCATCATCAAGGAAGTCCTCCGCATGCATCCGCCGCTGCCGATCGGTACGTTCATCCACCTCTGTCCCGCAGCCCCTGCGCCGCGATGCTCACACCTCGCAGGTCTCCCGCACAGCCCGATCGAGGACATGGTCTACAACGGGTACTACATCCCGAAAGGTGCGTCTTCGCCTCGTCGCGCTCCCTCATCCTATGCTGATCCGCCGGCGATCAGGTATAACCATCCTCCCCAATATCTGGTCAGTCCCGTCCCTCACCGTTATACGATGCCTCTGACGATGTCCAGGGCGATGTGCTACGACGAGAAGACGTTCGGTGACCCGCACGTCTTCCGGCCGGAGCGCTTCCTCGACCCCAAGCTGAGCGACTGGCATTCCCTCGCGTTCGGCTTCGGCAGGCGGTAACTTTCTGCACATCACTCTACGCACATCCATGCTCATGTGTTCGCAGCGTCTGCGTCGGAAGGTACCTCGCCGAAGCCCTCCTATGGCAAGCCCTTGCCTCGGTCCTAGCGACCTTCGACATCAAGAAGGCAACGAGGGACGGCAAGGAGGTCGAGGTTCCCGGCTCCTTCAGCGGCATTATGGTCTTGTGCGTGTTCATACGTCTCCTGCTTTTGTACTCTTTGATTGCTGACACTGGCGAGGCAGGCGAGCGGATGATTTCGAGTGCACAATCACGCCACGTGGCGCTGGTGCGGTGGAGCTCATCGAGAGCGCGCGGGTTGAGGATTGAGCAGGGCGTCTTCTCGATTTCTAATGTAGACATCGGACGTGCACGACTTTGCGATATTTCATATTCTTCTAATTAGTTGGGTTGAATGCATACACCCCCAGTGCTTCCAGAACATGGTGGCCCATCGCGTGCAAATCATCGTGAGCCGTTCTTGATAACACAGTGACAGAGACCAAGCCCTCGCGATGCGTCGCAGGCAGATCCTACCTACCTTCATGTTCTCGAAGAGAACCCTCACTATCCACCTGAGTCGCCCACATGTTTGAGCTGTTGCGTGTTAGAGACATCGTCTCCCGTCGCAAAGCCTCCTACCATAACGCCTATACTCGCCAATGTATCATCCATCGTCTTTCCATGAGTATACTACACGCACGCAGAAAATGGATCGAGCGGAATCGGTAGCAGCGACTTACGACCGGCATGTAGAAACTTGAAGAATCTGAGTGTCTTTCGTCATTCATCCTGGATATCAAGACAATCTCCTATTCACCATATCCACCAGTATACACCGTCACGCATAACAGCAAAATTGCGCAGAGCAGATCAGCTGCGTCGCACAACGAGTCGTACGAAAGGTGAGAAGTACACGCTTCCCGAAGAAACAGAGGAAGTACGTTTCGCGACTGCGATGGAGCGTACTAGGTAACAAGCATCTAGTTCACAAGGAAGTCAGAACTTTCTGCAAAGCACTCCAGGACGCTTTCAAGGTCGCGGGCAAGACCTTGGATATACGCCTTGCTATACAGGTCCCGTCGATAGTTGATCTCCCCCGTCACCTTATCCGTGCGCGCGATCCGTCCAAAGTAGATTTCCATGTCCAGCTGCACCGCATGCATGTTGACCTCCATCCGCTCCATGCGCAAGCCATCGACCTGCACCGACGCCTGCTCGTGCACCACATAGCCCATGGCGATTCGGAGCGGCATGCTCCCTGCTGGGACAGCGCCGCGCTCCCACAGCGCCTCCGCGATGGTGACCATGTGCGCGTCCATGTTGGAGACCCCTTCTGCCACTAGCGTGCGCACCTGCTCGAGGACGTCGCGGAAGCGCTGACCGGTCTCGACGCGGAGGCGGTAGAGGAGCGCGGTGACGAAGAAGCCCTGGAGGTGTGCGAGCTCGGGGCGCTGCCTGTTCGCGGTCGCGCCGCCCAGCACGGCATCGCGCGCGCCTGTGCGGCGGAAGTGCACGACGCGGAGCGCGGCGAGGAGCGCCATCGAGAGCGTGACGCGCGACAGGGCGCACGCAGCGTCGAGCCGAGCGACGAGAGACTCGGAGAGCGAGATCGGTACAAAGTCGCTGGCGGTCAGGTAGGTTGAAGTGTCCGCGCCGGGCAAGTCGGGCGTGAATGAGGCGGCCGTGGCGCTTTGGAGATGAGCGGCCCAGTAGTCGAGCTGACGCGCGATGAGGGACCCAAAAGAGTCGCTACGCTCCCAGTGAGCGATGTCGGCGCATGTGACGGGCAGGTCGGGCAGGTCGGCGGCGCGGCCCTCGCAGAGCGCGCCATAGTACTCGCACAGTTCCTTGACGATGATGTCCTCCGAGTAGCCGTCGGTGATGATGTGGTCAAAGGACAATAGGAGGATAAAAGACCGTCGAGCTAGGCGAAAGAGGATGGGCCGGAAGGGAGGTGTCGTAGCGATGTCGAAGGGTTGACTGGCATAACGGCGGATGTAGTCCTCAAGGTCCTGATCGCTCTTCATCGGCGGTGCATCCACTATCTCCAAGGTGGGCACCCAGTCGGCAACGCGAGCGCGGACGCTACCGTCCACCTCCTCAAAGACAGTGCGGAGAATATTCTGCCGAGCAGTCATCTCCTGAAGGGCGCGCTCGAGAAGACTCTCGCTGAGCTCGCCTGATAGGCGGAGCCAGAATGGGCAATGGCTCATGACCTCCCCAGGAGGTGGCGCACGACTGGCGGAGTACTGCCACCGAGTACCGGCCGAGGGGATGTAGCATCGGCGGTCTGTACTAGACAGTGTACGAGCCAGAGTTGCGATCGGAAAGTCTGAATTCCCAGCGACCGGCGACGCTCTAGAGATGAGTTCGGCAAGCCTCCGTGCGGTGGCTCCTCCGAATATGTCCTGCATGGTGACCAGGTTGCCGAACGCTTTGTCGAGACCCCATTTGAGCTGCATGGCCAAGAGGGAATGCCCACCGACGTCGAAGAAGTCATCCTCGAGACCGATGTGCCTTCCTCGCAGGATCGCACTCATGATGGCCGCGACCTGCGCTTCGATGACATTTCGTGCACCCTTCTCATGGATGCCAGTCACGTCTCCTGCGTTAGCGTCGGCCATATCGTGCTCCTGCGCCATGAGACCCAAAAGGTGTCGATCTAGCTTCCCGCTGTTGTTGAGCGGCAGCGACGCCCGGATGAACACTGTCTGCGGGACCATGTACGCGGGTACGATCTTTTTGAGCTGCTGGATGAAGTAACGAGGATCGAGGGTGTCAACGCTCTCGCCGTCCGTGGCCGGGACGACGAACGCAGCCAAGAAGGGCGATCGACCGTCGGTAGGCTTCACGTACACGACCGCTGCGTCCTTGACGAGCCGGGTGGCCACGATGGCCGATTCCACTTCCGCAAGCTCGAGGCGTTGACCGCGAATCTTGATCTGGCCACTCTGCAACCGACGCTCGAAATGCATGTCGCCGCTCGGAAGCCAGCGAACTAGGTCACCCTGAAGGCGTGCATCAGGAAACGCTGGGGATGAGTGCAGGATTATTGCGCTCACCGTGCGATAGAATGTCGCAGGCGGCTGATCAATACCTGGGATGGCCATGCGCACGAATGCGGCCGAGGTCTCCTCCGGGCGATTAAGATACCCTGCGGCGACCCCGCGCCCGCCGATAAACAGTTCGCCCGGGATACCTGGGGAAACCAGGCGTCCGTTGCCGTCAAGGACCACGCATTGCGTATAGTGTAGGGGCTTCCCGATCGGTACAGGGCCGTGATCAAGCATACGGCCGACGCGGTGTGCCACTCTGCGCAAAGATCAGCAAAAGTCAACGTCGGCGTGTTGTGGGAGGGAACGTACGCGATGTAGCACGTCTCGGTCGGACCGTATCCATTGACTAATTCGCCTGTAGGGTTCACTGCCCTGAAGCGCTGGCACTGCGAGAAGTCCAGCATCTCTCCTCCGGCCATGACAACTCGTAGATCTGCGAACACCTCTGGCGCTAAGGAGAGAAAGTGACGGAACAGTGAGGTGGCGATCGACAGCGCGTTGACTCGTCGCGCGCGACACAGCGCCGCGAGGCGGATGGGCTCAAGGACATCGTAAGCCGAGAAGCAGACCAGAGTTGCGCCGATAGTGAGCGTGCAACAAACGTCGAGAATGCTGCCGTCCCACGCGAGGTTACCGATCTGGCCGACGCGCATGTCGGGGGTGAAAAGGACGTAGTCGCGCTCGTAGAGCAAAGCAAGCACAGTGGAAGTTCTGATGCAGACGCCCTTGGGCACGCCAGTGGTGCCGCTTGTATGAAGGACGTACGCGATTTCATGGGGCTGACTGCGCCAGAGCGTCTTCGCGCTACCCTTCCACCCCGCCACACGCGGTATATGCACGTCCAAGAAGTTCGAGACGTCCAACCTGGCGGCGGGCACATCTGGCACAGAAGGCGAATCCGCGCTCGTAATGACCAGTTTGGCCTCCGAGTTTGTGACGATCGTGCACAGCCTGGCCTCCGGCAGACGCACATCGAGCGGGACGAATGCGGCGCCGTACTTGATGATAGCATAGATCACGATGATGGCGAGTGGCGACGCAGGAATACAGGTCGCGATGTAGTCCGTGGCTGGGTCGTCTCTGAGAACCTCCGATATCTTGTCCGCGAGCATGTCGGTGAGCGCGTCGAACGCCGCGTATGTGAGCTCGAGGTCGCCGTCGGTCAATGCGATCTTGTGTGAGTGGGCCGTCGCGGCAGCACGGAAGATATCTCGGAGGGGCCTTGCCTCGTACGTCGGCGGTGGCGGTATACCGAGAGGTACGCCTACAGCAGCAAGCCGCTGGACCGCACCGGGAAAGTGAAAGTCGGCCATGATAGTGTTGGGGGCGTTGTAGATGATATCGATGACATCTTGCACATTGCCACCAATGCAACTCAAGTTCTGCGGCGAGTATAAGTGCGATTGGCCAGCCAAGGACAAGTCATGTCCGCTATATGACACGACAAGCGGGAAGGTGAGTTTGCTGATGGACATGTGAGGACAGAATTCGGGGATTGTATTCGAGGGTCATACCCGCAATCCTGGCGGCGCCTGAAATCCTGTCCACACACCACGGTGTGCAGCGAAGTTCCTTCGGCAGGAGGAGAAGCGTCCGATAAGGCAGTCTTCGTAAATTCAAGGATCTGTGCCACCGACGATCCTGTCTCGACGTGAAGCCCAACTGCTTTCATAGCCTCGTCGTGATCGGAGAACCCTATAGGGTGCATCAGAGGTCATGCGAGATCGAACGGCGCTGCACAACGTACCAATGACTGCGTCCTCCACACCGGTGGACAGAAAATGAGCGATACGCACGCCTGCCAATACGATGACAGCATGAAGACCGGGCTGGATGCAGGTAGCCGCCGCGGGGACTGAGCATTCGAAGACGCTCTCGCCAGTGCCAGGGGCATGCAGTAAGTCCGGAGGAAACGACAGAGCAGACATGATGAGCCAGCGCAGGGAACGGACACAACAGACGCGAGCGATATGTAGCCAATAAAGCGACAGCGGCCGGCGGTAGAGCCTATAAGCTACGCAACTTGCGGTCGGGGCTTGTCGTCGGTAAACCGGCGAATGCACTTTCTAGGTGACTAGTGGGTTGGCAATCGCTGATTCTGGCGCACATGCACTCGCTCGTGCTCGAGAAACGGCGAGATCCCTCCCATTGATTTTTCCCCACAATCGCTCTGACTTGGGCATCGCAGCATGCGCACTTCAGATCGGGGCCGACTTGTTTGCCGCGCTCATGCCGACATAGACGGGCGTGCGCTTCGTAATGAGTAGCTCGCCTGCCCCCGCAACCCTCCCCGGGTTGACGATGGAGAACTGCAGGAATACGACGGCGTCCTCGTACATCCTGTAGATGGGATGAGCGAGCGATGTCAGGACTACTATGAATTAGCACGCACTGGCGCCAAACAAAGGTGACGGATGCGAAGAGGGGAAGGGCCTCCTGGCAGACACCGTCAAGTAATGGAAGGTCGTCAAGCTCGTACAAGTCCAGCTCCTCGTCGCTCTTGTTCTAGGTGGCGTCATCCGAATACTAGTATACCACACGTGCAGCGGTCGGCTCATCGCGCAGACATTGAGTTCTCCGCTACCAAGCAAGAGAGAAAATCGGCTGTGCTGTCAGTCCGCCGAGAAGGTGGTAATTCAGTGTCGCCGTCGACGACGTATCGGATAGCCGGCGTCGAGGAAGGGAAAGAGTCAACACCCTCTACCGTCCCGATCAGAACGGAGTGCCGAAAATGTTCTATCACGCAAGACGGTCACTCCGCGGTCTGCGTGGCCCGCTAAAAGACACACTCGTTGCCCTTGGCGTCGATGAGCAGCGAGATGCGCGCCGCCGCCGTGTTAGTTGCCGTGTCAATTTGCATTTGGGGCAGTCGACCTCTTCGCGCGCGAGACGAGTCTAGATTCTATGTCACTTTGGATGCATCTCAGTGCGCACGGCTCATGATCGCACCTTCCAGAAATACTAATCTGAATGTCATATACTGAGGTGGAGGATGGCAGACATCTCGCAGAGGCAATATGCGGGCCGGTGGTTGTTAGATGAAATTGCCAACGCATGTATGCGCCCGAAGGAGAGCGTCGACCGCATATATGCGACGAAGTTGAGCTCGGCGCTATGCGTGTCGGCATGGAGGTCTGTGAGGGCTCCTTAGTGCGAGACATCGGGAAGCAGACAAGGGAAACTTACTCAAGCTTTGACATCGCGGGGAATGGCAGGAGGCGTCTCGGTTTCACGAGGTCTTCGGGGTCTGCAGAGTATTAGCGCAGGTTCTCGAGGAACGAGGGCGAATAGGTTCACCGCTACGCGATAGGCTGAGCATACTGGATGGTCGAACGAGACGCGAAAGCTTCCCATACGTCGTCGAAGAGGCGTACGGAGCCCGATAGGCGCAAATATCGAGGGTACATGCGATATCCTGAACTCGAGGTGCGTATATGCGCGCGCAATCGCGCCCGCGAGAATTAGAGCGGGAAGCATCCAGAGGTGGGGGCGGCGCGTCGTCATTTTCGACAGCGACGAGAGGAGTAAAGTATGGAGGTCTCTGTCCGACCGCAGACGTATCTTGGTAGCAGATGTGAGGTCAAAGCCCATGCCGGGCTGGCCATCGCTGGGACAGACGCGTCTGCTGAGCTCGTCAGTGAGGCGACCTTGCAAGTGAGCACTATCACGCACCTGTGCACCTTCAGCACTACCGGCATCATGGAGAGCCTCGGACACCAGGACGCAGTTTCGATCGAGGTGGGATTTGCTAGCCGGCGATGCGCGACGGGACAACGGATTCTGGACCGCCAGGGAGCAGGAGCAATCGTTGAAGCCCAGATACAGCGTCCGGATCGTGAGGGGTGAAGTGAGAAGTCATGGCTACGGCAGCAAAGAAGAGGTGGGTGCGCAGAAGGAGGTGTTGCACGGCGACGTCGGCGTCTGGGCATGGGGGGATGTGATGAGCAGCTGAGGCTCCCCAACGATCGGGACGAGATTCGGAAGTACAAGCGGGCCGTCGATTCCGGTTCCCGCATCGTCACACGTTTGCCATCCAGTTGATATTGGACTTCGCGGCTGGCTATGCTCGGTGGTAGGAATTCAGCGAAGGAACAGATCTATATATTCCATGTCTAGCTGTTCGAAAGGTGCGGAGACAATCTATCAAGGGGGCATAACCACTGCTGCACTGTTCCCGGGTCGGCGACCGGTAAGCGGCCTTGCCTCTCTTGAGCGAGCCTCTACACAGACGAAATACTCACGGAAATCCGTCAGCGAGCGGACACGACGGAAGGGAGAAGTCGCAGGACGGCTGCGACGGATCCCACACGTGCAAACAGCCCTTCGAATTACTGAAAGTGTTGACAGAGATGACAAGAATTGCAATCAAGGAGAGCACGACCAGCGACGCGCATCTCGAATCGATGTCGGCTACTACATGGGTTGAACGCATTCGGTGAAAGCCCACAAGGACGCATATAGGTCCCTCTGATAACTGGAGATCAGAGCAATGAGTCATGTTCGAAATCGTGGAACGAACTCCTCCGATATCTTTGCCTCGTACGGGCCGCCAGCGGGCTGAGCTTCGAGAGGACGCACAAGTCGTGCCAAACTCCACTTTCGCCAGCCAAGTCACATCTCTGCGGAATCATTGGACAGGGAACGATCGACCTCGAGCTAGCGCCGAATCTCGAAGTGATTTTCTACTGGACCAGCTGAGGGACCGGTCTTGCGTCCTCCCGAGTCTTGCACGCCGAAGGTTTTGCATGTAGCTGAGCCGAGTCGCTTGGGCGCTTCAATTGGCTATATGCGCAGGTTAGAGCTGCAAGCGAGGCTCGGCAGTATGGTACACACCAGCATGTCTTGCCGTAGAGCGTCGTGATGACGCCCGGTCGCGCTTGAATTCCACGAAATGTCTTTCCTGCCCTTCGGCGGTCGATGCCGCGGCTAGCAGCATCCACCTCTCCGACGGACTGTGGGCACGTCAGCGCTTCTCAATCAGCTGAGCATGACCGCGGACTCACCAAAACATGTCGATCAAGATGAACTTGACATGCCGGAGCGCCACACGGTGCATTTGAAGTCGACCAGGACAGTGGTGTAGATGAGGGTGCGGGTGACGAAGAGGACTGCTATCTTCGTCCGCGGTCCGTGGGTGATGTCGTCCGCAGCCTCGACGTCAATGTCGTCTTTCGCGGCCAGCGAGAGCAGTGTGGCAGCTTCAAGTTGACCCCTACGGTCGTCCTGATAAAGCAGCGTGAGGGGCAGGGGTCCTTCGTAGGCATGCATGCCCGATGAAAGTCGTGATAACCTGATGAGAAGGGAAGCCTCAGCCGTGACCGTGAGCGAACTTGTTGACATGATCACGTACCTTCAGAAGACGCTCCTCATGAGCGCCAGCTAGCTCAGCTATCCGTTTAAAGTTTTGTGAGTCAGATAGAGTAACATGTTGTTGTCGTAAATGAAGAATGACCTGAGGGTAGGGTGTCAACAATGTTGCGCGAAGCGCAAGATGTCGGACCCGGTAGTACTCACCGAATAACGCGATCATGTCCTCAGTCGTCGACGAGACCGATGCAGCGCCGAGCGGGACAAATCCTCCCCGAGCGCCTCTATCTGAATGATGTAACGTTGCAGGCTTGGGCGCCGGGGCAGGTAGGTGGTGACGGTTGAAGGGCCGGCTTTACGCTCAAGATGGACCGGAGCCGCGCCGTAGTCTGAGAAGCCCCGAGGAGATACGTGGCGCATGCGAGTCTCTTCATTTCGCCTTCAAATGTGGTCAAGAAGTGTACGAAAGCCGGCTGGGCATGCTCAGGTTAGCTGGTGAGGGGAATGTATGGCAGGGCACGCACTTTAGTACCGCGCGTCCAACGAAGGGGTCACCCTCAATAAAGGTAAGCGTCCGCGTAGACCATTCCCTCTCCTGTCAAAGCCTCCACCGCCGTTGCGCAGCCGCATTCTCCTCAAGCCCAGTCGAGCACGCTCGCCAGCCGAAGTCCCTGACAGACGATCGTACGTCAGACTCGCATTGCGCGGACTTGTCAGCGCGTCAGTGGCCGTCGTCGTGATCTTGAGATCGTGCAGAGTGCAGCGCTTCGTGGGGGATGGGGAGAAGCAGAGGGCGTCGGTTGATGATGACGGACGGAAGCAAGAAGGACTCGGAAGCAAAGCGGAGTCTGATCGAGATCAAGGACGGAAGCTGATCGAGCCGTCCGTCCTTGTCTGCCGCCACCATCTCCGTACAGACGCACTCTGCTCTCGCAAGCTTTGGGCTACACAGATACATGGCGTATATCCCCCCCTAGCTGGCGCACGCTTGAGGCTCACGGCTCGCTCCTCGCGCTCATCAATACCGAATCTCCAGGCGCTCGGACGCCCACTGCCAGCGGTCGAGACGCTGTTCGAACAGAACTCTTGGCCCTCCGACAACTTCATGACTCATGCTTTGGCTCTGACTGCCTGACTGGCGCGAGGTATAGATGGCGAGCTCGCATTGGATGACGCGCCTCGTCAACTACCTTCAATCTGAGTTCACACCGTTACATCTGTCTGCTTCGTCGCTCGCTCGTTCGCTGATGCCATACAGAACTTGCTTATTCTCCCTCTTCGCAAACCTTGTAAATGGTAATGCAGGAACAAGGCTGAAGATAGCAGTGAGAATGAACGCGCGATGAAATCCGACCGGTCAGAGATTCGTAGCTTCCAAGTCATGAAGCCCCACATGCGCGGTCTATCGAGGAGGGCCACACTTTCATCAGCGCGGTTGCGGCCCTCTTCGTGCTCAAAACTTGCGTCCGTCAGTACGACTTCCTCCCTTCACCTGAGCGAGCTTGATCCTGACTAGAATCCCTCAGAAAACCTTTATTACCCTTCCAAGATCCTGATGCGCGTCAATGTAAGGATGGCTGAGTCTGACGAGCATGCCTTCTAGCGCGACTCGCCGACCGTCAAACGCTAATTGCGCTCCCTTCGAGGTGAGTTTGCCTTCGTCGTGCTGGCCTGCCACTGGCACGCTTACGGTCTACGAAGACCACAAGCCTCTCATCTCGCCACTGCGGGCTGGCTGCTGGCTCCCGAGCGAACTTTCACAGATGCTCATAACACGTCGTGCGTACCCGTGTAGCTCATATTCTCATCAGTAAGTCAGATGATTTATTCATCATGATGTTTGTTGGCACTAAGATTGCGGCTTCAGATAATCCGTTATGCGTCGCGGACTCATAGCGCGCTCTTAATGAACGACCGTAGACGAGCCCCCCGCGCGCGCGTCGCGGCGACTTGCACCTCCATCGACATCCTTGCCAGTGCATCGATTAGACCCGAGCTTGAGTAACTGTGTGAGCACGGGACACATAACAACGCGTACGTAGAGAAATATGGGGAAGGACATGCAGTCACATCGCACCAGTACTTGGTCCTGTCGATAGATCGGTACTACTACCTCTCGCCCGGGACCTACTAGAATATGTAGCAAAATCGCTGAGCACGGACTAAGTTAGGTCTTCGCGGAAAACGGAACAGTAGCAGTGGTAAGACGAAGCCAAGAAGTATGTGTCAAGACGGATATACAAGGAGTCGAGGGAAACAAGAAAATATTACAGTACATCGGGATCGTGATGTCGGCCAATGGTCGAATCGAGACGCGGCGGGAATATGTAAGTGTCGTGGGAGAAGATGTTTAGGCAAGTCATACGAGGACGCAATTGTCAGGAAGAGGACATCACTAACAAGTCAAGGAAATGTGAGATGAAGTCGAGTATATACGGAAAGGTCGGTTCTGCATAGGTTCGACGCGTCAGGGAATTCGGCAGGTGCAGTCAAATGTATGGGAAGGGAGTCGGGTCGGCGCAGGGTCGAACGCAGGCTGTTGTCCATTCAGTGAATGGCGCTGTCCGAAAATTAGCTCAGCATGCGAAGTAGCGTACACAGATACTCCTGCTTACCGGATGAATCTTCCTAAGTTGACTGGCAGTCCCATCCTACTCCTCCAATCCCAGCGCCTCCAGAGGCTCCATAGGAGCGGGTGCAGGCGTATAAGTCGGCCACTCGTTGAGTCGGAACAAGTCGTTAAGCGTGATGCGGATGTGGGGAGCCGGCGGGACAAACTGGATCTGGTAAAGCGAAGTGATGTGGCGGTAGTGCCGCAAGTGGTGGGGAATCCAAATGAGGGGTCGCTCAGAGCCATCGAAGTCGTCATACACCATACAGCCATTCCAAGGAATCGTTGACCCCTTCCTGAGGGCTGCCTGCGCACAAGCTCTCGTCGTGTCCGTGCTTGCAGCGTCGACCGTGTTCTCCAACCTCTGCAATTTCCCAAAGTCCCAAACTCGGATCGTACCGTCCCAGGAGCCAGAAACAATGTGACAGCTGTCAAAGGAGAAGGTGACGGAGACCCCGGCCTCGTGCCCTCGCAAGGTGACGCCGACTTGCTGCCCAGTCTGCACACTCCAGACTCGCACCGTCCCATCACGAGATCCGGACACAACGTACTTCCCGTCAAGCGAGAAGGAGACAGACGGTACCCGGTCAGTATGACCGGTAAGTGGTTTCTGCTCGCCCGTCTTCACGTCCCATAGGTGGATCGCTGTGTCTACGTCAGACGAGCCAGCCACGAGGTACACCTCATCGGACGAGAGCGCGAGGGACAGAACATGATCCTGATGACCTTCGAGTGCCCCTCTCCGCTGCAGCTGTGATTTGGCATCCCAAAGTCGAATAGAGCGGTCAGCGGAGCCAGAAGCGATGTACAAGCCGTCGCTTGAGAATGACACAGATTCAACCCAGCTTTTGTGGCCATAGAGCGGTTCGCCGATCTGCTGCCCTGTCGCCAGATCCCAGAGACGCAAAGTCTCGTCCACCGATCCAGACACAAGGCGAGTGCCATCAGGTGAGAATGCGACACAGAGAGCCGGACGGTCGTGCCCTTCAAGCACGCCCACAGGCAGTTGCGTCTCCACATCCCACACTCGCACCTTCCGGTCGTCCGAGGCGATGGCAACTCGCGTGCTGTCCGGCGAGAACGTGACGCAGTTGACTTCGTCATTGTGCCCCGTCATTAAATCCCCCACCGGCTGCCCCGTCTGCACGTTCCACAGTCGCACCGTCTGGTACGAGCCAGAAACGATGTACTTGCCATCCGGCGAGCAAGCGACCGAGGTGATCCAGGTGGTGTGTCGGACCGGGATGTTGCTTTCCTTCTTCGCCTCCCGAACGTCCCAGACCCAGATCTCGTCATAATAGCTGGATGCAATGCGCTTTTCGTCCGGAGAGAAGGCGACGGTGGAGACATAACCGGCGTGGCCGCGCAACTCATCGCCGACTTGCTCTCCTGAGGCTGCATCCCAGATGCGGACGGTGTCATCCTGCCCACCCGAGACGATGCGCGTACTATCAGACGAGAAGGCGACTGCGCATACCCGGTCTGTATGCCCATGCGATGCCCACACTTGCTGCCTCCCACCTTCATCCCATACACGGACAGTCCCGTCGTGAGAGCCAGAAGCGACGTACTTGCCGTCGCGCGAGATTGAGACTGATCTGAGTTCGTCTTCGTGCCATATGGGATTGCCTAGCTGCTGTCGCGCTGCTGTATCCCATATGCGGATTGTGCGGTCATCAGCGCTGGAGACAATGCGAGCTCCGTCGTGCGAGAAGACGACAGATCGAACACAACTCGAATGTCCCTCCATCGCTTCACCAATCTCCTTCCCGGCCTTCGCATCCCACAATCGCAATGTGCAATCCTCTGAGGCGCTGACGACGGCCGCGCCGTCCGGGGAGAACGCGACTGACTGAACGCAGTCAGTGTGTCCGCGCAATGCCTCGCCCTGCTGCTGCCCGGTGTTGGCATTCCAGAGTCGAACAGTGCAGTCATACGAGCCAGAAGCGATCGTTGAGCCATCAGGAGAGAAAGCGACAGAACAGACCAGCCTTTCGTGTCCTCGCATGGCACTGCCGATCTGCCGCCCCGTCTCCGCATCCCATATTCGAAGCTCATGGTCGCCGGCTATGATCTTCGCACCATCGGGGGAAAAAGCAATGGAAGGATTGCAGGCGCTGTCTTGAATCACGAGGGTCTCGCTCGGTGGCCACTCTCGCTCTGGCTCGTATCCAGATATATCCATAGGGGTAGAGACGCAAGGCCGATACAATCGCGATACATGCGAGTTATTCGGCGCAAAGAGCATGCCAGTGATGTAAACTTGAGGAGGCGATGTCGAGATGGCGTTGCGGAATCGCTTCGCGAACGAGATGAAGTCCGATACGAGGGGCTTCGATCCGTTGCTGTCGTGTATCTGGAGAGAGCACGTCAATTTCACACTCGAAGATCATGTAGGATTTCGATACCTTCACCCATTCCAGCATATCTTGAAGAACGTCGCATGGCTCATACCCTAACCAGCCGCATGCCTCGAGCCAGAAGAGAAAGGGGCCTTGTAGAAACGCCATCAAGGCGGTCACTAGGTCTGGGACTACTGTCAATAATGAGCGCGAGGGGACCAAAGAGCGCATATCACGCACCCTTACTGTCGAGCCGACTGTGTGAGAGGTGTACCGAGACTTCTCGACATGCATATCGGAGCCCAAGAGAGACGTGTTTGCTGAGAAGTTCATCCAAGTTCTCGACATCCTTCTTGTACACAAAAGGAGAGGGTAGGTCGCATATGTTGTAACGGAGGCCGCTCTTTGGTCTGCCCATGATGCCGAAGCACGCGAGAGCAAGCTGCGAGTCGGCGGCGGCGAATTCAGATGTGATGGCGAAAGGACCGCTAGCCTCGGCGTCGAGAACGAAGTCGCGGAATGATGTGTGAAGTGGGCGAATGGGATCGTAGCCATTTGCCGTAGTACCAGTGAGAAGAGATCCGAGTCCCTTCAATATATCCATGATGTCGTTCGTCGATTGAAGGCCTGCTGCGATCTCCTGCAAGACCGCCCTTGTCTGCGGAGTACGAACTGCAAAGATGCAGGCCAGCAATTGACGGTAACTCGACATGCAAGCCATACTATCAACATCGAGATGTGCCTCGAGTATGCCACGGTACGACTCGTAGAGGGCGCGCCCACCAGAGTGCAGAACGCGCTGGACGAGATCATGTCGCAACTGGATGGTCTTTGGTCTATTCACCCCAGTCAATTCTCGACACAGGGTGGCAGCGCACTCGAAGAGAGATTGCGAGGCGGTCGCCACTTCGTCTGCCAGTTCTGCAGCCTCCTCTCCTTCGAGTTTCTTCTTGACAAATGCACGTATGTCGTCCTTAGTGCCTTCCACATTGTGTATGGGGCGCTCTGCGAGTGCTGTGTTTTTGTGCATGAGGACACTCTGTATGTCTTTGTCAGGCCGCGCAGTGATAAGAATCCGAATATTACGGGGCAACTGGTCATCCAAAAGGCATGTGCGCAGTGTTTCTAGCAGCACTCTGCGAAGGAGACCATCGTTGCCCGCATCTGGACATTCATCAAGCGCGTCGATGACGATAACAACAGGCTCCAGGATTGTGTGTGCGCGAATTGGCTCGTCGAAGAGGCGAGTGTATTGGTCCTGAATATCACGAGTCACTAGTCGGTTCGCTTCTTGCGTGCGAAGAGCCTGCTGATATCGTTTACAGCGACACAACAGGTATGCGGCGAGCGTGGGGTATAGCTGATGCGCTTTGCGATCTTGGCTCGATCTGTCGAATGCGAAGAACGGTGCAAACACACCCCGACTAGCTAGGTTTTCGGCTACCGAATTTGCGATTGCTGACTTTCCAGTACCGGCAGCGCCGGAGAGCAGAAATCCACGTGTACTATTCGGGCTGTAGGCCCAGTCGACAATCTCGTCGAGTAGGATCACCCGGGTGCCGGGCTGACATCTCTTCGAGCTTCCTGGTTGCACGTGTGGCGCGTAAGGGAGGTGCTCTAAGAGCCTTTGCGTCACTAGACAGGGAATTCGTGAAAAGATTTAAAGCGGAAGCTACAGAATGCGCACCAAGAAGAGTTTCTGACCTGAACACGGAAGTCTGAGTGTCTATATGTCTTGCAGTCTCGACTCCGTGCCTAGATGTGAGAATCTTCTCATGTAGCTCCTCTACGCGCTTGCGGGTCTTCTCAGATAAGATTCGACCTACATAATCGCGTGAGACACCGACCATACGAAAAGACCATTGACTCACGAGTGCCAGCGTCGGACAGAGAATGAACGAAGGTCAATGCGGTGCATATATGTTTCATCAAGACTTCGCGAGCTCGGATCTGCTGTTGACTTTGATCTTGAAATTCTGGGTCATCGGCATTGTCCTGTTGGATGGCTTCGCAGATCCCATCGATGAGAGCAAGTATCGCACGGTTGTTGGCTAATTTGTTGCTCAGTTCCTACACCCTATGTCAGCGATTGCCTCTAGTTCGACGGTTGGACCCACATTGCTCCCTATCTTTACTAGCGCGAGGACTGCTTTGGACACGGGATTCAGCTGACAATGGCGGTCAACTACGCGATTTACGATAAGATGCCAATAGATACCTCTGCCACGGCTTGGCCTACGTCGACGACACGTCTTGTATATGTATCTATTTTCGCCCATTTCCGTAAGAAGGAGAATCGCGCAGACAGTTCGTCCGCAGTCAGATCCTCAAGTCGCTTGCAGGAGATAGTCAAAGCAACCTGCGGCCTCTCGCTCATGCTTTGGTTGTAGATATTGAGCTCCTCTGTCGCACGTCAACGTCGACGGATGACAGCCCACTAGAGACCACAACGCACCGATGATCGGCTCGCTGGCCGATAGCAAGAGGTTCACATCACAAACTTTCCATGCCAGGTATTCGCCTTCCTCCTTGCTGTGCTCACCGCGGAGCCAGATACGAAGTAAAGATGCGTTGTGGGCAGCACTATTCCAATGAGATTAGTCTGGAGACAATATGGGCTCGTATCATGCTCACATGTGCAGCTCTGTATCCCAGGTCGAGTCGCATTCATGGTAATCTCCTTCATCTATCGCAAACATGATGGTGAAGCGCCTGAAGCGCCTTCCTTTTTTCAGCCCGGAGCTGAGGCTTGGTTGAATGCTATCCCTGCCGGGAACACCTGAGAGTGGTCATCAGAACGACGACGGCAGCGTCGGGACAGTACAGGGCTTACGGTGGATGATGTACTCGTAGTAGCGGTCGGGATCGCGGTCTGTAGTCGCCATATCCTGCGGAGTGGTGGTCAGGAGCAAGAGAAGGTCGTGGCTTCACAGCACGGAGGACGCGCGTCATCGGCATGCAGCCGTTGCCGGCGTACACGAGGAAGCCGCGCTGCTTCCTGCAGTCGATGAGGACACCGCATGACTCTGTGCCGGGGCGATGCAGACATCCACCACCTGACGGGCATCGGCGATACAGCACGATAGAAATTTCATCGCATACTTCTACGTTTGATTCTGAAAAACGCGATGAAGGTATCTCTACAGCTGGCATGCGGTCAGAAACTTCTCATCGTCAGCACTGATTAAGTACGGAGTAGATGCCAATCACCTAGTCGTATCTGTAGCAGAAGACAGCGTATCGATTAACTAAATAATCATGGCAGCACAACAAGGACTTTGCCGAGCTCAACCCGTCCATGGAGCCCGGAGGTCGTTGACATTAAGCCTGACGCCCTGGTGCTCAGGCGCCACTTCTGACCAGCGGCGAGGGCGCATAGAACCCGCAGCCAACTCGCCGCCAGTCGTAAGGGAGCACCTACATACAGACAAATCGCCCTTTTGAGCCCGCTGGATCATCTATCAGCAAGATCGTCGCGAGGTTGAAATGAACTACACTAACGACAGACGCCGCGCCTGGTACGCCCATCCATCGAAGCCAGCTACTCCTTCGCCACTGCTTCGCCGTCCTTCGCGCCACCCTTCCAAAATCATCTTCATCGCCCCCGTTCCAAAACCCCTCCATCTCCGCCCTGCCATTCATCACCGGCCATCCGGAAACCCCTCATCACCGCCCTCCCGCAACAGCCCCACCAGTCCCTTCGACCGCTCATTCACGACACGGCCTAGTGCATCGATATGACTGCCTCGCTGATTTGGGCGACTCGGCGCGCAGACGTCTTCGCTGCCTCGGCGCGCTGGGCGTCTTCATCGACTCCGCGCGTTAGCGTCTTCAGCGACTCGGCGCGTTAATATTCGCTTCGACTCGGCGCGATAATATTCGCTTCGACTCGGCGCGTTCGCGTCCACATCGACTCGGCGCGTTGACGTCTTCGTCGACTAGGCGCATGGACATCCGCATCGACTCGGCGCGCGGACGTCCGCATCGACTGGCGAAGGCGGACGCCGGCGCTACGCCTGCAATCGGCGCGCGTGGGGCTAGCGCGGTGCCTCCTCGCTCCTCGCTCTCCAACCTGAGTTCGCTCTCCAGCTTGAGCTCGCTTTTCAGCTTCATGCTCGCCGGCGCACCGAACAGCGGCGAAGAGCGTGTCCTGCTGGTGAGTGCGACGCGCTCGAATGCGAGGTGTGGGCTAGCAGAAGCGGGGTGTCGACCAGCAGATGCGGGGTGCCAACCAGCAAATGCGGGGTGCCGACCAGCAGATGCGGGGTGCCGACCAGCAGATGCGTTCCACGCCCCGCCGTGAGATTAGGACAGACCGTCGTCAAGTCCCTCGTTGCGCCCATCCGCTTTGCCGACGAGAACATACTGTCTGTCGTCCTGGTTGCACCCAAGCGCAAGGTGCATGATGCGGCGCCCAACATCGACAGAGGCGCGCTCAACATGAATGGCGCGGCAGTAGCTCGCAACGATACTGGACCCGACCCCAACAGCGCAGCCCATGACTTGGACGGCTCAGCCGACGGCCGCGGCAACGCAACAGTCGACCTCAACGACGCAGCCTGCATCCTCAACGGCGCGGCGACGGCGACGGGCAGTACTGTCGGCGCATATATGCGGCCGGGAAAGCCAAGCGGGCGCTCCGGCGTCGCCTGATATGCGCCATCGACGAGGATTGGCCTCGGCGCCAAAGGGAGTGATTGACGTCGACGAAGTGGGGGACGCTGGGCGAACGGCGGGTCCAGCAACGAGGGGGTACTCTTGAATCTTGACATTGTCGAGCATCGAGAGTCGCCGTCGACGGGTAGAGCGCGGGCGACATTGAGGATGCAGTGGAGCGCACGATAGGAGCCCGGCTGGGCTGAGCGTTAGGACACTGTTCGATGCGCATGGACTCGTAGACGCACCTCAGTAGCAATACAAAGCACGAGGAAGAAGCTTGGATCGAGTTGGCGACCGTAGCGCACGCAGCAGAGGCAATATACAAGGCGGTCGTCAGCGAACCCGAGGAGCGACATAAGTTGCTAAGTAGCATAAGAGCGCCGCCGACGGCATATATGCGTCGCATTTGAGTTCCGCATAATTGGGAACATTGTAGAGGTCCCTGGGGGCTCGTCAGCGCTAGGAAATGACGATCAAGTGAGGGGACTGTACGTGCTGTGATACAAGGCTCAAGAAGGGCCGACAAAGACACGCTGACCGCTCGAGCGCGGGCTCTCCCCGTCGAGTGTTGGAGCAGACCTCGTTGTGCGGCGGTTCCGACGCAGGCAAAGGTCCGCATGTATGCGTTCGAGGAGTGCGCTCGAGGTCTGGGAACACCGCCGATGGCGCGGAGCTCCTCGAGGTCTTAAGGTCCTTGTATCTGCAAGGCATCAGCACACGCGGGGAGGGAGAGAGCGAGCAAACCCACCAATCCGGGACAGCGAGACATTGCGCAGAGATACAAGTAACGCTTGGAATAGCCTCTGGCGCGCGAATGTCAACGTCCTCTCGGAGTAGTAGGGGAGGCGTGCGGAGCCACATGAGACGCATTGATCGAGGGTATTTGGGCTCGATATGCCAGCATGCACGTGCAGTCGCGCCCGCGGGCCGTCAAGACTGGAGTAGCGCGCGGGAGGGGCGAGGCGAGCTTGTCTTCCAGTTCGCGTCGGCGGCAGCCAGGAGCGAGTATCGAGGCATCCAATCAAGTCGATGTGATGGTACCCTAGTAGGTAGGAGGTTAAATCCAGGTGCTGGATTTCCTATCGTCGGGAAGTGCGGCGTCTGTTGGGTCTGTCAGCGGGGGAACCTTGCAAGCGAGTACGATCACGCACCTGCGCTCTCTTGCGTGCTTTCAGCATCGCTGACATCGTCGACGGTTTCGAATTTCTAGATTTGACTCTCAGGCGTGACTTGCTGGCCAGCGATGTGCGACGGGACACCGGAAAGCAAGATCCTTCATTGCCAGCGATATGGCGATTTTTACGTTGATGACAAGCGAGGGCGTTCGTAGCGAGAGGGGTCATGTAGAAGGTTATTACCGCAGCAAAGGGGAGGAGAGCGCGTAGAGGGGTGCGGTACGGCGACGTCGACATCTGCGCATGAGAGGGTGCGCTGAGTAGCTGAGGCTCTCCGACGATCGGAGTTCGGAAGTAACGGGCCGTCGGCTCCGCTCGTCACATATGGTCCATGTTGAACTTCGCCTGTATGGTTGCAAATCCTGGACAAAACCCAGTATACCGCTACTGATCGAGTGATTTTGCGTGAAAATAGTGGTGTGATATGGTTGTAAATTCTGGACAAAAACCGTGGTTAGTGAATCACTAAGCAGTAGTGATTCGAGCGCTTACCTCGATCAGTACTGCTTTCGTTCACGCACTTGTGATGCGATTCGGTCGCTTTCATCACGCAGCGAGGGGCACCGTTTTGATCACTTTCACGCGCCGGTGATTGCCGATCAGCTTGGACACCTACAAGGACCCCCTTGCCATCGAAAATCAAGGCGCGTAGACGGATGATTTTGCATCCAGCCAGATCTTAAGCGTTCTTTACAGTACTAGCGACGGAGAATACGTGTGCTTACAAGGAGTTTGTTGGAAAACAGTGGAAGTGGAAGGGGCCCATCGCTTTGGGTGGCTGATTGCTAGTGATCGAATCACGCACCGAGCGGTCAGTGGTCAGTGATCAATCACGCACCTAGTGATCACTAGTTTCTGCGTGATTTTGATGCTCACGCATCTTCACGCACCTGGCGAGTGGCCAGCGAAT